AATGACCGGCAGCTGGCAAAAATGCAGCAGAGAAAGGAAAATAAAAACAATGAGCTTCAATAACGCCTCCATCTAAACCTCTTCGCACATACAACCGTGGGTAGACCCAGTATCCCCAGCCTGTTGGCGTAGTAAAAGCCTTACAGGTGCATTCCATTAAGGAACCTCAACTCCACACGCCCAGAGACGCGCCCATCGACCAATGAATAGGTAGGTAGATTTACCAGAAGTGTATCATCGACCGCACACACTCCTCGGGATTGTTTATTGATGAAAAGATCTGTAGACTCGATCAGATTCCTGATTTCATTCATTCCATGTGAATATTGGAATTAATCGATGACGACCATGCCATCTACGCAGGTCCTGCAGGTTCGCCATCAGGCGCAGGCTCGTAGGCACCTTTGTTCCCTTCACCACCACCGCGGTTTCGGCAGCAGAGACAGAGGATCACCACTGCGATGATGAATACGGCTCCGATAGCACCCAGCGTATATCCCCACCACGGAACGCTGGTGACGGCGCGGTGAATCGCATGGCCTAGGTTCGGTCCGGCTGCATCTGTCGTTGTGGCAGCAGATGTAGTGATCACAGCTGCGTTCGAAGTAGTAGTAAGAGCAGAAGTAGAAGCGGTTGCTGGGTTGTAGGGGTTGGCGACGGTGAAGGTCGAAGGCTTGACGGCCCAGTCTGATTCTGGCCAGGTAGTTTGTCTGGCGATCAATAAAGTGGTGGCAATGGGTTCGTGAAGTGTGGCTGTTATCTGCAGGTCGGCATCGAGTTCCTGGGGAACGACGGCTGCGTGAGTGAGGGTGATGGATACCATTAGAAGGAGGAGGAATTGAAGAGCCATGATGATTGATGGTGGACTGTACTTGTAAAATGTACAGAGTAACGAGTGTGTTGTATGTGGTGCGAAGGAAAGAAGTTAAGCAAAGTTGGGATAGAATTGAACAAGTTGTCAAGGGTCTGTTTGAAAGTGTGGCTTGTAGAATGTGAATTGAATTTATGCGTCGAGCCTTGGCCACTCTTGTCTTATTTTTTATCTTACATATTCACCTTCGCATTGTGGTTCCCAAGATGCCGTCGCTCTTACACAATGCCTTCTGAGCACTCCAAGAATCTCCAAACCCACTCGAAGCACCTAGTAATATATCCCCTTGCATAGCTTTCCAGAAAAAGACCCATCTATTATAACCACTAAAGTCCCATAAAGAAAATAAAAAGAAATGTCTCCAAGTCTAATGCCAGCATAGTCCAAGCTCCCACACAAACACCAAGTTCTCCGTCGCTTGGCTCTTCCGAGGAAATGTGAAACAATGCTTCTATAATTATCCGCTTCCGGGCTTATGGATTGTAGGGATTGTGAGGCGGCGGTTGGTAAGGGTTGTGAGGCGGTTGGTAGGAGTATGACTGTTGCGGCGGAAAATATTTGTTCATATTGGCGCTTTGATTGTACGGATCATAACTGTACGGATTTGATGGTGGCGGGTATTGCCAGCTGTCAGGAGTCTTCTGTGGAACTGGCTGAGGCTTCGGAAGTGGAGTTGGAAGCTCAGTAGGCTCGACGAACCTCACCTGAGGTTGTGCAGTCGCCGCTGGAGCTGGCAGCTCGGTGAGCTCGATGAATTTCAAGGGTCATCTACGAGTTGCTACTGGAGCTGGAAGCTCTGTTGGCTGGGCGGAATTCGCCCTAAAATGAGATTGAGACGTAGAGTTTGTCGGAAGCTCAGCTTTTGGTAGAGATTGAGTTTGATTTCTAGACCGAGAAACCAGCGGAACTACTTTAAGTCTATCTGCCTCTTTGGGGACAGTGACTAGCGGAATGCTTTTAACGCTTGAAGCCGTTTTGTAATTGTAAGAACTCCCACGGTTACGGCAACAGCAACAATATACCATCACGCTGATGACGATAAGTATTATTCCGCCTGCCCCTCCAGTAATAGCACGCAAGAAAACACCTCCGGAGACATGTCAACCTGAGCCATTGCCCAAGTCCACCCCCGTGTTGTTTTGACCTCCGGCACTGGCTGTAGCGTTGGCATAGCCATTTGCTGTTTGATTGGATTGAATATATGGCGGCGTGATGCTTGTACTGGTGGATAGCGAAGTTAGCGAGGATGTCACACCGATGTCTGTTGAAGAAGACCCATCGGTAGTCAATTGCGAGGCCGTTCTTGTTGGTGGAGCACCCAAGGCGATGCTCTCGCTGAAAGCCGCATGCTCAGGATTTATTGAAGTCATTGTAGAAGCAGGAATAAACGTTGTCACAGTAAATGAACTGGTCGAGGAATGGAGAATGGGGTCATCTTGGGGATCTTCTTCAACGATCGTGACGCTTATGAAGGTGCTGAGTTGACCATCTTGAGGAAAAGCAATTGCGAAGGTGAGGAGGAAAGCCGCGAGGAGAACGAAGGATTGAAGTCTCATGTTGGCGGACTGTGATTGGAAGTGGAAATGTAAGTTGTAGAAATAAACAGACTGTTGTTATTAATGTATTTGAAGAAAATAAGATCAAGGTTTTACAGACAAGCGACAAATCTAATATACTGCTGAGATGGGCCGCCTTCAACCGGTCTCGCTTCTTGGGTGTATTCACTTTTCTAAAGTCAATTACACCCTGGGCTTAGAATACAGAAACTAAAAATGTTTACAGTAGAGGAAATCTTCATGAACTATATATAATTACTATAAGCCTATGGTCCACAATTGTCCAAACACTTGACTTGAACTTCTCCAAGACACGGCCTCTCATAGCGCAGCTCCAAACAAAAGGCCTGCTGCCATGACTTTCAACCCCCTGTTATTTTCAGGGCCTTCATACTTGTTTGCCTCGTGCTTGGTCGATTCATCATCTGGTGTTGATATACTCGATAAGTCTCTTTCTTGACTTACACCCTCCCTGTTCTTGAGGGCTAATCTTTGCTGCTTTGGAAAGTCTTGATAGCTATGTAAAGTTCTGGTGCTGGCGGCAATGTTCTCTGAAGGCTCTGGGGAGGTGGACTGAACTGTAGGATCGGGTTGCTGGCTGAGAAGTCTTGGTGCGAGGTGGCTATGACGGCGGCCATGTGGAAAGTGTGTAGATCCCATAGTACAGAGAAATCCAAGAGATCACGATATCAGGAGAGGGAACTTCATAGCGCGAACAGAGTATTGATTTTAAATCAGCCTCAATTTCTATCTTGCAAAGTTGGAAGTCTTGATGGTGGAGCAGCGGAGAAGTGAGACTTACTTACCAGGGCTCTTGTTTTTGAGGAGCATTTCAAGAAAGCCGAGTTCTCCTGACTGGGATGATATAAAAAAACATGGATCATAAATACTAATAGTCTTCCTATAAGAATTGGTGAACGTTCTGGGTCACAACTTGATTCATTGAGTTGAAGAAACTACCTACTTTGCTGAACTTTTCAGACAGAAGACTCATGCTCCATCCACACATTATCATCCCTCTTCGCATCTTTCTGTCGCAGATGCTCTCTAGCCTCCATAAGTGCCTTCCCCAACCTATTCTCTCCCAATGTTGCCGAAACGACATAGCATGCTTAGCCGTATATCCAATTCCCCATACCCTATCCCCTGATGCTGCCTCCACCAGCAACCGATCACCAGTAGCAAGCAGCTTGCGCTTCAAGTGTGGATTCTGTCCGAACTTGGCAATGGTTCCAGCCACAACCACCACACTCTTAACCTCATCCCAGCTCGCGTCTGTGAAGCCTGCTGTCAACCTGCCTAGGCGTTTCTGCTCCTTCGGGGAGGTAGTTGCGAGGACTTGTCTTTGAGTCTCTGTGTCGTGGAAGCGGCCGGCCTTGCAGTACATCATGAATTGCTCTGCGCAGGTGAAAGTGATGCTACCCTCGGCGTCGCCGTCATCGATGGCGTGGCCGATTAGTAAGGACATCTGAATCTTGCTAATGGTGAAAATGGAAGGGAACCACTGGCAGAACTCGCCGTGTGTGGTATCTGGCATGTAGAAGAAGAGAGGTTCGTCGCTACTAGTTGAGCTCCCATGCTGACTTATATGCGAGCTTGCGGAGCTCTTCTTTTGTCGCTTCATTGTGCCTTGTCAGGTAATGATCTCTGTGATCTGTTACATATTATTGACTTATAGATCAAAATTGTAGAAGGTCGGCAATGTGTGGGAAATAAAGCGAATATCTTTTGATTACCTAACTTATGACGTAATTTGAATGCTTAATTAAGACAAGCGCTTTTAATGGTTTATTAGCTGCCAACTTGAACTAAACCACCAACTGGGAGACTAAATTAGGCAGCGAACCAGTAGGTTTATGCCAGCGCCGAATCAATAAAGAAACACGGTCGGCCAACAATTTGCCTCACTATTTAGACTATTTAGAGTGTGTTGGTATCACAAGGTGATCACTTCATTACACGTGTAGGTCCGTATTTGATGGTACTGGTGGTTTCATTGGTTGTTGGTTCGCTAGCTAAAAGTGGTGGTTGCAACACGAAGAGGTTATCACCATGCTGAGTCAGCTAGCTTGGGTCACATGACTAAAAAGGCTCTCACATTATTCCATATACAGAGTGAAAATAGATTAGCTATTCCCATGATCACCTCTGCCAAAAAGAGGCTAAAGGCATACTAATGCTATAACGAGATAAAAGTAAGATAAAGAAGAAATAAGGTATTCAAGAAGTAAAATCAAGAATGATTTAGGGTAGAAAATAGGGGTTACAATAGCGGCCTTCAGGGGGCTATCAGGGAGTAAAATCTAGTAAAATCGGCGCTCGCCAGTTAACTGCTCAAGTACCTAGGTATATATAAATGCCTAGTAAGCATAAGTATCATATAATAGCACCTACACCTAAAGGCTTAAGATTTTAAGGGGCCGTGTGCACTGTGATACTTGCCTTAATTTGTGTCATGGATTGGTATTGGAAAACTTTTATCTATTTTGCCCTGTGTTCCAGGTCCTCGACTCCATGACAGCTCCACGTTTCTTTATCAACCTTCTATACTCCTATTCCTTGTAAAACTCACCAGTCCTCACCAATGCATCATCTAATACTTCTGCGCTTGCCGCCGAATCCCTTGGAATTAACTTGATCTTGAAATCCTTTGGAATTGCAACAAGGGCTGTCTTGAATTGATTGTATTCAACATAGTCGGTGTTGGGAGGTTCAGTCTCACTAGCCACGATCTTGTATGTGGAGATGATTCGAATCAAGGCCGCGTATAGCAATCGCTGCGCAATGATCTGCCCGGAGCAGGCGCGTGCACCCGCACCAAAACTCAGGTGGTTGAGTCCAGCCGACGGCTTCTCGACGAATGGCTTGCCGATGGTGATAGGTTCGAGCCAACGCTCGGGGTCAAATTTGGATGCATCTCGTCCGTAGTGGGTGACATCTGTGAATTGTTAGCATAGTGAAATGGCGACATCACACTTGAGCTTACCGTGGTTCCCAGCCTGAGCATTGATTAGGACCATAGTCTTTGCTGGAATTATGGCTCCGTTCCAGTTCACTTCGGTGACAGTCTTGCGAGGCAGACTCATGGAAGAAACTGTATAATATCTGCCTGCTTCTTTGATGATGGCATTCAGGTATGGGACTTTCTCTTCTTGAAAACTGTTCAACCATACTTCTTTGAGGTCGGGATGAACACGCTTAATATCCTCATATGCGCGTTCTTGCCAAAGTTGACCTTCGGGTGTTGACAAGGAACCGATGCAAGAAGTCAATGTACCGGGAATGGTCTCAAAGCCACCAGAGACAAGTGAGAGACAGATGGAGCTAACCTCAACCCCAGTCAACTTTGTCTCTTCGTCTTTGAGAATGGCAGCTGAGATGCATGGTTTGTCGGTCCCTTTTTCAATCATCGCTCTGACTTTGTCAAGAAGATCCTTGAGGTACACATCGCGTCTATCTCTCAGACTCTTGGAGCGGGCAGTTTTCTCGTTGGGAAGGTATCTTAGCATTGGGATGTAATCTTGGTAGTTCTCGGAAGCGCTGCGTAAAAGACTGATAGCGGAACCGACGTGTAAGATTTCGCGAAGCATAGCATCATAAACATCATCCATACGAATCCCATAACATAGAGTAAGTGTGGTGTTAAGAGCGTAGCGTTGAATATAGGGGCGGATACTGATCTCAACAGCACCGTTCTTGCTGTCTCTATGAAGATCTCGTACAATGCAGTAACTCTCAAGGTCAAACATGGGATAGTAGTTTCTGGTAGCTGGTCGCCCAAGTGCAACCCCAGTGGCCTTTCGCTTGTTCTTGCAGCTTTCATCCCAAGGTGATGATCCAATGGTGAAACCTTGGGTTGATGAAATGACTCCATGGAAGGTGTACAGTTTTGGACGATCAATGAGAGCGGACTGATGCCCTACGAGCATTTTCTTGCTGTCTTCAAAAGAATTTACTACGACTGCTCGGGTATTGCCTAACTTTATTTGGAAGACAGAATGGCCATATCTGCGATTGTTAGACAAAGTGAGAATTCGTTCGCATAAGACTCACTGTTTCCACCAGCCTTCACAGGTAGTGGCATGATCTTCACCAAGTTTTAAAAGATGACCAAAAATAGGGACAGCTCCGGGTATCTCAGGAATTCCTTTGATATATGGAATATCTGTGGCTGTCGAAAGCTATGAAGTGTTAGAAATGAATGCACCAGTAAATATTCAATACTTGATATACCTTATATACAAGATACAATGCGCCTCCAATACACATAAGAATAATGTACTCAACTGGTAAGCCGGCAAACAGGGCTTGCAGCTTTTGGAGAGGCATGTCTGAGGCAAATTTAGGATCCATCACGGGCAATGAAGAGTAGATTATTTGGCCACGATAAATGGGATGGAAAGTCTCTATATATTATACAAAATTGACTGTGACGGAGTAGCCGCCATTTGTCGGCAATGGGTAGAAAGTAATAATTCTGTGGGTCTATATATTTCTCTTTTGCTTTTCGTATGAAAAGGGTTAGTAATGGAAAAGGAAAGGTTGTACCTTATCGCTTCCGCTAGAATACTGTACTTAGATAGGCTTGGTGGCGGCCTGTCCGACACGCCCTTATTGGACGATACCTGTATCAGTGCTTTTGGGTTCATATGCACGTGATTCATCCACCACTTTTCCACGACAATGACTTTCTCCGTGATTAGATTACTTCAACCTTGCACATTCGCTGATTACAGCTTAGATGACTCTATCATTACGCATATAACCGTATCACTTGTAAAAAGACATCACATGATGAATTGGTAATCTCGAGATGCCGAAAGAGAAGAGCAACTATGATGGACACTTCAACATTCACATCCACGGGACTGGCGAATCAGTCTTGCCGAAGATGCCATGGACGCAAGAAAAAGTGCAATAGGAATCTTCCAAAATGCAAAGCTTGTGTGCAAGCCAATGTGGAGTGTAGTTTTGAGGAAGCGGGGACAGAAACTGGTATTTTCCAAGTGTCGTTGGTGGTTCCCAATTCCTGACTGGGGTCTTGCAATAAGCTTACATGGGTAGATATATACGAGCGCTGGAAAGGAGAGTTCACCAATTGGAAAGTGAACTGAAACTCTACCAAACAGGTTCCAGCGCATCGGGAGGGCGGGACTATGCCACTACTCAGACATTTGCTACGGACTCTCCGGGCAACACAAGTTTTAGACAAGCGGGTATGCCCAGCTCAGATGCTACAGACTCTGCATCATCTTCCCAATATCAAAATGATGCTTGGTCGACAGGTTCGCTTCCCGGCAGATACCAACAAGAAATCTCTGGGGAAAAGAGCCAACAAAATGAAATTCCAGAGTCATTGGAGTCAGGACTAAAATATCTCTCGTTAGAAGCAACAGCAGATCGATATCTTGGCTCATCATCTGGGGTTACTTTCGCCCGCTTGACACAGGCAGTTCTTAAGCGACTGAAACCCGACCAGCAGCTTTTTACTTCCCAACTACCGGCTGCGCACAATGATCCATCTACCCCAACCGGGGCATCGCCTCTCTCTGACGAGCAGAATTCTTTTCATCCAGATGGGCTCACAAAAGATGTTTCAATATCATTAATCCCAGTGGCTGATATGCCACTACCAAACAAGACACATGCTTATCAATTAGCCGAATACTATTGGTCTCATAGTCATACTCTCTACCCATTCGTTAGGAAAGCGTTATTCATGGAATCCCTAGAAAAGATGTACGCAAACCCAGACGATTCCGTTCTACGATCGTCTCACTCTTGGCTTTATACAATGTGGATGATTTTTGCGATTGGATCGACCAGCCTTTCATCAGTGATGATTAGTGACGAAACAGAGTCAATTCAATATTGGAAAGCAGCAATGTTCCATTTTGATGCTACCTTAGAAGCTGGAAATATGGTACGCAACTTAAACCCCGAATTTAACGGTATTTTAACTCATTAGGCTGCATTAAACGGTATTTTGCTTCAAGTATCATACTCTTGGTTTAATCAAATTGGTCCAAGTAGGTTTGCAACTCTTCTCTTGCGAATGTTGCTAATTTTTAGATACCTGGTACCTTGTCGGTATGGCGATACGTATTGCCCTTGGAATGGGGCTTCACACATATCCTGCAAAGACAAGAGTTCCTCTACCGCGACACGTGCAAGAATATCGTGCTAGGATATTCTTTTCGTTGTATATGATGGATAGGTAAGCAAGCCTAAAGTATAGGCACACCAAATACTGATAGTGGCATAGGCTGGTTTCAGTTACCTTAGGTCGACCATTCGGTATCCGCGACGAAGACATTGAAATTGAAGTTGGTTAATTCCAACCCTTTAAACTCTCACTAACGTTCCCTAGCCCTTCACCGCTGCAGATGACAATGCTATTCTCCCAGATCGAATTCTCCCGCATACAGGCCTCTCCCTTCCTTCCATGTCTGTGCCCCTTCACATTCTGGCCCTTCGCAAGATTGCTGGAGAGATATTTCAAGAAATATACTCCAACAAGAAGTCATCTCTTGCTAATGACACTGCATCTACTGATACAATCATCCGGAACCTTCACGAGAAGCTCATAATATGGCGGCGAAATATGCCTTTCCCACTTCCCGAGTCACAAAATCTCCGCGTTCCGCACCTCAGTACAGCCTGGTATGACCTGAATTATCACAACCACGTGATAATGCTCTATCGTCCCTCCCCACTATGTCCCATCATAACCATCGAGAAGGTTGCCATACTAGCTGATGCTTCAGCTATGAGTCTTCGCCATGCTACTACAATGCACCGACAACAACGTTTAGCGTTCAACTGGCTCAACCTGTTGGCCGTCTTCACGACGGCTCTCACACTCATTTACACAATTACAGCGCAACCCGAGCAGATACGTGATTATTTAAACAGGTCCAATGCGTTAGAGGATCTAAAGCTTGCGGCTATGCTATTGGGAACATTTGCACAGAAGTTTCGGAATGCAAAGAAGTATAGGGATATGGTGCTTGGGGTCATCGTAAAACTTGAAGCTCAGTTGCACGGCCAAGAAACACGGATGACTTCAACACCAGCCAATGGCAGTGCTTCACTGTCGCCTTCTAACTCGAATCCAAGCCCAAATATTGACCCTGCAAGTCAACACACACAACCCCAAAAAGTCTCCTCCGAGTTTGATCTTGCTCTCAATCTGTTTCACCAACAGCACATGCTTGGCCTATCCGGCTCGCCACAGGAGACGAATTTTCCCTCCACAGAAGACATCCTTTCACTAGATGCTCTAGCAGCACAGGATCTGGTCTTTGACTTTAGTGGTGGGGGTTTCAATGGAGCTACTGGTATGAATGCAGGGGTGATGGACCTGGATGAGGAATTCATGAATTATTTGGATCCAGGGTCTAGATACAGGGGGATGGGTACAGAGCATGAAGGTCTGTGAGCAGCATTCGAATCGTATCAAAAGATACACGCTGAATATGAGATGGTGCCTCCATGATGTAAGAGCAAATAGACAACGACACTCAAGCAACAACAAGATTTGTATGTAAAGGTCATTGTACGGAGCGTAGTGCTAGGCGCGTTGTTAAAACAGTTGTTTGTACCTTTAGAAAACTGCACACCACGTTCGAGTACCCGTCAGTGTTTACAATTGAATATTTACACCTAGATCTCATAAATTCCAACGTTTGTTATCTCTCTAGTCTTCAACTCTTATTGTCTCCCTTATTTTTATATTCCTCATAGGCCAAGTGTGGTTGAAACTCGCAAAACAGGGTATCCTTTTACACTGCATCGTCAGTCATTTCGAACTCGCATGTGTATAATGAGTGTCACTTACTGGTTAGTTAGCCATCTTGAAATTATACGCAGCCTCCTCGTCTTGATTCAGCATCTCGAGTGGTCGTGCAAATGCCGACCACGCCCTGGGTCCTAAATCTATTAGGGGACACTAGCTGGTCGTTTCCAAACTTAAGCTCACACATTCTCATGCACACCATCAGCATCTTGAAACAATTCAACTGGCTCTTCGAACACATCAATAGCTACATGGACATATGTAAAACACTTAATAACTATTGATCGACTTCACAACACTTAAGATTTTACTGTTAAGACCTATGCACGTCCAGAGACTCCAGACTTACCTGAGCGGCACATCTGCATGAATATTGGACATATCTTCAGATACCGCGTGGCCCAAGATCTGCGTCATAACTAAAGACCAATTGAAAGGAAATGAAGTTCAAGAATCAAGAAGGATCAGAATCGCAGCCGCAACTCGAAAGGCTCAGACAGTTATATTTCGACAAGTCGTTATCCAAGAGACCGTCGAAGAAAAGAATATCCCTCCTTCAAAACAATTTTCCCTGTCATCTTTTGCAGAGGCTACATATCGACATCCGTTTTGCAATTTACGATGAATTGGTGGACACCGAAGACCGGCTAGGCATAGTCGCACCCTGTCTAGGCGATAAAGGGCCCCTGAACGCTGTCTCAGTGTCCGGCGAAGGTGTTTTGAAGACATTCTCGAAAACTTGCACTCAAATTCGAAACGAAGTGCGCCGCTGGTTTTCTGTACGCCCCGATCTCTATTTTCATCCCACAATCGGAATTTTCAATCACAAGGCTCTTCGGTTTGAGTATCCTAGGGAAGCCTCAATATTTGAATTTCGTAATACTATACCGGCAGAGCACCGTATTGGTAATGATATGTGGTTAGCCTTTGACTGGAAGTTCTCGGGTGCCACTCGACACTTGCTATTCCGTGCGGTTTTGGACGATGATCGACTATGGCAGTCAAGGGGAACTTGGGTGGAAGTAGACGATGACGGAACGAATAGATGGGCTTTAAGTGTCGGAATGCCCGTTGATATGAGTGCACAATGGGCGTTTCTGTCGTAACTTACCCTAGAAACCCATATCGTTGCACTACCATTTAGCTCCTGGTGTATGCTTCACGAAATTGCGGGCAATGGTTAGAATATGCAGTTGGTGGCAGAAAGATCGTGGAAATTTTTCATTTCAATGAAGTATCGCAAAGTTATGAGTGCATGTTATAAGACCGTCTTCTATGGGACTAATTGTGGATGTCATTTTGGTTTCGGCGGTCGTCTTTTTAGCCCTCTTGTCTGGATTTTCGTAGCCGTAGCTTTCTTCAGTGTAGGAAGTAGCGACCGAACTCTTATGAGAAACAGATGAATCTTGCTTTCGCTTCTCGGACTGCATGCTCTCTGCCAAACCCTCTTCCACGATCTCGGGATGACCAAGCGATCTATGAATTTCTGCCTGGGAATAAGGGCCTATCAAGCAAATAGGCGTTCCGTTCAAAAGCCAGTCCCTGCCTTGCAGCTACACAAAGATTTGATGGGTCTTCGGACGTTTGAGAGAAGCTGCCTTGAAAGCTTGAAAATTTATTCCACCAAGAACGAATCGCGCAGTTTTCATTACATACAACATGTCGATAGACACATCCTCATCTTTGAAAGATTTGTGATTAATCGGTGCATTCTTCGCATCCACGAGATCCACCCCCTGATATCGGTCATGAGCTGTCGAAGCCATCCATTTATAACAGAAGAAGTCATGAATAAGTAATTGACCCTTTCCACCGAATTCTTGCACACCGAAATGCTCATACGCGTGGCACAGCCCCAATTGCCCAACACAAATGTCGATGTAAAAAACGCATCAGCTGCGCACGTTTCTTAGCAAAACCTCTGTAAGAGATATAATTAATATTACTTATTATTCTAAGTAGATACATAAGAAAGCGAACTGGTGATAGCGTCTTCGCTTACTAGGCTAGATTGGGTCACATGACTGGAAAGTTCAGGATACAGTCCCTATATTTTAAGAAGATTCCAACTTTATACTTTCTAAGCATCAAAAGATCTACATCTGCCTAAAATAGTGACGGAAAGGTAAGAGGGCCGGATTTCGGCATAGCTGGACTGAAGTCGGATACCTGTAGCTTACATTCCTATATTAATAATGCTAAATAAGCAAATTTTATCAAAAACTGTCCATCGGTCTTATGGTCTAGTGGTATGATTCTCGCTTAGGGTTTACTCTGAGTATTAAATATAAATTTGCGAGAGGCCCCGCGTTCGAATCGCGGTAAGACCCGGACATAAGGTGTGTATGCACTTGGCATTTGTTTTTTTCTATTTTTGTTCTATTTTTTTCCATTTTTTCTACCTTGCTTAAGACGTGTTTTGGCTGTCCAAGATCCATCCATATGCACGTGGTAGTCTTTAAATGACTCGCTAATGTACATCGGCTCAGGCCCTTAACGTGTAGGTTATCTTAGCGCCTAAGCTCCGATAAAGCTCCCGCAGAGCGTCAAGCACATCTAACACCCAAACAACCATGTCCAGCTTAGATCCATCGTACACAGTCTTTATCAGGTTGCCATTCCCACGAGGGGACTTTGTTGATCCGCCTTCTGTGCGTATTTTCGTTGCTGTTTATTTGGTTGCTCTTTATTTGGTCGCTCTTTAATAAACTCAGCTGACTTACAAAGGTGGAATGGGACGCCGCGAAGGACAAGGCTTTGTGGAAGATCCTCTCTAAAGCTTCAAAGAACAGTGATATTGACTGTTAGTAGCTCTATTTTTATCGTGCCAAACTAACGAAATCATAGGGGATGAATTGTTAGCCCTTATTCCATCTTCCATCTTGCGCGGATTAAACTGACAGCAACAGAGCCGGCAAATTCGAAGTCACCCTAGCCTTCCTCCTCCAACAAGCAGCATGGCTTTACGAAAGACAGCTCCTACAAGTGCGGGCACAAATGAGAAAAGTCGGGGTATCAAAAGGTTCTGCTGCGCCATCGCCAGTTCCTGGTAGCACCTCTGAAAATGTAGGAGGTGAAATGATGAGAAAGACAGGCTCTGGAGGTGCAGGCCCACGAGTTTCATCAGCTCTATCATCTAGAAAGGATTCTGCGCTACTCAAGAATGACTCTAGCACTTCAAGTACTCCTAGTCGTCCATTAGGTATATCCTCAATCTGCATAACCTGTTGTTGCTGACCGTAGCAGCCCCTCCTTACTCTCGCACGTCTTCTGCCAATACAACAATCACCGCTCGAAACTTCGCACCGACTAGTCCTCGTCCTACCCATGCGATGTTACACCGCCGCTCTCATTCCCCAATTCTTAAATCACGACCTGTCTCTATAGTAGAAGCTGTTAGCCGCTCCCCACAACCAGAACCCCCCTCATCCGAGTCGAGTTCCGAAGAATCATCATCTGATTCAGAACCACCTGCACAAAGCCGACTTCTGCGACGACCTACTCGCTTTTCATCGAATAAGTTGGGAGAATCAGAAGATGGTGATGAGGATGACCAGCCTGCTTTCATGCCATTTGTTGGCGAGTCTGCCCATAATGATCCAAGCGCTACACTGAGAGGCGATCCAAGGAATATAGGTCGTAGGGCACCAACAAAGAAGCCGATGGAAGTGGCGCAACAATCACAAACTTCTGACTCCTCGGCGAGTTCTACAGCCCCTGTAACGAGACGCCCCCAACCGTTACCGAAAGAGGGATCTCAAAGACAAAGGCCCACGGGCCCATTATCTCCAAGACGAACTGCTGAGTTGGCTGGGCGAAGTCCTGGTATGAAGAGTAAAGGAAGAGAGAGTAGCGATGGAACACCGAGTATGGGCAGTAGTTTTAGTGACTTGGATGGTACGCTACGCTCTCTACATACGCTTATTTACTGCAATATTGACTCCCAACAGACGCCTCAGTCACTCAAAGTGCATTAGAGGAGGCTTTAGCTAGTAACATGCAAGCTGGCGGCGGTATGGCAAGTAGGATGTCATCTATCAGCCAAGCTCTCCGGAGCAAATATCTATGAATCAGATCGCTGGCGCTATCACTTATTTCAATGGTGTTTAGAGCGCTCCGGCTTGACAGGTTCGTGGTCAGCGTCAAGGTTGCATGCAAAGCGTTGTATTTTATAATTTTATTTCCTGTCCCGCATATAAATCCCAATTCTTCTTAAATTAAGTCCTAAAATATCCACTTGGGTTAAGCATTTCCTCGTTATATAATTCTCATAATTTGCTTCGTGATATTTCCTTCCTTCTGATAAACATTATTTTTCGGGCGAAATCTTTTTTCTCAACCCTATTCGTTCTCACCATCCACTAAATTCAGACTTCGCGTGCTCCTCGAGAGCCTTGATATGAGGAGGCTCATACTTATCTGAGATTTCGTCACCCCATCCATTGCCACCCCATGCCTGAACCTCTTCTAGCACCAACTCCCCCTCCTCACCATCATCCGTCTCGCCCCACTCATTTCCCTCCTTACTAACCTCACCCCTCCACTGAGACCGATCTTTATTTAAATCCGAGACCCTATAGCCCCTAGGTGGTCGTGCCACGCCTAAAGTACCTACTTCGTGCAAATACTTGCAGGTGGTGGTCGGGTTGTCGCAACGGCCAGTCGTGGCCCAGAAGTAACAGGTGAGACCGGCTTTCGGAGCGGCAGCGGAAGCGGTAGCAGGGACTGTGTCAGCCAGGGCACCCCATGTTGGCTTGCCCATGCGTAGGTTTGAGGGGTCCCCGGAGGTGGAGACGTGGGAGTGGAGGTCGCGGCATTCTTCTGCTGTGAAGCGACACTCTTTGTTGGGGGTTCCCCAAAACCTGTAGGTGGGTGAGTTAGCGGTTTTCATATCAGAAGAGGAATTATGAGCCGCATTCCGCTTTCCGAAAGCTTACCAGCATATCTCTGTCTTAGGCGTCACTACCTGAAGGGGCTCTTTCCCAATAATGCATTTGCAGGAGGGTCCGGTGGGAGGCTGAGGCTGAGGCGAACGGCGGTTTCCATTTATGTTCCTAGACTTGAGAATTTGGTCAAACTGAATAAGTCAGTATCTTATAGCGTAATGGGGCAATCGTCCATACCTTCTTGTTAACAAGCTTCTCTATCTGCTCATGAGTCATGCCTGGCACGACATCTTGCTGCTCTGAATTTTCGCTCTTGGAATCCATATCCGCAAGCAAGGCAAAACGAGAAGTTGCCAGCCCACCGACGGTAGGACGGGTTGGAGTAGGAGCAACGGTTTTCGGACGCGTGACAGTGGGCACTTCATCCCATTCGGCAGCGTTTATGAGTTCAACCCTGTCCAATCTCCTAGACACAGTCGTGCTGACACTGGGTGCGCGCTTTCTCATAGCAACAGCCTGATTCTTCTGAGCCATCTGCTGTTGATGTTCAATCAACCGTGCCGCGGCATCTTTCTTGAAAATGGAGTCTCGGCACTGCCCAATCTCCTTTGTCCGAAGGTTCATCCCGTTATAGACGCTGCCGGATACAAGCTTTAAAACATGGATTTGGTCACCGGCAGTGACTTCGAGGGCCATCTGATTCGTCTTCGGAGAGCTGCTCTGCGCGATGTAAATCGAATCAAGTTTCACCTTGCCAAAGTTCTTGGGCTGTGTAGGGAATTTCGAAGTAACCGTTCTTGCTGTTGTTCTGGTAGAAGCGCGAGATTCGACTCGCTTGGGTCCTTGAAATCCGGCATTATTCGGCTGATAAATGTCATTGATCGATTTTGGGGACCGCCCATGGGCTTTCACGAACTGCTTAACAAGAGCTTGTTTGGAAGGCATTTTTAGCGGGGCTGGAGAAGATGCAGTCCAGCCATTGATTGATGCAGTGGATTTGACAAATGAAGCGTTAGGAATCACATCCCCCATGGCATTGACTTCGTTTGCCCATGTTTGGATCTCATGGGGGGTTGGTGCTGGGTCCTGGTATACCTCTTCCGTCCCGTGTTTGGGGTGATTTATTCCCGAATCAGACCATTCATGAGAATATGATTCCTCTTTTGTGTACTTTGGGCGGGATTTCTGGCCAGCCTTGGTTAAGCCAGCATTGAACGCTTTCACCTCGTCAAGCTGTGCTTGTGTATATCCAGCAGAGAGGCCGTTGGGAGGAACTCCTGTTTTTGCAGGCATAACCGGCTTCTCGGCGGTCTTTCTTGGAGTAGGTGTAGCCATTTCAGAGAGGTCCACCATGGCGTTTCCCTCCTTCGTTGGCTGTTGTGGTGGTGGATGGGCAAACTCTTCATCCGAAAATACCTCTGCAGACGTGGCAGGAGTCGTGGGGGGTTGGGAGGGCGAGGTGAGGTTGGTTCTCGCTGTCGGTGAGGCTGTTTGCTCCTCTGATACCTGTATACGGTCTTTTTTAATCAATTCGAAGGTATCGGAAGCGTCGGTGTGTACATTGTCGCTGGGTTTAGGATCTTTAGATTCGTTAAAGCTTGTTAATTCCTCTTCCAGAACGTTTCTTGGAGGGCCTTGTGTAAAGACATATTTGCCCTTATGGATTAATCCATCGATCTTTATCCATTCGTCTTCGGTAAAGTAATCTGCTCCATAAAGCATATAAAGTCCCTAAAGTGGCATATCATTAGTAGCTGTTACTCGGAAATCAACCCGAGCCGAGACATCAGATCGCGAGCACTCACCATCTTCACCTGGTCCAACGCTTTGGTCGCATTTGTAGACAACGCCATGTTTGATGGCGTCGAAACGAATGGTACGTTCACTTGAAGTTATGGAAATAAAGGGAGGAAAGACAAATGGCCTTTTTCAGGGGGAGTTAATGAAATTGCTGGGTCTTTCTGGCCCGGCAAACCTACAATGGAAATTGTGTCAGTTTAGTAGATCAGATTCAGGGTGTCTGCAACCTGCGGGGTAAGCATAAATCTGCAACGATAGATCATATATCCAATGTAATACCCTAACATAGAGACACGAAATATTCAATAGAAGGGTTCATTTATTAGAGGAGAAGAGAAGCTCTGAATTGTACAACTGGCGAGTGTCTTGCAATGGCTGTACGGCCCACAGAAAAGACTTCATTTTCTACTTTCACCGACTTTTACATTCAAAACAACACAACCCCACTAAACCTAGCGAAACTTTCAAAGCTCCACAGCAAAGGAGGGCACCAATAAAAAGAATCTTTTCGACAGATGGCTAGACACTAATAAAGCGACGCGAAACATTATCAAGCAATAAAGCTACTCGCGTCCTGGAAGACGCGGACGCGTTGAGTGCGTTTTCCGCACAGACCGTCTTCTCCGCGTTTGGCCTAGTTTAATACCGGTACGGAGGTATGGAGCTATACTATAACAGTAATAAGTCTGTGGGCAAGTCAGCGGAGAGTGAAAAATAAGCAAATAAGCGTCCCCTGGGTAATATCGCCATGTGCATTTGAAGGTGTGGCTGCATTATAAAAAATGGGGCAGGGGCCAGCGACCAAAGTATAGATTGTGAGGCCTAGGCCCACACTGCTATGCATCAACTGGTTCATACTTAAATTATTACTAACTTGTTTACTTTCACCTCCTATCTTTCCGGTCCCACCTCTATATCCTAACCGTACATCTCTCGACTTATCGACATAGACCTCCTATATAATGCAATCCCAAAGCCTTCGTTGCCCAGCCCGGGGTTCAGTGGATCCTGGCTACCATTCAACACCGCTGGCGGAGGAAACAATGTACCGGCACTGTATATGCTCCCTACTACAATCTAGTCAGTTGCTAAGCAAGGAGAAGTCGTGATCCCACTTACAGGTAGGAGCTACACTGACAGGTCTCTCGGGATTTGTCTCTCTGTATCGATAATCTCTTTCCTGTTTGCAGATCCAGAACAAGAGGAGTATGACGCTCAGAAAGCCAATTACGCTGAGAATAATCGCAAGGACTGAAAGAGTTGGCGATGATTGAGACTCTTGGGGAAAGGGAGAGGCACAACCCGGACACTTCGTCTCCTGAGAATTCCGTATTCGCAAACTGGCATGTGTTGGCGTTGGCAGATACATTGTTTGTAGCGTCTCGAGGAGTCTACTTTGCAATCACTACAGAAACTTGGAGATGGGCTCCAGCCTGTATATTACTACATCCCGCATTCGAACCTCGTGCAACGATTTACGGGTCCCAAAAAAAGGGTCTACATGGCGGGGTACGAGGCATAGTTACACTTGCTCACCAAAGTGACAATCCCAATCTGCGTGGCTAAAGACAGAGTTGGTGTCACCAGGACTTGTGTTCCTCCCCAGGATCGACATGCTTTGAAGAACGGTACGAGAACGGGTACTTGCTTCACTCTCGCCAGAATATGATTGGAATTCGACAAATTCCCGGCGAGCTATTAAATCCGCCAGGGTGGAACTTGGATCCAGTGGTATTTGTACAACCTAAGAAGTCTGTCGTGATTCTGCTGCGTTGCATCAAACCGACGCCGAGCAACAATCGGAACGAGGTTCCTGACGATCTGTGAAGTTATATTGTCGCCAAGGGAACGGTTTTGTAGCATGGCGGAACGTTCAAGGGTCAGAAACGCATCCAACTACAGGCCTCTTGAGTCGTGACCAAGACAATAACTTGAGTTCATATGACAATCTGAACCCCTGTCATACAATCATGTAGTATTTGGTGGATATCTCTATCAAAGGCAATCCACCGGTGATCGTTCCCCAATCATGGTCATCGTATGCACCCTGCCGGCGTTTTCATATTGCTGCATGTTCCCCGCTTTTGCTCTCGATTTCGTATACTTTGAGCCCACCGTTTAGGCTTATTCCTCTGCAGTGGTTCTTTTTGATCTAGTCTATCAAAAGCGCAGAATCAAGTATGCTACGATTAGCACCTACAATTGTTTGTGCATATCTTCTTAAAATTACTGTCACATTCGAGTTTTCTGTACGAAGTCCTCTTACCCCCATTTCTATCGTTTGAAGTGTTTATGATCATGCTAAGTAGTGGATCTGCAAAACCTATAGCATTTTGTTTCAACTCAATTACTTCATCACCGCATCATGTTCGCGCTGTCTGCGTCTACCAATTCACAGTTGGGACAAATATGTCGGTCAGCCGCCCGAATGCTCTATCTTTGCAGTAAATTTCCAGTCCCCCTGGCCTCAGCACCTCTCGAGCTTATGGTACATCGTATCGCCTCAACATTGCATTGCTATGTGTGTTGGCATGTTGCTTCTCTCAAAAGCTTCCTACGTCGAAGAGGCAAACTTTCCGACCGAATTTGAAAAAATGCCGGGCGTTACATGAATGCAACGATGACATTGAATAATGCCGATATAGGACTTCTTAAAAGAGACGAGCACCAAGTACCCTCTACACTTTCCCTCCAACATATCTCAAAGCCAAAGTGGGCAAGGTACTCCTACACCAATGTCAGGAGTGACGCATATGTTTTCATCCCCGAACGCTGCTTCGTGATCTAATGGCAAATTTACTTCTTTTGGGCATTATGATTTCGAACAGCCATTCCACCCTCATCAGTCTGATGCTTTATCTCGGCCCTCTTTCCTCTCCAACGCTCTTATTCCAGGGTTTGGATGCACAATCGCAAGGATTACATGCTGAAAGTGGGGCGGTGTAGTCTTATTGCGTCCACCTGCACGTTAGGATTACTACACAATGCATTTAATACGTTCGAATATTTCTACACTGAAAGTCCCAACTTACTGCGCAAAAGATCTCTTTCGATCAGTGCTATATACCGGGAGAAGTTGTTTAGCCCAGCGAACAAGCAGATCATCCTCAAATTCAGGACGTTCAGCATTTGATCAGAGAAAGTACACCAGTCAGATAATTTGCTCACGTGCATATCTTCCCATGTACTACGATACCTGATGTATCTCGGTACCACCCTGCTATGCCTGTTCGAGCTTTGGATCACTGTGATTCGTACACCTCTGAGCATACTACAGGATCGGGATACCCATCCACGGGCCTTTATTCGAAACTGTACTAGCTTAAGTATAGATATGTATTGTTAAAAGCTCAACGGGGTTCAACTTTTCTTGGGCCGTTTCGAAGGGCTGGGAATTCTAAGCTTCATTTGCAAATATGAAAATGATATTCTCGAGGTTGCCAATTCTCAACTTGCTACACCTATTCGCTCCCACGTCTTCGACTTACTTCTATCCAACTGTGCAAACATCGCTTCTCGAGCACATACTTGTCGATACACAGGGTGCTCATGCATCAGACTTCATAGCTGCTATAACGCCATGCACCAACTATGTGAATGGAGCTCAGACTTTAGGACGAATAACATCAGCACAATGGATCCGAGTCGCGTTTCACGACTTTGTTACAGCAAATATAACAGCAGGGACTGGAGGGCTTGATGCTAGCATTGGCTTCGAGACTTTGAGGGGAGAGAATTCTGGAGCTGCGATGAATGACTCGATGGGCTTTTTCAGGCCGCGTGTCAGTTCGAAAATAGCCACTGCTGACTTTATTGCTTTGTCAGTAGTTATGAGTGTAGGAAACTGTGGTGGGCCTCAGATTCCGTTGCGCGGAGGGCGAGTCGATGCAACAGAAGGGGGTGCTACGGGCGTACCTGCCCCTGACTCCTCGCTTGCAGACACGTTGGGTTTCTTCGGCGGTGCTGGATTCAACCAGGTCGATTCAATCGGTTTGACTGCTTGCGGGCACACCATGGGAAATGTCCATCATGAGGGTTTCCCCATAGTTGTTGGGCCTGACGCAGTGTCCGAGAACAACACCGGCGGCGGGATCCATTTCGATAGCACTGTTGCTACTTTCGACACTTTAGTTGTTCACGAATATCTTAATGGCACCGGGAATGCAGGAGGTCCTCTCGTGACCTCTTTCAATGTCAGCTCTCGAAGCGATCTCCGACTCTACGAAAGTGACAACAATGCTACAATGACTAGTCTTGCTAATCAAGGCAACGGCTTCTTCGATACCTGTGTAAATTTATTTCAGCGGATGCTCGATACTGTACCAACTGGCGTTGTGCTTTCAGATGTCATCGAGCCAATGCCACTTAAACCTATCAACGCAACTCTTGATTTCGATAATGATGGCAATCTAATATTTACTGGATACATAAGAGTTAGCAGCACGTCTTATGTTATATATCGATCAAATAACTAATTCGCAACAGACCCTCGCTACTGGAACCTCAGCCGCTCCGCAATCACTAAACCTCACCACTTCTCTCGACAAGCAGGGTCTCCTTCTCACCCCTGAGTCGGAAACCGGTTCAAGCATTTTCGGATCCACCACTTTCTTCCCATTCAGCACCCAGATATCAAACCCAGAAGCCTTCACCTCATTCAATGTTTCTGCTCCCGGTATCTCGTCCCAGAGCTTCCCTGTGCAATCAGGTGCTTTCGTCGTGCCTTCCCTTACCACTGTAACAACAATCCACAACACCACCGCCACGGTGGCCTTTTCCGTCGCTACGAGACAGGGCTATGTGGGTCGGATGATGAAGAGAGATAATTCGACAGCGCCGAGTGTCAGCATTCAGGCGCCGGTTGCGCAGGTGGGTACGTTGGGTCCTCGCATTGAGACATTTGATGATGTAGCTGTTACGAGCGTGGCGCAAAAGGCGGGGTATTATGTTTGGGAAGGAAGTGTCACTGTCGAAGATTGGACTTTGGGACCTCTTAGCATAAGTGTGCTTAATGAGAATGGAGATGAGGTGGATGTTGCGATGGTTGACTGAATCGTGTTATCGCCGCTCATTGATAGGATGGCGATGACAACAGATATTCAGTCTACTTCATAATACCTGAACAACTGCTTCAAACATCTTGGTTGATTGAAATGTCCTGAGATGGACATCAGTTCCAAATCCTAACTCCCATGGGGCAGGTCAGAGCCACGAGAATATTTATAAATACTTTCAATACAGGGCAAGATTTCTTGTGCATGTATCACTGCCATGTTACCTCAGGGGGGAATGTTGAAAGCAGCAGTGAAAAGTGTCTGTAGTATCAGTGGTGGTAGAGTTGACGAGGTGGCGTTGATTTTAAGTATTGACATTGACTTTCATACTCACTACATGATCCCCAATCAACGCCTAGCATTATTTCAACCCCTCCCCCCCGTACTATAACTGGTAAATCCGCATTTCCCCAAACAGCTTCCCTAACGCATTTCTTCACAATCTACAACCCAATAATTAGTAATGCCAAATAAACAGCGAATCTATGCATAAGCGCCGCTACATGTTCCCCCACCATGAAGAACCTAAAAGCGCTCATCAAAAATGATATCAAGTAGTAAAGCCGAAAGACTTCATCTTTTTCCAAAGTTGTGCCCAGAAACCCTTCTTCTTTGTCCGCACAGTGTCGAAAATGGCCCGGTCACTTAAACCCTGCGCTTTGAGCCTAACAACCTGTTTCTTCTGCTCCTCGCTCCAACTCATGATTTCCTCCTCCGCGGCTCGCTCTTCCTCGCTCGGCTTGTGGCTGTCCTCCAATTTTTTCTGTTCTTCTAACGCGCGGACTTTCGGGCTACGTGCATATGCATACTTTTTCCTGATCGTCTTGGGGTGGATGTCGAGAAGAGGAGCGCGGTGCGGAAATGTTGAGTGGTGGGTGGATTTCTTGGACTTGCGTGTTGGGGGGTGAGAATGGTTCGGCTTGGGTGTGCGAAGAAGCTTGGTAGGCGGGTTGGAGGCATGGCGATGTTGGGTTGATTCTGTAAGGCGTTGATTGCTAGAAGGTGAGAAACTTTAGGAGTAAGAAGAGGGGTTCTGTTCTGCCTTGAATCGAAGCTGACATATTCCTCAGCCACCAATATATACCCTGCACTAAGCCGCGATTTTATCTATGGATTGTTCAGATGTTTCGATTCACCGAATAGCTATCATGTCGAATCAGCAGCGGCAGGTTGCAACTTTTTAAGCCAAGGCAAACCATCGCATATACTACTGTAGTTCTCACATTCGTCTTATCTCATCTCGATATATTTTTTCAGGTGTGGCTAAGTTCTGTCCCACCATAAACCAACTGGACACGCCTACAGTACATATTCCCATGCCAAAAAGCGAGTACCACCAGGGTACTTACAGGCCCTTAGACTTGCCCTTGTTATTTGAAGCACTTCAAGATATGCTAGCCAAGCAATTAGCCTCTCTGTTTCCAAACAGATTAAGGTACGGCTGACTACTGGTACTTTGTGTAACACCACACAGCATCAACCAAACAAGCGACATTTTTATTTTTTCGAATGATGTCTTCTCCCGAGTCCTGAGACTACAGTTACAGACAGCTTTCTCATAACTATATAATGCCCAAAATCTATAGAAGGAAGTTTAAGAACTTTATTCCCCTCGCCGGATATCAAAGACTGTAGCACACCTCAAATATCAATAAATGCCTAATAGCTTCCAATAAACCCACCAGCTACTTAAAGCTAGCCTACGACCATTATTATATCATGTGAATCGACTCCCGCTTCCTTCTTTCCTTCCTCCCTTCCACCAAGAAAATACCCCGCTCGCTCTACCTCCATTCACAACCCCTTTCTAAGCGAGCCCTTCGAGCTCCCCATAATAAATCAACAGAACCACGCAACCAACTTTCTTGGTATTTATTTCCCCCTTTTAGAGTGCGAGCATATGGTTAGAGGTGGCTAGATTGTGTGCCATCTCTGAGGCTAAGTAAATGTTCAATGCTAATCAATGCCAGCCCACTATCCTCCGTCCCGAAAGTACAGAGACAGGTCCGGAAAGAAGTCACAAAGACCGTCGTTATGAGTAGAATTGTCAAATCTAGTCAACTCTCAACATAAGTTAGAATCGAATCTTGGGAAAATTTCATAAATGCTAATATTAGAACAGCTTTTCATTATCCCTACTTCCTTTCGCTCAACTGCAGATTGCCAACGCCGAGAGATAGACGCTCTCCATATCATTCATAACCCGACATGCTCCATCCCATGTGAATATCATACAGCCAAATAAAACAAAACAAATCCCATCACTTAATTCTCATCAGCCCACTGCTCGATCCTCTCAATCAAGTCCGGCTTCCTCCCACTATTACTCAAGCCCTTCGCCGCCAGCAAATCCTTCAGTTCCGCAACAGTATGCTTAGCTAGCTTCCCAGTACTAATAATTTTCTTCAGCTCATCGTCACCCACATTATCCAGCCCCTCCGTCTTGACCTTTTTCTTCACCGGACCGTCCGAATCAGCTCGCTCGTGCTTTGCGCCTGAGCCATGCTCTTTCCGGTAAACATTGGTCGCCTCTTCCAGTAGCTGGCCCCAGTTATGTATGTACTCACCAGCGCGCTTCTCTACTTGGCGGTATTTGGGTACGGTTTTATCTTCTGGCGTCTCGGGGATGTCTTCTTCTAATGCTATGGCTTGGAGAATCTTGTAGTGCCATTGTAGGGATGGATTGGGGTATTTGCTTGGGTCGTAGATGCCTTTCGGGAGTTGCAGTTGTTTTATTACTGTGCGCATTTCGTTGGTGAGATTATCGGGGCTGAAGACTTGTGTGAGTTGGTCTGGGGCTTCGCGGATGTCGTCGGCGAAGGGGAGGGGGTAGAGCCATAGTCCGGCAGGGTTGAGTTGAAGACCTGTGTTTTCGGAAAGGCGTTCCTCCGAGGGCAAGATGGCGACAATGGTCGGGCTCGAGTTTTGTCTGGCGATGAACCATGCAAGGCCCATGATCTTGTTCTTTACAAGTTTCTGCCATAGTGCCGAGAAAACACGGCTTGAACCAACAAAGCCTTCCTCACTGGGATATATGAATGTAGATTTCTTGACGGAAGCCCAGAATGGTAGCATCGACTGAGGTTTGAAGCCTATAATCCGAATGCCAGGCTTACCGAACGATCTCAACTTTTCCTGTTCCTCGGATGTGAACAAAATTTGAGTGCCGCCAAATTTGTAGGCTTTCTTGATTTCGTCCTTTTCAACGGGTTTGGTGTCATCGTCATTCAAACGAGCTGATTCCGGCTTCACTATCTGATTTGTTTCGCCTCCTTGGTAAACCCAGTCTTGCTTTGCCGGTTTTGCAGGCTGGAGAAGATTATACCCCTTGACCGAGATTTGGAACTCAGGACCAATCTCAAATTTCATGTTGGAGAAGAGTGCGCGTTTCGTAAATTGCTTGGAATTGATGTCTGAAATGAGGTCGTTAAGAAGGCTTATGCCATCACCACCAGCAGATTTGAAATCCCTAGGGGCTGTTGCCAAGTCACCTCCATCATCTGCTGGATCGCGATAGATGATGTCCTGCGATGATTAGTATATTTGGAGAACAGAGAAGCATTTACCCACATCGTAAAACTTTGTGCGGTCGAACTTGTGATCCGGATGAGATATGGGGAACAATTCAATGGTAACGCCCAAATCATAGAGATCCTTTGCCCGAACAGTGGCTGATGATCTCAGGGCCTTATTTGCTGAATGAGGGTCGTCCTTGTCTGTGATGATGAACAATCTTCTGGATGCAAAGTCCGGTGCCCCTCTAGTGAAGATTTGGTTGGCGCAGAATAGTAAGTTTGGCATATCAACAGGTTCTTCACTTGGCTTTAGCAAACTTTGAGCTTCGTCCTCATCTTCTACTATGGCCTTCAGGGCTTTGACATCCGCTGCTGACGGGACAGTAAGATCGGTCAAAAGGTAGCAGTGCGGGTATGTGACATTGCCATTGTCATTGTCATCTCTTTCCTCAAACTTTGATTTTTCAGTGCCAAAAAGGAGGACGCCCATCTTGTCTTTCGGATGTGATATTATGCGCTGTTGCATGATTTGGTATGCGCACTTGATGGCAGCAGCAGTTGCACTGTCGGTTTCGGATTTCTTGGAGTCGGAGTGTGGAGGAGGAGCGAGCATAGATTCGCTGACTTCGATTGCGAAGAGAACGGCATCTTTTTGGGTGGTGTATGCCTATGTAGGTATTAGAGCTGTTATTTCTAGGGATCTGAGTTGCAAACGGTCTCATCAACGTCTTCCTCGTCCTCTTCCTGATCGTCCTTGTTCTTCCAGCTTTCATTGCCTTCCGCCATAATGTCTGTTGGGAGGATTGCGCAATCAATGGGAGGGAAAGAGAATTGCGAATGGCGAAGCGGGGTCTTCTTTTCTGTCCCTCAATCGTTATGTTGAGATCAGGCAGACAAACGCGCCCAAATCGCGCTGTGACGGGAGTTCACGTGATGATATTTCGCCCATCACATCAAGACACCGTCATTGGTACGCACTTTCAGTTTCCTCGGCTTTTCCACTCCCGCGCGCCATCATAATCCCTGTATATCTGTATATCCGCCCGCTGAATTCTAGACCCTTGAGCTTGCCCCAACCGTGGAGTAATGAACCTTCCCGTCGTATCACAATGATCTGCGAATAAATAATAACAACTTCCTCAACTTCTGTCTCTGGTCTATATCAAAAGAACATGGCTTTCCGAACCCCCATAAGCCAGCTCACCAAAAGAGCGTCACAGTCAACAATATCCAGATTGACAAGTACGCCATCAACTGCATTATGGCAAAGGGCCAATGCAAATCAATTACGGTCTCTTGCGACACACGTACCGCCAGTAACGCAAGATGCTACGAGCTCGAAGGGTCCCACGGCTATGGTTTTTATGAACATGGGAGGTCCATCCACAACGGATGAAGTTGGGGGTTTCTTGAGCAGACTCTTTGTACGTCACTACGGCCTCGGACACCTACAATGCTAACTACAACACAGGCAGACGGCGACTTAATTCCTCTCGGCCCACTTCAAAACTACCTTGGCGCCTTCATCTCTAAGCGTCGAACCCCCAAGATCCAGAAACAATACGCCGCAATTGGTGGCGGCTCGCCCATTCGAAAATGGTCCGAATATCAAGCAGCAGAGATGTGCAAGATTCTCGACAAGACCTCACCAGAAACTGCACCCCATCTACCCTACGTCGCATTCAGATACGCGAATCCTTTGACAGAAGAAATGTATAATAAGTTGCTGGCAGATGGATTTGGTGGTGGCAAGGGAGGCAGGGCTGTAGCTTTCACGCAATACCCACAATACAGTTGTTCTACGACTGGGAGCAGTCTGAACGAGTTGTGGAAGTGGAGACAAAGATTAGAAGGGAAGAGCGATGCTGCCAAGGCTGGCGACAATGATGGGACAATCAATTGGAGTGTGATCGATCGATGGCCATCGCATCCTGGATTGATTGATGCAATTGCACTTAATATTGAAGCAAAACTCGCTGAATATTCCGAAGAACAACGGAAAGATGTGGTGCTCTTGTTTTCGGCACACAGCCTGCCAATGTCTGTGGTAAACAGAGGTATGTTATTATCGTATTCTGATTATGTTCAGGTATCTGATACTAATGGGACTTAGGTGACCCATATCCTGCGGAAGTTGCTGCCACAGTTGCAGCTGTAATGACCAGATTAGGTCATTCTCACCCTTACCGTCTTGTATGGCAATCGCAAGTCGGACCTAGTGCTTGGCTTGGAGCTCAAACCAGTGACACTGTTGAGAACTACATTGCAAAGGGTCAGAAGAACTTGATTCTTATTCCAGTGGCATTCACATCGGACCACATTGAGACGTTGTACGAGTTAGATGAAGAAGTAATCGGCGAATCCGGACACAAAGACACGATCAAGAGATCCGAGAGTTTAAATGGCCACCCTGTGTTCATTGAAGCTTTGGCTGATATTGCGAAAAAGCATCTGGATAGTGGGGTAGTTGCAAGCAAGCAGATGGGGTTGAGATGTCCTGGGTGTAAGAGTGAAAGGTGTGCGGAAAGCAAGAAGTTCTTTCTGGGACAAGGGAAAGGAGAGACATTCGCTGTATGATGGTTGGAATTGAGGATTGTATATTACCTAAAAGGATACTCTGTTGTATTACGGAGTACACATGAGTGGGATGAAACGTGGTCGTGGTCCAGGCTGGTGCGATAACACAATATGCATCATCGCGTCACCACTTTCCTCTTTAGAAAAAAGAATGTAGAGCACGAAAGCGCGACCACGAATTATCTAATAAATACAAGAGACTTGATAGGAAGTTTATAATATCTGATGTTGGATCCACGCGTCTCGTTAGGCAACAATAGTCTCGTAAGGTACTCAATACCTTAAATTCCACCGCGCTGACAGGAACCGAACTTAAAGACGGCTGTTGACCCAATCGCCGGATTCTAAAGACCGAGATACTGGGAAAGAATGTACAGTACAGTATTATCAAGCACTAACTGAATAAGACAACGCACCATTTCTTGATACGCCCAAAATACCGTCTCAGCTCTTAAATCAAGCATCGATTGGTTGAAATGCGACTATGACGTAGTCTAACTATTTAAACCAGCCCAGCTCCTATATCCTTTTCATCCCGTCCTCCTACCCTGGTCTAGTGCATACCAGACCAGATCACCATAATGGATTGTACTGTACACCTGGACCGCCGCCAGCGGATCTTGCAATAACGACGACTTGCTTTGCCTTTACCTGCAGCCTGTTGATATATGAATGCAATGACTCTACGACTATAAACCTGTACAATATCTAGACACCTACGACAATTACCAGTGCATTGGAAGCTCCCTCCATGCGACACTCCATATCTATGTACTAGTTTCAGCGACGCTCACGATAAGCACATCCATTCTAGTAAGTAGCAGCCGATCCCCTCGAGATGGACGACGAGCATGAGCGACGCAATGGCAAGACTCCAGAAGAGCATTGGGGTGCACAGGACTCCTTGAAGCGTAATGCCAGTCTGCGCAAGACGAAGGGCACAGGCGATGATAATGAAGCGACTCCATTGCTGGGCAATGGGAACGGAGGTAGTGGAAGTGGAAGTGGAAGCAATGGTGTTAGAAGTGGTTCAGTTGATAATGGCAGTTCTACAGAGCTGGAATGGGATGGTCTTGCGGACTTTGAAGGTTTGCCCTGGTGGCGGAAACCATCTGTGAGTTTGCGTTGCGCCTGCTCCCAGCTGCTATTCGAGCTTCATAGCTAATAATAAGCAGGTTGGCTGGCTGATAATACCTTTCTTCCTCTTCGCCCTCGCAGTTGGTGGCATCCTCGTCCCGAAACTCAACCTTATCAAGTCTCTTGTCTGTAGAGAATACTTCATCGAGCAGTCCGCCCTCCAGCCCTCCCTCATCTTCGGACCCATCATCCTCGGCGACGATAACCCTCAATGCGAGATTCCTGCAGTCCAAAAGCTGGTCACAAGGTTCACGCTATATATGACCATACTCACTGGTGGACTAAGCGCTATTGTGGCCCCAAAACTCGGTGCTTTCTCTGACCGTTATGGGCGGACGAGAGTCCTAGTTATAACGTCTTTAGGTGGTTTCTTGGCGGAGATCATCACTATCCTCGCAGCTACCTACCCAGACAGTATTCCCTATCAGTGGATGCTCGCAGGTTCAATATTCGACGGCATCTGCGGCTCGTTCACAGCTGGTATGGCCTTAACCCACGCATATGCAGCTGATTGTACCCCGCCTCCGAAACGGAACGTCACTTTTGGATATTTCCATGCGTGTCTCTTCTCCGGCATAGCATTCGGCCCATTAATAGTAGCAATCTTTGTCAAAAAGGGCGGGTCCCTAATAGCAACCTTCTACGTCGCCATGGGCATCCACGCCTTCTTCATGATCTTCATCTTCTTCCTGGCCCCCGAATCTCTCAGCAAGAAGCGCCAAATGCTAGCCCGGGAGAAGTTTGCCGCAGAAGGTGCAAACATTGATTCAGATGGTTACGGCTGGGTGAGGAGTGCCAATATCCTCGCTCCCCTCAAAATCCTCTGGCCGACAGGCCCAGGCACTTCCAATCACCTCCGCGCAAACCTGATATTGCTCGCAGCGGTCGACACCATCATGTTCGCCGTTGGTATGGGAGCCCTGAGCGTAACAGTATACTACCTGGGCTTCCAATTCCACTGGAAAACCCCCGAAACCAGCGCCTTTGTCAGCATCATCAACATCGTACGCGTCTTCGCGCTCATTTCCGTATTGCCCCTCCTCAACTACCTATTCCGCACGCGGCGCGCCAACAAACAGCGGCGAGAATCTGGGTTCGCGATCCCGGAGCCGAATTCGGGGTCTGATAATTTAGACCTGAATATCGTGCGCGCGAGCGTCGTGTTTGAGATTATTGGGTATGGAAGTTATGCGATAGTGAGGAAGGGGAACTTGTTTACTGTAGCGGGGATCTTTGCGGCGTTTGGGGGCATTGGGAGTCCGACGCTGCAGAGTGCGCTTACGAAACATGTTCCACATGATAGAATAGGACAGCTGCTTGGTGCGACGGGCTTGTTGCATGCGTTGGCACGTGTGGTCGCGCCGACGGTGTTTAACATTATCTATGCGCAGACTGTTGATACTTTCCCGCAGGAAATATTTGTTGTGCTGTTTGGGTGCTTTTGTGTGGCTTTCCTGACGAGTTGGTTTATTAGACCGCATGGTAAGTTCCCCTTCTCTTTCTCGTCTCTTTTCATTACTTGCTATACCTGTAAGATACTGACATTCGGTTGATAGTCTACCTCGAAGAACCCGGCTCTGCAATAGGAAACTCGGAAAGGACTCGGCTTGAAAACGACCCTGATATTCTTGTCGACGAGGAGATTATCGGTGCATGACCTTCATTCATGATTCTTGTTCTATACATACACCTATCTTTTCTTGTGCATACCACATCTCTCTATTTCTTTTCTGTATAGTTTTCATTCATTCGTAGATCTTTTTGAACATACACGGTAGTCAGCATGAGGAGTTTTGGGCGTAGGCACGGTAGGTACTTTTGCATGCATGCATTTGACGACGGACGGGCTTTAGAGCTTAGATGACGAGGCGCGGTGCTATTAGCACGTACGCAGAGAATTGAACACTTTTAATTAACAGAGTTTCGAGGAAGCAAAGCCGCACGGCGTACAGTATAGTATGAAGGTCCTCATATCACCTAGCCGTCTGGTAATTTTCCGACTGGTGTGAAACAAATGGCCTTGAAACAAGATACCCTGTGCTCGGAAAGGGCTTTTGCAGTCAGTCCAGTACGCGCGATATCCGGGAGATGAGAGACAAGCATCTAGAAAATCTTTTTGTGAAGTTGTTTCATATAACTTAGGACGAATGGTTGACCACCATTGGTGGTGATTACCGTACTGACCGGGTAGATGAGATGAGGGCGGATCAACATGCTTTCCATTTGATTTGTCTTTCGCAGAATCATATGCTCTCGTAATATTTTCCAGAACCAGATTGCTTAATAAATAAGCGGCTTCTGTTATAGTAGCCCGGGTGATAAAACCCCGAAAGGACTTCTGAGCAGATGAATAAGCTTCGCTTTTTATTTAAGTACCCACCTAACATCACTAGATTGGTTGTCTTTTCTGAAAACGCTCGGGTTCTGGTTTAAATAGACGGTGGAATCTAGAGTGTAATTTTATGAAGATATGCTTGGATTTGATAGCTTTTCGATTACATAGGTTGGATTCCTTCAGATAAATAATTCCAAACTAGACATGTAAAGACGGTTTCATAGCAATATGATAACTTAATATTACGAGGTAAAATCCAGAGTCTAACAGACAAAAGCTCGTCTATTCCTAAAGTCACATAGCAGCACTATACACGCCGTATAATATACCGTACCAAGTTTGCCTACGCTTGTCAGCATGTCATGAACATCAAACATCTCAGCCTTCTCTCCCATCCCATTTCTCTAAAAGAGTAATGTTGAGCGATCATACGTTAACTGTGAATATCTCAACAGAAGAAGCTTAAGATTAAATCGTACAGGATATACTCTTTCGAGCTTCACGTGCACAGCCTCTTGGATCAAACGTTGTTATGCGAAGAATGCTTGCACGAAACCAAGCATTTAAGCGAAAGTCGTCCCGCTGCTTGGCGTTCAAACGAGTAAATCCTATTTTTGTACCACAAGGGTTTCCCTTAACCTACAGTAGTAACGCCGACCTAACAACATCATGTCAACATAACACTTCCAATTTGAGTAAGACACGGCAATTGAGTCAACAGATTCCCTTGATAACAGCAACTAGCAAACCCTAGAACCTAGTATAAAAACCAGGTTCACAGGTTGAAAGCTTGACGTTGTTCAAGCTTTCGTGCAGTAGGATTACTAGGGTGTTCGAGGGCTGCAGAAGGATGCAGATCAGATGTATCAAAGTCCATCCTTCGATCTCCCCTCCCAGTCCGGCCTACTCCCAGAGTCCACCTGCGAGGCTCACGCCGCCATTCGTTCTCACACAGAGTGCTGACTCCACAAGAGAGCCGCTTTTTGGTGCATTACCGTCAGCAGGGACCCTGCAAACTAATATGAGGAAGGGATTATGACGATATCGGGTACCTCTTGCGCGGCACGCCCAGTCTGGCCCTTCCTGAATCTAACTCTCCTGGTATAAGCCCAATCCGCGGCTCATGCAATCCATGAGGGTGTTCGTCCTATCTTCCTTCCCCACAGGTAGAATCCATTCTATGGAGTCATAGTACTTGACGGCTCGTGTTTATATTCCTATTCCCTGGTTGTTTCGTTCCTATTTGGTGGCAACTCCGTCCCAATGCTAGGTTTACATCCATGATCTACACAGGTAAAATCTGGCAGCTTGCTGTAAGCCTGTGTCTATCTGTTAAGATCTGTGGGGATTCGCTGATTGGCTTTCTTTGTTTTCCAGTCTTTTGAGGCGGTGATGCAGATTAAGAGGATGGATTGAAGGATGCTTGGAGGATTTTTTAATGGCAGGCTTGATCAGTGAGATGGTGTCATTTTCTTCTAGTGAAGAAGGTATATAGCTTCTGCTTTCTTCATTCTCTTCAACTCTCATCGGCATCAACAACTTCCTCTTGTTCCTTCCTCTGTTTTTCATACTCCAACTGTGAATACAGTCACTGTCTCTATACTTCGGATTCAGATTTCATATCCCACGTCCAGCATCATCATGCATTTCTCATACATTGCCGCCTTGGCGATCGCCACAACGGCACATCTCGTACGTTTCCTGTTTCTCAAACTTCTCCGTCTAGTAAACGACTAACACTCTACAGACACTCGCTGAAGATGACGTCCGCCCCCCAGTGTACCCCGGAAAGAATGCTACTCGTATATACCCAACTGGCACTGGAAAACCAATTGGTTACCCATCTGGCAGTGGAAGACCATTTGCTTCAGGCACAGGTACACGATTCACTGGAAAGCCAACCACGCATTCCTCGCACTCAGCTTCACACTCGACCCACACCGAAAAGGAGACCCATTCTACTACAGTATCGGATATCTCAGGTTCTACAAAGACTGAAAGTCTCCCAGTGGCAGTTGTTACAATATCGAGCGCTGCTAGTTCAGAGACTGAGGTCCCTGGCTATTACAACCCTGGCGGCCCGGTACAGATTGAGTCCTCCAGTTCTGAGAGCATCTCTAGCAAAAGCCGCGCAGCTGGAGAATCAACTAGTCACTCAACTACTCATTCCACTACTCACTCAACTGTTCGCCTAACTGATCTCCCAACTGGTCTCCCAACTGGTCTACCATTGCCCTATCCCTTCCCATCAGGTGGATACCCCCTCCCTGATAAGAACAAGACAGAAACAGTGCACCACGCCAGCGGCACCGTCCGTATCGGGCCAGTCGGCACCGGAATTCATGGCAAGCCCCCTGGAACCGGCGCCAGCTACCACCCAACCTCATTCGGAACTGCCTCTGGTGCAACTGCTACTGCTCCTGGCTACGGACCTCAAAGGCCTACCGCAGAGCCTTACGTGGTCAAGCGCGAGGACGACGGCGAAGATACCAACATCTGGCACTTCCCATCTGGTTTTGCCCCTGGGTACGCCCGTCCATCTGGCCATGCTCAAGAATCTGGCCATGCTCACGAATCTGGTCACGCACACGAATCTGGTCATGCACACCACAGTGGCGCTCGCCCATCAGGAGCTCCCAACCCAACTCACCACCTGCCATCTGGGTTCCTCACCAAGACCAAGACCAAGACCGAGACCGGTGGACCCGAAACGACCACCACCTTTTAAGCACATTTTCCTTTCCTCGCATGATATGATATGACTTGGCGTAGGTAGAAGGATAGATATATAGGAGGCAGCAATGATTTTTCATCTTGGTCCATTCATTCTCTTAACTTCTCAGTTCAAACATTTTTAGGGCAAGTACTACTGAGTACGAAGAAAAACAAAAACACTTTTGTAAGGCGTTTGGGTTTAGGTTTGGGTTCGATGGATGATGCGGTCGAGATGATGGAAACGATGCAATCTAAGTGCTAGATGCATTATACCCACTCTCATTAGCTAGCTGTTTGGAATGAAAGCAGGCTTTGATGACTTTCCATTTATAGATTCCTCGACATATTACCTTGTGAATTTGTATGACGAAATTTAATATTGGAGACCCTGCTCTCCACTTTTCAATCTGCACGCTTTTGCTATGATATCAAGACCCAAACCCCCAACCAGCTCCGCATAATTCCTCCTTCCTGCCATACAATATCCTTCACCACAATCATACAAAATCAACTCTCAAAGCATTTTCCAAGGTTCGGAACCGGACTCGGATTTGATAACAACCATCCGAGTTTACAGCCGAGTTGACATTAATTATAGACTCGCTTAAGGACTTTCACTAGGGCCGGGATTACTCCGTAAGGTACCTACATAGGCAAGTTTCAAAGGTCTTCCTGCGGCTCCTACGGTACTGTACGCAAGCTTTTTCGCTACGCTATTCGGGCGTACCGATCGAACTGTTATCAAGCGCTTCCTTTGTACCCCAGATACCGTATTTGCTGTCAGAAAAACACGTCTGCGTCTATTTCTGATGGCTGGGCCATTTTTCGGATATTGCGTATTCTTATAAAAGTATGCGGTCTTATAGAAAGTGCAAAGGTTAAGAGCTGTGTTAGACTTTGCATTTGTTAGCTTTGTATGATTTCTTCCTACGAGGCTTTTTGTGTAGATTGAGGCGGGGTGAAGTGAAGTATTCACTTAGAATGAGTGAAAGGTGTCTAGATCTTTGGAGTATAAGAGGAGCGGTAAATCTTCTCTGGGCAACACGGAGAAGATGGTTATTTGCCTCGTTACATGGTGGCAAGATTCTCGGTATGGAACCTGGTATGGAAGGTCTGCCCGACGTACAGTGCAGTCAAGGCAAGGTAAGCTTATATCTTCAGCTGTCCAGCTCCTTCCGGCAGAGATCTAGGAAGGTTGTGGAGATCAACTACGTTGACGTTCATTATTCGCTGTATCCATTCGTTCGTTCAGTCGCACAGTTGCTGTCAATCCTTTGTACACTTTAGTTCGTTCGTTCGATTGACTTAGACACATAGCACGAGGGTCTTCGCAATGCATAATTATTTAGTTCTTCGGCATATACGTATCGTTTATCACTTCTCAAGCATCATTGCCTTTTCCAACCGGTATACGTTTCTGGTGCTCCACTGCTCCTGGAAGTTCATGGGATTTAAATAAGGGAAGAATCAAGTTCACAACTAGCAATCAGGGATGGCCACGTAATTATGCTGCCATTCATTCATTCATCTCTTAAGTTAAGTACGTCCTTTCTTTGGGACTTATGTCTCAAAGATGAGAGAGCAACGTGAGAGCAAAAGGGTTGGCAATTCTACCCTGAGACGAGGATATTCAGGTGCCGAGATTTCGCTAAAAATCCTTAGCCGACCCCTATCCCTATCCAGCAGGACCTTCACTATCAATTTAGGGTATTTAGCAACCTCATCTCCAATTCTTGTATCTGATTAGCTTAAATTGAACTTCAGTTATTATAAGAGTCGTTCTGGCCGATTAAATCAAACCAAAACCAAGTTCCAAAAACTGGTATGACTCCTTTCCGTATTAGAAGCTTAAACAAAAACACCACACCAACCTCAATGAGGGAATTTCCAGCGCAGCGCAGTCATTTCAACCACGTCGCATTCTGAATCGACAGTCTCCTTCCGGCCGGCTTCGTATCACATATGGACATCAAACAACCGCACGAATTCTTACGGCAACTTTATACCCCAGAGCAGCAGAGCCCATCTCAACCAGGCGAATAGCCAGGCCGCGAACCCGCTCGCAAAGCCTATTTTCTTTTTTTAGAAACTGCTTCGATCAGCTCCATCGTTCAACAGCTCTTTCCCTCAAGCTCCCTGCCTTCCTACTGTCGCCTTATACTAGCCAATCTCAATCTACATGATCTGGAGATGTTCACCATATGCCATAATAGTGGTATATATAGTCAAGCAAGCAGTCATAGAACCGTACGCACGCGTACAAAGACGCAAAAGAAGATCTATATCCAGCCCTCCATCTGCATTAACAAAGGCACGTACGTAACATGTAACTTTCCCGTGCGTTATCTACCTTGAAAAAAAATCCACAAGTGCAACACTAGCCTATATATAAATTACAACGTTATACTAGTCCCGATCCTTACATACGTGATCAATTACATCGACAAGACTAAAGCAGTAGTCGGGGCCAAAAGTACTTCAACTTACAGCTCGCCTACGTTTAATTCGACGTGCTGATATTCGTTGGGAACGGAGCTCGCTACTAGCTAGGACTCTGCTATTATGGATTGAGCAATAAAATAGCAATATAGGTAGATCTATAGATGATATCTATGGTCTCGAGCCACGCCTACAACCGGGCACTAGCTTGTCTCCGTGTTCGAAAAACTAGTTTATGTGTGGTATACAATATATAAACTATGACTCTTCGAGACAGCATAGTACAGCACAGCACCGGTGACGAATGCAAGGGAGAATCCTTTGTGGAACAAGCTGGTGCGATGGGTGATATAAAACTAGTCACTAAGGTAGAACTTAGAAGGCTGAATGACATCTTGATAAGTAAGGCATTCTTTCATTCATTGCTCATGCCCATCGATCTATCTACAACCCATACTTATCCGGTCACTGTAAACAGCCGCACTTCAAACCAAAGCCATGCCAAGCCAGGCATCCATCAAATGTGATATTTTCAACGCCCGCCCACCCACCGAAATATCATATCTAACCTATCTCTTCTTTCTCCAAAACGCCATCCCAATTCATATCAAATCCGCTAGCCGCCTAGCATCCATCAATACAGTCACAACATTAGCAGGGCAGGGCCAGCCGCTCATTTCATAAATATCATACTATACAACGCCTAGCTCAAGCTCAAAAGCGGTTATTCTGACTCTAATTCTGGTTCTGTCCCCACAGCGCGTTGTGTACTTGCGGCTGCGTATCTATATCATCGTCCGACCTGACTGGCCGACTGGAATTCGCCCATTGCTCAGACGGGCTCGGTTGTTTCTGTTGCCTGCGCTCGGTGCGTAAGTGCTCGAGATACGCGTCTGCTTGCGGGGGCTTTATGTATGGATCTGGGATGCCGTGGGCGTGATATACTTCCGGTTCTATTGAGACGGCCGTGCCGATATCTGCGTCCTGCCGCCTGACGGTTCCGGGTGATGGGTGGATGCCTACAAGCCGGTCGGGATTTGATTCAGCATAGGCGTTGTATTGGCCACCGGAATTTATATCTTGTCCCTCCGCGTCGTATCTTTGTCTAGCTGGAACATATCCTCCAGCCTTTAATGGATTAGGCTGCGCGTGCGCTATCAAGCCGGCTCCTTCATCTCCTGGTAGAGGGCTCGGCATCCCAAATTTACTCCGCCTGAACTCGTTGGCGATTGGGAGATTGTCCGTACCTTTGTACCCATTACCCCCCTCCAACGCCATATCATTCTGGTTGTTTGGATTGTTGATATCGAAGCCGTTCTTGTATGAGGCATCGTTCTCGCGCTTTCTCACGCCGAAAACCAACCACTTCATTCCACGTGCAAACCCTTTTATCAAGTCCCAAGGGTTCATAGCATCGGCAATGGCTTTGACGCCCATGAATCCTCCCTGCTTGGGGCCTTGCGCATTGAAAGGCTCCCCGGATACAGGATATTTTGATCCCATGCTTCCTCTGGCGTATTCTTGCCATGGAAAAGCCCATTGATGCAAAAGCGCAAAGATGGCCATCTCAACGCAGATAAGCAGGGAGGGAATTCCAACCTTCAAGTCTGGATAGGCCAGTGTGCTTGTGGGTTTAATGACACCCAGAGCAGAAGATGTGAGAACACTGAGCACGAAACTCTGCCAAAAAGAGAGGAAGACTACGAGTTTGATGGCCGCAATCTTCAAAAACGGGCTATGGTCAGCGAGATCTTTCCGCAGCTGAATATAGAACTGGATCAAGCAGAACATGGCGATTGTGACCGCGACACCCTCAATAATCAGAATCTAAAGGGTTAGCTAAGATCTGAAACAAGTGTAGATGAACATACCCAGATATGCCCAAATACGGGCGAGTTGGAGGACTCGCAGTATTTGCCAAAGTATTGCGTGATAACCGCTGTAACTGTCATGGAAACCCTTATAAAACAGTATTGATATACTCCAGTCCAAATTATATTAAACCACGTCAGCCCGCTTCTTGGCGTTCTCCAGCATCCCCTCTCTCCACCGCAACACTTCTTTGCCCACGAAAGCGGCCATACCCATGGCTTTGGTTCGATACTCCGGAAGTATTCTTTCTGTTCATGCAGGTCCGGCGCAATGTAGTGGCACAGTAGGGCGAAGAAAGACGCGATCGCAAAGGCTTCGTAGCATTCGTAGATTACGGTGAAGTATATCGCGTGCCAGTAGAACCAGAAGGAGAAGAAGGACGCTATCGCATAGACGGGTATCATGAAGAGGATACGTATAATACTGTGCAGGTTAGCGCATATCCTTGGGATAGAGGAAGGGGACGTACTGTCTTTGCTCGTAAGGTTTCGTATAATGGATCGCATGCATCCAGATGAGGTAGAATGAGAGCAGCACAGCGATTAATGCAGTTCCTCCTGATATTACGAGACCTAGACCATGGAATGTTAAACTCCCCGCGATTTGAACTTCAGATGAGCCAACTATATCGCGTCAGCATTTCCCTTCCGTCTCCAAGTGCAAGAGATTCCATACTCAGCATGTCCTCCAGCGTCGAATTGCATGTTCCATTAATTGTGAGCATCTTTGCGGTCGTTGCTCATCGAACAAGCAGCCAGGGAGAACCTGCGCGAAATGGAGAGGTCGTTCCTTCGTATGCTTTGGCAGATTCTTTTCGCGCTCTTGTTTGTGTTTGTGTTTGTGTAGTATACAGAGTATTCGATCTCTGTCGTCGTCGTCGTTTTCGTTCTGCGTGTGGGGTGTTTCGTATGGATGATGCAGCTCTTAATTTCGTAATTCAAGGGTATCTTTCTAGTCTCGCACCCGCATTCCAGTTGCCCGTCGTCTCAGAATACGCCTCGGTCTCTGTAAAGGCTTGGATGATTATCGAAAAAATGCGCTTCGGGTTTGGTAATTCGTGAATGTCGAGATTGTATCTTTGTTCGTTGTTGTTCAGGGTTGAAGAGGTGAATCATACACTACGAGTGCAATGCATCGATACGAAGAGGGCGATATTGGTGGTTCACAGGTTGATTGCGCCTGTGCTAAGGTGTGGCTTGCCCTTGTCCTTGTTGCCCAACCGCCCCTTCCTTCCCTGCAACGAGGCCCCTGAGGCCACTCACTAAACTTCTGAAGCCAGGGGCAAGGGCAAATGACTGTACGAAATGCAACTTGGCTTCTCAAGCGCTGCCGACATACGCTATTCTACCCAATTAACAGCCTGATCAGCATTCAAACAGCCCCAACAATGGTCAAACTGCCGTGCGTGTTGGCCCGCACAGCCCTCCGCAGACGACGCCTCTTCGCCTCGACGAGATGTGCACTGTTTGAGGAAAGTAGATGAGTACGGTATCTGTGGCTGATATCTCACCCATCTCATCTCCACCGTCATGGCGGGGCGGGATGCAGAGAGATCGTGTTATTCTGGTCTCCCACTTGTATGTTCCTTGACTTGAACTGCGAACATTGCATTGCATCTTCCGCTCCGCGACTACAGCAAGAACTGCTACTGCTTGGCCGAGTTTGATGAGCTGGCGCTCGTGTTGGCGACCGTTTGGTGTCACCATGAAACTCATGCGATGAGAGCACTAGATAGAATACGAAATCATGTGACTGATTTTCTGTTTCTCAGGATCCTCCGCCTTGGCGTTGGGTGTTAGGCCACCACTTTTCTACCACCTAACGGTCCCTTGCGTAATTTCAACCTTATAAACGGCTAGCATAGGTCCCTTCCAAACCATCTGCGAAGCGTCTAAGAAAGGACGGGAACTTTTGGCTGGTATAGTATATACCTAGGTACCTACTTACCTACCGTATTTCTCTGCCACTAATATGTTCTCCACATAATATACTCCATCCCTTCATACTTCATACTTTTCATTACACATCTAAGTTCCAGCACCCACGCCTCACTCACACATGTAGACGTACACATACAATCGTATTAATCATTATACTACTAACGAATGCATTTATGCCCCGTCCCAATCTTTCTTGCCTGCCATCTAAGCAAAATGCAAAGGTGCCATATGTATCCCAAAACGCCAAACTCAACCATCCGCTTGATTCCATGCATGCTTTCAATAAGAATTAAGTGTACGCAAAGCATATCAAACATCCACGCCATGTCATGAACCGGGAGACTCCATTGCATTCCAATTCACCTATTAAACCCTCGCCAGTGTAGTGTAGTGCCCCTCATCTTATATACTGTATGATTCTGAACTCCGGAAGCAAGATTACATCTCAAGGACGGCCCCCTTCTTCTCTGCACACGTAAAAAGATTAATGTAGTTATTGCCCCTCGCGGCACACGCGAGCATCATCCGGTGGGGATGGAAGGCGGTGGCGGCGATTGGGGAGGGTGCTTGGCGTGCCTGGTTCAGGAAGCTGGAGTAGGGTTCTACGCGCGAGAGTTCTTTGCCTTCAAAGTTGAAGACTTTGACAGTGTGGGCGCCCGTACCACTGTTCTGATTAGCAAAGTGAAGTAGGGAGGGGAAGAAATTGCTTACACTGCAAATACTGGAAGATGTTCGTGCGTACTTGCCGTCATCAGAGTCTGATTCGTTGCTTTGATAGTGCGTAGAGGCTTATCCATTCGGATATCCCACAACTTCACTTTCCCATTCCTGCTCGCGGATAAGAGCTCCCGCTGGCCACCTCGTTGCATATGTACGCTCTTGATCCAAACGCGGTCCGTTTCGTCTTTCCATTTCTTGACCATTGCTTCTTGTGGTTTATTGCGAGCATCGAAAACTCGGATAGCGCCATCGCCGTAGCCAGCCACGAAGACGTTGCCCGTCATTTGGTCAGACGTAAGGGATGTGACGCATGAGCCAGATCGCGCATTGATGTCAACGATACAGAGTTCTGGGGCAGCAGCCCAGACTCTGATGACTTTTACGTCCCCCGCTACAAGGAGCTTGCCGGATACCTGTTGCCAGTCGAATACCATTCCAGAGTTGACACTGCTGGGAACAAGATGGGTCAATGCTCGCCAGGCAGAGGCAACTTCAATCTTCTTATTGGAATCATAGTTCCTATAGATTCTGATAACACCGTCCGAGGATCCGGTGAGTAAAAAAGCCTGATCGTCTTCGTTGATAAACTGTAGGTCACTGATTTTGGACCCTTCAGGGTTACCATTCGAAAATCGACATAATCGGTCCTGCTTCTTCCAATCCCATATACAGACGGTGTCCCGATCATCGGAAACGGCAAGGTGGTCCTCAAACTGGTGCAATGTCATCTTTGAAGGCTGGCTTTGGTTGTTGAAAAATCCGGCAGGATTGGTCCATTTGCCGGTGCCTGCAATTTCTTTTTGAGGTTGAGTCTCTCGCAATATAGCTTCATTTCGAGATCTGCGCCATAGTCGTTCGTTGTAATCAGTGCTACCAGGCTCTTCTGCCTCGTTCGGCTTCATTTGAGGTTCACGGAAATACTCGATTGACCACTCTAAGAAACTGCTTTCTAGAGGTAACGAAGGAGGAGTTGACATTTTCCTTGCCTGAAAACGCCCTGACATCGGCTCTTTAGCCGCGTGGTAAGTTCCAGGAGTAGATGCCGTGTCGTTCTGTTCAGGTGGGGGAGTGAAATCTGCAGTAGGGGCTCGAGATCTTAATGGAAGGGGGGTTTTGTGGGCGGTAGGGGATTTTGGCAGGTTTCGGCCAGCAACATCAACAGGCGAATTCTCAGCACTAGGCGCACCAAATGGGAGAGAGGTGAATAGGAAGCTAGCAGTCCGTTTGAGAAGTCCTGCTTGGTGATTTCCTGTTGGTGTCGAGTCTTGGCGCAAAGGTGTATTTGGCCGTGTGTCTGGAGGTTGCATGTTCGATACAGCTGTCTTTGCGCTGCGGCGGTTGAGATCATCAATCAACTTCTGAGCAGGACCGCCCACTGGAGAGTGTAACACCGCGCAGTGAATATAGTCGACAACGATGGTAGCATTACGTTGGACCTCAGGATGCGGGTCGACCGCCATTATTAGCACATGTTTCCAAACGGCAGCAAAGATGGAGTTGTGTGATACTCCGTGGGATGTGGCTTTGATTGTGCCATCCGCATTTCGGTTTTCCTGCCGAGCGTAATGTAGACCCATCTTGTGATCGTTTCCGTCGTCCTGGGGAGGATATTGCCGATATTCTCGTTCTTCTTGAAGCTGCTCGTAAGCAGCCACTATGAATTTGTTCTCGTATCGTTGAATGAATTTCGAGAAATAAACTAAAAGCTCTTTGCGAACCATGGCGTTACCATCATTAGCCATTTCCATGACGGTCCATGAGATGGATTCTTCAATTCTTGCCACCTCATCGGTCAGGTCGGGAATCCCCAAGAAAGTAGTCATCGCATAGAGCATTGCAGCCCGAACCTCGCAACATACATCTCGGACTAAAGTGCACAACTTTGTAGGTGCGTTCTCCCTAATACCGCGCCACTTCGCTTCTGGCAAATCATTCCACAGTTGGCTGATACATAAGCATGCCCATTGACGCAACAAAGGGTTGTCAGCATTTTGAAGATGCAGTAAGCAGTATGTCAAGATTTCTGATTGATTGCAAACGTTTTGGCCTTGCTTGTAGCCATTGCAGAGCATGGCAAGGATGAAAGCGCACATAGCTTTGTGCTCAAGGCTGTCAACGACTGGAAGTCCTTCATTTGGTTTCAGGATGTTCGCAAAATAGTTGTATCCTGAGTCCTTCAGTAGATCGGTCTGGCAGGTGAGGTCAACAGCGAGAACACGGGTCCAGATGAATACCATGACTGGTTTCAACTCTGTGGCAGCTGATTGCAGCAGTTTCAACACATATGGGAAAATTCCAATGCTCAGAGCGAGATTGACAGCCCAGGGACCTAGATCGAGGAACTTGCCCAACAGAATAAGGGCTCGTACTCGGTGTTGTTGGCTCAGGAGTACTTGCAGAACGACTGGAAGTTGATCAGGAGCTTTGTGTTCTACAGCGCCCTGTGTGAGGTAGACCTCAAATGCCGTGAGCTGCTCTGTAAAGAAGCTAGAGTTTTGAAACTCGTAATCAGGCCGAAGCCCTTGCTCTTTCTCCTCAAGCATAGGCAATTGCGCGAGAGCCATTTCAACCGCGAGATCCCAGCTTTCCCACAGAGGGTGCTGATGTGTATCTGGGAGTGCTGGATATGACTGGGGATGGCAGTTGTAAACACCCATGATGCGCTGTGCGAGGAGAAAGTTTCGAAACAACGCTGCAACCATAAGGTCTTGCCTAAAGAACTTCCTGAAGAGCGGTCGAGGTAACGTAGTCCAGGCTATTGTGTCGGTAATAGCAGTGAAAATCCAATTCAATTCTCCCAATGGTGTTCTTCGTTCTTGCAATCTTCCAGGAAGCTTCTTCGCTCGTTCAGGCGTAATCTGTGATGGCAGTGGATTTTGTAAGACGAAGAACCAAAGGGCCATTTCGATCGGTGTAGTGAGACATGATGTAAAAACATCTGCTGGGAGAAGAGGATTCGTGGGAAGATTTTCTTTCACCCCACAGGCTGCTAAATGAATATACGGCCTGAAGCTTACAGCAGGGTAGTCGGGATCCTTAGCTAGGGCATCATTCTCTTCTTGCTCGTGTTTCTCGACAAATCGATGGAAATTGCTGAGAATGTTTCCTGCATCGGAACAATCCCAAACAAAAAATGTCGGTGCTGCCAGCCAAGTTTGGAGATCGTAGAGGGAAACAGGAATGTACTGCGTGTAGTTCTTATTGAAGACCCAGATTTCGCCAGATCCCGTTGGTTTGGGTACACCATGGCCATTGTAATGGAAAAGTACTCTCTCGTCCTTCGCATTTCGTCGTAAAGAAACACAGAACTTTTTAGTCTCCTCTATCGAAGGATCTAAGTATTGTTTGTACCTTGTTCGTATCGCCAAGGTCTCGTACTGTGACTGCAGAGCTTTGCCAATAGTGTCGAGAGCCTTCTGGACTGGCGGGTGGGTAGGATCTTGCCATGCTTCCAACTTTGCTCCCGGTAAAGTCTTCAGTTGATCCGGAGGCTCAACACCAATATTTAGGCATACCGCCAGTGCCGCAGAGACAGTCTTCAGACGATCTTTCATTCTCCAGTCTTGAAGTTCGTAACCTACAGATTTTGGATTGCCGGTTGTCTCATGCCGTTTGTCCGTAAAGTACATGTACCAATTCTGTTCGGGGCCGTTAGCAAGTTGTCCAAAGTCAGGCATCGGCCATTGAGAGAGAGCTTTCAGGCGCTCAATTGCGAGATGCTGTGCGTGACTTCGCTCGTGATAATTACGGCGGATTCTATCAATTCTGCTGCCTAGCTGGTTGATTGGTATGGGATCTTCTAAGCCTTCCTTGGACCTGAACTCGAAGTTTTGAAGATTGTATATGTCCACATAGTCTGCCATCTTGGAGACTAGATGTGCACATCCAATATAGATGCTGTATACCCAAAAGGTGCTCCGTACTTGTAATGATGCCGTATTGACCTTCGGAGCAGCAAGATCCGGAAACGTACACTAATACGCCACTCCAAGATAGAGTTTATGAGTAGAGGAAAGAGCAACCCACATTTGCCAACTGCGAAACATATTCTTCTGACGCGTAGTGATCCTCGAAACCATGTCGTGCTCCCCAACCTTGCCAATCCTCCTCCGCCGGCGAATCGACATCTTCTCCCCGAGGTCCAAAGTCGCTTTTAGATCGCTGAAGTAAAGGTTTCGGTCTCCTTTTTATTCTGTCTACCTCTGAATCGTCTTGGGAGGAATCTGCAGTAACACCAGGCGCGGAAGTGGGTCGCCCCTGTGAGGATGTCCTACTATCTGCTGTCAAGTAGCCAGCGGGCGGAGGAGCTCTCCCACTTGCAGCTGAAGACCTTCTGGGGTCGCCATCCGATGTCGAAGATCGCTGCCCATTGACTACCTGGACCGGGTCGTTGCTCACGGCGGGTCTTGGGTTCATCGGGCTTGAGGTGCCGTTCTGTATCGGGGGTTCTTGTCGCTGTAGCTGTGAAGGCGCTGGAGAGATGTAGCTTTGCGGGCGAGATTGGTGCGGCGAAACATTTGAAGAGTGAGAGGATTGTCGGGGGTTATATTGTTGGCGGTGTGCCCCTCCGTGCTGCTGAACTTGTACCGCCGTCATCGTCATGCCTGGGAGAAGCCGCCCTTCTCGAGGCCCTATGGATTGTTGTTCATGAATGTTGTACGCTGGATCTGAGCCGGATGATTTGATTCAGAAGATTGTGTTAAAGGATTCGGGGATGCTTTGGCTCTGCAGTCATCAAGTTAGTCAACCGATGTCGTCAAGACAATATCGGGATTTGTTTTGCTTGCCTTACCGAGGGATCAAGAGGTGAACTCTGGGGGTGGATTTCTGCTTGGGTGTGTGAATATGCGGTGTACCGAATGCAAGAGCTAAGTGGCAGAACTCGTATAACGGTGCTTATTGCCTAGGTAGGTATGTTATGGACTGTACGGTAGGAGATGCGATGCTCTGCTTCATGAGGCTCTTACTCACTCACTCACTCACATGTCTCATCCGTGCCTAAGCGACCGGTGCAGCTTCGCACGGCACGATTGGTGATTCATTTACAATAAAGCTATGGCTGTGGCTGTGGCTGAAGGAGTGGCTGATTGTCCGAGATGGGACCGCAGGGTGGGGGCTAAAGGAAGGAGAGGGAGATCTGAGATGGAGATATTCCAGCCTTGGCCGAACCGAAGTTCTTCAGTACGGGTACTGTATGTAACTGTACGATGCACTCCGTAGCCCACCCCCCCTAGTATTTGGACTGCTGTACCTATCAAACACAACTACCGAATACGCTCACTACTTCGCCGTGTCACGCAGACTTTGTCAAACCTTGTAGCTTTTCCTAACCGCCGATTCAACTTGGTGCGCAGAAGACGGCCAATGGCATGCGCAAGTAATCAGGGGTAATGCTCTTTCGATACCCCGATGATGCAGCTGTGTTAAGTGAGCTCACATATCCTACTCTCCAACTCATGAGAGGTCAGGTTCACATACTTCGGCCGAACGTGTTTGCTTTTTACGTCGAATAGGGGCTCGGTATGCATAGGGGTATGATCAGAGACTACATCTTTGGAGACGCATACAGATTCCAGGTAGAAAGGAAGAAAAGAAATACCGTAGGTATCGTACCGATGCACTTTTCTTGGCTAGAATACCTTGATGCCCCAAGGGTACTAATATCAGTTATTATTGCTTCAAGAAGTTTGCCCATAGAAATGAGATGGCAATACAGCCCGTACTTTTACTAGGACCTTCCTTCATGTCATTACAGTAAATACGGTATAATACAGTGCTCAAAAGAGACAATGATACAAGAATTTATGTCAGTCATCTTAGCTGAAACATTAGATTCAGCTTATCGATATCGATAAAAAGCCTCAGATTTCTTTGCATGCTTCTGGACGTGTGTCTAATGCAGTAGTAGTGGGTGGGTAAGCATTTCTGGACGACCTTCTCCGAGCCTATAAGAGCCCTCAAGCAGCCTTCCGTTTTCTTTCCATGCCACAATAACTCCCTAACGTAGGTGGTGTATGCACCGCTAATCCGGGAGGATCCTCAGCGATTTATTCTGATCAGCTGGGACAGAGAACATAAACCTCGACTGGTATTGTAACACAAACCCCTCAGCCCGCAGAATCTAAATGAACATTGTCGACCTCTTCTCCAGATTCTGTTTCTGTTACCGAGATGTCTACCTACAGAGAGAGAGCATTTTGACACGAAACACGCATCATTGCCGTGTTGAGGAAGGCGCCCACTGTCAACTGAGACAGACAGGCCAAAGGTCAAAGCAAGGTCAAGCTCGCTCTCACTCACATAATTATTCAGGGGTATCCGGCTGGTTTTGGTGGAGAAGAGGCGGCGGTCGGGTCGGTAACTGCAGTTGAATCTGAGCTTGAGAAAAATCATTGCTGGTCGCTTTTGTCTGTAGAAGGGTAAAAGTGTGGAGGTGTAGAATTGTAGAATTTTAGAATCTCAAAATTGTATTCCCTTGTTCCATGCTATCCTAGCCTGGCTCAAAAGCAATCCGAGTGCTGGGTGTTGTGTCGGTACTTCTTATTGCATTGCTCGTCTTTTGCGGAGAAGTGCCAAGACCCAAATTATTTTGAAAAGGATTCTGACCCAACATCCTTGACCAGGGCCAGGTCAGGTCAGGTCCCGTCTACAACATTTCTCCAAATCTCACCAGGCTCAACTTCTCAGTCTTCACCCCAGACTCGTCCTCTCTCTTCCATACTCTCTCGGCTTCATCGTGGTCATTCGAACTTGCACACGCACGACAGTCGTTAATTCGCAGATCCCAGCCATTCCAGCCATCCCCACCCTATAATCCGCTCAGACGTGCGATATCCCCTTTCTCGAAACGACGACGACGACGGCCGAACTTGCTACCTTTCCATTAAGACGAAGATTTCGCACATTGAAGAATAACGGAAGGATCTGCTGCGCATTGGTATAGAGTAGGAGGTCGCCCGCCTCGAATGGCACGATGGCATTCCTCTTCAAGAGCAAGAAGAATGCAGACAAAGCCCAGGCCGCGAAAGATGGCAGCCCGAACGGTGTCGCTGGATCACAATCATCTCTGCAGAGTGCAAATGGGCGTATGAACGAAAAGAGCGCGGTGCAGCAGTCTTCGACACCTGGGAGCAGTGTAAATAATTCCTTGAACTCACTGCAAGGAGGTTCTACTGCGACACCGAGCCCTGAGCAAGTCAACGGCCGGCGAGGACCTGTTACAGAACCGGCACAAGATCTTCCTGTAAGTACATCAATCTACAACATAATATAGGCAATGCGCAAGGGGGAAATTCTCTCGATTGTGTGTTAACGTCCTCACAGCTGCGAAACGGGAGTGCGCCTGCCAGTCAATCAATGAATTCGAATCCCAATGCCTCCTTATATCCCTGGTCTCAGCGGAGGTTAACATATACTACGTCGCATCCGAGCCCATTCCCGCGATATGGCGCGGCTGTTAATTCGGTAGCCTCGAAGGAGGGCGATATCTACTTGATGGGAGGTCTAATTAATAGCTCGACAGTGAAAGGGGATTTATGGATGGTAGAGGCAGGAGGGAATATGGCATGCTATCCGCTCGCGACAACAGCGGAGGGGCCAGGACCTAGAGTTGGACATGCCAGTCTACTGGTTGGAAATGCTTTCATTGTGTACGGTGGAGATACGAAGATGGACGACTCCGATGTTCTAGACGAGACGCTGTATCTTCTGAATACCTGTAGGTTTGTTGATCTCAGTCCACGAATTATACTAATTGGGATTAGCCACCAGACAATGGTCAAGAGCGGTACCTGCAGGACCCCGACCAGCTGGACGATACGGACATTCGCTCAATATTATTGGTTCCAAAATCTACGTCTTTGGTGGCCAAGTCGAAGGATACTTTATGAACGACTTAGTGGCATTTGACCTGAATGCATTGCAAATACCTACAAACCGATGGGAAATGCTCATTCGGACTACCGATGATGGGGCAGGGCCTGGCATTCCTCCAGCGAGAACGAATCACTCTATTGTGACTTATAACGAGAAATTATATCTGTGAGTAGTTAAGGAGCGGCAGGTTGAGAAGGGACTAATTTCAATAGATTTGGGGGTACTAATGGTTATCAATGGTTTAATGATGTTTGGTGCTATGACCCACAGACTAATACTTGGAGCTCCCTCGACTGTATTGGATACATACCCGCCCCTCGAGAAGGACATGCGGCTGCGATTGTCGACGACGTAATGTATATATTTGGTGGACGAACAGAAGAAGGAACAGACCTGGGGGATTTAGCAGCGTTCCGAATATCCTCGAGGCGATGGTACACTTTTCAGAATATGGGTCCTTCGCCTTCCTCAAGATCAGGCCATAGCATGACGGCATTTGGCAAGCAAGTTGTTGTTCTGGCAGGAGAGCCTAGCACGGCGACGAAGGAGGCTCAAGATCTGGGGCTTGTCTATTTGTTGGATACAAGCAAAATCCGGTATCCTAACGATCAGCAAATACAACAAACCCCTTCCGGGGAGCGCGTAGCAGGTCAAAGACGGCCGAGCGGCGCAGACAAGAGCGGTATGGGTGCGAACCGAGGATTGCCTCGGGACGGCTCGTCCCTGCCTGAACCTAAGAGGTTTGGTGGACCACCACGAGAAAGCGTTATGGGCGCCGGTCCTTTCGGTCCTCGTGGTAATGGGACTGGGCAACCTGGGGTCAATGGCAATGATATCAATGGGGTTGCTCCTGGGTCTGCGCAGCCCCAAGGTCCACAACAAGGCCAGCAAGGCCCCCAGCAAGGGCCTCAGCAAGGGCCTCAGCAAAGTCCTCCGAACCAAGGCCCACCTGGAGGATCCAAGCTTCCTAGAGCATCAGTCGCCCAAGCTCCTTCCGGTCCACCACCTCAACAGCAAGCACCAGCTCCTCGCTCGAATGTACAGATTCCAAACCTACGAGGTAAACCACAAGGCAAGCCCGAGAGAGGGTTTGGACCAGCTGTCGATACTAGTGTACGAAACCCTGCAGCCGAAAATGCACCATCTCCAGTGCAACTTAGGACAATGTCTCCAGCTCCAAAGGAAACCCCCATCGCAAATACCATTGTAAATGGGCGAAGAACGCCAACCCAAGCCCAGCAATCTCAAAAGCCTGCACCTAACGAGAACGGCCCTCCTGTAAGCCTGAACGGAAACTCGACAAGATCCTCATCCAAGTCCAGACAAGGTCGTCAACAAAGCTCAGTTGACAGTACCAACGAACAATCCCTAACCCCCCAATCCTCGCTCAAGAATGTCACCAATCGTCAAACATCCCCACCTCCTAGTGGCAGCGCTCCAGCCAGACAGACTAGTAATCCACTTAGCCGCAAAGGATCTGCTCGTAATTCTCAGACTGTTGCTGTGCTGAAGGAACTAGACGCCGCAAAGAACCGAAATGCCTGGTATGCCTCTGAGCTTGAGCTTGCGCGGAAAGCTGGCTATTCTCCAAACCCATCGAGCAGTCCAATTCTAGATCAACGAGCAGCGGAATCGTTCGACGACGATGACAAGCCCTTGATCGAAGCGTTGCTAGCTATGAAACAGGAATTGGCAAATGTTCAGGCCTCGATAGACAAACAAGCTGTTCTTGCCGCGAAACAAATTGCAGAAGTTGAGAAACAACGGGATGCTGCGGTTAGCGAAGCAGTTTATGCCAAAGCCAAACTAGCGGCACATAGCGGCAGTCAAAACAGCACCCCTCAGCCCGACAGTGATTCTCGTGATTTAGGGATCTTATCGAATGATCGATCGAACGATATTAGCAGGAAACTTGCTGTGGCCCTAGCCGAGCAACAAGATCTGAAGAATCAGATTGAGACACTAACCACTGATCTGGATGCCGAGAAACGTGGAAGACAACTGGCCGAAGATACCGCAAATGCTGCGCAAAACCGGATGAGCGAGTTAGAGAATTACAAGCAGTCAAACTCGTCGGAGGTTGAGCGCTTGAAGGCCGAGTTATATGAGGTCACGACCAAGGCACGGGATGAAGCAATTATCTTAGCCGAAGCTGTGGCCGCATCTCAACTTATTCAAGTCGAAAAAGATGAGCTAGAAGCGAAGTACAATGAGTCTGTGGGGTCGTCGAAAGACCACAGTGACACTTTCGAGTCTCTTAGAGAAGCCGTTTCTTCATCTGCTGACATGAGAAATCTCCTCGAACGCAAGCTTGAAGAAGAACGTTCCCAGCGAGAAATCGTTGAAGGGAAGCTTAGCAAGCTCAGGGCTGAACACGAAGCTCGTACATCTGAGTTGGAGATTGCTACCAAACGTCTACAAGATGCGGAAGAACTGGTAGAACAACATGCCAGTGAGGCTCGCACTCATCGACAGGCGGTTCTCGCCGGCCTTGATAGGGTTGCAGCGAGAAACGTAGGCTCTAATCATTCTTCCAACGACGAGCGATCTGCTGCGCTGCAAGCTCAAGTCAAGTCTGCGAATGATTTGGTCCGAAAGTACCAAGCCATCGCTGATACCGCTTCTGAGAAGTTACGTAGTGCTGAAGAGCGGATTGCTGGTCTGGAAGCTTACCAAGAGCAAGCTAGCCGAGAAGGCATGTCTATCCGCAAGCAACTCCAAACAACTATGCGCGAGATTCAAACACTTCAAGCTGCAAACTCAGACTTGAAGCACAAACTGGCCAACCAGCAGTTGGAGACGAACGCCGTTCACGTCCAGCACAACACCTTGAAAGATATTTTGGGCGAGCGTGGCATCAGCCCTGGTGGTGCAGCTCGGGCACGTGGCATCAGTCCTGCTAGTACTGCTCGTGCACGTGGCCTTTCTAGTCCGCTATCTGGAGCCAACACCCCTGATCCAGCTCGCCTCCGCGAACTCGAACAACAGCTTGTAGCTAGTAACCAAGCTCTTCAAGAAACAAGGGAAACCTACGAGGGTCGCGAACAGCAAGCCGAGGGTGCCTACCGAGAGAAGTTGACGCAACTTGAGAATGATTACCAGTCCGCAGTACACTATGTCAAGGGCACCGAAAAGATGCTTAAACGCATGAAGGATGAGTTGGCGAAATACAAGTCGGAGAATACGCATATGAAGGAGCAACTGCTTGAAGCAGATGAGGCCGTAGCTGCGAAATCAACAGCTCCATCTGCTTGGGAAGAGGAGCGATCCTTATTAACCAAGCAGATTGATTTCTTACAGGCAGAGATGAAATCTTCAGCATCACAACTCGAAGCCCAAATGGCACAAGTGCGGAACGAACTAGCAATCGCTCACCAAGAGCGCGACGATATCAAGGAAAACCACGAGGAGATGTCCCGACAGCTATCGGTCACAACGCACCAATCACGATCTGACCTCGCGCAATTACAGCAAGAGAACGCCCTCCTGGAAAAACGTGCTCAAGATGCCGAGCAGAAAGTTTCATTGCTACTCGACCAAGTCGAAAGCTCGGTCGATAACTACCGTCGTCAGTCCCGGCAAATTGAACCCGCCAACTCCAATGGAGGTGGAGCAAGTGGAGCACCATCCCATCAACGTACACTCTCCACTTCCGAAAGCGTATCGGATGCCTCACTTTACGGCGCCGACAACCGCAACTCCATGGCCCTCGACAGTCTCGCCAGCGAACTCGAAACCTTACGCACACATTGGGAAACCACAAACAAAAATTACCGTTTAAGCAACGCGTTTGATTACGATGATCGGCCAATCCTGCCGAAGCTGGAGGAGGAGAAGGATGTTGATGTGGGGAGTCTTAGCGAGTGGCGGAAACGACTTGATGCGGAGGAGGAGACGAGTAGGAGTCGCAAGGGTAGTGGTAGTGATGGGGCGTTGATTCCTGGGATAGGGAAGAGGGAGATGAGTCCAAGTGGGAAGGAGGTGGGCGGGGCTGCGGCAGCGAGGGAGAGTCAGGTCAATGTTATTTGATTGACCTGAGGTCTTCCTGGCTGGCACAAAGACGTCAAATTGAATGGGAGAGATGGGGGAAAGGGATGAATAGTAGTGCCGCCGAGCCACGTTGCATAAGGCTCAAGGATGGCATTGATGCTCATGCAGGTGCAGAGCACAAATTTTTCTTCTATTGATTGCTTACAACTCATTAGGGCACAGGCGTTGTTGGATTATACTTTTTGTTGTCCCCATATTAAGTTCATTCTTGTTGCTAGGTTACACTTTCTGCACCCTTTTCTTTCGTTTGCGGAATTGGGATGGGAAAGGGATGGATGATGAACGATTGTGGATTGTTTTTAAGTCATTCGTTTCCTTTTTTGTATTGTGCTGTACTGTGATGTGCTGTTTGTTTGCATAGGCGCGCATGTGATGGATGAAAAGAGAAATTAATGTACAATATGTGAGAGCGTCAGAGTGTCAGAGCGTTTGCAGATGAGATAGCGTTATAGGGGTGGATGAAGCAGGAGGTAAGGAGAATTGGGTTAGGAGAATCGATGGTGTTACTACCTACCAGGTGATTCGTGTATAATGCTTGTGGTGAAATCATGGATGTGATAAATAGAAGGATCGATACATTGACTTTTGCTATTGCTAGGACTTGAATCGATATAGATTCTTGATCTGCATCCGCCGATATAATCGTATGATTATGCATATTGAATACATGGAAATAATATGATAATCGTGCACCTAGAGGAAGCCTTACTTAAATCAGCTGTATTGGGTTCCAGATTCCTATCCCCACAACTGAGCACTCAGCCTTGTCCAGCCTTACCCCTCGCTAAGCGAAAATCTTTTTAGCGCACTCGCCGGAACATGAGCAGCATGACTCCACCCCGCCTCACGTTGTGACAACACCATCTCATAATATAAGAGGGCTTCAAATCTCACAGAATCCCCTGTGTCTCGAACATACACACACATATACATACACACACGCAACTCAATTAATTGACCATCATGTCATCCTCCGAACCCGCCAAGGAAGTCCCCACCGACCCCGCCATCGCACCAGGCGGTGGTGAGGATGCAGCACCCTCCAAGAAAGGCGCAAAGAAAGCCGAGGCCAAAGCCAAAAAGGAAGCCGAAAAGGCACGCAAAGCCGCTGAACGTGAAGCAGCAGCCGCAGCCCAATCCTCCGCCGCCGCCGAAGACCTCGCGAAAGAAAACTACGGCTCCTCACTCCCCTCTACCAAAATATCCGCGCCCTACATCCACCTCCGCGACATCGCCGAGGAACATGTTGATAAGGTTGTGCAGCTGCAGGCGTGGGTCCAGAATTCGAGGGCGCAAGGGGGGAAAATGATGTTTGTGGAGTTGCGGGAGGAGGGCAATTGGGCGGTGCAGGGCGTGGTGGCTGCCACTGCTGATGGGAAGGGCGTTAGTAAACAAATGGTCAAATGGGTTGGGGGAGTGAGTCTGGAAAGTTTTGTGCTTGTTGAGGCAACAGTCAAGAAACCTCTTGAGCCGGTCAAGAGCTGCAAGGTTAGCGAGTATGAGTTGCATCTTAGCAAGATCTATGTGATTGCCCCGGCGCCTGAGAAGTTGGGCATTACGTTTGCAGTTGCGAGTCGCGCGGTGGGAAGGCTGGATGAGGAGGAGGTTGAAGGTGTTGAAGGTATGTGAAAGGGATGGAAGAGACGGGGGATGCGGCTAACTAGGTGTAGATCTTGCTATTACGGAGGGTGCCCCGACTGCTAGTCTGGCTACGCATCTTAACAACCCAGCCATGCATGGGCGTGCTCCTGTTAGCCATGCTATCGACGAGGTACGAATTGCGGTTGAGGATCTTTTCTGCGATTATTTGAAGGCTCAGGGCTTCAAGAGGTTCCACCCGCCGAGCTTGATTGGGGCTGCTTCGGAAGGTGGTGCGAATGTTTTCAAGCTTGCATATTTTGAAAAAGAGGCGTACTTGGCTCAATCACCCCAATTTTATAAGCAGTACCAGATCGCGGCTGGAAAAAAGAGGGTTTTTTGCGTCGGACCTGTTTTCCGGGCCGAGAACTCAAATACCCCTAGACATATGACGGAGGTGAGTCTATAAGCGGACTATTTCCAATCGTCTTGAAACTTTCTAATACACATATAGTTCATTGGCCTTGATATGGAAATGGAAATCCAAGAGCACTACCACGAAGTTATGCACATGCTAGAAGGTGTTCTCCTGCACATTTTCCGAGGCCTTGCAAAAGATTATCGCAACGAGATCGAGCTCATCCGCTCCGTCTACCCGTCCGAAGAATTCCTACTCCCAGAACCAGGCAAAGAAGTACGTCTCACTTTCGCTGAAGGCCAAGCCTTGCTCCGTGCCGAAGGCCCCCCTGAATTCGCCAGTGTCACCGATGATGAGGATATGAGCACACCTCAGGAAAAAGCGCTTGGAGCACTGGTCCGCAAGAAGTACAATACCGACTTCTACGTCCTTGACAAGTTCCCGGTCGATGCGAGGCCCTTCTATGCTTTGCCCGACCCCGAGAATGCGAAAGTAACGAATGCGTATGATTTTATGATGCGTGGGCAGGAGATCTTGTCGGGAGGACAACGTGTGCACTTACCGCATGAGCTGGAGGCGACGATTCGGAGCAAGGGATTGGACCCCAACCAACCTGGGATTAAGGAGTATGTTGATGTATTCAGAAGTGTAGGCGTGCCACCGCATGGAGGTGGAGGTATTGGGCTCGACAGAGTGGTGGCGTGGTATTTGAACTTGCCTACTGTTCATCTCGTCGCCGATTACCCGCGGACGCCCAAGCGGTTATTCCCTTGAGCTATTTACAACAAAGCACTTTAGAGCTAGAGACATTTCAACGGCGTGTGACATCCCATCCGTTGAATACTGGACTAAATGCTATACCATACTATCCGTACTCTCGCTGGCCCTTGCCCTGCTCGTTTCAAAATGTCCTACCTCCGTATTCGAGCCAACATGTTGTTCCTCCTTAGGCAAAAACTCTTTTCCCGCACCATGCACCTTCCTAAATAACCAATCAGCATATCGTAGCAAGCAATCAAAATATAGCTTCACTCCCTTACTACAGGGGGAGTAAAGCCTGCGCTTAGAGAGACGCTAGACGCGTTTGCGCCAGTGGAAATCTTGGCCGCCATAGCAATCTTCTAGTGTTGACTATGGCTGTATACCTTCTCCTTAAAGCTAGCGGATCGTCCCATCTTCGCAGTTAGATGATCTTCTAGCTCTAAGCAGAAGGCGCATATCTTTACAGTACTCAAACGGTAAGCATTTCCTCTGGATAATACTTGGCTGACGGGGACAGCGGGCGTATAGCAGTATCCTCAATTTGCCACGGAAATTTTATATAAGAGAGCATTTGCTCAAACCCGTAAGTTGGTTCAGAGATCTACTACTGTATATAGACAATTCTCAGTATGCGTATCTCAAGCCCCGGTCTCACGGGATCTTTATCGATCACATATCTCATACAGCTCAGCTCATGCAGTCCCACAGGGCTCTTTTCAACTCGAGATGTTTCCATTGCTGAAGCGCCATCAGCGCAGCAATTCAGTTTGACGGCACATCCCAACCCCAATGTCTTGAACAGCCCAGCAAGACAACGGTGGGCCCACCACCCTCACAACCCCCACAGTGGCAATGGAAAAGGAAAAGGCAGTGAGACGGTTAATACTATTTTCGATGGTGTATATCCTGTTTTGAACCTCACGTGGCTCGGGAGCAAATCTCAAGAATTCGTGGCTTTTATCGATACCGGCAGTTCGGACACATGGTTTGTGTCTGATGAATTTACTTGTATTGATCCCAACACGAATGCGGTGGTTTCCCAAGAGACTTGTGCTTTTGGGCCGGTGTACAATGCTGCCGAGGGCTCGTTCACGAATATAACATCTCAGGAATTCGCCATCAGTTATTTTCCCGAAGCCGAGGCTTTGAATGGCTCAATGGGTTACGCACCCATCAGTATGGGTGGTCTCAAAGTCTCGAAGCAAGAGGTAGCCTTGGTCAACTCAGCAATGTGGGAAGGCGATGGGACTTCATCTGCGCTCGTCGGCTTGGCGTATCCCGCTTTAACCTCCGCAACTTATCGCAGTAACGGGAGCCAAGCAGTCTACGATCCAATCTTCACGACTATGGTCAAAGAAGAAATCGTGACAGATGCCGTCTTCACACTCGCTCTGGACCGAGTACCGCAAGGTACATCTCCCGCAGCCAATGCTGGAACCATGGCAATTGGCGGCCTCGTGTCTTCCAAATACTACTCTGCGCCTTTCACGACCGTGCCCATCGAAAAGCTGGCCAGCTCTTCTGATCTGACGGATTTTACTTGGTACATCACCACGCACGAGCTGATCTATGCTCTCAAGAACGGGACGCATGTGTCTGGCGGCACGTATCAGAGTATTGTCGATAGTGGCACGGCGCCGAATTTTGTGCCCAGTGCTGCAGCTGCAGATCTGAACGCCCAGTTCTCGCCGCCTGCCGTTTACAATGAAACGCTCGAGTACTGGATCGTGGATTGCAATGCCACGGCACCGTACGCGGCGTTCAAGATCGGTGGTAAACTCATGCCTATGGATCCGCAGGATATGATCGTAAGGAGTCTGAATGGACTGCCGGGGTACGAAAACGTGTGTTTCTCGGCTTTCGCTGATGGCGGCGATCCGAGTGAGGATGTCATGATTATTGGGGAGGTGTGGCAGAGGAGTTATGTTATTGCTTTTGATGTTGGGGGTAGCCAGTTGCATTTTGCAAATAGGATTCCATATTAGGATTAAGTTATGTATTACTCTTGCCATGTATATCTGTGCATTCTGAGCCGAATCGCAATTAAACGATTTGGACGACGCCCGGCCCCATCCATACCGAGCACCCCACTTTGGATATACTTGCGCTGAGTCAGCACCCAGCTTAACAATACAATCTCCTCTGATGACTCGATCAAAGATCCAAAACCTCACCTCTTATTCCATGACCGAATAAGTACATAACTCAGCCATCGGTACCCTTTGATATTGAATGAAATCTACCTCATTTTCCAGTTTAGAGAGAACAATCACCGGGCGTGAGATCGCCCAGCCAAGCCTCGCGCCTTTCCCCCAGGCTGCAACCGCATACGTGCTCTGTACCTTGTCGGGCGACATACCGGCACAACCTTGCAATTCCAACATATTTATATAGCTCTCCTCTATTTATTCTTCCCGCGCAACCTCAACCAAACACCAAATATGGCCCCTTCAACTGGGCACAAGCCCTCAGATGAAAACACACCCCTCCTTGCCGCTGACCCACTGCCCATCTATGAAGAGGCTCTGATAGCAGAAGAAAGCATTGGGGATGGAAACGGAATTGGCGTGCTCAAGTCCAATGGCGAAGGTGATGGTGGTGAGGAGGAAGATAAACCATTACCGAAGCTACAGATTTTCTTGCTGTGCTTCGCACGCTTGATCGAACCAATTGCTTTCTTTGGCATTTTTCCCTTCCTACCAAAGATGATCGAGGAGACGGGCAATTTAGATGAAGAGGATATTGGATTTTATTCAGGATTCATTGTATGTTTCTCCCCTGATTTTGGACTTGAGACGTGGGAAACCGCTACATTCGTGCCTAAATATTTCTCTTCTTTTTTGATCCGAAAGGATGGATGATCTGATTTTGGAGAGTGCTAATTTCGATAGGAATCAGCATTCTCTTTCACGCAAATGCTGCTCATGATCCAATGGGGCCGAGCCTCGGACCGTGTCGGTCGAAAACCTGTGCTCGTGTTTTCATTGACAGGAGTGGCGATCGCGACGGCTATTTTTGGACTTAGTAAGAGGATATGGCAGATGGTGTTATTTAGATGCTGTGCTGGGGTCTTTGCAGGGACGATTGTGTATGAGCTCTTGCCCAAACGTATCAGATAATGATTTGGGGCTAATCAGATGAATTTAATAACAGGACCGTAAGGACGATGCTGTCCGAAAACAGCACGGCGAACACACAGGCCAGAGCGTTTAGTTTCTTTGCTTTTAGTGGAAATCTAGGCATTTTTCTAGGTCCTTTGATCGGTAAGTTATCAATCAAGCTGGGAGGAAGTATTTGTAGGTTTCAGCTAACCATTATTAGGTGGTGTTTTTTCTACACCTGCGGAGCAATGGCCCAGGATATTTGGATCCTTTCAATTTTTGAAAGATTATCCCTATGCTTTGCCCACCTTTATCACCGGTACAATTGGGGCCGGTGCTGCTATCAGTTGCGCGATCTTGATTAAAGAGGTAAGCACTCTGCACAATTACAGCTGGAGAAAGCTAAACGGAACTTCAGACACTCAAACGGAAAGACAAGGATCATCCAACCGTGAAACCCCCAATGAGTACACTTGAGATCATCAAATCCCCTGGAGTAGGCATCGTCCTTGCCATCTATTGCCACGTAATGGCTCTCGGTCTAGCCTATACCGCCAGTACGTGCCTCTTACTATACCACAATCTCTCTCCAGACTAACATATTTCCCAAGTAACACCCGTCTTCTGGTTCACCAGTGTCCAAAGGGGCGGTTACGGCTTCACTCCTCTCCAAAATGCCGCTTTCATAGCCGGAATCGGCGTCTCACAAGCCATCTGGCTACTCTTCGTCTTCCCGCCACTCCAACACAAAATCGGCACGGGCGGTATTCTGAGATTATGTCTTTACGTGTGGCCCATTTTCTTCACATCAGCTCCTATCTGCAATGCCTTTTTGAGAAAGGGCTGGACGACAGCATTTTGGGTCGTCGCGCCAGTTGTGCAGATAGGAGGGAGTGGCGTTGCTATGGCTTTCAGTGAGTGCTCTTCTCTCACATAGGAGTTACTGTTTTACTAGTGGCTAATTTTTTATGTTCAGCCGGGGTGCAGCTTGCATTGAATGACATCGCTCCTTCTCAGCAAAGTCTCGGGACACTCAACGCAATAGCCCTTACTATGACGAGCGCTATTCGTACCGTTGGTCCAGCTGCGTTTACGAGTCTTTTTGCTGCGGGGGCTAAAACACAGTTCTTCCATGGCTATCTTGTCTGGGTGGTGCTGGTGCTGGTCGGGCTCCTGGGTCTGATACCCCTGGCGTATCTGCCAGAGAAAGTGGAAGATCAGTCGAAGAAGAGAGTGCAGGAAAGCGAAGATGAAGATTAATGATGTGATGCTGCAAAGCAACAAAGGGTGCGGGTCGAAGGATTTGAAATAGAGTTGGGATGCATATTTGGTGTTCCGCATGGCATTTCAGGAGTTGGGTAAAATTGAAACCAGGCATATGTTTCTTTATCAGTTCGAATCTGAAAATACTTTCACATTTGCAAGGAATATAGGATGTCTATTTGAGCTACATACAAAGGGACTAGAAAGGCTACAATTTCCTAGGTTCGGCCAGTGTTGGTAAAAGCATTCTTTATCAATTACCTGTTTGTCGCTTTCGACCCGCTTAAGGACGGTACTTATGGCTAGGATGAAGAAATCCACTTACGCTTGAGACTGCCAATGTACTTGGTGCAGAGGAGCACTCTGATTTCACGCATCAGACCACATCAATTCGATTTTGAGTGCTTTTCATACTACCGGGCTTAAAGAATACTTCTAGAATTAGTTGACACGTTAGATATGGTGGTACAGCTAGTGGGCCATGGAACAAGGAAATGGAAATGTTCAAGAAAGAGCCAGGGGAGTCTAGTCTGGACTCCCCCTTCCCCACTTAGGAAATGGCTACAGTTCTGGCAGATTGTTCCAGGAATTGGGCTTTGCTAACAATCATGGTCGAGAAATCAAAACGATTTAGTCTTCAGTGCTTGAAGGATCTGACCAATATCAGCTTGAAGTGGTTCCGCCGACTTTCGAGGCCTAATGAAGCTATATTCGACATGAAGTGTATTAAACTGTATCTAGCATCAATTAGTATCCTGCATGATTGGTGGGAGGAAATGAAAGTTTAGAAATCACGGTCGAAGACGGAGGTCGAAAGTAATACATACCCTCGCACACTTTTCGGGGACATATTTAGCTGCGATGCTTGGAAATGGCGTCGCCTCATAAATCTCGATTCTCAGCTTCAGCCTCTCGACATATATATTATAAGAATGGCGACCCATCCGCATCCCAATGAGTTCTCTCTGCAGACAGCGACTCGATTGGAAGCTACCTATATCTGCAAATACCGACCATGTCCGACAAATTCGATGTTTTCAGTCGCGGGGTCAAGCGCGCATCCCCCTTCGGCACCTCTCTATTCATAGGACTACGAACCCTTGATGTCTTTATACAATATGGCATTCTTGCCCGAGGCCTGGCAGACCCTATCCTCAATCACCTACCTATATCGAGAACTCCCATGTCCTCAGCCTCGATCGTTGCTCTTGGGCTCCCGTTGAAGGCCCTCATTGTGCTTGGGATGGCTGCGACCACCGCGATGAAGCAGATATACTGGGTGCTATTTATATCGCAGGAGGAAATGCCACCCACTGGCGCTCTGGCAATTGCAGCCGCCAACATCCTCTTCAATTCTCCGAGTTCGATTTTATCCATGACAGCCGCAGCGTCCTATTTCGCCCCCGCCTTCCTCACTACCGCCAACGAACATACAGGCCTATCACCACTGTTCCTCATTGGCACTTTCTCGTTCGTGTTGGGCACAGTTGTGGAGCTTGCTTCGGAGATACAACGGCGGGACTTCAAGAACGATCCGAAGAATGCGGGGAAGCCGTATACGGGTGGACTCTTTGAGTTGGCTAGGCATATAAACTATGGCGCATATTCGTCTATGCGATCAGGATATGCTCTAGCGGCTGGTGGGTGGATATGGGGCTCTGTTATAGCTACTTTCTTCTTTAGAGACTTTGCTACGAGAGGTGTGCCTATCTTGGACGAGTATTGCACGAAGAGGTACGGGGCGCCGTGGATTGAGTTCAAGAAGAAGGTGCCGTATAAGTTGGTGCCTGGTATCTATTGATGGGCTAAAGAGGTCGTCTCGTTCCCTGCGGCTCTTTCAACTGAATTCGAGGCATTGCTTCAATGAGGTGCTCGTGGTACGAGTAGTTGGTCATGTTAGTGCCATGCGGTGGCACCGGAACTTCAACTGTATTTGTATGACATCTAGGTTTTTCAAGAGTAAAATGCCCCTATCTAATCAAGAAGTTTGATTATTTGTTTCATTAATGTCCAATCCAAGTCCCGTAGGAATTGCAAACCTTGGAGCCCAACAATAGGCAAAACCCAATACACATGTACCAGGTAGTTCCTTATCAACGGTAGGCTCCCGCCGCAACAGGCATATATTTCTTTCCAACACCCGGGTTATAGGTTGTCCCCAGTTCTACATTCTGCTCATACTCCGTCTAATACGTCAGCGTGCTCTCCCTCACGTTTGCCAACTTATTTTTATGCGAGGCTCTTCTCATAACCATGAGCGTGACAACGAACGTCAACAGATACGTAATGGCCTCAATGATTGAGATATACCACGTTCCTTGCTATCAGCCCATTCATTAGGATCCGTCCTCTTCAAAACAAGACACGGACAAACAAGCAAGCAAGCAACATACCTGCATAGTACACAACTCCCTAAAATTCAGAAAGCTCTTAACCTGCTCCTGAATCCGATCCGACGCATCACTACAACTATACCCCCAAAGATTCTTCCCATCCCTCGCCATGCGATACAGCCCCGCCGCCACCGCCCACGCCGCGAAATGCACAAACAGGAAAACATAGCCCAGCACGCTGGTAAACGAGCTAGCTTTGTCCGCCGCTCCGACCCCGCAGCAGTACGACAGGAGCGTGATGAGGTTCATGAAGAACGTCACCGTAGCTGTGCCCAGCAGCATGGCCGTGGGCCACACGGTCGCAGGCGTTACCCAGGGATGCGCGTTTCCCTCGATCAGGCGGTCGCGCGTCAAGTAGTACTTGGCGAGCGCGAAGGAGAGGGTGCCCATCATTACGACGTTTAGGATTAGCCAGGCGGTGCGGGAGAAGGAGCGGAGGATCCGGATGCGCTTTTTGTATGCCTGTATGGTAGGAATCTTTGGCTATCTGTGGTATACTTATACAGTTGTCGAGATTTTGGAGGGGGTGCTTTACTGAATCCTTCTTCTCGAATTCTGCGACGTTGGAGAGGCACGAGTTCCTCGTTTCGCTGCGGAGCGGCTCTTTCCCAGACCCAGGGTTGACTGGGGTGGTGTAGACCGCCGCGCTGCTTTCCTTGTTCCAGGGAGCCATGGTGAGTAAGGTTTCGTGGTGGCCGTCGGTAGGTAGGTAGTCTTGCAGTTATCTTCGAATTGTCCTTAATAATAATGCTTTGTTTATGTTGTCAAAACCCCCAATAAACTTACCTCGAAGGAAGGAAAACCCTACAAATACAAGAGGCAAGCCCAAATGTTTATCTCCAATAAGTCATCCATTCAGCCCTACCCTAGGTATATTTCTCACTCAATAGCACCGCGCCCATTCAGCCCAAATCCAAATGTCCCATCTTCCTGCCCTCTATTGGCCCAGCCGCAAATCGCAGCAAAGTCTAGAACTCGCCTTACCCCGTCTCCTTACTTCTAGAAGAAATATATGAGGCTAGAATCCGCACTTGTTTGGTTGGCAGAAGACGTAGCTTGCGTAGCATGGGTCGTATCACTGGTTTAGTGATCTTTATAGCATTTAGATGTTTTCATTTGGCGAATTTACGTCCATTGAATGGTTATATAATCATGGCTGCAGAGTCTGCCAAACTTATGGACAAGTCGTCAGAAGAACTTTCCTTCTGAAGTGTAAGCTCTTAAGCTTGTTTTTTTAGGGAATGCTATGAGTTGTCAAATATGTTGAACAAGCTGGATGTGTCACCCCTGCGTACAGATTTGCAAGTGTAAGGTATTGACTACATCAAATTTTTCATCGGCGATATGTGTACGAGTAGATATACCCCTTTTATTTCGCCGAACTTTTCAGGGCTGTGCTTGGCGGCTCATTTAGACAACGGCCCCTTATAACATTCCATGTATAGTTCCTTGGAAGCTGAAACAAAAATCTACAACTGTTTCAATAAGCCCAATGAGTTCAGATTCCCTATTCAAGTTAAGTAAATGTGCTATATTCTATGCTGCCCAATAGATTTCACGAATAAAATGCGGGGTCTTCGCTTAGCAAAAAGGGGTCCAAAGCTTGAATCTTGTCTTTAAATATGATAGATTCAATATGCTACTGTGCCACCGTATACTTGGTTTTCATACCATCGGCGTGTATTCACATTGTACTCCTGTGGCTTAAACTACTCGGAGTATTGCGGTCGGACTTGTCAGGTGGCACCGCGTGTAAAAAATGACGCTAGTTGCATCTACCTATAAAATTCTGGCTCAACTAACCAAAAATACTTCTTAACTTCGTCATCTCCAACTCCACAATATGCCACCTTCAATATACTTCGTCCGACACGCGGAAGCGGAGCACAATGTCAGTGTAAGTTGCTTTTTTCTTTTCTCCAAGATACAGTTTATCAATTTTAAAAAATGCATGCGGCTAACATACATCATCAGCGTGATCCCAATACACGAGATGCCCGTCTCACCCAGAGAGGAAAAGCACAATGCGCCAAACTTCTAGAGACATTCCCAGCGCACGACTCAATCGATCTCATCGTAGCATCTCCCCTGCGGCGTACCATTCAGACAGCGGTGCTCTGTTTCAGGCCATCGCTAGCGAAGGAGAATGTCGAGTTTCACCTGTTGCCGGAAGCTCAAGAGGTTAGCGACATGACGTGTAATGTTGGCTTTCCTCAGGGTGAGCTAGAAATCGAAGTGCAAAAACTCTTCGGAGACGATGAGAGTGCCGCGTTGGCGAGTCGGAAGATAAACTATGCTGCGGTGGTTGAGGGGTGGAATTCAAAGGTAAACACGATCTAGTCCCCTCCGCCACTTTTGGTTCATTGTCCCCAATCTTCGGATCAAATAGTCGTGTTCGACGAGGAATTGACTTTTACCGCCAACTTTAATTGGAATTCATAAGCTGATCAAGTTGTATAATAGCAAGGAACGTGGGGTTCGGAGAAATCAGCTGTCGAAGCTCGTGCAGCAACACTTCGCGCCTGGCTCTACGCCCGTCCAGAGAAAAGCATAGTTGTAGTCACACATGGCAACTTCCTCCGTTACTTGACCGATGATTGGAATGAGCCTATATACTCCCCCGGAAATCAGGCGACTGCCAAAGTCGCAGCATTAGGGCTTGTTCCACCTAGAGGTATGATTTCCCCCTCTCCCCGTTTCTCTTTAAGTTTCCCTTCCTCTCATGCTTGGATTTGAATTAGAATGTCTATCTCTTTATCAACCAAAACCATCAACCTTTTCTACGATTCTAACTTTTACTTGCTTACAGGCACGTCTTGGGCTAATTGCGAGATTCACCAATTCGAGTTTTCTCCCGACTCCAACGAAAATGATGCCCATTTGTTAGAGACTGACGCAAGCAAGAACGCGAGGAAAAGTTTTACTCCATAGGCATAAGAGGGTATTTGAGCATTGAATTACATTGGCGTTTCTACCTCGGCGCAGGTATAGGGGTGTTGCATTCGTCTCTAGCTATTTCACTCGACATAGCTTGTTGTATAATAAACCACAAATTGGTATTGGCCACCAGTCAAGCCTAAAACATAGATTTTTATAACGAGACATGGTAGATTTTCATGATTAGTCCTGGTGAACGATATAGCTTTGGATAGAATATTGTTCCAGGATATGTCAATAATGTGTTAGCTAAATACAACCGATTTCCATCACCTGCACTTCACAGCGACATGAATCAGATCCCAAGACCGGCAAACTGCTGTTCCAAATCCGTCGCCCGTGTCACACCTCCCACGGCTTGATGATTCTGGCCACCAACAGGAGAACCGCATTGCGGGCATCGTGAGGTCTGCATCGGCATCCCACATTCCCCAACCGTGAACGGATGGTTGTTCTCACAATAGTACCAGTGCCCTGTACCCGAAAATCCCTGTGCCATGGCCGCATACACGGCAGCTTTCTCGTCGTTGCTTACTGGCAGGTAGAAGGTCGAGCCACGCAGCATCTTCTCAACATCACTTGTCTCCTCCTGCATGCCGGCTGTCTGGCCGGGATATGCAACGCATATCCTGCGTGCGAGGGTCAGATGCTCGCGGGCCTCGTCTAAGAGTTGCGTGAGTTCCAATGCAGGATCTGCGAAGCTTCGCTCGAGGGCAAAGAACCGTGCCCAGTAGAGATGGCCCTCAACGATGACTGCAGGCTGGTCTCTTGAGAGCGATTCTGCAATCAGCTTTTCGCAGTCCTTTCTGTTGATGCTCAAGTCTACTCTTACGCCATGAGCAGCTGCTTGCGTCGCACCTTTTCGATCGTTGAGGAAAGTAGAGAGGATGGTATAATCGCATCTAATAAGCAATACTGTGGTCAAAAGACGGTTCCGTACTTGCAAAATGTCGACTTTCGCATCCAGTTCGACATCTACGCCGCGATGTCTACGGGCGTCCTGTGCGAGGTCGTAGATGCGACCGAATGGCTGTTCTCCTTCATCTACTTGACCCAGAAACTTCTTGACATCGTTTCGAAGTCTTAGAACCAGTGAGTATTTTTTAATCTTTTGCATGAGCTTCACAACCTGGGAGAACTGTTGGTCCCTAGTGCCTCGCAAGTGAAGCGGTCCAGAAGAAGAGCCTTCTGGTGACACCACACGCGTTGTTTGTTGGGGACCTTCAGTACTCTCGCGAAGGTCTACCTCAATCCCCTGCATCCTAGCTACCAGAGGGACGAAGTTCATGTTAGCCCAGACGATGAACTTTTTTGTTGCCTCGTCGATTAGGGCTCGTCGAACGATCCGACTATATCGGTTGAGAGTTCGCAACGGACCTCGACAGGTCGGGCAGCTTTTCATTCCAGAAGCAGAGAATGGTTCCGCATTGTTCTTCAAGCCTATAATAGACCCTTCAGCGTCCATGGTGTAGAAATCAGACATGCTCATATGCCCATCCATGCTCTCCAACGTTAGGATGTGACCACATGGTGGTACTATGCAAGAACTTTCATCAAGATTGACCTCCTCAAAAGTGGATGACATAATGAAATCAACGATCATGTCTTTAGTTGTTTGGTTAGCACACGTCTGACAGTACTTTGAACCTGGACAGATTTCTCCACAAACAGATGGACATCGGTGCCCACATGCTAACTTCTTTCCACAGCGCTCTGAGCATGGCAAAAGATCGCAAGGGACTGCACAAGGCAAGGGGCATTGTCCCCGGTGAGGGCAAGACCAGGAACAACTTTCTGCGCAGGGAATACAAGGTTCGTGGCACAGCTTGCTGCATTTCGAATGAGTGCAACTGACTTCGCAGCGATTGGTGCACGGAGGACAGGGCTCGTCATTGTGGCATTTGGCTTTGCAGCTATGGTTGCAAGTAGTGTATGATCTTCCACATTTAGTGTTGCAAACCCCATGGTTCTCTTGCGCAATGACACCTTCGAGTCTAACCCTGCAATCTCTGCAAGTGTTTGTGCAGTTGTGCCCACAAGCTAAAGCAGCTCCGCAGGTCGCTGAACAAGGGTAGTTGACGTCTAGAGGCAGCTCGTAGCAACGGACAAAAATCTTATGGCTGCAATGTGTGATTGTTTGCTCCATTTGAACCTGACATTCGACTTTCTCGGGTCTCTGCGCTTCATAGCATCTTAGCTGCGCGGCGACATGTCCACAAAGTAGAGGGATATTATACACCATGACCTGGCATTTCGAGTCGCATTTATCTCCGCAAAGCTTTGGGCACTCATGCTCGCACCCTTTCTTAGTTCGCGGACAACGTTCGAGGCAGCGGACCGAATTGTGCAAGGCTGTTGAATGGCACTTATTAATACATGAATGGCCACACAGCAATCTAGATGAGCATCTCTGTGAACATCCACCTTCCGGGGCTAGTCGAACGAAGTCGTCAGGCTCAGAGACCTCGATTGGTGTTTCTTTATGCCGAGGACAACATAATGCCAAGGTAGGACCAATGCTGTGGGAATTCTCTAGAATTGAAAGCACTCCAGCCCACATTTGAACAGGTCTTGCAGTATCAGAATTGCCGATGATGTACCTACAGTCAAGAATTCGGAGTCAGCATTGTCTAGTATATTTCAGGGGTAGTCGACTCTTCAGATATTTCTAAAGTGAAGTAATGACTCCCAAGCTGTCCGAAGTGGGAAATATTCCTCCTGGAAGGTTACTCACATGCCGTGTTGTGCCCGGCTCAGCAGCACATTGATCCTATTTGAGGTCTTCAAAAATCCGCACTTTCGCTCATCATTGCTCCGGACCAATGAGATAATAACGACTTTAGCTTCCTCTCCCTGAAAATTGTCGACTGTTGCAATTCGTAAAGCATTAAGCATCGTTGTTTTCTGTACCAAGTCTGGGCCAGCTGATGTCTCTGGGTCATCTTGAAGCCCCTTCGCTTCCAAATCTTCTTGGTCTCGATCACTAACCACGATTTCGAAGGAACTTGCGAGGCGCTTTTTGATTTTCTGCAGTTGGCCTAGATAGGGAGTGATGGTAGCAATATCCTCGCTGCTATATGTTCCTTGCTTCACAAGATGAGTCGCAAGAGCGGCGACTACCTCCACTTCGAAGGTGTTGGTTTTGGAGAGGGACACGGCCTGGGAGGGTTGCGGGTCTTCCTTCTTCTGATGATCAAGCCAGTACAAACGATTTCTCATACCAACAACTTCTGGATATTCCTTCACGGATGGGTAATCTTGCAAATCCGGATAAAGCGTGGTTCTGATCAATTCGGACATCGATGGGTGCATCCGCCGCTGGGTTTTCAACGCGCTCAATGGAACTGAGAAGGTACCCGGCTGCGGCTTCACGAGACGTTCAAACAGAGAAATGTCGAGGGAATATTTCTGGCCTCGACGATTATCATGTTGAAGTTCGTAATTGTTGATTTGGGGCCGTAATTGCTCATGGTCGCCAATCAAAATGGCATGTTCTATTCCAGGAAGAAAGGCTGTAAGAGTATGTGCTTCGAGAACTTCGCCAGCTTCCTCGCAAAGCATGACCTTCGCATGGACCCGTTGGAGCAATTCGATATTCCTTGCTAAACCAGATGTTGTGACACCGATAATGTGTGCTTGTCTGAGACATCGAAGATCCAGCTCGCTGTGGCACTTGTCTAATGCAGATTTGGAGCTATGGTAGGAATCCAATGCATGAGTGAGTTCACTGGTTAGTTCTGCACTCCTTCGCTTAATCCAATGATTGTACAAAGCGGCACGCTCAGAGGCTGACATCTCCTTCAGAGAAAGCCCCTCAAGATGCGGGACGGGGCGATTGGAAGTGAGTTTCTTTGGTGCGTTTCTGACCCAACTTTCCACGACTCTGAACTTCTTGCCTCGGACTTCCTGAAACCCCTCGGCGTCGACTCCCTGGCCAAATAGCTCCTGATGATGCTGTTGATGGTTCCTCGACAAATGAGCTTTGATGTTGGTCCATGACTTGGGACTGCTCAACGCCACTACTATACTTTGAATCTCTTCCACTATTTCTCCAATGTCCTTATTATTTTGCCACCTATCGTGCTTCTCCGTTTTCGTGGGTTCAATACTCTCTCTGACATTTTGAAGGGTGCAGTTGGCAAGCAAAGTGGATTTGGATCGCGAGCCCAGGCGGATGACTTGCTTCATGCCCTCTTTGACTAGATGCTCTAAAAGTCCATCGAGAGCATGATTTGTATAACAAACTACAGAAACTGGAGTCAGCTTTATTTTGGGCAAACTTCGAAAGGTGTTCGGAATGACCCATGAGCTGTGAGATATTGTCCGAGTCAAATCCGAAACGTGCTGGGAACGAAAGTAAATGAGATTTCTGTTTTCTTACCACAGATAATAGGACCCAGTTTAGCAGCCTTCCTGTTGTGGATCAAAGCTTTTAGGATTGCTACGCCTGTGTAACTCTTACCTGTGCCCGGAGGCCCTTGGATGAGAGCCAACCCCGTACTGAGAGCTTGGATGACCGCACGTCTTTGAGCGCTGTCAAGCGTCGAGTGTTCTTCAAGTTTTTTAAAGTCGAATCCTTTTCCGGGGCTTAAAGTTAGGGGTCTACCAGTGGTGGCACTGGTGAGGACATCCAGCTTGAATGCGAAGCCAGGACGAGCGGCGTAGGCAGGAGGTTGTAAAGTTGCATCTGTAGTCTGTGAGTTCTGTGCAATGATCTCGGCGAATGGAAGATCCAAGGTCTTGCTCATCTTCTGCAAAGCTTCCAAAGTTGGTTGGAAAGATGGAAGGAGGACCCCGGGAAACTCAACCAGCGATTGTCGAGTTTTAGTATGTGTAACGATATGTGTACCAATCCAAATTGCATGCTCGTGTTTGTATTCAGCGAAACTCAACAGCACAGATGCCTGTTTCGCGTGTCTAAAGAGACTTGGAAGATCATCTCGCTTTGGAAGTTCAGAATCTTTTCCTCGGGGGCTGGGTCGCACACAGAGAAGAATACAATCTTTCCCGTCGAAGAAACGAAGCAGACCAGTGAGTCAACTTGCAGAAGTTTGCTTCCTTTCCACCAATCTTCTCGTTGTTTGCTAGACTTATTTTTGATCTGGGAAGGTTGGTCGAACTCCGCGACGACTTGTAGACCCCTTCTGCGATCTACACACATGCGATCGAAACGGACGTTGTGATAGACAAGCTTGCGAATGCCTTGTTGATTCTGATGCATTGGCACATTGTGCGCTGGATTGCCCAGTCTTGTAACCTCTTCACGCACAGCATCTCGCAATTGACCAACTGTATCTTCGCGTAAGAGTCGAAATTGTCGATCCAGAAGCCCTGCAAGGCCGGGTAGATGATGCTGCGTCGAATCGAGTAATGGAAGGTATTCTTGTCGTGGGGAAACAATTTCTAGACTAGTCGGTAGAATTTGTATCTCGGCGATGCTCGCATGGTCATTGTCGTGCCGAGCGCCCTTGGCGGAAAGTTTTCCAGGCAGGTCTTGCGTCAGTTCAAAGGTCGCAGCTGGGGCGCTGGCCAAAGCCGGTTGCGTTGATGCGGAAGGAAGCGAGGAGCCAATGTGAAGACGGCGTTTGATTCGGGCCAGGCTTTGTTGTGAATTTAGTGTCATGGAGTCTTCGGGACTGCACGCAGAGATGGTCTCGATGATACCGGTGAAGCCCTCAATGACTTGGGCGCTCTGGTTAAGCTCGATCACCCTGTCGAGAACTGCGAGAACAGATGAAAGAGCAATCACAGCGACTTCCTCATCACTTGAGAATCGACTACCCATCATTGTACACAGAGCGGATGCTGCAAATTCAAACACACTCAGGCCACGTTTGCCACTTGGGCCGAAGATAAAAGTATAAATAGTATCAATGGGGTTCTCCAGTACAAGTGAGTATAGCACATCAGGGTGAGAGATGATCCTGAAGAACGGAAGAATTCGCTCTTTGAAAATCGAGATTGAAGCTTCGGCGGTTCGAACCCCAGCCAAATCTTTTGTGGCGAGATTGATTATCTTGAGGCCTTGCTCTGAGCCGAGTTTAGAAATGACTTCTTGCCGTGTTCCTGGATCATCATTTTCCATGATTTTCCATCCGATCTCGAAGAAGGTTTTGGTGTTTACTGGAGCTTCAAAGCGTCGGTTATTTGCGTCGCTTCGAGGTATCATGTATTTCCACTTGCGACATAATTCTTCTGCTGCTGTATTTTCACGAACATGTGGGCTTGCACTTCCTGTGGGTATGGCGGTATCATGGCTGTAAGAACACCTGTCACCGAAGCGGCAACGGCCACTGTTCCTGAAAGCGAAGCAGAATTTCGGCCTGTTGCTCCCAAAGTCAGTAGCGTTTCTTGTAGAAAGGGTTTGCTTTTAACACCCACGGCATTTTGATGACCCAGCTTTTCAGAAGACTGGATAATAGTTCCGAGCAAACAGTAGTGTTGATAGCTTGTCGCTACTATGCAAAAGATTTGGAATAAAGAAAGCAAGACGAAGACACCCAAATCGTTTTTACACGCAAACGAACCACGGAAGCAAACAGAATATAAAGCGTTCGTTGTTACGACAAGACCTCCAACTTCACACAAGGCAGCCTCTGACGCTCCGAACGGTTAGCTGCTGAAAGGGCCTGCATGTTATCAAATAGTCTGCCACTGGCAAACGGGGATCGTTGTCTGATAGTTTCACATCCGACCAAAGGGAACCAGCCTCTCAGGGCCAGCCAACATGGGACCATGGTAAGGCATACTCCGTATTGCTGCTGTGTTAATAACATCGTAGTAGACAGACAAAGCGGCACCGTTTTAGCATGTGCCAGACGCAATGGGACAATTAAAATCCATAGCAATAAGTGCCGCTTTTGTGTCAAGCTCCCTCCCTCACTCGGCCCGTCCCGGCCCCGGCCCAATGAGCCGCAGCAAAACACCAACACCGCAGCCACCTCCTTACTGAAGGCCGCATAGAAGGCTAGTTTAACGGCGCAGAAGTGGCTCAAGCACAGTTGTGCCTGTAATCCGATGAAATGAAAATGAAAGCGCTTGGAAGGACTTTGTAAGAGATGACTGCCCGTTTGGCCTACACAAGTCTGCATTTCGCCCTTTCATTTAAAGGTAATAGTGGTCATGACTTTCTGAACACTTGCTGGTTCATTAGGGCAATAATCTAAAAGAGAAAAACCCCGCCTTCCAGCCCCAATCCGCAAATGAATTGCTTGCTAGCTCCGAGCAACTCAGAATTATAAGAGTCATTAGAGTATAAAATAAACATGAGTGAAAGTTAGGCAGATACAGCCAAGAAATTCATTAACGACATCCCATCATCCCATTTCTATGCTCATTAGGGTATCACAACAGACATTCTCTCAAGTACAGTGCTTCTTTCTCACTGCACCTTCTTTGCCTCTTCTTCTTCGTTCCATGGGTGCTTGATGGTTAAGCACCAGATGTCGAGGTAATCGCAGATCGTAACGATTACATCCACCTATTTTAGATGTCAGTTTCAATTCTCCGCATCTTTGCAAGGGGGCAGGAAGAACATACCACGAAGCTTCCATAAACCCCAATCGCGATACCAAGCATGCAAAACATATACGCGACCTGATACCCACCACTACCAAGAGCACTCGGCCATCCTACCCCGAATTTGTCCTGTAATAAGGGCCCTAAAGAGTCGAATACGCCATACGCAAGTGGGAGAACCAGGACGTTGTAGTAAGGGAAATCCAACACCACGAGATGAGCAGTAATCATCTGGCCGACTGAGTATGCATTCACAAGCCCGCCGAAGAAGACAAAAGGCACGAGATGGTTGTGTAAAATCTCAGGGTTCAGGTATAGGTAGGCGGGGATTAGGGTCCAGGTTACGAAAAAGGGGACGAGGCCAAGGAGAGCGCCGCGAGACTTGTCGCCTCGGGCACGGCGGGCTTTGATGACGTTCAGGGATCTATTGCTTGTTAGCCGGATCTTTGAGGTTGAGGGCGAAGGACTGACGATTGAACGGTATTCAGAACCAGCACAGTCCCACCCTGAATCATGTACCATTCATTGAAAGGTAGATTGTAGATATACGACGGGATAAATGAGAATTGAGGTATGCCAATTGTGTGAAACATAGATTGTTGCCAGAAACTGCCACCTCCCATGACGCCTGTGAATGCGTACACCAATGTCAGAATAACGATTCCTTCCACAGGGCCAGAGACTATGCCGAGAGTGAGGGTCTTTGTATGGTATTCGTCCCAGGTTTGCACGTAGAAGGTAAGGAGCGCTATACACAATTAGTAAGGTCTCGAGGGGTTTGGATAGGAAAACAAACACCCAAAGAGCGTCATGACCGTCTTCCAACCCATTCCCAAGTTCTGCGAGGCTGCGAAAACCAAGACTTCAAGGGAGGTATTCAGTGCATCGACACCATGATCAAACAACTCCCCCAAGGGACCACTCTGATGCGTTCTCCTCCTATATTACAATCAGCACAAATGCCCTTGCCCATTTGACATATGAAGAAACTCACGCCTGCGACCCATCGACAGCGTCAAACGTCTGGTACAGAAACAGCCCTGCAGCCCAACTATAGTAAACCCAAGTCGGACAATCCTGATCCAGCGTTGGCGTATACCACAACAGCGTCAGCACATTCACGATCACGAAGCTGAAGCCCGTCAACGTGATCAGGTTCGGCGCCATCCACATGGGGAAACATTTTATAACGAAGTTGGTGTAGAAGGGCTTCAGGACATAGCGCGAGAGGAGGGAGTGGTCAACGCCCGAGTATTTGTATTGCTTCAGGCCGGGAAGCTTGTCCTGGCGTACATACACCATAGTGTCGGACGGTATTTAGATGAGGGTGAAAGATTGTTTTCAGAAGAGAGGAGAGTTGAGCGGTGAGGTGGAGTGGGGTGGGATGTTGTCTGTCCTTTTTCAAGTCGCGAAATCTCGAAATCCGAATTCATGCTTGCTTGAAAGACGCGACATTCTTGGCAACCAACCATCGCAACGTCATTTCTGCCGCACTTACCGCATGGGCATGCATGTACCAATGGAGGTACCAGGCCAGGTGAACAGTAAAATAGGAATAGCACCACCATAATTTTCAACAAAGTCAACATTACGTTCCAGAGAAATCGGAATCACAAATCATAGACACATAAAATCTCATAGAGCGTCATCATCATATTTTATGACCTTCCAGACTCCTAATGAGACCAGAGAGGCCATTCTCTTCGGCTTTTGAAAACCATTATCTAGACATCAATCAAATGCATCAAAGGCTCAACTCCATCCCTCGCTATCCCTAAGCAACAGACCCAATCACCAGAGCTGCAATTCCTTCCTCGTCGCTCCGTACAACGATTTTACTTGTGACACCAGATTTTGTAGAGTATGCCATCCGGATATTGGCAACGACCTTTCCGCCAGTGACAGTCTTGCCGAACAACTTGAGAGTATGAGTGGTTGTGTTAATGGGTACATCCGTACCATCCAGAGGTTGTAATGAAAGGGTCGTTGCAAGTTGTTCGGTCGCATCTGATACTAATTAGCATATTCTTGTTCAAGATCATCGGTGTTGACTTACCCGCGATGCTCTTGACCCCACTGAGCTGTAATGTTTCTTCTGCCTCCTCGCCTGAAGCCCCGACTTGCTCCCAAATGTGGTTGAAGTTGCCAGCAAAGGCTGGAACGACGTAATCACTTCCATTGAGCTCCAAGTCCTCAACTTGATATTCATCGTCGTAACCAGTCTCCTCGGGCTCTCCAGTCGTAGGATCGATTTCTTTCGTGGTAAACTTCAAAACATTTGTAAAGCTGCTAGCAGGGAAAGAACCTTCCCCATTGGACTTTTTGAAAGAAACGTAAATAGTTCCTGGCTCGTCGGTGGCAAGCTTGGCGGCTGGGATGATAAAATCTTCCTCGAGCTCCTCCTCTTCCGAGGGAGATGCGACAACCGAGACGTCTTCGAGAACAGTGTCCGGAAGAGTGTTCTTGACTTCGTATTGGAGGACAATGTGCTCCTTGAAGATATGCTTGACAACACTGACTACATACTCTGTTTCTGATTCTGTCAATTCTACCACAGGCGAGGACTTCAGCACACTGCCATACAGTTTCATCTCTGGTATCCGTAGAAGCTCTTGTTGGTATTTCTGGGCAGCAGCCGAAGCTGTTGCCGCAGCCTCCGTACTTGATTGTGATGGTTTTGTTGGTCCGGTCTTGGGAGCTTTGATGGTAGGTGTGACAGTTGTAAGCTTCTTGGTCCTGTCCTCGGCGTCTGCTTGCTCCTTGGTGACAACTGGAATAGCTGCAATGTCGAAAGCTGTGTCAAATGTTGTCTTGTCTTCCGCTGTAACGTACATTACTAGTTGATGTTCGAAATATGGAAGAGCAAAGGTATTTTCTAGAAATGAAATTAGCAGAACTCTTGCCGATTTGAGAGGAATAATCACCATTCTTGATAAACCGATCTGCCATTTCATCTGATTCGCTCATGAGTCTCAGATTCAAGGCCGCACGATCACGAACTTCATCATCAACATCATCCAGGCATCTGGTGAGAAGAACAGTGACGCTGCGCTTGACCTCTGGATCTTTCTGGCCCACGCCAAATTTCGCTAGAGCTGTGACTGCCGCAGCACGAACAATTGCATTTTCAAGAACAACACGGTTATAAATGTACCGGATGTATTTCGTGGGTTGCGAGGTCTTTGGACCTTCCAGACCCAGTAGATGCAAGATACGAACAGCCAGCTTTGTAAATTCGCAATCTTCGATGAACTCGCAAAGATGCGCTAAAGCATCCTCCTTGGAGTCGGGTACAAATTTGATCAAATCAAACATGCTCTCAACAACAGCGCGCTTGAATTCGTACCCTCCCTCATCCCGCAATATACCACTAAGGAATGCTAGCATGCCAGCCTGCTTGCTAGGAAACTTCAGGCAGAGTGTTCGAATGGCTTCAACGATTGTGATCTTGAATTCGTCAGTAATATCGGCCATGAAGCCAGAAATTTGCTTCATCAGACGATCAACGCTGGCCTCATTTCCAGTCTTCAGAAGGGTAGTGATTGCAAATGTGGCAATCGAGCGATTGCTGTTAGAGATGAGCAGTTCGATATCGGGGTTGCAGGGATGAACAGCCTGGGGTTTGAAGGATGCAAAGTTGTGGAGTATTCTGATAGCAGCAAATTTGGTAACTGCGCGGGGAGATGTCAGGAACAATTGGAGAACGTGGATAGCCTGGGTGACTTCAGCATCTGTGACATCTCGCATATCACAAATTGCTTTAGCAGCCTCAAAATTAACCATCTCGCTCTTGTGTCGAAGCCAGCCGTCCAAAAGCTGGATCATTGGCTTCCGAAGTTGTTGATCCTCCTCCGCCAATTGAGCTGCCAGTCGAACAAGCATAACAGTAGCAGCAGGGCTCTTTACGGCCCCGGCAGTTCCAAATTGCTGAACCATCTTGACCAATGCCATCCTGTCGTGCATTCTCATCTGGTAGAGAAGTCCAATTGCGTGGTATTGTGTCATGGTAGAGTTGTTGACTGGCATTTGTCCCGAAGACGATGAGAAACCTAGAGAGAATCCACCAGATGATTTCGTAGAGCTTGCCGCCTCTTGAGTCTCGCTCTGCCATCTTCGAACAACGTCGCGCGCGATTGGTAGGAGGTGGTATGAGGAAATGAGGGCGGCGGAAGAAACTGATGGGTTCTTGTCTACAATCGCTGTCTTCATGACACGCTCCACACTTTGTACCGTCGACCCCTGCTATGATTAATATAAGCCTTCCAACACTTATAGAGTCACTCACGTCAATGATACGGCACAAGGCGCGAATAGCATTGGGTCTGTAAATCGCATCCGTTCCACCGCCGGTATCCTTCATAATCGTACTTGTGACCATAATAATATCCTCTGCGGAATGCGCCAACTCCTTGATAATGAGATGAACCATCTGTCGTAGACTGGCATCTTTGTTCTGAAACAGCTTCGAGATGCCGAAGAAAAGCGTCGTGGCTTCGTTGGTAGGAAATCGTTCCCCGGTGTAGAGAAGGAGGGCAATCTTGGTGAGAAGAACTCGACATCTTCGAGGTTGGATGGGAGAGGAATTGAACAATCGTGCTGGTAGGTGTTAGCTGGGATTTGGGGGAAGGGGGGTTTGGTGCGCACCTTCTTGAAAGACAGAGGTTCGGTCCACCTTCATAATTGCGGCATCGCCGTCTTCGTCTTTCTTGCTGTAACTCATGGTGAGAGAGGTCAGCTCCTCAGCTTCATGAATTGCAAGAAGAAAGGCTTAGGAATTGTCGTCTGTATATGTGGTTGAGGGAAACGTAGCCCAAATGTCGGTGCGGGATTCATACGTTAGTGCAGGCGGAACATCTTGGCATTCACTCGGGGAATCAGGGCGGAGCGGAGTGGACATATGGCGGAGGAAATGTCGCTAAGAAGATACATAAATGATGGCAATAGCGCTGAAGATGATACTGTAGAGGTGCGGCAAATTCTCCTGATTTAGTCAATGATGATAATGAAAGTATACCCTTTGCTCTTTACAGCGTTGGGTTTAGAGAGAAATACTAGGTGCAGGAGGGAGAAAAGCATCTAAAGGACTTCGCTAAATGATAATAGGATATCCTCTCTATAGTCTGGCAGTAGAAGGCCTAGGGCGCCAACCTTCTAAGCTCCTAGCTCCTCGAAATAATGATATTAAAGACGATAGAACTATGGTCCCTCTCCACTCTACTTAATCTGTCTCTAAGAATGATTAGGAAACATATTATATTATAGTCTTATCAAACCTCTTGAGATGCTAGAGTTCCAGGCGTTAAATACAGAAACACTACAAAACACTACTCTAAAACCCTGGAAACGTTAATTGGAGATAATCCCATCTCCTGCGCAAAAGAGTGCTAAGGTAATAAGGGAGGGGAGGAATCGATATGCAAAAGGAAAATGAAGCGTGGCATGTTCTACGAGTCCCGAGGGCATAGTGGAGTGGGATGGAGATTCTGGTGGATTGCGTGAGCCCAAAAAGATAATTCGGCTGTACTCCGGTATATGGATGTTAGGATGATCTGGCATGATACTCCTAAGACTCCGTACGGAATAGATCTAGCTACCAGTATACTAAGAATAAAGCCTTATGATTCGGTAGCGAAGCGAAATTTAGCCAAGCTTGCTCGCTAAACTTCAACTGTGCCTTTGATACCTTAAAAGGCCTATTCTGCTCATGAAACATGCATGTAAATAAAGGATTACTTAAAACACCAGCTTAATTTGGCAAAAAAAATATTACTCCTGCAATGTTCACTAATGTTGATATTCCCGAGCCGGGAATCGAACCCGGGGCTCTCCGGTTCTATTCCTGTATACAGGTAATGAAAGCGGAGTATGTTAACCCCTACACTACTCGGGATTGAGTTTGGAGTTGTTGTGATGAAATGTTACTTATTTTACTATATACAGGAGTTTTAATATCCGATCGTCTAAACCGATAATATCCGTTCCTACAGTCGGTGACACTCAAGGACCGCAAATAACCCCCCTTTACGCATCCTAGTACAACCACTACAATACAGTTATAATTTTATTCGGATTGGTCAAATAGATGTAGAAGAAGCTAATACATTATATATAGCTTTTAGAATCGATTTTAATTTAGTGGTGCAAAAGTTATATAGATCAGACCCAGCTGGTTGTATCATTACTTTGCCGCAGAAGCTGTATCTGTATAACCAAGAACTTTCATTTCGCGACGACGAACCATAGAAATAGCTTGAAATACCTGCAACTTGATTGACTAATTCCTCGGAAATAGATCAGACATTCGATTTTGACCCTCTATTATGCTACGCAGACATAGAGTGTGCATTTCCATAGAGTGTTTCGGCAATAAGCATATAAATATATTTATCTCAAGCTCGTGCTCGTGCTGTGCCATAGTGGCGTAGCTCAAGGGGGGTTCCTGTTTAATGTATCTATGTGTTCTGTCAAACCTTGTCAGAAAGTATCATGTAGATTAAAGAGCTTCGACCCCGAAGTCTTTCGATGGCTCGCTTTTCTAGCGATAGGATTTTAGACTACCGAGCTCAAAATAACACAGTTTCCTTGTTGTGACCAGTGGCTAATTTGAAGGAGAAAAAATAGAATAGATTTCGCAGACAGCAAGGAGAAACAACTATGATCTTTGAGAGGCCAGCTCGTAAATGCACGTCGTCTGTTCGGCATAGCTAAATTCAGCCGTGGACGAGCAATAGAAAACCAAATATAGGGCTCAAGTATCACACCTATTCTAGGTACTAAGAAATAGCTCAACGCTGCAGTTTAGGTAGTTCAGAACAGATGTCCTTTTCTATCAAAGTCAAATATAAGTTGCAAAGACAGTTAAAGTTTTCACATTAATGAAGACTTTCCAACTGTAGTTGGCAATCCTAACCGCCGGGCGTGTAACACAGCATATACAAGGCCCAAGGAACCCAAACAGGAAACAGCCTTGGGAAAGAAGGGTGGCAGCCAGTAGGATCACATGACTGACAGTATCCAGGGATCTGGATATAGCACAACATGACAAGCTCTGCCAGATGGCACACATAAGTCGTACCACACAAAGCAGACTCGTCGATTGCTCTGTATCATTACTAGCTTCACAGCAACGAGAACTAAGAATATGACTTGCAGCTGAAGTGAAATCCGCAATTTTGACGTAGCTATTTTCAACTCCTGAACATGTGAATCAAACGAAATGGACAGAGCTACCGGTATTAGAAAAGACGCAAACATAAGAGGAAAGTGAGGTAAGGCTGACGTGTCTTAGCATCGAAGCTGCCAACAATCTTCCCAAATACAGAGACCATGTTCAGCAAGCAAGAAGTCCGTTTGCGCTTGTAGCCATAACAGATTCCAATTCCTAGATGGAAAGAGCTCCGAATAGCTGGCTAAAAAAGGTACGCTCCATCTCGCTATTGGCGAGATCGTGGAGGTGCGTCTGCCAGTCCCGCCACACCCAGATGTTGTATGCAGGAGAGATTGAGGGAGATCTCCAATAGAACCTCTCATTCGCTCCATATTGCCAGATACAGGACTTCTGTTAGGCTTCCAGATTTTTATAACACCTCCCAAGACATTTTCTCCGCACACCATAGGCCCGAACCAAATCTCACGTTAACAATCTCTTGTTTGGGAACGGCTAATCGATTAAAGACAACTGCCCCGGTGTGGTTGGGGTCATTACGCCGGGCGACTCCTCCGCAAATAGTAAGAACTGAATTTATGCCTGCAGCACGCGTCGCTGTAAGGGGGCACTCGCCAGCACAGGGCAGCCAAATAGGAAAATGCTGTTGAGAGGCCACACTTGAATGATGACCTCGCTCCAGCATCTCTCCCGATCAGGCCTCAGGTAAGAAGGTAACTAAATGGAATGTACGCCCAGCGGTGCGTGAGAAGAACTTGTGCCAAGCCGTATAAATAAGAATGCTTATCGACAGGGTTGGCAAAGTTCTTCGGTTCTCGCAGGAGAGGAGGCTGCAGCTTGTCTATATGTAGTACCGCATGGACGTATGGACAGCTTGTCTTGAGTTTGAGCCGTGGTGGCGTGCGTGAGACACTTAACTGCCCCGGAACTATAACTTCGGACCGCCAACAACACAAAGTGTGGTGGGCATAACATCCGCTTCAAGCACAAAGGAGTTTTATACAAATCCACAACGGTCCACTATCTACTAGGTGCCTATCTGTCTGCCAGCTCACATAGCCAAATGGACGGGATGGACTATCCATATTTTACCACGGCCGCGCCCCAAGCGTATCCATTCGTTGGCCTGCCACCGACTCCATCACATACAAATTCCATCTCGGAGCATGATTTCAGCAGCAACCCCTCACCACCTGTTCGTTCTCATTTCCCTACAAGTAGCTTCAAGCCTGATCCGCTCTTCATCCTGACCCCAGTACAGGATGCCAACTACGATTTCCAGTTTGAGAGCTACAACCAGCACTTCACGCAAAATACCCAGACTGCCTTGCACAAACCACCACAGACCCCGCACTCTCAACACAACGGCCACAAACCTTCCTTCAGCGGCTCGCGGAACGGCCATGGCCTCGACCAGGATCTGGGTATCAAGACCAATACCAACCCCATAAACCAGCCTGGGAGCAATAGCGACGATGACGATAACACGCAACCTGCCGTGTCCCGGCGCAAAGCCCAAAACCGCGCCGCGTAAGCAAAGCTTTCACCCCCAAGTATCCCTTACTCCAGCTAACAACTATGCACGCAGTCAACGAGCCTTCCGCGAACGCAGGGAACGCCATGTCAAAGACCTCGAAGCCCAGAACGCGAACCTAGAGAAGAACTCGGCTAGCGTTGCCCAAGAGAACGAGCGCCTAAAGCTCCAACTCCAGAAAGCCACGACCGAGAACGAGATCCTCAAAATCACCTCTACTAATCCCCGCGAACGCTCCGAGCCTCTTCCAACACATGGCCCCATGCGGTTTTCGCCGACGGATTTCTATACCGAGGTGTTGCACGCGCACGAGAACAAGACACCGAGCCACCGCATTGTGACGAGCGAGTCGGGGCAGAAGTTATATGCTGCGGGAGCGACGTGGGATTATATCATTAACAATCCGCTGTTTAAGAGGGGTTTGGTGGATATTGGGGATGTGAGTGATCGTTTAAAGAAGGTGGCTAAGTGTGATGGGCAAGGGCCGGTGTTTGAGGAGCGGGAGATTCTCAGTGCGATTGAGAAGAGTGTTGCCAGTGGCAATGATGAGCTGTTGTAAGTAATCTTGATGATCATGGCGTCGTGAATAGCACGGTGTTAAGGTGATAACTGTTGACTTGGGTTTGGGCATGGGCATGGGAGTTTCGGGGAGGCGTGTTTTCTCTCTCTTTGGCTATATATTGGAGTTTTTATCTTATATACAGGTGAGAACTATATACCATTACATTTACTTTTGAGGTAATGTTTCAGGCTTTCTAAGTGGAAAAAACAGCTGCTATCTGTTTATCTTGAACTGCTATACCAAGTCCTTCCTGTGGACGATTATCTATGTTCCACAACTCTTTGGCCTGAAGATTATAGACAAATTCAAACAATGTACATCTTGCGCCTACCTGTATTTCAAGACTGGTGCCTTACCCCAAAGCCCCTATCTCATTCCCAATTTACACAAGAGCGATCTATGATATATCCATCGAGGCTTAGCCTGGGTTACACAGATAACATGACATATTTCCTAATTGGCACTGGCAATCATTGCCCAATAAGGCTCTATGCGGCGCTCGTAAGACGGCCAGCAGGAGCCTCAACCCACTCGCCGTAATACGAGAGGTGCGAGTGAGATTCATGTAGGCACAGGGATCTCCTTTTGAAGCACGAGGTACCGGTATATAGCATCACAAGGCTTGAAAGTTGATCTTGTACTTCAACGATCCCTCTTAGCAATTACTTTATTCTTCTTCTCGTATAATGTGACTGTGAGAAAATCAAGGGGCAGGATGCCTAAATTCCTCTCGGCCAGTGAGAGGCAGACTTTCAAGGAGCCACTCAGCTGCGAAGAAGGACTGTAATTGTACCATTTAGCATTAATCCAAGACTTGAGATATTTCCTTGGTACTTGAATAGTTTACCAATACCTCTTTTCACATTCCCGACTCCATTTAACCTTTTCCTGCAGATTCTGCTCAAAAGTGATGTTTGCGGAAAGCATGTACCACATATTCGAACTGTGTTAACAGCCGCTTTTGGCAAATTGTTCGAATCAAGAAGGCAATACAGTAGGCAGAAGGCAGAAGAGGAAAGTCGGACATCCGCTCCTATTTCAAGCATACTCCCTGCAGCACATTGCATGAGATGAGACATTTCCAATGGCATTTACTAGAGGCGGTGTGGTTGCAGCGAAACAATGCTACCTTTCCAGCAACAGCTTTTGTATGAAATCACAAATATAATAATCTAGTTTTTATAGTAAGTAAGTAGCATCGCTATCCTATAAGTAAGTGAAGTTGACAAACGCCTGTTCTCAAATTATGATAAAAGCGAGAAATAATTGCTCATACATCTTTCCGGTCTGATATATCGATATTGAGTTATCAAATGCTGAAGACTCGATATATGGAACTCGCTGAAATGCTGATATACGAGGAAACCAACCTCTTGGGCTCAGCAGAAAGAGCAGAAAGAAAATGGTAATGGCTAAGAATGAATACAGATAATTTGGGCTGGCTATAGAACAGTATGATGCGAGAAAGCTTTCTTTTATTCACGTATGCGATGAAAGTAAGCTTAAGACAGAACTAAAGAACGTAGCGTTTGAATAACCCATGGTGGGAATTCTAAATCTACTGTTAAGTATAAATGAAAACTAGTTCGACAAGTGAGATCCGTAACTAACATACCAAACTAATGCATTTATTCCAACCCAACGAGGAGATATTGGTAGATATCTAACAGAAAACTCCCTTTGCTCCGTCTCCATCTTCTCTCCCGAATATCGAAAGCGTGGGTGGGGTACTTACTGCCTGCTGTTTAACTGCTGTTAATTTCTGTTTGACCTGGTTGTGTTTAACTTTACATGAACACGGCAAATAGGAAGCTGAGTAGGTGTAAGCTTTATCGGCATATGCTCTTAGTTGAGAATCAAGACTTTTGCACTCCTAGTACATGTACTCATCTTGTTCGACATTACTATACGCTCATTGGTACAGGGTAATACACTCGGTCGGCGAATTTACACACCACCCTAACAAGAGGAGACTTCCTTTTGGGTCAATGGAATTCGTACCCGGGAATGAAATGAAGCTGTATATAGTAACCACAGTGGAATGCAGCGAGTATGTTAAACATAGTAAGAAAAAGAAATAACAAAACACAAAGGAAGTGTGAGCATATACAGATATTGTTACTATATTCAACACACTCAGATCCAATCTAACGGCCCAACAAGCAAGCAGGCGCCGTATATATAAAAACACACACTATCCATCCATACCCCCAAAACGCCATTAACTACCCACCCACCCCAAACTCCATCATACACCTAACTTGATAACAATCAATACTCAAACACCATCCATCTCAACCTCCCCCATCACGCCCTCATAATCCAAAAACTCCGCTTCCCCAAAATCACCGTCAGCACCCACAACAGCTACATTCTCCTGCCCACGTCCAAACACCATCTTCCGCCTACTATCCAGCTCCAGCTCCATCTTCTTGCGTCTCGGTACCGGCACCGCCATAACCCTCCCAGCACGAAACTCCAAGCCCAGGTCGAAATTCATGCCCTCAACCTCCTGCTCTTCCTCGTCCTCAAATCTCCGCTTATTCCCTCCTCCGTTCCCGGTAAATCCACCATAGTCATTCGAACTCGTACTCCCCTGACTCAATACCGGACACTCCATATCATCCTCCTCCCCTTCTTCCTCTACTCCCCACTGCTGCTGTTGTTGCGCCATCCCACCAACCTTTAAAATCCCACAAAAAGGCGTCAACTCCCTCGCTCTAGGCCGGTTTCCCCCACTCCCACTCACACCTCCATATCTCTTCTCAGGCTCAGGTGAAGCTGCCGATGAACCCGAAAAGTGACTCGTATCATCCGCGAATAACGTAAAAGCGCTATAAGCAGCACCGGTTTTATACCCCTCCGGTACAGCTTTGCGCACACGCATACCGACAGACAGGAGATTCGATTGGACGTCCAGGGGCAGGGACAGAGGCGGGTTGTTTGGCTCGCGCGCGCGGTCGGAGAGGGGGCCGGTGGTGGAGGGCGAGGAGAAGTAAGATGTTATCTGGGGTTGAGATCCGTTGTAAGGGCGTTTGGAGACATGGTGATGTGGCATAATCTCTATTTATCTATCTGCTCTTTCTTACAAGCAACAGTTTCTTTCTTCCTTCGTGATGGTAGACTCGTGGTTGATTGATAAGAGGCTGGATTGGACTCGAGCGCGAAGAGTCGAGCGCGAATTGGATTGGATTTTGTAGAATAGTGATTTATGAAGGAAACGACAGTTGGTGGCAATGAATGAATGAATGGATGGATGCAGTAGATTAATTCAGAAAGAGGGGTTGCAAGTAAAAGCGTCTGGAAATTGGGGGCGCGTGCGTGGAATAAGGAAAGACGCGGGGGTGAATTTTTGGCGCGCGTTGAGTGGGTGAGCCTGGTCTTGTGCACAGGTGGAAGGAAAGAAAATGTTACTTACGGGTTTACTCCGTACTTAAGCAGGAGGACTTCGGCCTCTGCTTCTGGATTTAAAACGTTATGGCTTTAAGTGTGTTTATATTAAAGGTACTCGTACGGGTGTTTTACTGTTGCATATATTCTGAGTTTGGAGGACTGTTTCATAAATTCGTCATTGCGGAGTTAGATTGGATACTCGAGTACAGTACATGCAATGAGTTTTGATTGGGGAATTGGAAGGAGGGGTGTTACTTGAGATATTTTCATTTTGGGAAAGAGAATTGGATGGAGTATTGAGATGAGTGTTTAATAGTTGCAGTTAATAGCCTCCTCGATTTTCAGCTCATGATTCATGGCGTCACATCACATTAATCAAGACAGTATTTTGTGGGATCTTATTTTCGTAGTGCACAAGGCCCAATATCCACCACCTGCACTGGGTATGTAGCAATCCTCGAACAAGCGCACCACGTCCTCGCATCAAGTATTGATCCACCAAAAAGGCAAACCCTCTAAACACTATGTGGAGTATATCGCCACTCTCAGCCCTTCCCATGCAAGATTTTATTCGCACATCGAGACACATCCACCACCAGGCCAGATAAAAAAACGAAAGAGAAATTTGATGCCAAGATATCCGGAAGTTCCCAAACGCCCTTAATTTTGCTTTGGTTGGTGCTCAAGGATTTTTGGTCGATGTCCATCTTCTATCCGTCAAACAAATGTACTGTATGCGTAGAGAAAGAAGAAGCAGCAGATCTAGAGCTCCCTCATGCCGAAAGACGTAAATGCATCATGAAACCGAGGCCAAAAGAAAGCAGACAGCGAGACGCCTACTTTCTTCGGAATGAGCAGCCCTCGGTAAGACGGGCTTTTCCACCAGTGGGTTGGCAGAGCACGGTCGAGCAGCCGGCGCAGATGACGACGGTTTGTGCGTGCGAGAAGACGGTGGTGATGGTGAAGCAGCCGGGGCACTTGACATCCATGAAGAAGGAGCGGGGAGCTGGTACAAGGTTCTGGAGGGGTAAAAAGTTAGTTTCTGCGCTGAATCCAAAGTAGGAAGGGTTCAAGGAATGGTAATGGACGCATACCTTGAGCTTGTGCTTGCGAGCCTCAGCGGCTGGGGTTGGGTTGAGGAGATCAACTGCGAGAACCTATCCGTAGCACCACGTTAGCGTTTGGCCTTCATGTCCATCACAGTATGCCAATTCCAATTTTCCCTCCATCCCTGTCATCTCAATCATCCGCAGATGGACTCCTTGGGCTATTCCATCTTCCTCGTATCATCGAAGCAGTTGTGCGTAGGTCGTGTGCCAGATTTCCTTCCAACAACGTCTCTTATCCACTCTTGAGAAGGGGATTTCCTTACCATGATGGCGGTTGCAGAATAGTATTTGTGCTATTTCGGATTGACTGACGGGTCTTTCGTCGAGTAATATGCTTGTGCTGGACGTAGAGAGCGGATGTCAGTCGTTGCCGATGATGGATCGTGAAAGATTGAAAAGAGGAGGCGAATTGAAAGTGTTTAGCGATTGTGCGAGCCATCACGTGCCGCAGCTATATCTTGATAAATTTTTGATTGGTGGTCCAAGCATCTAGAGCGGGGCTAAGTGGGGTTATGTTTTCCAAGTGACGGGACGGTCAGTTTGTCCTGTTTGCGCATACGCGTTTCTCAAGGCAACTTTTGAACTCTCCACCTGCAACAACTTCACCAAATATGGCAGCCCCAATGGACGAGCGCATAAGTGTTCCCATAGACGATCCAAACGCAGACACAGAATGGTAATAGTCTTCATCAAATTCAAGATTTCATACTCACGATTCCCAGGAATGAAATCCTCCGCAAACACGGCGTGATCCCTGAGAAACCCCCCTCCCCCACCCCCCTCATCGAAGAAGCAATCCTCGAGGGCCGCCGCCTCGCCCACGAAAATCGTCTAGAAGGCAAAGACCTCGACGAACTCGACGCGCTCGAAGATTTAGAAGATGAGAACTTCTTGGAACAATATCGCCAGCAGCGAGTCTCAGAACTTGCAGCCTTGACGAAGAAGGCGGTGCATGGAGCTGTGTATCCGCTTTCCAAGCCGGATTATTCGCGCGAGGTCACGGATGCGAGTGCCAGTGGACCGGTGCTGGTAAATTTAACTAGCGGCCTAGGCACGAATGTTGAGAGTAGGGTGCTTACTGAGCTTTGGAGGCAAGCGGCCGGGGAATTCGGGGAGGTTAAGTTTTGTCAGATTAGAGGGGATATGGCGATTGAGGGGTATCCGGATAGAAATTGTCCTACGATTTTGGTTTACATAATGGGGATATTGTGAAGCAGGTTGTGACGCTGATGACGCTTGGGGGGGTCCGAATTGGGATGAAAGAGATTGATAAGTTGTTGATTGAGGTGGGCGCTATTAAAGATAATGACATGAGGGTTATGAGAAGGAGAAAAGATGCGGAGGATGAGGAGGAAGAGAAGAGGGAGAAGGGTGGAATAAGGGGTTCTAAGCAGGCGACTGCAGAGGACGATGATGATGATTGGGATTAGAAAGGTATTGCATAGCATGGAGTCACGGTATGGGGAATGGGAAATGAGAGCTACGAGCCTCCAACATTTTATGGAATGGCATTTCGATTTTACTGCTACCAAACTCTCTTGTGTTGCGCTCGTGGTCTGCTATTACTCGTGCTCAAACCACAGCAGATGGCTTAACATCGCCATCCCTCAAACTGCTCAGCGCTGGAGTACCAGGAGCAGGAGGACCAGAGAATCGCGTCTGAACGAACGTCTTCATGATCCCCTGTTCCTTCTTGTCAAACGCCTCATACAACTCTTTAAACTCATCAATCTTGAATCGATGAGAAAGAATGATAGTCGGATCAAACTCTCCACTCTCAACCTTCTTCAGCAGATCCTTCCAGTACTTCTGCACTGGGGCTTGACCAGTTCCTCTCAAGGTGATGCCCTTCTCCATCAAAGCACCAATCAAGAACTGATTCGTCATAGCCGCATAATCCGCAACCAGCGCAATGTTACCAAACTTCCGAACAGCCCGCAAAGCCTCGTTGACAATCTCAGCACTGTCAGTCTCCATACCAATAGCTCTCTGAACACCATGCAAGAGACCCTTGGTATATCTGAATGCCGCAGCATCAATACCACAATCAACTCCATCAGGCTCAAGCTTATAAATAGCCTTCACCACATCCGTCTCCTCGTCAAAATTGATAACATCGCAGCCAATAGTATCTCTCGCCAACGCCAAACGCTCCTTGACTCTATCAATAACAATAACACGACGAGCTCCTGCAAGCTTTGACCATTTCGCAGCAAGCAGTCCGATTGGACCAGCGCCCCAGATGGCAACACTCTTCCCCTTCTCAACTTCAGCGCAGACCGTTGCGTGGTAGGACGTAGGGATGATATCAGAGAGGAAAAGCGCCTTCTCGTCTGGGACGCTATCTGGGATCTTGAGCAAATTCGTATCGCCGAACGGACAGCGGACATATTCAGCCTGGCCACCTGCAAAGCCGCCCGCGAAATGCGAGTATCCAAACAGGCCGGCAAATGGTTTGCCGTATAGCTTTTCTTGGACAGAAGAAGAGTTTGTGGTGTCGCACATGGAAGTTAGGCCTTCTTTGCAGAACTTGCAGGTTCCGCAACTAGTGGGGAGTCAGTACAAGTTTTAGGCGATTCGTTGCGAGTGCTTACGCGATCTGGAACGAAGCAACGACACGATCTCCTTTCTTGACATTCTTGACTTCAGATCCAACTTCATCAACTATACCCATCCACTCGTGACCCAAAATATCTCCTGCTTGAAGCTGCATGATTTCCTTATGGTAGAGGTGCAGATCGCTCCCACAGACGGTCGTCCCCGTCACCTTGCATATGACATCTTTTGGCTCTGTGATGGCTGGGACTGGTGCTTCGACCACTTTGACATCTTTGGGGAATTAGCATTAGTTGACGGTAAAGATGAGGTGCTTGGTTGCTGACTTTTGTTTCCGAACCATTGGAGAGTAAGGTGTGTTTCGTTGGGACGAGTATTGGGAGTGTTAGTGGTAGAGGTAGGACGGTCTCCCATCGCTTTCTGCGCCTGGTTGGCGGCAGTAGTGGTAATACCAGGAGGAGTGATTTTATCCATGTAACTCGCCATGTTGACTCGATTTATCTAGATTGTTTAGGTTGGGTTGGTAGTAGAGGCAATATTTGATGAGGAAGATAATACGTAGGTCGAGAAAGAAATGCAATTCAAATCATTTTTAAACAAATTCCATTGCACTTGCTATGGGATTCTTACCAACGTCATGGTAATTGAGGCAGGGATAGAAAGAGGGGCAATTCCGACTTCCCGACCAAGACGAACAATTGCCGTTAGCATTATTTGATCGGTCAGCGATTACTGGTGTTGTACATGTTTGTAATATTAGTGTCGTGATGTAATAGTCATTCGAGAAGTCCTGGCGAGTCCTAGCGAAGTGGAGTGCAGTGGCAATATCTAGGTACGTCAATTAAGCGAGGCATGACGCTCGCCCTTTTTTTTGCCAGACGGTATGATTGGCTATATATCGTATATGTCAATAATTATAGATAAGTAAATACACTTGAGGTTAAATATACTTGTGTTAATCATTCAGCGGCTGTTGAGGCTGCCAGGATTAATTATACATAAACACCTCTACCTCTGACGGTTTTTATTAATCTATTAGACTTGATAATTATAATTATACGAGTACGAGTAGTCCCAATGCCCCACTTTCCTCTTCAGTCAAGTCAAGAAGCTCTACTTTCATGGGCAGAATTCAGCCATTTAGGCGTTATAGTACAGCCTATCAGCTATCAAACTTTGCTACATGTCAAAGTTTAAATGGTGACACTTCCGGAGGAAGTCGGGGAATACGGGGAAATATGGATACAAAGCAAGAGAACAGAAACGTATATGCTCCGTGGCAGAGTATGCAATTGGGCAAGAAGAAACAAACCTTTGGTCATTATTCGTCTATAGATTTTGTTTGTATTGTAAATAGCCAATCAAATGTCGAATAATATAAATGGTTCTATTCGGAGAGTGCAGATTTCTGGTTTTGGTATACATGTTTGCAGATGGCGGCTTCCTCTGAGAAACGAAACAGCGCTACTTCCGAATAGGCATTTCTAAACTGATCCGATTTCAGAAGTCAAGCAATTTCAAGGCGTATAGTAGTGCAAGAACGAAGCTCTGAGCACTTGGCGGAATTGAAGCTCTCAGAAAGTCGAGGACACGGGAAATAAGCAATATGGACTACATGGAGCTGGTCAAAGCTTCCGGAGGAAAGTTCCTGGGGTTGCTAGTTAACACGTGACAAGGCTGGTACGCGATGTAAACAGTCCCCAGACCTCAAGTAGCCCACTTCTCCGCCTAATGGGCAATATATGTATCAACAAATGATACCAGAACAGCCAGTTTCCAATGGAAGATGAACCCACACTCCCGAAGCTTGGTTGGAACCCCATCACCGAGTCGTTTTCCAACAATCGAAGAAGAAAACGCGTCCTAAGCAGCCCCCCTCCCGTTTCCAGCGACCCCCCGATTTTCTCCAGCGATGATGACCCTTCCGCAGACAATTATACACAACAACGACGGAAAAAGAAATACCGAGGGCCATGGTATCAACAGCAACTAGCCTCAGACTCTGGGTCTTTGGACCAGAATGAGAACGATCAGAATATGAAAGGAACGAGAACACGGACGTTTGAAAGACAATATGACAGCGGTATCTTCATGGGAAGCGATGGGACAGATATTGATGAGGTTATGGAGAACTTGCCAACTACGAGAGCGCCAGCCTTATCTTTGAGACTGTCTCGGTCAGCTCAGACGGACAGACGAATTCCGTCACCAGAAGAACTGGCGCGGGGTCAAATCGATAGATGTTTGGAAGAGGGAGAAGAGAGCATTGATTTATCGTGGGTATTCAGAGCCTCTGTCATACTTTTGCAAACTTAACAAAGTGTGAACAGGGCTCGAGGCCTCATGACACTGTCAAATGCAACTATCCGACCCCTCGCTACATTTACACCCGTTCCGCTAGTTATTCAAGGCGTCTTCTCGCAAATGGAACATGATTTGAAAGTCTTTCTCGCTGCGAATGCTCTGACAACTCTCCCAGCAGAGCTATTCAAACTTGAAGGCTTGAAAGTCCTAAGTTTACGCGCCAATTTATTCCGTGAACTTCCGCCTGCGATTGGAAACCTCCATAATCTCAAAGAGCTGAACATTTCCCAAAATCGCCTCCGCTACCTTCCGTTTGAAATTTTGGAGTTATTCTCAGTCGACAGTCACCTAGAGAGCCTTATGCTGCATCCAAATCCCTTCTACGAGGCGAAATTCCCTACTACCGATGAAGAAATGCAGGAGGTACACTACAAGATCGGGCTAGGAAGTCAAACGCGTACGCGCCCTCGGCGTGGTGCTATCTGCTGTGTACCACCAGATCTAGGCCGACGATCATGGCATCCACGATGGAAGCTTACATGTAAAGCTCGAACCGAAGTTCGATATTTAGACACCAACGGATCTCTTGTAAAAGGGCCAGTATTTCCTGACCTAACTGCTCGTGGATCAAGCTCTGTACACAGGTCATTACCGGTTGCGGATGCAAGCGATATGTGCACCCCTCCTCCACCTCGAGGTAATCACTTATCTCGCGCACCATCTCTACTCGAAGTGTCCCTGAACGCCTGTTCCCAAAGCTCGCAACTGCCGAAGCTACCCTCTTACCTCCCTGAAGATGGTCCAGCATACCTGCCCGGACTCTTAGCCAGCGTAGCAGCGAAGAAGGAAGCAGGAGGCAGCAAGTGTACAATCTGCAAGCGCAACTTCATAGTTGCTAGAACCGAGTGGATTGAGTGGTGGGAGATCGCGAAGATCTTGGATCACAAGACCCTCGCTGGGCTGGTAAGCGCGGCCAGTCCTTTAAGGCAGAGAGAGAATGAGAGGGATGTTCTGGAGAGTATGGTCCCGTTGATTAGAAGAGGATGTAGTTGGTTATGTGTGCCAGCCAAAGCGGAGGCAGTTGAAAGGACTGAGGAGCGGCCTGATGTGATGGATGTGGATAACTGAATGATTGTAACGATGTTGTATATTCTCCATTGCCTTTGGATATAGCTAGGTGTTTTGGCGTATATAATGGGCAGTTGTTGATAGCCATATGGTATTGTCTTCGCCATGTACCGAGGATTCCTTGGCCTGAACATCAGATTTTGCTCTTGTGGTTGCTCCAATACCCAGTCTTGCAAAGCTAGTAGTTGGGCCCTGCAAGGCAGTCAAAGTCTCTTTCTACTTCCACTTCTTCTCCAACATATACCCCCGCTAGTTTTAATCTCATTGAAAGCTTATACTGTACCTACATTCCCATCCTATAATGATATCCTTGCTTCCCCTTTGGAACTCCGAGGACCTCAAAACGTCCCACAAGACTCTCGATGCCGTCTTGACTTGAAGCATGTGTATCAGACAGTAGGAAAATATGCGAGGATGGATAGGGATAGCAGAAAGGTGAGTAAAGGTAGGGAGGGTGAAGGGGTTGGTAAAAGGGGTGAGTAATAGAACCAGTCTAATGTTTGTGATTCCCTTCATCTAAACTGTTTGCCTAAACACACAACATCATGTGTCACGTTTTTCAGTTGTACAGTGCAATTTTTTTGCTAGGAGATTGTGTTGCGATGCTAATTACATTGCGCTGGCTATTGTACGTGGAAACTGGTGATTGTTGAACAAAGCTCCTGCTAGCAAATGTCCCACCTTTTCCCTTCCACGCTCCTCCAAATTGTACAATTCGGGCTCTTTTGGTTGCACAAGCATCAGTCCCAGTTGATAACGGAAGACTCTGGTGACTCTACCAGTGGACCTTCTCCGAAATCTCGAATCACAACCCGTGGAGCTTGCCCGTCTGGATACACTTCTTTGTGCTGGTCAAAAAAGTTTTCAAAGCACCCCTTTATTCCAAGTTTTGTAATTGTAATTCTATTCGTATAGGCTTGATTTTCACTTAAAGTGAATCTGACTTCTTTCAAGGCACTGAGGAACAGGAGATTGTTCAGGGAGAACCCTTCATGATTTGCATGAGCGGCACAACACATATTCCAGTCTTCCATGTACCAAAATGTATCAGTCATATCTAGATACTTGATTAGTTTAAGGCATGGAGAAAAGTCGGAGTTGATATGCGAGATCCATGTGTGCACCGTGCAGTTCGTCAAAAAGAAAAGCCGGAAGGTTATCCATACGCGGTCTACCATTGGATTGAAGATCAGCCTAATTGTGCTGAATGAACTATGGCAGATAATGTAGTAACTCCTGAGTGTTTCTCGTCTGCTTTCTGTATTGATTTGTAGTGCAACTGGGGGTTTGTTGTCGCCGTCCATGTTCAATCCCCTAGCAGCGAGCAAAGTGGATGGCCATGGTACAATCCCCACCAAAGAAACTAGGCTTGGACCTGGAAGCGTGCATCTCCAGATGTTAGATCGGATTTCGAGCGGAAGTTTTGGGAAGCACGTGAATTTGTCATAGGTTCCTTGGGATCGATCAGGAAGACTTTGGAAAGACGACGACATGGCTGCTTCAGCCTCTGGAGCAAGAGAAATGTTGCTGTGAGGAATTTCACAAGATGAAGATTGTGTTGCCTCTGTGCCCCTGTCCCCAACCCTAACCACAGCAGCGACGGACGTGGCTTCACCCGTGATGCTGAGGTCATGTCGTCCACTATCCTCAATCTGCTTGGTGTAGCTCTCCTTGAGACTGTTCGGGACAATGACAGAGTTGGTATGATCACCAGGTTGGTGACGGGATGCGCTATCATGGAGCGGCGTTGTTCGACTGTCCTCGGACCCCGGGATAACTGAGTCCTCAATGGTGTCGCTGGCTCGGGAGCGCTTGCCAAGAACTAAGCTGACCATGGCGAAGGTTTTGTCGATGGGCCTGCTGGAAGTGACTCAAGTGAGTTAGAACCGTTGGCAGAACGTCAACTCCCGCAAGACACTTACTGAAAGGTGAGGTGATCAGCGATATGCTCCGATGCTCAGTTTGCCCCAGCGGTGCTGCTATGAGCGGGTGTGTTGCAGATTTTTGGGGAAGCTTGGTGTTGGAGGTGTTGTCGAGTTTGGATTGAATTGAATTGAAAGGGTGGATCACCGCTCATTCACACTTGATAGGTCACTCTTATACACATAGGAATAAGTTAAATCGAAGGATTAGCTAGTATGAGAAGGGTTCTTCCCTCTTCCCTCTTTAGTTCAGCATTCTTGTTCTTAGAAGTCAGAGACTCTTAATACCACCTAGCAAGTTCTCCCACTCAGCCCAACCTCTCTTTTAGTCCTTAGGTTAAGTTATGACATCTATGAATTTAACAATGGCAGATTATAAATTAAGGGTCTTAATTTATGAGTTAGGTGTAGATCCCATACAATATATATGCTAGATTTCTAGCCTAAAGACGTTATATTTTCCAACTTTCCTCTACTTTATATGCTTCACCCTAGGTTAGATAAACCCTCTATAGGGAAGTATATGGTGATTTTATATTATGTCAGAGAGGTGTCGGTAGCTAGACGGACCTCCTGAACGTCTCGCTTAATTCATCTCAGCCGAAAAGGGAAATAGGTAACAACGACAGCAAGCATTCAGTAAACACTTAATGAGGTGCTATAGCTGAAAACTAGAATAGTAAGAGCTCATGAGACATTTTTCTATTTCCACGCATGTCTACTTATTAGAATAGACCTTAAATCAAGCGTTTGCTCTCTACTCTAGACTTCCTCGCTCTTTTAGGGTGGGAGTGCTACTCATTTCGGATGTCTTAAGTTGATTCAATATGAAGAATTGAATTCCCCAAATATTCCATGACATTCTTCACATAGAAAACAAGAGGCAATGCTAGAATCAGAAAGGAATACCACTGTATTTTTATAACTAGAACAAAGAATATACCTTTCCAGTCAAATAAACGCCTTGCCATCAGCAATTCAATTGTCTACTGTACAAGCACTTGCGGTTGATTTGAATCTCAGAGATCTCCTCAGACAAGCGCGAGACCAGTAACAGCTAAGCAACTATTCACCCTGGAAGGTAAATCTTGGCTGTGCAAAACTGCTACTAGCACAAATTGTAAGTTTGTCAACGTGGAATTTCTTCAGAATACGGAACTGATAGACTTAGACCCTACGACAAACCTCTGATACAGGCCTACTTCGTCACGAACCATCGTTGCCGCAATGACGCCCCAAGACCTCTCTGAGAATGTCCTGCAAGTAACTAGCTTCGACAAAGAAGGTGATACATCCGGCCCTGTCAAGACCATCGCCTTGGAAGAGTTCTTATTCCGCCAAGAAGATTACAACGAACCTGGAGAACCGGAAGCTCTGAAGCTCAGCATGGTAACATGCGATGCGCTTGCAAACATTCTGGAAGACGAGCTGGACATGAATAAGGAGACTTGGGAGACCTGGGCACTTTATTACCAGCCGCCAGATGATCACGATGCTGGTCAAAATGAGGAACGAAGAATAGACTCTGATGTCAGCTTGCGCAGCGCCATCAAGCTCCTGCGGACTGCTGGAAATATTGTTCTGCCGCTCTTGCTAAGAGAAAGTATTGGATTGGATAGCGAGGAAGAAGAGGCCATGGATCATAGTGACGAGGAGGTCAGCGAGGAAGAAGGGGCTATGAACCACAGTGACGAATACAGCGAGGAAGAAGGGGCTAATGACCACGGTGATGATAAGGTCACTTAAGATGAGCCCGAGTTGAAGGATAGCAAATCGGAATGATGCGGGAGTGCTATGGCAGTGGGCGGTAGACCTGACTTACTGAATAATTGACCAGCAACCGACGTATTTTTCGTCGTTGTCCTTCTTGCTATTGCTGTTGTAACTCCATTTCTTGCAAAGCGGATGGGTCGGTTCTTGGACAGTGGGATTTGGAAAGCACAATATGTACCTTGAGATCTAGCTATAGACCCGAGTCAGTAGCAAACAAGGAATTGCTGGGAATCCCCCTGTTTGCTTGCGTGCATACTATTAGTAATGCATTCACACAGTCGTACAGCCAAAAATCATCTAATCACCAAGGTCGTTCACACTTGAAGCAAATTGTGAAAATAGATACCTCGAGGAACATTGCACTTTATAAACCAGACTCAAGTTCTTCCCCCCCTCTCCCCCCATTGAAAACAGTCAAGAAACACGAACCAGTACGCAATCGCCACCCATCTATACACTTCCCTCACTTCCACGAAAAAGAACTACATGGATCCTGCAAAGATTCACCAGCTCCGAGACTGCGTCTTGGAGGCCCAACCCACCACCGTTGATGGAAAACCCAGCGGACCCATCAAATTCATCTGCATCGAGGAGTTCGAGCTTGAGAGAGGCGAATACCAGCATACACCAAGCCATGACCTCTCGCCACATCATCTTACCATCGAAAGCCTGGGCCGATATCTATCTAGCGAGTTGAAGATCGCTGATGATGGTGGCTGGGATATCATATCCCTGGATAACTATCAATGATCCCATATAAATAAGGGGAGTAGGCAAATCATATCACAACGCCTAGGGCTCAGTGGGAGCTTATACAGAGTACGGACACGGGTACCGTCACCACGAATAGTAGGCTAGCTTTATGGTATCTGTAAGGATGATTAGCTACATAATATCCTTCATTTCACGGAGAAAGCCCACAATTTAACAATTATTCCTGGGGGGGGAATACCAGTTTCATTTTCGATGGTTCCGGGAGAGTTAAGAAGGCTGAACTACTAGTGAGGCGTCCCGCCAACCAGATCTTTACGATCTTATCTTGGACTGATTAGTTGTCTCCAAATAAGATAATATTTTACAGCCATCTGTCCGAAGAATTAGCATAGAAGCTTCAGCCGTATAAGCGAATATGAAGACTATCATCTTCGATTCAGGTTATGCGATTTTCGTATTCTTTGTTTTAGTATGTTAAGCGTGGATTAGACTAGAAAATCAGGTATTCTCGCATATATAAAAAACGCAATCCTTGTTTACGATAGAACGAAGGGTTGCAGATCATAGATCTATACCATACCATTATGGAGCAGCTATTGTGTAGTCCGATGGACAGATTCCAATGAGCCAAATATCTGGATTGACTAGGGAGATCTGCGCAACGGCATGGAAATGAGAGGTGATAAGAGCAGAGCTTTTAAACGCCAGCTATCCGTGATAACTTACTTTTATAGGATTGGCGTAGCAAGTTATAGCATTAGATATGCTTGTCGAATCTAGCTATATGGAAACTAGCCGTTTCTTCTCCGGTGGGGCAAAACAGCTCTAGTGAGAGCCGGAGTGAGGGCGAACTGAAAATCCAGGCCTGGCGGTCAGTGTGTTGGTAGATCAGTGGGCTCCATTGCTAAATCCCTGTACGCCACTTCTTGAAGTCACATACGGAGTACGTATAATGAATTGTTCAACCATGCCTTTACACTCTCAATATTCTCCTTCACAAGCATATGGCAACTACAAGATGTATCTAAAGCCTTTGTTATCGAACTCAGTCGCATCATGCATCCCCAACTCGATGGCCTCTTTCTCTTCAAAAGGCGTCGCTGCTTGTTCCCTATCTCTTTTGCGGTTGAACATATACATGTGAATATACAGAACGAAGACCATCACTAGCTTGATGCTATACGCGATCAACATTGCTAAATACGCCGTATGATATCCCGCTGTCAATAATCAGTCAACACGGCACAGGTTCTCGGAATCATGGAGATTGGGCTTACGGGCTTCTTCCGTGATGAACGTCTGCGGGCCGCAATATTGCCTGCGCACCATCCGATGAATATTACTGCAGCTGTAAGCTGTTTCTTTGTGTAGCCGGCTACGTTCGAAGATATCACGGTGAGACTCATGCTGAAACCCAGGTTTTGGGAGTAGCAAAGCCAAAGAGCAACGAGGCGGCCCCACTGTAGGTATCAGTTTCGGGTTGAGCTCCAAGCCAATTCCTCATTACAGGAGGGGAAATGCCGTATCTTACCTTATTATCGGCTGGTAACCCAACCAGTAGACCTGATCCAATGATACAAATCGTATTTGCCACAACCATTACCGCACATCGCGTCCCAGGCCACCTCGTCGCAACCCAGCCTCCGAGAAGCATTCCAAATAATTGCACCGCTCCGCCAGGAATAAGCATGTACTGAGTGCCCAGTGTATCAAAACCAAAACTAGCGATGTTGATGCTGGCGAAACTTGTCACGGCAGCCGTAGGAATCTGGCTTGACAAGGCCATGATAAACAGGATCCACGTCTTCGGATCCAGAATCATTTGCTTCGCCTGATACATTTTGAAAGTTCGGTTCTTAATCCCCTGTCTATTGGCGGCTACACGCTCTACTGCGACGGCACGCTCTCTTGTGGACAGGAAGCGTGTCGTGGAGGGGCTGTCGGGGAGTAGGAAAAGAATCAGGATACCCCAGGAAATTGTGATGGCACCAAATATCAAGAAGATATATTGCCACTTGGAAAGTCCAGTATTAACGTGACCAACCGCATAGCCAATAAGCCCGCTAAACATAGTGGCTATGCCGATAGTGCTATAGTATGCTTCTATTCGCAGTGGCTGTTCACCAGTTGTATAAAACATAGATATTAAGAGGACAAAGCCTAACCAGCGTGTTAGCATACCAATGAACTCGACATTAGGATAGAGCCAAGAAGCTAAGAACTGTCTCGGAAGCTTTCATGTGGGCAATACCAGGCTCTTAAGACAGTTCCGGGCCCCTCAGTACCCATAGAGAAAATACCCTTTCGTATGAGAATAGGCTCACCTGGATTAATAGCACTTTCCAATGCACCAAGAAAAATCCGATTTGTAGCTATTCCAGCGAAACTAGTACACGCGGGAGTGGTTATAAGGACAGCTCCCCAAGCAATAATAGTGAGTGAAAGTAGGCGTCCAGTTGGAAAATGTTGAAGAAGGTAGCCGAAAGGAAACTGAAACACAAGGTAGCCAATATAGAACATTGAAGCTAGTTAACAACCATCAGTATGCCAACGATAATCTCAAGAGTACACCAACTCAGCCATGAATAATCCTGTCCTTTGAGGTGCGTGTCCTTCTTCAGGCCGTAAACACTTGCGATATTGACACAGTTCTTATCTAGGTATTGCAAGACGTATGTGACCATGAGGATAGACAGAACGCGTAGATCGATCTTCTTCAGGACCTTTCTGGCTTCAGTAGGGTCAAGTTCAACATCTCGGGTGCTCTTATAGAGCCCATAGTTGTCATCGAGGCTTTCTGGCGCGACATTTGGTGACCCTGAAATATTGATGTCTTCAGATATGGTGGTCTTCTCGTCAAGGTTCGTCGATGCCATGAGTTCGGTTACGGAAAGCGATGCCAATGTGATGCGAAATAGTCAAGAAGCTGCTACTCAAAAGGTATATGCATGAAGGACTGGCGAAGTGTCAGAGACATAACCCTTCCTTTGCTTTCTTATAAGCGATCGACTTTTCATCTTCCACACCTTTTCTGTCAGATGTCTCGAACCGAGTAGATCAACGAACGATTTGTCTGGAACCCCGCTGCATTGCAAGGTCGCACTACATTCCAAACCCTGCAAAAGCGGGGAATGACATTCGCGCAGAAAATGTACAAGGAGTGAGGATAAATTGACAATTAAGCATATTTGCTTATCGTCTTCGACAGTTCGCCTGTTGCAAGGAATAATATAGCACATGCTGACATCTACCTCGTGTTTTCAAAACGTACAGAGGGACAAAGACGTTTAGCGCTCCGAAGATGGCGCTTGTAAAGAGAGATGAAAGTTGGCCGCATATTTGCTCTCGTCACATAGTGTTTTGACTGCAATGCTGCTTCCAAAGAGCTTTGGTGGAGAGAATTGTGGGGGACAGAAAAAGAGCCACTAACCATGATGTTGATATCCGGAGTAGGACGTTGAAAGTAGAGAGAAGGCCGCTTGCTGATAAGTCCCAGCGTCGCATTTTGCCAACGCCTTCCGGAGGTGGGCAGTACTCGATCAGATACCTTAATTGAGAATGGATAAAACCAATGTCGGAAAGATGAGCACTGCACAAGCTCTGGAGTAAAGTATTAATTTGTTATAATATTCACGTGACTTGTATACCCTGACAACATTTCCGTATCCAGGCACACACAGGCAAAGTTTGAAGCATGCTTGCAGATTCGCAGCGTTAAAATTCGGTAGCTGGGCTGGGGGGTAATTCGCCAGTCGCCCATTGCGTAGCATCTGGGCCTAACACGAATTCCATCGAGCCACCATGCGCGAAGACATCATCCCATGTCAACCAGCTTCTATCCCAGTTATTGCCATTTATCTTGAGGCTCTGAACATAAATGTTGCTGTCGCCATTCCCATCACCACCGGTGCTTGTAATCTTCAATGTCTTCCCATTACTCAAATCGATAGTCATCGATTCATACCAGGGCGAGTGAATGAGAAACGTCGTTTGGCCAGTCACGGGATACAGGCCGATCATATTCCACAGGAGCCAGGTCTGCATTGCTCCCGCATCGCTATTCCCTGGTAATCCGGTGACACCGATGTTGTAGTTGTTTTTCGCTACCTTTCGCGATTGGAAGACTGAACGATCTGGTCGGTTGATGAAGTTGTATAGATATGGGATGTTGAAGGTTCTATTTATATTAGCGTGGTTCACAATACTAGTTTGCATGCTTACGGTTCATTTGTGTCATCGAATATTATTCCGCCGGAATTATTTGGGTCTGCACCGACAGTGAACATGGCTTCGAGGCGGGAATAGAAAGTGTCTGCACCGCCCATCCAATCCACCAGCTTTTTCATGTCGTGTATGTCGCCCCAAGAGTAATCCCACGAACTAGCTTCATAATAAGGATCGCCCCAATATCCAGCGTCTGTCAGCGGATCGGTGGCCACGAATCCCGACACAGTTCTTGGAACGATGAAGCCTTTAAACCCAATCGATTCGAGTTTGGGGTTCCAGTGATTCCGCCAATTCCTCGACCGGCTGAGATACTTTACTGCATCGTCAAGCTTGCCGAGGCCTCTCGCAACTTGGTACAGGGAAAAGTCATTGTATGCGTATTCAACTGCTCGCGAAGCTGCTCGACTAAATGTCGGGGTGATGAATCCATACTGGAGCCAGTCTGGAAGCGCCCCTCTTCCTTCTTTAGTAGAGGAATCTGGAGCTTGTGGGTCGGGGTCGCTGTTCACCGGTGTGATCTCAGCGTCTTTCACCATAGCCGCAAACCCGTCTTCCCAGTTGATTTGGCCCTGAACCCCCTTGACAAATGCATCCGCAAGCACGTTGTCACCGTTCGAACCTCCTTGTGTTCTGCCGTTGTAATTTGAAGACCTTGCATCTGGAAGATACCCATCGTGTCTCCAGATATCAATCATTGAACGAATATGCTCTTCGTAGACTATGGGTTGCAAGACATGCAACAACGATGTTGAGCATCGGAAAAGATCCCAGAGTGTGAAGATATCGGAGTAATACGGCTCGGAGGACGTCCAACCAGGATTTTCACCAGTTTGATTTGTGGGTATAAGGTTCATAAAGTATAGGGAGGTATAGAGCAATCCTAAATTTGTCGTATTTGTTGAAGTTGTCGTGATTTTGGAGAGGACTTCAGTGTTCCAAGCAGCTTTGGTATTTTCTACCACGTTGGAGAAGTCTGTGCCCTTTGGTATTTCATCCTCCATATTTTGACAAGCTTGTGCTTTGGATATCCAAGAGATACCGACCCGCGACGAAACAACTTGGTTGCTGAATGTATATAGACCCCCAACGGCAGTGGTAGAATTGACTGATCCTGACGGCTGCAACACGCTGCTCCCATCCGCTGCGCCAGAGTAGACATTAGAGGTCGTAGGCGTGACATTAAAGTAGCCACCTAAGAACACTTAGCGCCCTGTTTCCCAAACCCTATGCTGAACCTACACGAATATATCTTCCAATTAGGCGATCTGTTCCAGCCATTATTGTAGATCCCCGAGGCTTCATAATGTCCATCCGCCAAGATAGCGAATTCACCACCTGCGTAGCCTTGACCTAATCCTTGGCCACGAAATGATGGAAGTGCGTGGCTGACATCGATTAGAATGTTGTTGCTCTGTGCCGCCGCTGGGAACGTATACTGATACATCCCAGCTCGGGATGTAGCAGCTAGCTCCACGACGATATTATCAGTTGTCTGAGCTTTATAATATCCCACAGATCCCTGATCCACACCTGATCTCCCAACAGTGAGGTTAGATAATGGATTGCTGATGTTTCCTAAGAGCGGCAGCTGAGCAACTGTTCCATATTTTGGGGCACCTCCCGTTCCTTGCTCATGCATCATACTAAAGCCAGAAAATTTGCCATTTGGCAGGTATCCTGAATAAGAATCTGTGCCAACCGCGAGTAGATCAGGGCCGAGTTTGACCATACCATGGGGTTGTGAGACGCCTGGAAAGTCATTGCCGCCATTCTGGGTTCCTGTGCTTTTTACAGTTAGAGACGGTCTTTGAAAGAGGTCTCACAGACTTACAAAACACTGACATATTGGCTATAGTCAGTTGTTTGTGCGGTTGCTAGCCACAAAAATGGGAGTAAAAGAACGAAAGACAGCATATTGGTGTTGTGATATCAAAACTATGCTGAAAACAAATCAAGAGACTGAAGCCCCTTTATATATAGTCAATCACAGGTTTAACGTGATTCACCTATAAACTCAAAATAGAACGCTGAATAATGGGTCCGGCATCCTTCGAGGCTGGAGTGTCGCCTAAGAACATGCTGCGGATGAGCCTTGTGATACGACAAGAACCCCATGTCTCTTAGACACACATTTATGAGACTACGAGATTAAGAGTCTGCACTAGCAAACACATCTTGTGGTTCGGAAATTGCAATGTGTAGGAACTACTGCACTGTCCTTCTTCTTCTGTGCAAGTACTTCTATTAACGAATGAGAGGTCCGTTCGCAAGCACGCTCGGCTTCTGATGGCATCACGTGTATGCATTTTGAAATTCATATTTGAGCTTCTTCTGTGATTCACTGTAAAAGAGCGACAATGGGGGGCGTTCCACTCTTCTCCTTTTCTTGCATCTGACATGATTCAAGCTCGGTGCAGACACTTGAGTCAGGTCGAGGAGGCAGGAGGCCTATTAAGGGGACATGGACTCGATCGATGCGCACGCGCGCAATGGGAGCTAGTATGGGGTGGTAAGAGCAGCAGAGTACGCTCTTGTTGGATGGGATGTTGTTGAAGAGGACAGAGAACCTGCCACCAAGAAGGATAACGATAACATGCTGGCAATTTCCCAATGGAAATTATGACTAAGCACCAACACCCCACCCTGTTGCACCTCTCCTGCCTCTTTCTCCTCTCACTCACCTCCTTCTTCCCTTTACAATCAAACTACCACCCATTCAAGCCCAACCAGGAAGTCAGTGGCGTACATCGGGCTATATGAGTGCATGGAGAGTTTATAACAGAGGCATGTTTGCAACCTCAAGCGCCCCCCTTTCTCTCTATATCTCACCTCCGGTAGAAGTGAGGAGTCCGCTCCAATGGCATGCGAAGAGTTCACGAGCAATGTCTGGGTACGACAAAAAGATCTGATTCCAGTGGTACAACTCCAAGTAAAATCGTGGCATCATTACCAACGATATTGCTCCTGTAGAGCCGGCTAGAGACGAAGTACATGGCATTTCGGAGTTTGCAATTAGCATAAGTCTATTCATCTCCGATCATGTACACTGGACTCTTGGCTTCAACACTATATACCCTCGGTGGTCTAGTAATTTACATCCGTTGCTGATGCATCCCTTTCATTCCGCAAAAAAGGACAAGCTTCGACCTCACCAAAACCCCCCCACAAGAAGTCTGAATTGTGGATTGAATTCCTATCGTGGGTTTGGTGTACCAACCATTCCTTCGTCCCAGTGGATCACGCTGCCGCAGTACCTTTTCAAAAAGTCCCGACATTAGGACCACGGCGTCAAACCCCGGGCATTTCCGCTACAGGCCGCTGGCTTTCCAATTCCACAGGTGGCTGAGCTCCTAAAGATACCTCTGATGCATCGTTGTTACCGGGAGTTCCAGCTCCTTGTGAGAAAGATCTCCCGCACACATTTAAGATGGTCAGCCGTGGCCAGTGCTCGTGTTTTTGTCTTCTCTGCAGCTCCAGCCTTAGCATCTTCCTTTTCTGAACTTTCCAGAAGATGAATAAGCCCACAATAGAAAGGCCGGCCGTACCGAAAACTACAGCCACTTCGATTAATTCTGTGTTCGAGTCACTGTCTAGTTGGGCCGGTTGGCTGCTCGAATCCTTGAGTATTTGCGACGTGTAAGGCGTTGAGCTGCTTGACATCAATGTTTTTATCGGGTGCGTACCTGTTAAATACGGCATAGGCAATGGCTTTGTTGCTAGTACCGAGTGATCGAGAGTCGCGGGTGAAGCTGCCGCCGTTGTACTTTCAGGGGTCAGAAAGAAGCATACTGTTGAATTCGTTGTATTTTTGCTTCCTATAACTATCGCATTGGGCGTGATCAAGATCAATGGCGTAATGATCGTAGTTGTACTTCCACGAATCGAAGTTGGGATGATAGATATTGCGGATGTTGAGCTACTTGTCAGGTTTCTTTTGATTGGACTTCCCGGTGGAGTAACAATGGGATCTGGCAACGGAATCCAAGTGGTTGAGAGGGTTCCTACAGACGAAGAACTTGAGATGTTGAAGTAATGCGAAGTAACGACTACATTTGAAGCCGAAGATACAAGCTGAAGAAAAAAAACTGGAGACTCGCCCTGATCTAAATCATAACTTTGTACTGCCCAGCCAAATTCCGCGATTTGAGAATTACTAGACATGTTACAAGTGGTGTCTTCATTTTTGGTTTCACGTTAGTTTCTGGGCGTACTTTCTTGATAATGGATGAACGGTACCTAGAATGGTGGGACCTCGTCTCGCCATAGTTGGAGTCATTTGTTGCCACAGTACTATGGAGTAGTTCGAGAACAATGTGCTCCATTGAATTTTCTGAACCTCGTGAACTTCCCAAACCAAATTATGGGCAAAGTCTCCAACAGGTCCAGCCGACGGAGGATTAACAAATTCCGCACCGATGAGATCACCCTTTACTCCAGAGAAAATAATCTCCAGGGCAATTGCAACTAGAAGAAGACGTAGTAGAATGGACATGGCCGGCCTATGGTGGCTTTCAAGGCGGATTATATAGCTGGTAATGATGATCTATTTGGGGAAAACTGAGCAGACTATATTTACTACAAAATAACAGGACATCACGACTTACATATCACAAAAGAAATCCTCCATCAAACTCAAAATCTATCCTGAGGAAAGAATATCACAATCAACGCCAAAATAGAAAACGAAAATACCTCCCCGCGATGCATTTCATAAATTCGCAATGCAACGCACGTGAAGGAATATCGCACCCACCACGGAAATGGCCGCTGCTCACGACGTAGGCATGCCCACGCGCCCAACGCCCAGAATATGGGGTCCCGGCAGCACTGGCCAATATACAACTCGAGCACTTCTACAGGGTTGCATGAGTGTTACCCGAGATATATCGGTATTGCATTTAGCCTATTCATCTTTAAGTGGCGGATCCGGGCCTGCGCCACTTTATAAATTCTTTATTGGGCTTCTAGAAGAGTATTCGTTTCCAATGAGGAGCAATGTCCGATACAGAGGAGCTGAAATCTCATTTGTGCGAATTTCACCGGAGATTTTGTGTCGTCGAGGCAGACCCGTTTCGATCCCAAATCGCATGCGCTCGGAGTTGATCGAAGATATGCAAGCAATCGTTCCCCGGCAAACAAATACAAGGCCAAATCATTTCAGGGCTGCTCCCAGTCGTCTACTATCCCATGCCACTGATTCTCCGCTTTCGTGCCGTTAAAATGGAATGAACCCTGACGTAACAACGATACCATCTGTGTCATTGCGGCACTCAATTATGCCGTGCTCTTAATCCTCTAGTCAGGCTATATTTCACATTCTCGTCATGGAACGTTACTTATAGAGCAATAAACCACGTGTTCCCTTTTCGAGCAAGTTCGAAATGCAAGAAGGGTTCCAAAGTACTCTTCGATACCCTCCATCGACGTCTAGTTGTATTCCATCAAATAGGACAACATCGCACAATATCCAACTATCGAATCGATACGGACCTCTGAAGCACTTGAAACATTACAGACTGTAGGTAAGAACTTCATGTGTAATACATGGAACACTCCCAGGCTCAACTACATGCTGCTACCTGGCTCTCATGATATAATATTACCCCATATGCGTGAAAGGTCATGCATGGCGAGGCTAGCGTGGCCACCGCAGCCGTTTAACTCGGACTTGCGGACCACCATTCCATACGTACCTTACTACCAGCTTTACTGTTGTGCTTGGTGTTCTATGCAGAGCAGAGCAGAGCAGTCCCTAGCTACCTCATCCTCATATTCGACATACGATTTTGAGTTGCTTGAACCAAAGAAATGCACACGCGCTGAATGCACGAGCAGGTGTCCATTCCCACAGAACCTACCATCACGCACTATGTTTTCCTCCCTCACTCCTACATCTAAATCCAAGACTGGCATCTTAAGTGAACCCGAGACATGCATCAAGTTACCGCATTTCCAGATACCCAAACCATCCCACCACCATCATCTCGTCAAGTGAGCTTGCTTACTTGCTTGCTTACTCGCATGCAAAAACTAATGATCAGTAGTCAGGAGATGACGTCTCGTGGACCATGGCTATGATATTCTTATTGATTAAAACTGAATGACTGGATTTTTATTTCGTAACACAATACTAACGGCCAGATACTATATACGAGAAGTAAATATATGAAAAGTGGTTATATTCAACGCTCCTAAATTAGAAGGGAATCAAGAGCCTAATTTTGAAATGAAACACAGAGGCCTTCCTCCCTCTTTCTACTTCTCCCTTCCTACTAAAAGAAGAGACGAACAAACGAGCAAGCGAGGATTAAGCACGTGTTGGTAGCTATAGGATGAATGGAACTTGAAAAGTACAGTACTTGCCGTTTAGATTAATGGAAGTGAAGTGAAGTGAAGTGAAGTGAAATACCTACTTACTTCATTTCTCAACAGCCCGTCTAAATAAAGCAAGAAACATGCATACTGCATATTTTGATAAGTGCTCTAGCATGACAGCGCAGAGCAAAGTAAAGCAGAGTAGAGCAATGTTGGATATAAATAGAAGGGGGGAAAAGAGAAGAGAAGAGCACAGGTGAATGTTCTGAACGGGACTCTTGTACAAGACGGACTAGCTGCTTTGACAAGCAGCGGCGGCTTTTTAGAGTCGTCGTACGGTACGAGTAAAGCGCGTTCGGATGAAAAGAAGAAGAAAGAGGAAGTGCGGTCTAGGTTTAGATAAAACCAAGCGAGAGTAGCGAATCCCCATCTATTTTCCCTTGGCCAATCCATACCGTACAATACAACCAGCCCATTACATATACACACTGTGATACAAGGCTCCACCACTACTTCCCCTTCCAATCCCCCACATGCCCCTCAATGATCTTCGCCGCCTGCTCCGGACTATGCTGGCGCCCAATCGCCTCGACGAAATCCCCCTCGGGATCCATCAGGTAAAAATAAATACTATGATCGACCAGATAATCCTGGCCCTGCTTGACGCCCTCGGGCGTACTAAAGTACACGCGATACTTCTTACACACGTCTTTAACCTGCTCCCACGTCCCCGTGAGCCCCACAATCCCCGCATGGAACTCCTTTAGGTACTCCTTCAGCACCGCCGGTGTATCGCGCGCCGGATCACACGTAATGAAAAGCGGCAATAGTTTCCTCTGCTTCTCCTTCTCCTTCCCATCCCTCGAACTCTCCGAGTTCGCAGTCCCCCCTTCCCCATTCACCAAATCAATCATCACCGCCATCTTATCCAGCTCCTCCGGGCAGATGTCCGGACAATGGCTAAACCCAAAATAAACCAAACTGTACCTGCCCCTCATATCCTCATCCGTGAACCTCCTCCCCTCCTGGTCCACCAGCTCGAAGGGCCCGCCGACCTTGGGGCGCCCGACACCTTTCGTCGCTTCGGCGACGCGCAGACGCTCCATGCGTGCTTTTTCGTAGCGGAAGTAGAAGATTAGCCCGGCGCCTGAGGTGAGGAAGAGGAGGCCTGCGCGGTAGGAGAATGGCTGTGTGCGTGGTGTGGGGTTAGTGTTTGGTTTTTGGCTTTTGGATTTTGAGGGGGGAAGAGGCTGAATGAAGGAATGCATACGCCTGATTTATATCGAGAACGCGCTTCTTCTACAGTCTTGTAAGTGCGCGCAGAGGACGTGCTGAAGCTTTTCGGCGTGTGGAGACATGATGCGTTGATATTGCGGAGGCGGAGGCATTGTTGCGTAGGTTTATCGTGTTTCAGGGAGCGTGAGAAGCTGGATAGGAGGCTTCTGCTCGGTGTGAAGGATTTAGACATGGTGAGTGTGAGTGAGTGAAGTTGATAGTGCCACTTGCACTGTCAGGACTCTTTTTTGCGAGAAGGTGAAGTGGAGTGAAGCTCAGCTCAGCTCATCGTCTCATACGGTTAGTGCGAGCTTAGCCCGCTGCTTTAATGTAACTTCACACTTCACTAACTAAATTCTTAAAGCGGCGTCGCATTCTTCACTTACATTCCGTGCTACAGCCTCTCGGTTTACAAGGACTTTCTCTCATTTGAATTACTTCATCTATGCCCACATGCCCATGAAAATATCTCTATTCATACAAAAATCAAGATCCTCAATATATGCTTCCACAATGCCTAGCCGCTCAATTTAATTACTCAAAACACCAGACGCCAATATATGCCTTGTCTGAAAGCAAATTACCCATGTCACGCCTCGCTGAATAGCTCTCAAGAAACAGATACGAAATATACTTTTGGATGGAATTATTCCCGACGGCTGATCTGGCTCGCACTGGTACGAGAACGCTCATCTTCCTCCATGACATCGCTCAGTCGTGTAGGGTGATGGTGGCGCGGAACCCCACTCCACTCCGTCGTCGACGGTTCACTTCCATATCCAGCACCGCTGTAATCAACACCTGAAGTCGCCGGCATAGATGATGGCGCTAGAGCTCCCCCTGATGGAGCGGCTGACCCGGGGCCATACTCAACTCCCGTTGAGACGGGTGGATATTGCTGTCGCCTAGCTAATTCCTGCTCGTCCTGGTCATCGTCATATTCGTCTGTATCCTCGTCAGAACCTGGAATTGGATAAGGGATTTTTTGTCCTCTGGCATCTAGAATCCATTGGCCTCGCTCGTCAATCTGATATTCTCCCTCGCTGAACGCACCTTCTGAAGTCACAGATTGATCATACGTTGGATCACGTTCACTTGGATGAAGAGATGTCCCTTGATGCTGCTGGTAGAAGGCAGACGAAGAAGCTGGTTGCACTGCTGGAGCTTGCGAGTAACCTTCGTAGGTTGTTGGAGGCGAAGTGACTTGTTGCTCTGCTGCTCGACTGGCTCGGGATGTACTCTGCTCGACGAATGGATCAGCAGGTTCAGCGCGTTGGGCCTGCGAGTATGCTTGATATGCCATATCACTATCAAGTGGCCCTTCCGGTTCGGTTGCAGGAATCGGTCCGCCAGTGTATGGTCCTTCTCGGGTTGGTGGTATATCCCGAGTGACATCCTGTCGCATTGGCATACCCTGCATCATTGGAACGACTTGTACCCCTCCAATTGATGTTGGTTGGCCGTCACGTAACGATGTAATCTTGGCCCGTTCAGCTTCTTCTCGCCTACCTAATTCTTCCCAGGCTCTCTTTGCCTCTTCCTTTGAGATGGCGAGTTCACGCTTCATGTCCGCCAGTTGTTTGTCGAGGTTGAGCTTTTCTCGTTCCTGTTGAACGGCAGCCTCAATGGCAGCTCCTCGCTCTTGTCGTTCGGTCGTGAGACTTGCTTCCAACATGGCTTGGATTTCTTGTCCTCGTTCTATGTCAGCCCGAGTCTCGAAGAACCAGCGCTGGAACTTTCGCTCGGAAGAAGCTCTTAACCGTTGAAGTTCGACTACAGCATGGAAAAGATTGGCACCAGCAGCCGAAAGGTCGGTGACTTGTCGAGAAAGTTGTTGCGATAATGGATCACTGTCAATCTCTCGACTGTTCTCTTGTAATCGGCGGATCCAATACGAGGTGAGCCCCTCCCAATGGGCAGACAAAGTTTCCCAGCGTTCAAAAGCATGTGGAAACGAAGATCGAGTTTGTTGGGCACCAGATGATTCACCTGGGGGTGCATTTGAAGGTCCAGTTGCAGAAGGTCCTGCTTGAGGTTGAGCAGGTCTGGGTCGCTGCTGCTCGGGCTGAACAGGTCTGGGTTGTTGTGATTGCGCAGGACGTGGTCTTGCCGAAGCTGAAGCCTCACCTCCTCCAACGGCGCGACCTCCTCTCCCAACACCTTGCAATGGTTGCTCTTGTTGTCGACCAGGTTCACCACCACTCACTACTCGATCACCTGATCTCCTATCTGATCTCTGGGAATTATCCGAGATTCTCTGACCAGTCGTGCCACCAGATCCACGCTGGCCACCTTCTCCACTTCCTCTTTGTGGTGCAGCGCCAGCAGTTGCCGCTCGCCTCTCTGCGTTTCTGCGGGTAGTCTCCTGAATAATCAGAGCTTCTTCATCAGCTCTCGCTCTCTCCATTGCCTCTTTTTCCTCTTGCGCTGCTCGCTTTCTTGCCTCCCTAGCTTGTCGCTCGCGCATTATAACACTCGGACCCTTGATCCCGCTGGGCGAGCCAGTGCCAGGAACATCCTGACCTCTAAAGCCGCCATGGTTACCGCGCCCATTGCCAGCGGGTGCTAAAGGACCCCCACCAGTCAGGTCTGACATCTGGGCGTTCTCCTCAACCAGATCGGGCGTGAAAGGATGTGGGTGTCGTAATGCCTCTTCGAGAGTAAAAAGGATAGCACTCGAAGTGTTTTTTGATATCCGGAGCGCGCGATGAGGGCGTCTCTCAGCTTGGGGAGAGTGGCGTAGGGAACTGGAAGCTACAGGAGTTGAAGTCGCAAGATCCTCGTCGAAATCATTAGTGAGCTGTTGTTCGCTGCCTTGGTGCTGTGCAAATCGAAGTTGTGGAGGTGGGGAGATGCCGGCTGAGGCAGCTTCTAAATGTGTTCTTCGTACAGGACGCTGCTGCTGGCGCTGCGCGGGTGTGGGCGTAACGGGTTCGTTGGCGTCGTAAGGGTCGTTATAAGGTTGTTGGATTGGGGTCGTCAGCGCGGCTGCGAGCAAGGATGAAGGCGGAGAGGTCGACAAGGTGAAGGCGATTCAATGTCCGCCCACAAAAGGGAGATGGATAAGTGACTCGTGGACCGGTGTCAAGTATCACAAGAGTTGAGTGTGGGTGTTGTCTTTCTCGATTGGGGAACGAGGAATGTGATTTTTTCCAAGAGGCTGGAACGCAAGGAAAAGTGCAAGTATGAATTGCAATTGCAAAAACGAGCGTGGTTAAAAGAAAGTGCTGGGTCGAGGACCTCTTTCGTGTTCGTGAAGCGGTGAAATTTGGGAAGGCTGGGAAAGGGTCAAATAATGGGATGGCGAGGCGAAAACCCAGCCCAGCTCCCACCAAATGAAAATGAAGGTAAACTGCCACTCGACCCCCAAAGTCCACTTCCTCCACCTTCAATTGGACTGCAGAGAATCTTCTGTTCCGCGTCGAGTTTTGCGCGCGCGTTTGTAGAAACAAGTTCTTCACCAAATCTTCAGGTGGTTCGGGGACAAGAGACTGACAGGCTGGACTACAGTACGGAGTATACTGTAGATAATCTTGATTGCGCGCCCAACCTACACCGCACTGCGTCACTGACACCCAACGCCACGCCGCCCACCGTTCTCACGGCCTGGCGCATGCAATTGAGAGTTAGGAGACGAAAGCAGGGAATGCGATGATGGGGTTGAACATGGCATGCTCGAGTTGTGTCGAGTTCAATGGCTGGCTGACTGCTTTCCTAGCGAAGGAAGGAAGTAGTCTGGGTCCAACGTCCGAGTAAGCTACAGTAAGTACCTACAGACAGACAGTACAGGATTTAGGGGCAGACGTGCATCAATGCGACGCGATGCGATATGATGCGATGGAATTGCGCCCGAGGATAATTACCCTGCACCAAGACTCTATTCTCTTTCTAATTGTCGGAATCCGTTTGACAGTGAACTCACTCTACTTTTATCACTTCCTTATTTTTAGATTACTGTATGATGATGACCGGCAATTGTGGTAAATTGAAGGGGATGCTGTATGGATTCGTCGTTCATCAACCCAACCCAACCCGACCCAGCCCCCCGAATTGTTTTATTTGCTGGGGTCAGGGCCGGGGCGAGCCTTAGAACGGCTCTTCACAGGTGCCACGACGAACAAAACCCACTCGCACACTCCACCATGACCACCTAAATGCAAGCCATATTGTCGCTAAAGCGCAAATCCCAAACTATCGGGTTTCTGGCATTGGACGCATTGGCGGGGACTCGTGTGTGCGTGTGTGGGCTGTCTCGCTGTTCCATGGCTGAGGGAATCCTCCTTCCCTTTTGCGGTAAACACTTTAATCTTCATATATTTCTCACATCAGACCTTCTTCTTCTTCTTCTTCTTCTCCTTCTCCTTCTCCTTCTCCTCTTTTTTCAAGAATGTCACAAATGCGCATGTTGATAGCCTCCAGTCCAGTATCCTTTCAGCACTATCTATCTGCGTCATGAACCACAAGATCGCATCGCATCGCCTTGTGGGCCCTAATGGCTTTCCGTTCCCGCTGGTTGGTGGCACGCGCCTGGGCCAATGAGATGCTCCGAGTAGGAGGTGCAAACAATAAGCTTTGAGATGAGCTGCGAGGCCTACGCCGGGACCCTGCAGCAGGTGATTCTAATCGAGTGTTGTTGTAACTGTTCCGTTTCATACTTTCGAGACATTCAGAGGGGACGAGAACTAGAGATTTGTTCATATGCGAGACAGGGAGATGATTGTTTGGAGCAGGGAGAGTTGGCTACCAAGGTATCAGCAAGGCGGAGACTGGAAATCATTTGGAATCGTGCCAACGTCTCTTCGAAGCTACTTCAAGTTGGAGTATAATAATGTCCTCTATATATTCTCCCAAAAGAGTTGCCGTTTCAAAAGGTCTTTCCATTAATAAGTCACGTGTTCTTTAGCTTCATGTTTTTCGTGTTTCGAAATCCTATCACCACGAGCTTCTACCATGTTATTCGCACCGTCTTCGTTATCATCAATTCTTTAGGCATTTTCAGTACCCCAGTATGATGATACTAAAGAAAGTCAACGAAATACTCAGCTATTAATTACCTTGAAGCGTTGCTACCTTACCTCCGAAAACCCCCTTCCTAAACCTCACATTACAAACCAAAGTCTTTTCATAAACTAGCGAAATAAGCCATAAGAATCGACCCATAAACTACATATATCTGCCAGCCAAGAGGACCGATGATATTGCAGTGGGACACTTGTAGTTATCTGTAGATTCTGTGCAATACATGAGTAGTCTGTACTTGAACGGGTATGCGTGTAATGAATGCATACCGTGGAGTGGAACGGATCGGGGACATGCATCTGGGTTCTGCTCGGGATGTGTATGGCCAGGAGTGTAGTGCTCACGGGGAATAATCACGTGAGTCCGACGGTGACGAGAGGTTTGTGGGTTGTACGGTAGGATGTAGAAGGTAGGGGTAGAGAAAGGATAGAAAGGTGCTCGACAAGAGCAGTAGACATATCCTTGACTTGCTGTGAATATTGAGAATCAACCATGTCATTAAAGCAGTTGTACAAACAGCGCAAGTAGAAAGACCATTCACTTCAGACGAGGTAATGGATAAGGAGGAAATTGCTATACCGCTCGACGTCTAGCAATGCCTGCAACAGGCCAACAGCGCTCTGCTCTCTTGGATAGCGCATGTTGAGTACTCCTTTCGGAGTACCGCTGGGTTTTGGGAAGAGAAGTGGGAGGATGGAAAGTGTAATTCTATATATATATATAGTACGAGTACATGTTCAGAACATCCAAAACACCGCCGACTAGGCTTGCCAGGAAGATGGCTTTGGTAGGGCTGATGATGATGATGATGATGATATTGATTAACGTCTGTCGGATCGCAGGTGATACCTGTAGCCCTAGGGACCTCCCGGGGGGTACGGAGACGTGCTAAGCTCAGAAATTATATACAAGACAACCTATTAAGAAAGACATTTCATGCAAAGAAGAGCGCTTGGCCAGGGGACCTTTCGTTTATGACCTTCCCCGTCATTCGGGATGGAACATCAAAGAGAGTTTGGAAGTGGGTAGAAGAACCCGAGGGTGATGCTCAGTTGAGCGGACAGTTTGGACGACTGCGTGGAGCAGTGAGTTTTCGGGCCCCTAGGAGCAGTGACAAAGGAAAGATAATGGTAGTACATAAAATGAAAAACAGAAGCAGCCCCCAATTCCCAAACGCCCCAAAACCCAACTCCTATGGCTTTGGTAGGGCGGAGCGGAGGATATTATATTGACGCAGGAATGTCACGAGAATGCATCAGTACATCCCATACAACGTAACAAGTTAGTTTATTGATGATTTAGACATGGTAGGCGAGGGTGCTAAAAGTCCACTGGAAAGTACGGTACGGTACGTACGTACGGCGATGAGAGTCAGATCATATGGCCCGACCCAGCGTTGGAAAGAAAAGGAGAGGGAAGGGCGAGCGATATCAAGAAGAGTTGGTAAAGTAGAAGAGCATCGCTCAGTTGGGCATATCGCAAGCAAGGGAGATGAAGAGATGACACACGGGATGAGCTTGTCTGTAATCAAGGGTAGAAGAAGTCGCGCATGAGTTCGATTCGACTCATTCATGGAGCGCATAGTCCGCGAGTCATACGGAACCACTTGAAGTACTTCGTGTCTTAGAAGCTGTGAGGTAGGTTTGGCTTCAGGTGGCTAGACTCTCTAGAAGTATTCAAGATCTCCTTCAGACCCCGACTGCTACATCGCCGCAACGCAGTATTCCGAATTATAGCCGGTGGTTTACACACATCCGCATTACTCTTCTCTTCAACAGCATGATCTTCATCATCCCGGTAGCACTCACCTAATCCATATTCGGATGACTCAAGAGAGAGCGGATTCTCAAAAGCTCGTTTCCCCAAGACTTATCCGTCTGTTCACCAAGCAAGAGATGATTCCAGCTTCTATCGTGTGAGCTTGCGGCACACAGCTTCGTCTTGGCTCATAGTCTACACGATAGCAGGTATAACTCCAAGCCCATCTTTCATGAAGCATTCTCCTGTGCTGGGAGGGGAGACTACCCGGCCCCGAACTCGATTTCTCTCCCGCTCGATGTGGGTTTCTCTCATCTGGAACCTGCGGCTAGCATCTGGATCTCGAAGAATGTGTAGACAGAAAAAAGGTGTCTCGCCCGGAACCTCGATCCGGTTTCTGCAAGAATTGCCTATTGCGAGCTTCTGCGACCTCCGTCATGCAAGTTCGGTAACGATCCCGAGCGCAGAGGCTTTCTCCGGCCGAAACTGAGGATACTGAGATGGAATGAGAGGAGGCGAGCAGCTTGGGTTGGCCATATATCATATCCATTGTTGATCAACGTGGGAACTTCCCTCATGTGCATATGCATGTGCATGTGATGATTGTCTCTGACTATGAGATAGCGGAGAGCTAATACTTCCTACCATAAGAGCTTGTTTCTGGTAATGAGCAAGAATGAAGCGAAGAAAGCCAGACTCGCGGAGAGTAAAACAGTGTTGGCACGACCGATATGGTGGTGCCTAGACCTCTGGATCTTTCACGGCATCTTTGGGGACGAAGTGATGCCGAGGGGGAAATTCGGAAGCTGTTTGAGACATTCCCACAGCTCAACGGCCCGCCTCCATTTTCAATGTGCGACAGCCCATAACGGCGATGACCTGTCAAGATTAAGGGAAAGGGAAAGGAGGAAAAGAAAGAGAGAGAAGAAAAATCATGGCTAGGATGGGCTGGATAAAACTCTGCACGTGCAGTGCATGAGCGACGCTTAGTAAGGTATTTTTCGCGGGTTATATCCACCAGCAAAAGTGAGGTGTCAAGGAAGCTCCATCAATAAACATCTGCAAGGCACATTTAGGGTAGGTCGTGCATCCGGCCACGCTGAAAGGTACATGAGAGCTACATGAGGGCTACATGAGGGCTACATGAGGGCTACGTGTAGCCCCTTGATTCTCGAACAATTCTCGCGTACTGTACCCTTTATCCCTTGCCTCCCATCTCTTGCCTCCTAAGAGAGCACCCTAGTCAGCCGGCTATCATCTTTCTCCTCGTTCTTCATACACAAGCTCCCTCGCGAAGAGAATATTGAAAAAGTACCTACGTACAGCGACATATGCATCGCATAAAGTATTGTGCAAGCATTGAAGTAGCTGTGCTTTTACATGCAGGTCCTATACGCTACAAGGACCCGTCAAGTCGCACAGCCAAAGCAAGTTTTCCTTTATTAGAAATGCTGTTCGTATGCTATGGAATTTATAGTGTTTACCTCCCCACCGCGGGACGTTTGGACTGCTTTCTGAGCCGATTGAATCTGACCAGTCTGGAACAGATACAGCCTCTTTTGTTATACACATGCCCCTTGTCCAAGTCTGGCAAGAAACACTCCTAAATCCTGTTTTTATTGGATTGTAGATGTGCAAGGGGGCCTTAGTGGCTTATCATCGACATCTTAGGCGTTCTATTCCTTATATTGTGGGCTCGATCTGAAGACTTGATTCTCCCGCCACGGTCTTTCTGCCTCAAAGGAATGCACATGAACGCATTTCCATTGCTGAGCGTTCTGGAATATAAACACACCACTTATCGTTTCGCCGCTGCCTGCAACCAATGGCTCCCACTATCTGATATCGTGTATCGATTGTTGTTTATCTAGCACTGTCTTTCCCCAGGAACTGTTGTTAAGCTTGCCTTGCTTTTCCCCATTCCCCACTTGCAATGACCTGCCCAGAATTCCTCGCCAATGTATCATCTATCGATACTCAAGATGATAAGATAGAGGCGCCTCCATGTCTTGATGGTTCGGATGGCTGGTTACTATCTCCATCTTCGACCACAATCGTCTCGACAACATATCTCAGCGGCCACGACAAAATGAACAGCTCACCACTAAGACAACCATTGCTTCCAAAGAAGCACCCAAGGGTTGTTCTGAGAGCATGTCGACCTACATCCAAAGAGCTCCAGCAACAACTCTCAATATCCGACCTCCCAGGGATGGCATCTGATGACGACGTCTTCTCATCCGATTCCGACTCTTCCTTCGAAGATCTCCAAACTTACAACGCGTCGTGCGACAGGATCTTCGACACCTACTTCGACAGAAGCACGAAGAAAGCTTCATCGTTATCAAGGAGTCCGCTTTACCAAGTCGACCCATCGGGCTCCCCAGTTCCCATTGGCGATACACAGTCCCACCACATCCTTCGTCAAAACCTCCCCTCACCCCTCCGCAGACGCGACGCGAAGCGTACACCGCCGAGACATCAGCCCGAGTACAACCTCTTCCCCACACCCGAGCCCAAACCCCAATACACGCACCCCCAGCACCACTCATTGCCCGCACGCAGCGACTCCCTGCTGCCCATGAACATCGACACCACCAGTCCCAGTCTGACCAGCAACCCTCCATCGCGCCGCACGCGGATGCGCGCCCGAGCAAACACCACGCCCTCCAACTCCAACAACGTCTCACGCCTCGCCCTCCGCACCGCATCCACCACATCCACACCGCCCTCTCCCGTCTTCCCGCAAACAGAAATCTCCTCCTTTGACGACGATGATGACGACGACGACGATTTGCGGCCCGCGTGGATAAAAGCACTGCTGCATATACATGCGGGTAGCGGTAGTGCTACAGAGAAAGAGAAGGACGTAGGGATGGGGATGGGAGAACAGCAGGGGAGGAGTAGTCTGAAGAAGAGAGCCAAGAGCGCGAGTCACGCGCTAAAGGACGTTTTCAAGAAGAAGGGCGTATCGCCTGTTTGAAGATCCAACTTCATCACTGCTAGCCTTCGCCTCCTTTCAGAGTTTTGACCTTTTTTTTTTTCTTGCGCAAGGGAATGGGGTTCGAATTTGATTTCAGAGAGATGTTTTGATTAATGATTGCGTTTTGTTTTGCTTTGTTTTGCATTTGGAGTACAGGAGGGAAAGAATGTTACGATTGACTGAATGATGGATGAATTGAATTGAATTTATGAAAAGCTACGGATGGATGGATGGATGGGCGGATATGAAAAGCATTGCATTGCATTACAGGAGAACCAAAAGCAATGAGTTTGCACTGATCGGATGATGAATTTTGACGACAGGGATTGATTGGTATTATTATGTACGGCATATAGAACGGTGGATATATTAAATACACTATACAATAAAATAATGTAAATGAAACTTGTTATCAATATTGTTATTGTTACTCCCCACCTGCCACCTACCTACCTATCTCACTATTATTCATCTCATTTCCCTGTTTTTCCAAAGCATTATCAGTAATAGGTTGATTTCGGAAAACTCTTACCTATTATCTATAGATTGGGATGTGAGGATATATATGTATGATCGTTAATTGGTTCGATTATTGGTATTGGAAATGGCCACAAAATGCGATGTGCAACAGAATCTGCAGGGCTCTTAGATAGGTAAGCACTCGCCACCTTGAGAGGAGGGGAGGAGGCAGGGGGGGGGGGGAGAAATACATCCGTTATAAGTATGGGAGTGGTTCACTCGTGACATAGATGGCATTTGTTGGTTCCTTCGTAAAGGGTCATTATCATCATATGTAATTCTAGGGTATATCACAAGTATCTACTACTTGATTTACTCCGTAACTCCTGTAATTCCCATTCATGAAATAAACCATTCGCCGCCCAGCACTGCACAAACTCCCGCAATTCCCAGTACTACGAATTCATTCGCATTAAAAACAGACACACTACCCGCAGTAGCTTCTTTACTCTGACTCGCCGTCGAGATCCCCACACTGGTCGCAGTCACAGTCGTCATGGCCTTCGCAGTAGCCTTCGTCGCCACAATGATTGACCCTGTCAATACACCGTCCGAATTCGTAGTGACTAACCCCGTCGCACTAGCCGCCTCGGTCCCTTCCGCACGGGTAGTAGTCTTCCCGCCGCCAGTCCCCGGCAACCTCACACTACTCGCCACCCCACTGATCCTTGGAATCCCAGTCTCGTTCGCCCGGAACTCCACCAAGCTGCTGCTGCAACTATTAAAGTTCGTCTGCGCGATCGCGATAACATTGTCATCCAAATCGTATACCACGTATGCGCTTCGTAGAAACGTGTCGCCCAGGAGGTACGGACCCGTAGAACCACCATCATAGATGCCGAAAGCGCAGGGGTTCTTGAAAGGGAGAGGGGGAAGTTTGGTGTCTGGGTCGGACAAATAGTCTTTGACGTCGAATACTACTTCGTTTATTGGAACCACAATACTGCGTCCCGAATGATTGCCAAAGCCGTAGTTAAAGGTCAAGTCGGGAGATTGCTTCAGGATAGCGCAATCAATAAACACAAGACCGGTCCCGTTAGTATCATCAACGGCGCCAATTTTATGGTACATGTTCGCAACGATGCTGGTGGGGAGTAGGGTGATTTTTGTGCCAGAGTCGAGGATCGCTACTTCTTTGAAGCCAGTGGAAGTCAGGTTCACGGTGTTGCCATGCTGGCCTGTGATACCGAAGGATGTAAGTGCTACGCCCAAGTCGTAGTATAGTGAGGATCCGTTTGAAAGACGCGTGGGCACAACCGGCATATGAAGGAGATTGCCCTGGTATTTGTCTGCGTCTAACCCACCAAAGATAATGGACCCGGTTGAGGCATCTAGGTCGTTGAGGTACAAGCTGTAGGCTCTGCGATCGATCAAGCCCTGGCTCAACATTGTATCGATTATGCTGGGGTAGACGAAGGGTGAAGGGCTGTTACGCGCATCCGAAGCTTCGTTCAAGGAGTATCCAATGCCTATAAGTCCAGTTCCTACTGTCGATTTATACGCGAGGCCCATCTCTAATGTCTTTAATGTTTTTCCACCGATTTGAAAGACGTCCGAAATGTAGTCTCCGCTTGCCCCGGATTGGTCTAAATATCGAATACTAAACCGACCTTGCTTGTCGAGTTTGTAGGTCGAACTAGTGTTGTGGTCAACTGTGGAAGGAGTATCAGTAGCGCTCAACTCATGGATCATCGATGCAAACACTTACATGTACTCGCACATCCATCATCGAGGAAACCTTGCAAAAATGCACTTGTACAAAGATCTGCCATTGAAGACAACAGCCAGACATCGCTCGACCCCGTATCCAAAGCCATCGTCTGCTTCTGCCCTGGGCTTCCCACATTGACTTCCACATAATAACTCCCTCCCGTAATATTGTTGTTCAAGACAGCTGTGATAGAATCGCGTGCTGCGAGGTTGCGCCTGTTGAGGTTTGGGCCTCTGGTCATTTTCATAGTAACCGTCGCAGCAACATATGATACGAGAGTCGCGCCTGCAAGGGCCGCCGAAGATCGTAGGTATTTCATGATGGCAGTATTATTTCAGAAGATGCGTATGAGGGAAGTTGCCAAGCTCGGGGAGCTGAGGCTGAGATCTTTGTATCCTGCCGTGGTTTCGATCCGTAACAGCGGGTTGCAATTTGTCGGTGAATAGCCGACAGACAATTTGTGTGAATAATAGATAGAGCAGAGGAAATAACAATCATAGGAAAGGCCATTTGCATACTCCCAAGTACAGCTGAAAACATAGTCATAGTTATCATCTTCTCCAACCTACCTGCTCTTCTCTCTCTTTGCAGTGCCGACAGCAACTGTCATTGGACATTTACATTCAAGCCATCTGCGGGAGGCGGCAAACCGAATCATGCTTTAGTCTTTTGTCTTTCAGCTGCAGGGTGTGTGCATTGTTGTCTGGGTTGACTTGACGAGCATTATTTGGGAGGTGAAGAGAAGAAACGAACGAACGAACCACGGGAGTGAAAGAAGAAGGTACCGGCTGAAAATTTGGCGGCCGAAAAAGAAACAGCACAGCTTCTAAAGCACGTGCGGAAACGCAAATATTACTTACGTACCTACCTAGGGAGCTAGGCATCTACCCCAGAAGACATGGAACAAATCTCTTTCGTCTTTATTTATTCGACAAGTAAATCGGCCCCATTTGGAATGGAACATTCCACTTCCACAACACACCAAAACTTCAAAAGAAGCTCTTTCGAGACTTACCAGGCGTGCAAAGCAGTGCACCGCAATCCAGATGAGATAGAATAACCCCATTGGGCGAAGCAAAGCTTTATGGAAAAGCTGGGACTGTACAATTGCCATGGTTGAGATCCTGGAGGAGAGCTCTTGAAACATGGAGACGAAATAGTCAAGTGACTATATACAATCATTTCTACTGAGTGGAAAGCTTTTGAAAATAATCTTCTTCCTCGTGTGCGCTTCTTCGTCTCGTTGACTTTCTTAGCATTTGCCTCTTTCTGCGTCAATAATGTCTTGCTAGTGCCGTAGGTAGCAACATGATATCTGTCTACATATACACTTGCATTTCACCATTTGCCACATGATGCTAACTTGAATATTGTTAGCCTCTGTGTCTTTTCCCTCGAACTCAAATTCCTCTACTCTTCCCTCTTCGCAAAGGAACAGTTTTTCAATAGCCGAGACAGTTTTGCCGGTCAGTCTATGCAAGCCAAGGCGGAAAAAGCGTCTCTCCTCCAACTTTAGAAAAGGCTATTTCAAGAATTCCATGTGCTTAATTCAGCCAAATTGATTGAATTAGCCTTCCAAAAGAGCGATGCTCTTGAGAGGGAGCCTAAAATTTTGAGCAGCCACCCGGCCCAGAACACTAGATCGCCACAAATATTTTTCTCCCAATCTTTTCGCGATCTATTGTCAGTTATGACTATATTTGAATATTAATAGAATCAAGAGGCTTGTTCGAAATGCAGAAGGATTGAACTTCAGGTCTCAAAAAATGTGGTTCTTCTACTTCCTGCTTCCTCTCCTGGGCTTGCTTCGCATCTCACTCGCAACCTCTCTCAATGCCACGCTTGATCTACAAGATGAAGTGATCGAACGCAGTATGGGCTACACTACAGAGCCTTCGCGACTCGTGATGTATGTTCAGACCTTCAAGACTCCAAAGGGTGAGCCTCTATCCCTTCTTCCACTGCTCCAACACGACACAAAGGTTACCCATATCATCTTGGCATCGATACATTTACACGACGAGCCCGGAGAGATACGCTTAAACGACGACCCATTTCATGCGCCTACATGGGACAATATATGGGAGGAAGTGAAGACATTGCAGATGAATGGAGTCAAGGTCATGGGTTTGCTGGGAGGATCAGCAGGTGGGACGTTTGGGCACTTGAACGGGACGGAGAGAGAAGTAAGTTTGCCTGCATAGAATATTTGTGATCTGGACTTATATGTTCGAACCAATAGTTCTACTCATACTACCACCCCCTCCTCAGCCTCATTAAGAAATACAACCTCGACGGACTCGACGTGGACATCGAAGAAAAGGTCGAAATCAGCGTTCCCCTCCGTCTCATCAACGCCTTGCGCCGTGACATGGGCCCGAACTTCATCATCACCATGTCACCACTCGCATCCGCACTCACCAACGCACTCGGCCAAAACCTCTCCGGATTCTCCTACTTCGACCTCGATGCCTTTGCGACAGTCCCTGGCTCGGAAGAAAAACTCATATCCTGGTATAACGGCATGTTCTACGGGGGCTATGCTCGCGGGCCGCCATTCTTCCAGTTGATTGTTGCTGCAGGGTGGGATCCCCAGCGAATCGTGATGGGGGTGCTGGATTGCTCGAACGATGGGCAGGCAAATGGGTTTGTGCGTATTGAGAAGTTGCAGGACACGATTAGGGAGTTGAGGGGTATGTATGAGGGGTTTGGGGGCGTGGCGGGGTGGGAGTATCATGATGCGGGGGATGAGTGACGGGGTTGTTTATGAGCCGTGGAGTTGGGTGAAGAGGGTTGGAGAGGCGCTTTTTGATGAACTGCCAGCTGGGTATGTGGAGAAGCAGGAGTTGTGAACTGGAATTTTGGAGGTTTTGTATATGAGTCTGCGAGAAAGTATCGCTTCAATTGTTGAGTGAGAGAAAGCGAACAGGTTGCCAACTTAGGAAAGGGGTAACAAATCTTCCCTAAGGGCACAAAATTCTTTGTACCACCCGTTGACTGAACCATTATGATCAGTAAAGAAAGTCTCGGAATAATTTGTGCAACATTCATGAATATAATATCATGCTTGCGCTGTCATGAGAGTTCAACGACAAGGCTCGGAGATATGTATGGAGCATTGGAGGAACAGGATCCGTTGTACTTGACCCACGCTCGAACTATCGTGAAGGTCCAGCTATGTACGGATAATACCACATGTATAAAGATCATCTACTGTAACCATACTGTACGAGTAGGAATATCTGATTGGACATCCTTGTCCGTATTTGGACGCTTGTCTGAAACGAGTCTCGACGCTCGAACCCTGGTGAAGACGGCTGGGGCACAACGCTTGGCGGCGCCTCCACATTCATGGCAACATCATTTTCACCAAAGTAAGCATCATCAGACAAAAAGACACCCACTACTGTGATGCTATCACGAGTAATAGATGTCAGCGCTTGCATTCGAAAGTGCCAGTATGTCTTACGCTTACCCTCACCCGCCGAAGCCATCGAGGACCCCAGGAGGCGATCAGGAACATGTACCGGCAGTATCGGTACATGAACCCGATCAGTGGATTGACCAAGCGGCGCAGGACTTTACGACACAGGCCCCCTACTTGACCACCAACAACTACTACCATCATGGCCCGGACAACTTCATCCAAGAGAACTGGCTCTCAGATACGAATCAGACTTGGAGTGCAGAGAGTTCATCGCAAAATCAATGGTCACATGACGCAACTCCTCCTTTCTTGGCTTCCAGTGAGGGATCATTGGGGCAGGAGAGGCCTTTCTTATATAGTGATGCTGAACAGTCGGCTTTGGATTACAACAACAATTTTAACATATACCAGCCCGGGGATGTTTCCGTTTTAAATGAAAGAATCGCTTCTCATCCTCGGTCTCGCATCCATCCAATTAACGAAGTCGCTCCGTATTACCATTCTCGGACACCGCAAGAAAGCCAGTTCGTTCCTCCAATCGATCAACACCTACCATTCGAATGTGCATCTACTACCGATTCTGGACCCGTTGAGCAATACACACAACCCAACGCTTTCGAAACAAGCTTACCTCTAGACCCCTCATGGCTATCGTCCTACCCAGAAGCTTATTCCTATAGCACCGCTACTGGATCATCACCCAATCTTTCTGCATCTAGTTCACTTCCTCCCAAAGTAGAGCTCGATTGGTCAAACAATGAGCAACTTCCAAATCTTCCTTCAAACAGTCGGGACACATCAAAACGGAAACGTGAATCGCCTCAGCCAACAGCCAAGAAGGGTAGACCAAAGGACCCTCAGCAAGGACTTGCCGAATTCGTCTTGGTCTTTGAAAATGCTCCTGGGGCATTAGCTGCTATCAAACATCGGCGGAAGCTGGATGCTCCTGTCAGGAAAGCAGCAAGGGATGTTCGAAAGGCTGGCGCTTGTCACCAATGTAGATTTAGGAAGAGAACGGTTAGGTTGGAATTGATTGGCTATCCATACTGAAGCTAATAGGTTAGTAGTGCTCGACGGGAACGCCTTGTTCGTCCTGTCTGAAAAATGGTAACGGTCTCCATGAAATCAAATGCCAGAGAGAAAGTCCGTTCGTGGGGAGGGAAACGTATGAGTGTAAGATTCCAATTTCTGTCCGACTTCCAGATGCTAATATACCCATAGACTTCAGACATTCTTCCACTAGGAGAGTTGTCACGTTCAATGTCACGATCCCGATCGACACAAAATCCGCTGACTATCTTAATTCCGAGTGGACAACCGTCGTTATTGATGGTGTGGGAGGGTTATCACACTCTATCAAACTTAAAGCTCAGAAGACACGACTGAGCAACTTCAGCCCAGAAGAGCAGAAGACTATCAAGCAAACCGAAGACCAAAACCAGAATAAAAACAAGAACTTTAATGCTGAGTCTGTCATAATCCTTGCGGATGGGGATTCACTTGGGCAACAGGTTGAGCAGTGGGCGGTAGAATACACATCCAAGTTCATACATGCCGCTGGTCCGAAATTCTACGCGACAACGATAGCGCAAATCCTTGGAACAGCATACGTCAAGAAAGGCTTACCTGAGGTCCGTTCAAGCCCTATCAGTTCGTGAAAAACCAATACTAACCATTATGGTAGTCTAAACTCGTCGGTGCAATGGTCCGCGTAGCTTCAATAGCATTCGTATTACGCGCAGGAGTGAAATGCAGCGAACCCGAACTATCCTCTCGCTTCCGTACCATCCAAGCAAAAATCGACACACTCCTTTACGAGCGCTTGATACTCGCCACCAACGAGCTCTTCCAGAAACTACAGCATCTCATTTTCCGGACCGCCGGGTCTCTGAACAGAGATTCGATATATCCAGTAGCGCTTGTTTTGTGGCAGCTTTCACGGATCCTATGTATCAGCTCAAGTCATCTCTCGAATATTGCGCAGAAGTTCCATTCAAAAGGTATGACCACCCCTCCCCTCTCTTGCGTGATATCAGATAGCTGACATGTTCTCACGGAACAGCTAATGGCCAAGCTGACTATCAATTCGTCAACATGCGCCTGGTGCTCTCAACACACATGGCGCTTTTCCGCTCCAGCAATCCGCTCTTGCTTAACCTGACTGAAAAGAGCAATCAAGATCTCCTAGGGGGCGATGCGGATCTAATCAGATTAGCGGGTGAGATGCGGAAGGTGGTGTTGACGTTTAGGGACAAGGGGTTTCCGGAGATGAAAGGCAGTATTGCGTATAGAAAAGAGTACTTTGACATGTTTAGGAAGGTTTATGATGGCATGTAGATATATATAGGTGAGATGGCGATTGGCATACTACATCAGGTGCGTGGAGGTCTAATCAGCTATTTGCAAGGATATCTTGTTCGCACTCTTTCCTCCCGCGTATTTCTACGCATCGATGGTCTCCCCTCCAAGCAGAGCTTACTTCATCTGTATGATATTGGTGATATCTGTATGTAGCGACTTTGAAGCCCCGGCCCTCTGATGGCAGCGGCGTCATCCCAAATAACTATCATATCCTCGAGGTATTTGACGACAGCGGGAGATTGCTTGGTGAAGTGGATTCTTCCCAGAGACAGGATCGGCAGGGTACCTGGCGGTTTCCAGGTGCCGGCATGTCTTCGCCTCTCATCGCATCTATAAACTCGACCTCGAAACCCGTCAATGAGCTTGACAAGACCATTGCACCCCTCTTATCAGACCGCTCTTTGAGCCCTATAACAAGCCACTTCCCGAACTAGAACATAACAGAGGTGCAGTTGGATGTATTGTGCTGATCAAGAAGAAGCAAATCATAATAGTGGTAGAGAAAAGCTATTAAAAAAAAACGAAGCTTTCCAGCTAGGCCATATATAAATACCCCCAGTTAAATAGAGAAGACTATCTAGAGAGGTAAATGGATGAGATTGCGAAATATATGCACGATTTATAGTAGCAAAATAGGTGTGAAATGGTATTGTTTTTATCTAGAATTAGTGCGATGTTTTAGTAGTTTAGGGTCTGTGTAAAAAATTGGCCTCTTTTTTCGTACCCTTAGAGCTCGTATCGCTTTATCGCTCTTCACATGCCTGGATGGAGGGGTCGAACGTCTTTACATCCTCTCTACCATCGCAATAGTCACGAACACACGACTCAATTGACCTACCCCCACGATTGATCGTGTCGCTACCAGTCTCATCTGATCAATTGATGAATTAGAGTTCGCTGCTATGCACTCTAGACATCATCCCGTCGCGATGCAACTCATGCAAGGAGGGTTTGCATTCAGTGGCATAGGCTATCGTTATTGTACCTGTGCCCGCTATCGATCATGGCGATAACTTTAACTTGATCTCCAGACCGACGGTGAGGATGTTTTGAGAGTCGGTCAGAGGGAAGAATATCTTGACGGAATGCGTTTCTTTCCAGCTCAGTCTTTCTCAAGTTCATCTGGCTTCTCTGGCCAAGGTTTTCTCTTCCTTCGGATTTTGATAACCGCCCACCACGTGATTCATCCTGCTCACGTGGACAGGTCTGCTGACACTCTGATGAAGCCGATCGGGCGGGAGTCATCTGAAATCCATCGAGATACACTCAGATTTTGGGCTCTCAATTACGGGAGGGATTCAGCACTATCGCGGTCGCCTTCATCATGATGATGTTATCCTCAAGCGAGGCCCCAACTGCCGCCAGCCCTGTTTCAAGAAAAGCCGGACACCGAGGAAATTATAATTGCTTCTTTCGTTAATTTTGCAATTCGTGCATTTGATGCATCCGATCAACCATTCTGTCATCCTGTCATCCTCCTCATTATTCATTTGTAATTATTTACTCTCAATTCGGATTTCGGTGAGCAGTGCTGCCTTGAGCCGGCTGCTCCCAATTGCAAAAAGCCCTGCAGCTCTCATGGATCCGGGGAAGGAGTCGCTGACAGCCCTACGTGCCTTTTATTCGCGATGCATTTTCCATCCTGCATGACCTTTCAGAAGCCGCCCACACATTGAGGCTCTTTTCCGCCCTTTCACGCTGCAGGCACCTCTCAATTCACGCCCTCAGCCTGTCATTTCAATTCGCGCCTAGAAAGGCACACCGAGCTACCATTGCGCTCTACGCCGCTACTCTCGGAAACTATCAGAGACAATAACGTTGAGATGACGAAATTGCTCTTGAAATTTGGGTACGATGTCCTAAGGCCTGAGAAGTTTAGAACTGTGAAAAGAGGACTGCTTCGAGATTGCCAGTCAGTTACAATGGCAAGATTACTTTCTAAAGAAGTAGCTGTCACTGTCTCCGGAGATGCTAGGGTCAAAACAATTGGTGATTCCGCACTTCTATCCGCAATTCAGAAGAGAGACATTGAGATGCTACAGTTTTTGATTGAAGCTGGTGCAAACGTTAATGTTTACACGGATGAGGGGTGGTGGGCAGACCCTTGGACTATAACTAGGCGTAAATGGGACAGTGTCTTAAATGAAGAAGGCTGGGGTAAGGTGACTGCACTGAGCCTTGCAGTAGCTAGCAGCCAGACGGACTTGCTGCGCATCCTCCTGGAAGGCAACGCAGATGTTCATGTTCAAACATTGTGTCGGACTGAATATTTCCCGACACAATATCCTGCGGAGGAGTACTGGTCTAAAGTAGAGGAGACATTCGTAGGGACGGCACTCCAAGCAGCTGCAGCAAGAGGTAGCACAGAGATGGTGCGGATGTTGCTCGAGAAAGGGTCCAACATCAACGAAGCACTACAAGGTCAAAATGGAAGAACAGCGCTTCAAGCAGCAGTGGGAGGAGGCTATGTCGACACAGCAAGTTTTCTTCTTGAGCATGGTGCAGATGCGAACGCCTCTGCGACGAACAGCGAGCCTGCTCGAACAGCTTTATTGACAGCGACGGAGAGTAAGAATCTCGCTCTGGTCGAACTCTTACTCGATTTTCACGCAGATATGAGCGCCCTAGCCTGGCATCCTGATGCTGAAACCCTGATGAGCGTGATTGAAGCAGCAAGAGCACAGAGAAGTCGCTCAGATGTTGTTCGGATCCTCGACTATGAAGGTGCAGATGCTGCAAAAGATGCTGCTGGCTTCAAAAAAGCTCAACTATGTCATGCGATCCAAAGAGGCGATATTGAAGCAGTGTACCATCTCGTTGATTCAGGAGCATGCATTGACGCCAAACCAGTCGAGGAGGTTTGCTGGCTCGAAATGCCTGGAGATGACGACTTAATGGAAAATAAATTTGATGAGAACTGGAATCGAAAATTAAAAAGAAGGGAATTACGTTCATCATCCCGGAGGGCTACAATGCTGCACATGGCAATCACCTCAGAAGCAGCAGTCGACCCATTGATATTCATCTATGTGTACCAAAAAATCGACCACACGAGAGAACACCACATGAATGAGAATCTGGAACCATTTCTTCCTTCTGCCGTAAAGTGGAGACGATTTGAATTGGTGGACTTCTTGCTCAAATCTGATGTTGATGTTGATATCGTTGATACACCATGGGGGAGGCCTCAGAAACTTACTGCCTTGAGTTCAGCAGCAAGATCCGATGATATTGAAATGGCGTCGATCCTTCTAGAAAGAGGTGCAAATATCAACTCTATCGCTCTTGAATCATCTCTGATGCTGAATCACTTGCCCGCCACGAGTCAAAGATTCAAGGTTGCCAAACTTCTTCTGAGCCGGGGCGCACTTGTGAATAGGCCACTGAATAAGTCGGAAGATACACCATTGCAAATCGCTGCTGGGTAACTTGGATATGATCCGCATACTTTTGGAACAAGGAGCACTGGTAAACCAATACTGGGAACCCAACATACTACCTCTTATGGCTGCGACGGAAGGAGAGCATCTAGAGGCAGTAAAGCTCTTACTGGACAATGGTGCTGAGACAGACCCACATAGATATGATCATGGTCTTTATTCGGATCGAGGAACAGCTCTTCAGTTCGCTACAAGGGCCGGAAGTTTTAATCTCGCTCAGCTTCTGCTTGAAAGAGGTGCGAATGTCAATGCTGTTGGGCCAGAGAGCACGATTTTCGGCAGAACTCCTCTTGAGACAGCCGCTATGTACGGTAGGTTAGACATAGTGCAGCTATTTCTCAACGCTGGGGCTGATAGCCATCTGCCCCCCAAAAAGCGCTACGCCTCGGCACTTCGAATCGCCAAAGAAGATTACTTTAAGCCAAACTTTGGGATTGTTACGCTGCTTCAAGAATATCGGCAGGAGGCTCTGGACGAATGCAATTCCGCCAGGATGTTGGAGCTGGATTCGTGAGAAGACCTGACCAGAAGGTCCCGCTGTTCGAACGTTTGCCACTATGGATTCATGTATATGAATGTTTTGCTGTGGCGGTCTGCAAGAGAGTTCCCACCTTCCTAGGCTGCTTGATTTCAGCGGAAACGCTTCAAAATCAAACATCATCAATTCCGCGCCATCAACACACTCACAACGCTTCTATACTCAATTGCGCCCTTGCTCGATCGACATCAATATTCTCGGAGCGATAAAGCAAACGAGACCTGCTCAATAAACGAGCTCGAGTTCTTTGATACCAGCTTCGCGAACAGTAATCGTATCCTCGCTCTCAAAGGCCCCCTTCGCCTCCACTCCATCGGCCGATGCGCTCTTCAGCTTCCTACCAGCAACCTGTACCTTCCATCCCGCAGTGACCTTGCCGCTTTTTATAGCTATCTTCAAGTTCCCGTTTGCTTCCTTAATCTGAAATTCCACCTTCGTCTCTCCTAGGTGGTTCGAATCACTGTTCGGAATCTCAACCTCAACATCCATCCCCTCTTCAGAATTAACAAGCCTGGACATCTCATCAGCTCCAACTCATAACCTCTTAGCAGGATACTCCCAAAGTATATTCCTCCGCCCAGTTATAAACGATATCCCTCCTTCCCTTCCCAAGCACAACCGCACTCCCCGGCCTCCCCAAAAGCAGCAAACTCTCATATCCATGCTTCTCTGTCACATATCCCGGACCTTCCTGGGGATGTTCTCAGAGACATGCTGCGCAATAAAGCTTTTGCGCAGGATCTCAATACAACACAGGCAACTTACTCCGGACTCGTGTAGTAAGCGCCGCCGCCGCAGCCGCCGTGAAGAAGTTGAAGTCGGGGTATAGGATTGGGTTGTGGTTACAGGCTGGCTGACCTGCATAGTTTCAAGCCTTGGGCAGACTGTTCCAAGCGAAAAGCGGCAGTCAGGTTGCACAGTATTTTGTAATAGGTGGATAGAGGGAGGAAGACGAAATCACACGTTGGTCAATACCTAGATATTGTTTCTTTGTGTTTTCAATCCCTTGGTAGCGTATTTATGATTTCCCGTCCATTTCCCACTACATTCATAAACCAGAAATCAAACTTAATGTTGCTGTTTGCAGATGCTTATACTTGTCACTTCGCTCTCAATCCGAAATTCCGTCACATGGACTAGTCCCACCCACTAATATTTGCTCCATCAAATATCTGTTAAAAGGCAATTGACAGTCTCAGGCGAAACTGAATATACGAAGCAGCTGTTTCTCCCATTTCCGTATCAAAACACACCCACCCAATACGGAGGTGAGACCTGTGAAGATGATAAGAGGCCCGAAAGTCGTGCCATAGGCGAACTTTCCGCTGAAACCGCTGCCCGCTTTGAGCAGAGGCACACTGGCGAAACCTCCACTCACATATCCGATACCCCTCGCACCATTCAGCAATCCATACATCATGCCCGCATCAATTGCTTCATTGGCCTGTGCAGCTTCGCGCTCTAGCTCGTTGAGGAAACCGCCCCAGGTGGCGCTATAGCCGCTGGAAAAGAAGCCAAAGGTGATTGAGAATAGGATTAGCAGGGCTAGGCCCCCACTACCTTGCGATGTCAGACCCCAGAGGAGGAACGCAGAGCAAGCGGAGCTGATGGGGGGTATGGAGGCCACGGTTGCTGCTGAGAGAGGGAAGAGCTTGTTGTCGCTCAGGTAGCCGAAGAATGAAGAGGCTATGATACCGGGGACGTTGAATAGGGTGAGGAGAAGGGTGGCCCAGGTCTGAGATAGCATGGTAATCTCTTTGCCGTACTGGTTGATGTATGTTTGCGGGATACCATATCCAGCGCTTTGGAATATAATGGCAGTGCTGTAGATGTAGAAAGTCTTGTGGCGGAGAAAATGCCATGGGATTTTGGGAGTTCGATGGGTCCGCGAAGCATTCGGCATGCTCGTAGGATGGGTGGGTATCAGAGCTATTCCAAGAAGACAGATTCCGCCTAAAAGAGCTGTCCAGATTCTCATGGTAGCGCGAAATTCGTAGTGGTCAAGAAGACCCCGGAAGAGAAAGGGGCATGTGGAACCCACGATGTTTTTGCTGGACAGGACGACTCCGTATGCTACCGCTCGGTTGACAGCGCCCTGATTGCTGGCTCTGGCTTGAAACCATTCTCCAAGTGACAGTGTCATTGGACTGTAGATAAGGGCACATCCTAATGCTGCCATGACTCCTTGTGTCACAATCAAATGCCATACGTTGGTGCTGAAAGAAGACAGTATGAAACTGAGGCAAGCAAGCTAAAGGAAGCTGAGAGTTAGTCTCGGGTTTTAGAGTTGAAGTTAAGCAGACAAACACAATTTGGATAGAAGAACTTGTCAACTTCGAAGTGACCTGAAAAGCAATGTTGTCCGTAGACATTGAATACTTACCACGGTTCCACAAAGAGCAGCAGTCTGGCGCCAACGAGCCCATCGTTTGGTAAACAAGGCGAATAAGAAAGGCATAGAGAGATACATAACCCCATTCTGGGTCGTACCGATAATACCAGTCTGTGCACGACTCCCATCCAGCGTCCAGTTCTCATAATAGTATTCCTGGAATACGCCATAACTCATAGCAAAGCATGCACTACGTGTGAGCTAGAAGGTAGGAAAATGGGACGACGGATTCTGGTCACTTACCCCAGATCGGAAGCTGCAATATGGCCGAGCCTATGAGAACGTAATACCTCGTCCTATGTGAATTGTTTTGGCTGGTATAGTTCCGATCTGTGCTGGATTCGTAGGATACATCTTGGGCGGGGTCCGGGCCGTCGGGATCTTGCTCGCGGATGTCTGGCGAAGACGACTGCAGCTCATGGAGAGTAACGCTTTCATTTTGCGGCATTGTGGATGTTTCGAGTGTGGATTATCGCATGTATTTGGATCGCAAGAAATTGTCGGCACAAGTGAGTCAACGAAATGCGCAAATGATGAAAATTACAAAGATTAAATGGTTCTTTGCCAAGACTTTCCATGTCGTCCTTTGTTTTCCCAACAGTGAAAGTGCCAACCAACACGGTACGGAGGAAGCACTGTAGGAGTCGCAGTTGCTTACCTCATTGCTAGGGGCACAGTGCAGCAGTGACTGTAGGTATCTCCAGGTATGGAGTCTTGGTCGCGTCTTACAGCTTCCACCTTCTGCTAGAACAGTCAACCCCCAACAATATGCCTACTGCCGACATTGTAGGCTTTTCATCCACCCTGAGCTTGTCCTGGATATACGCCTGGATAGGGTTTTTCTATCTAACCCGCAAAGCTTGTGATATTTACCTCCTCTTAATCGAGCTGTTTGTGTTGAGCGGTACAGATGTAAGTCTTCTCGAATTGAGGGCAAATTTATGTATGTCCTGACAAAGTACGAAGCTTCAAAAATGGCGAAAAGAGCTCATGGGCTATCATTAATGGCGTTGAAGATGATCTAGGCGCCGAATATGCTTTGGCCCTCGCATCGCACGGTTTCAATACTCTGCTTCTCTCCCGCACGCAATCGAAGCTGGATACGCTAGCCCAAGAAATCAAATCTCAGTATCCAGATGCGCAAACAGGAATCTTGCTCACAGATGCCTCCAAGCCCTCAAGCGATAATTACAACGAACTCGAAGCGTGTATTAAGCACTTGAATGTCGCAATTTTAGTCAACAACGATAGTCAGTTGCATACAATACCCGTTCCGTTCGTCTCTACGCCCAAAGAAGAGATTACAGATATTATCTCTGTCAACTGCACAGCAACGCTCATGGTTACGCGGCTCATTGCTCAGGGCATGGCTCAGCGGCACCGTGGTCTCATCTTGACAATGGGATCGTTTAACGGGCTCTTCGCTACGCCACTCCTGGCTACATACAGTGGCAGCAAAGCTTTCCTACAGCAGTGGTCTACGGGACTTGCTGCTGAAATGAAATCAGAAGGCGTGGATGTGCAGCTTGTGCTGTCGTCGACCATAGCAAAGGTCGGAGAGGGTAGTTGGTTGATCCCTACCCCCAAGGACTTTGTAAAGATAGTCTTGGGGAAGGTAGGGAAAACTGGTGGTGCACATTGCATAGGCTGGTCCATGACTCCGTATTGGGCCCATGCTTTCGCGCAGTTGGCCCTGCAGAACTTGCCTTCGCTGTCGGGTGAGATCGTCCCAAGGATCCAGAAGTATATGCAAGAACGAATAAGGCTGCGCGCATTCGACACCATGGATAGGGAGAGGAAGGCTGTTTGAGGGGCCAGATTTTCACGCAGAAGTATTTGTGCGTAGCTCGTTCAGGCTTGAGTTCCGTGTGCTAGTTTCCCGCCGGTTCTTCTGTGGGTGTCAGTCATTTTGTAAAAGGGATCCGAGCATTGCCTCCAAGAAGAAGAAAATTAGGGTGGGTGGCGGATTTGGGTATGGCGGCATTTTTGTTTTTCGTCTTCTCTTGTTTGGTGATATGTTGGAGTTAGTGTAACGTTGATTTGTAGTCCTCGGCTTTTGAAACCGGATAGTTCTTTATGTGATGGTGTGTTAGTTTAAATTTAGAAATGCTATGCACATATGATTTTTGTGTAATGGATTGTTTGCTACTACCTTATACCTGGTGGAGTCTGGAGATGGAATATGTTCTTTTGCTCAATTAGAGGGGTCAGAATTATAGCATCGCAATCCGCTATGAAGGGTCGGAAATATAGCCGAGCAAAGCGAGCGAAGAAGGAAGGACCGACTGTTACTCCTCCAGTGCTTCTATGTAGATAGTTTAAGATAAAGTTTTAATACTAGAAATATTTGGCAGTGATTTGATTCAACGATACATCAAATGAGAAAGAATAGAGGGAGAAAGAAGAACACGGGATCTGTTTTGGGATTCGATTTGATACGCCCACGTGACATATAGATCACGGGGATAGCCCCCTTGATTCGCCCCTGGAGCTTGCAGGCTGCAGCAACATCCGAATGCGCAATCGTGCGCTAATCAAATATTTCCGCATCTTATTTTTAGGGCCGTGCCATGCTCATATGCTATTTTTACCCCTACCAAGATACTCCGTACAGTATGTACCTACAACCAACCTAGGTAAGCGGCCGGTGTACTTCTCCCCAGGCTCTGGCTCTGGATAAACTGGATAAATCCAAAGGGGGACGGGCGAGATAAGGCTCTCCAATATCTAGAAACTAAAGCGAATAGATTCGGTTCCGGGCTGCAGGGTGAGTTGTTCTGGAACGTTGGTGGTGGGGAAGGGCTCCGTTTGGATGGGATATGAGGCTGGAGAGGGAGAGGGAGAGAAATCAAGTGTTGGCAGGTGGTTATTGGACTTTGAGAATCAATATGATATCGGTGGCGGCTCAGCCCGTTGGGGAATTTGTTTGTTGCTTGATTAATGATTATACTGTAGAAGAAGGCGTTGGATTTAACAGAGATGACTTGAAGATTTGAATAATACTCTCGTATTGAATGGCTGATGCCGACTGATTATGCTGAGGAAATCAGTTGGCTGATTGTGACGTTATTCGAGGGGCAAGACGTTAATGCGGGAGTTTCGGGTACCTCGTGGCTTTGGAATCCGTGTGACCATGACCATAACCATGACCTGAATTACGAGTTGAGGCGTGCGCCAATCAATAATCCGACGAGTTGAGTCGAACGAGTTGGACGCCCTTTGAGGAAAAGTCCTCGAGAGAGAAAGCGGCACTCATTTCTAGAGATTTTCAGTGGTGAGGAACAATCCGAAATGATGCCGCTTTGTTTGTTCACCACGAAGGGAGGGGAGGGGGTGACTTGATACAACGCAGGGAAGGCAAACAAAGTCGTTATTATTAGCACTTCGATTACGAGCCCAATACTGGGTTGTGCCTTTTGGCAGTGACCTGTCGAATGTTTCTATGCTTCAGAGAGATGGCAATGTAAGGGCAATGAGACCTAGACCTGACTCGATCATTTATTAATCGCGCAATGAGGCAAATCCATTGGGCGTGAGGAGGCGAGACTGCTTGAAACCGGTGACCCTTCACTTACTTAAAGGGTGTTTGCATTTATTCCATTATGCATCTATGCATTGGAATAAACCATTCCCCTTTGTTGGACTCCTGCTTTGTTTGATTCATTGTGATTGTTATTCGCGGTGAAACATGGGCTGTGAATGCATTAATAGGAACTGGATTTGATATTGGGCAGCTTGGGCGTCGAGGCTGCAACGAATACTGCGGCGGTGTTTCCGTCAAGAGTGGGTTTCCGGCTGTCGGTGACAGGATCGGGGGAAGGAATAGCGAGCTAGGGGGGCAGGTCAGCTGAATTTGGTGTCCAACAGCGTTCCCCTCTTTCATTCAGGCTTTGGAACCAGGCTTCCTTCTGCCCTTCTGCCTCTCCCTTTCCCTAAAGGGCCGAGGGCAGTGAGGGAGGGGAGGGGAGGGGAGGGGCAACGAGATTCACGAAAAGGCCGAAGGGCGGAGCAATGACACGACGACGATGTACACTACAAGGGGGAAAGGGGCTCTTCTGCGTGTTCCCGGTGTAACAAAAGGAATAAATTCAAAGTAGCCGTGAAGTGGCAGTGGAAGGGAAGAAGAACCATCCATGGCTATAATATGCACTGCCGTAGAATAGACACAGCTTTTACCGGAATAAATTAGAGTAATAATACACGAAATGAAGCGTAATGTTATATACATTTGCATTGACCGCTGATTGTCTGGTACTGTAGTCCAGGCCTTAAATAAAACCGGATTGAGGAAGGCGCCCTTGGCATTAAGCGAGGCAGAGCCCAGTGCCATTTCAGTCAGCATCTTCATCTTCCATCACAACGTCCCTCCCCTCCCCTCCATAACCAAACCACAACCGACCCAACTCCAACCTCCACCAAGGCCTGAGCAGTGATCCTCTCGAGGTTGCTTTCTCTGGATTCCTTCCCCAGTGGATCATCTCGTCGTCTCTGCCCTCTGCAGCCCATTGTCTGCATCTCTTAAGCAATCAAACACGTCTTCGGTCGCCATATCCTCAATCGTAGTTTCGCCCTTGGAAGCAGCAAATAGGTACGTACTACGCATTCCACTCCTGCGAATTCAATATCTCGAGATCCCCAAGCATATTTTTAATCCCCTTCCCGGTCCTGAGAGCAAATCACAAATGCATTCACACCAAGAACGTTGCTTACGACACCTGCCTACTTGAACCACACCGCTCGGATTTGACCACAGCCTGAACAACTCTTAACACAACAACTGACACAAACCTCTTCATTCTAGTTCCTGTACTCCCAAACACTACTCCACGAACACCATCTACTTCATCGACCCATCTCATTTAGCAAACCTTCCCGTCGTCGACTCTCGTATCGGACCCGCCGATATCCAGAGTCCATAGTTCAACTTCAAGATGACTACTATGGTGAATCCACCCGCTTCCAAATCGAAATCCAACCCTCTGGTTTATACTCCCTTTCTTCAGCCTTCTACGAGCACATTCTTGTGATTTTGCACGTGTGCTGGTGCTGCTCGGGCTAGAATCCAAGAGGATGCCGAGTTGACACTTTTGAGCTCAGTCACAGCCTTGTGCCGGCATACCTCCTTCCAATATACTATATCTTCACACCATCTACTTGAACATAAACCATATTGTTTGCAGCATACTGACCTCTCTTCTAGGATCTTCGAGTTGGAAACAAGTACCGCATCGGTCGTAAGATTGGTAGTGGTTCATTCGGTGATATCTACCTCGGAACCAACATTATTTCCGGAGAAGAGATTGCTATCAAGCTTGAGAGTGTCAAGGCCAAGCACCCACAACTCGAATATGAAGCCCGTGTCTACAAGTCCCTTGCTGGAGGTGTTGGTATCCCTTTCGTCCGCTGGTTCGGTACCGAGTGCGACTACAATGCCATGGTTCTCGATCTCCTAGGACCTTCCTTGGAAGACCTTTTCAACTTCTGCAACCGAAAGTTCTCCCTGAAGACAGTCCTTCTTCTTGCGGACCAACTGATCTCTCGTATCGAGTATATCCATGCCAAATCCTTCATTCATCGTGATATCAAGCCGGACAACTTCCTCATGGGCATTGGCAAGCGTGGCAACCAAGTCAACGTTATCGACTTCGGTCTCGCCAAGAAGTACCGTGACCCCAAGACTCACTTCCACATTCCTTATAGGGAGAACAAGAACTTGACCGGTACCGCTCGTTACGCCTCCATCAACACCCATTTGGGCGTCGGTACGTGCTAGCCTAACCTCAATTGATAGCAATGCTAACATATTATCAGAGCAATCCCGTCGTGATGATATGGAGTCCCTGGGATATGTTATGCTCTACTTCTGCCGTGGCTCCCTTCCATGGCAAGGCCTCAAGGCTGCTACCAAGAAGCAGAAGTATGACCGCATCATGGAGAAGAAGATGACTACCCCTACTGAAGTCCTTTGCCGCGGCTTTCCCAACGAGTTTGCCATCTACTTGAACTACACTCGTTCGCTTCGCTTTGATGACAAGCCCGATTACTCCTACCTTCGAAAGATCTTCCGCGATCTCTTTGTTCGTGAGGGTTTCCAGTACGACTATGTCTTCGACTGGACCGTCTACAAGTACCAGAAAAATGCCCAGGCCATCGCCCAGGCTGCCGGTCAACAGCCAAACCAGGATGAGGATGAGAAGCCACGCACTCGTACCAACGCTGCCACCGCCGGTGGACCGACTCCTCAGCATGCCTCCAGTGCTTCCAAGCCTGGTGGTATCTCCGGATCCCGCCGCAAGGTCATTGAGCGTGGTGCCAGTGGTGCCGGTGTCGACACTCCCGATACGAACAGAGCCGTAGGAGGAAGTGATAGGATGTGAGTGTCTTGCTAGTTCCGCTTCCTTGTAAGGGAAATTTCCTCTTCGCGTTTAGTGTGCTTCGATGACGCTGGCCGCGAGGAGAACCGTATGCTGACTGGATGGCTGACGCTATAGTCTCCGAAAATAGGCTGCGCTCTGCCTCGAAAGGTGCAGTAACTGGTAACGGATATACATCTGGCTCTTATCGACCGAAGCGGGAGGACCAGAATGGACAGCAATGGTATTGATTGAATTTAACGGCGACTCTCCTTGATCGATTTTCGACTTTCGATTCGCGGCAGTTTCGCCTGGCTTGATCTACACCCATTCGCTGACCATACCTGAACGTCTCGTGGACGAATACTCGGTACTGGCTTGATTATATTATCACACGACTCCTCTCATTACGATTGCTTCTTTCCTTACGACTCTTCGATTTATGGATCTTCAATATGGCTCGAGCCGCTTCAACCTTGGCATGACTACTCACATCCGATGAGCATTGTCAGCTTGGTCGAAGTCATCGAACGGCATGCCGATGTCAATACATCCAGATCCGGAGCTATAGTGCAACACTCGCAGCATACTATTCGAGAATACGTTATCAATTGACAACCCCCTCGACATTGCTGGTTACATTTGGTCACGAAGCAATTGGAATCAAGGTCACTCAAGCTCGCTTGCACTTCGATGTCCGTCCTATCGTTCATCGTTGAATTAGCATCCAGAGCAGACCCTCTGTTTCATGAGATATATGTTTTGTCGTGCTCGATTTCTTTGTTTTCATTGTTTTCCTTTTGCTTGATTTTTCGGTCTGGGGAAGAATTAATGTCCAGGGCCGCAGGCAAGGGGAGCTATTTGAAGAGAGTGGACTGCTTGGTTGCATCAAAATGCAAAGGAGCTGCGCTACAGGCATGCTGCTTGCTCTGTAGCAAGACGGACATTCCACTCTGGGGAGAATATGGAATTACAGCTTCTGGGGAGGTTTAGTTTGCGTGTTTCTTTTGCGTGACCTTTTTCCTTCGCGTTGCGTAGTGGTGGATAGTGGTGGCTATTGAAATGGTATAGGTGATAGGAGGATCCACGCGCACGTCTCATTAATGGTAGCTAGTAATGGAGTGTAGTGACTGGGGTGTCTTGCGCGCTACATATGCTACTCTTAGTCTTAGTGAAATTCGACATGGCAACCCACAACTCAATTTTTTATGCCGTGAACGTTTAGGAAGTAGAGCTTGTACTAAGTTGAAGTGAGTAATGTAGAAAGTCTGGGTCTTTCAACAGAACGCTTAGAGAATAGACGCTGATCTAGATGTGTGACTGCATATAGGATATGATATGTTCTACGTCAAGAGGTTAGGAAGGTAACATCTTGCTTTGGTAGTTGAGTTTTCTTTTAAGCTATAAACGATGTCCAGTTTAGACGTAAACCATGAGCTAGACCTAGACTACATGCATCAGCTCTGGAATAATTTTATATTCACCATTCATAGAAGATTGCCTTTACCTTACTCGAGAGTATAAGCTGGCACAACCCCATCCCCGTACTCGATGCGATTAAAGATGCTGGGCTGGGGCTGGCTGCATATGATAGGTGATCAAGATATAATCTGCAGCACGTGACCAGGTGGGATGGTATGTTATCGAGAAGGGGTGTCAGCGTCATGAAATTCCAACCCCGCCACGCAACACAACAAAACAACACAACACCACACAACACAGCACAGCACAGTTTCAACAATACAATATAATGCACCACGAATGAAGCGCCGAGGAAAGGAAGGAGAGGGTTAACTTTAAAAAGCTCTCATCTCCGATTTAGTCCAAAGAACCTTTAGCGAAAACATGGCATCAGCACCAGTAGTAGGAGGAGGAGGTCGAGGAGGAGGGGAGCCTCCTCTTATCTACGAAGCTTCTGCTGGAAGCACGCATCTGCAAAGCACGGGCAGGCTGCCAGAGGAAGTAGCGCAGTGTTTAGGGAATGCACGGTTTGTACGTTCATGCTGCTGATACCTCTTGCTGTCCATCACATCCCATCCATCCCATCCCATCCCAATCATCTTCATACACACATACCCTATACACATCCACATCCACATCCACATACCTATACACATACCTACATATATATCTATACCCAGCTAACACACCCCACAGCTCCACCTCGCAACATGCACAGCCCTGCACCCCCACGTCTCCCTCATGAACTACACGTACCTGCCCGCAGGCAGCTCGCCCTACACGTCCTCGCCCACCATCATCATGACGACGAACCCGGCGTCGAAAAAAAGCACGAATCTAGTGCGGAACCCGCATGTGTCGCTGCTGGTGCACGATTGGGTTAGTCATCGGCCGCCTACGACGTCCCGAGGCGGGACGGGTACTTCACCGGATCGCGGTGTGGGGACGGGACGCGGGGAGAGGGGGGCGAGTTCCCTGGCGGCGTTGCTGGCGGGGTTGAATACGAGCGAGCTGAGTAGTATTAGTGTTACGATTTATGGGGAGGCGAGGTTGGTGGATGAGGGGACGGAGGAGGAGGGGTTTTATAGACAGAGGCATTTGGAGAATAATACGTTTGGAGATGGTGAGGGGAGGTGGGAGAGGGAGAGGGAGAGAGAGAGGGATAGGGATAGGGATAGGGATGTAGAGGGGTGTGATGGGGGGCGGGAGAGCTTTATCGAGGGGGAGGGCGTGAGGGTCGTGGCGGTTGGAATTACGGATGGGAGGGTATCGGATTGGAAGGGTGCGGTTAGGGACTGGACGTTGATCGGGGGTGGAGATGGAGGAGGGGAGGGGAACCATGTAGGTGCGGAGGGACTGGTTAATGGTGTTCAGGGGAGCTGAGTCTGGCTAGCTGTTCTTTTGATGGGATTGGTTGAGGTTGAGGGAGGGTATAGGTACTTACTTGTCTCGCGGATTCCAATATCTCGACTGAAGAGCAATTAAATGATTTTACGTGCGTGATGCATGCATGCACGCAATGTACGGTGTTCGCGAAGCCTTCAATCGGCTTTAAACAAGCTATGCCAAACCGTTCGAATCAACTCCATTACAACACCACACCTCCTCTCTATCCATCCATCCATCCTTCCATCCAGCATCCATATCTACCTACATATAGTCTCCCTTCGTCAGTGCGCCATCTTCATCCAGTAAACTATATACAATACCGTAAATCCACTCCATGACACACAGTGCTCCCTCCTTATATCATAAACCCACTTCCCCGATACACTTGCCGAATCTACTACAGTTATTACTTACTTACTCCATATACTTACTTCAGTTGGCACAAAAGCGGAGTAGAGTAAGTATGTATTTGTAGACTATGTTGTGTGTGGTGAGCAGCGAGGTATTTGGGGGAAGGAAGGGGAAGGGAAGGGGATTAAGGGGGATAGTTGGCTGATTGATTGATTGATGGTGTTAGGAAATAAGTGATGCGGGGGCATGAGGTGGGTTTAGATTAGAGGATCCTGTTTATTTTCGAGCGTGTGTGGATTTGCGTTGAATTGGGCTGGAATACGGTTAGGATGATGACTCACGAGGTATAATCTTATCTTGCGGATATGTATATACAACTTGCTATTTTTGAGTATTGTAGACATTAAGTATTCTGAAAGCTAGTAGCGAGTGTAGGGGTCAACGGCCATCATGCCCCTTGAACACGCCGTTATCTCCAATTTAATATACACCTTTCACCAAAATGGTATTAAATTTCCTTCAAATCCTCATCCATCTCGTGTCTTAATTCCTTGATAGAGCGGCCGTGTTGTAGTTGGATGGCCGTGGGTATTCATTAAAGCTTCAACTCCCCGTTGAGTGGCATCCCCTACCCCCTGCCCTATCTGTTACTGCTCACCCGCAGCATCATTTGAATACATTAGTTGTATTCATCCTTGACGACACGGCGCTGGCTCTCGGCGTCAATGAATGAGCCACGGTCGGCGCGGCGTTGACGACGGAAGAAGCCAAGGTTACTAGCTGGGGCGCCACCGGTGTTGCCATTGGTATGCCTGTCTTTGACAACTGCAGAATCTCTTGATGTCTTGCGGCTACGGCCACCTGACGCGCAGTTTACGAAGAGTAAGATAGTCGCGATGAACATGGCGGCCCAGGCAGCCCAGGTCCAGGCAAAGGCGTATGTGCCGATTTTGGCGCTCATGCCATTGTCTCTGAAGGCATTGCGGGCTTGGACGAATTCGGCACTGCATGTAGTCAGTACCTAGGTATGCTGAAGAGACAGATATGGACATGGATACTTACGTCATCAATGAAGCAGCGAGCGTCATCCAGAAGAGGGCGTTGATAATGAGGAAACCAGAGAGGCCGGCGGCGAGACGGCTGAAGGGAGCAGCCATGGCCGTGAAGAAGGAGAGGCAATCAGCAAGGAAAGCAATCAGGTAGAAGACCCAGCCAAAGCGCCACAGGTAGTAGTAGTGAGTGCTGGTGGTATGTTTGCCATGAGATCTGTTTATCGTCAGTATGCGTTGCAGAACATGCATTCCATTGGGGTTATGATTATGCATACCCTAGAAGTTTAGATGGAGCTCCAGAGCCACCCCCAGCCCAGGCGTATCCGAATGGGAGAGCCGGCACAGGCTTCCCACAGTCCTCGTTGTTATCTCCACAGACATAGAAGAAAGTCCATCGAGATATGGGCCGTGCACCAGTAATACCGGAAGTGTCGGCCTGCAGGAAGTATGTCTTGTTGAATGGTGTCTTGCTGGTTACGCCGCTGAGGACTATGAAGAAGAGGAAGAGGAGGGATGCAGCGATGAGGATTAGGGAGACAATTCCCGTCGCGCCGCCTGTTGAGCTGGTGTCAATTCCCGTCTGCCATGCCAACGCCAACTGGAGGGATGCAATAGAAAGTACTTACGTGTTGCACCCATAGCGAGGTGATGATATTATATTATTTTATATTATCGACTTCACGGATTGGTTCTTGTCTTGTCGTTTGGTGTATATGAAGAAAGAGAAGTATCTGAATGTGGGAGGTTGGGCTGGGGTACTAATAAAGCAAATTACCTGGGGTCTAGTAAGTAGCTCTAGCCACACCGACAAGAATCAGTGATGGCAACGATGACGAGGTGCAGTCTAGGTCCTTCTCCACATTCGGGTGGATGGGCGCCAATGCTTCGTACACGGGAGTCTGCAAGTCCACAACTTAATCCCAGAGCAGCTGGTGGATGAGCTGGCCGTCACGTGTGTAGTACCCAGGACAAACCGGATTGAAAGAACGATGATGGGTTGATGGTCTGATGAAGAGAAGACTTTTTGTTGTGTTCAGCTGGTCACTTTTCACTCTACGTCATTACCCTGTACCCCTTCCCTTCTTTGGCTTGGAATGAACGTCCGTGCGCTTGCTTGGCTATCGACTAGCTTGGGGCGTGCTGTACTCCCAGACTCCGTCCGTACCTCAATCTGGGGAACATCAAAAGGTACACTTACGATTTGAAGATATAATATTTCATCTGATGTCAAGGCAGATCAATAGCTGAGAGGTGAGAACCCTGCGCTGAAACAATACTCACGGTCCATATACCCCTGATGATGGATGGCCTTCTGCTGGGAGACATGAGCCAAAATTGATGCGGTGACATGGGCAGATTACTTGCTTTTCCCTGATTTGAACTTTGAAGCCAACAAGCGCCGATGTTCCCTGCCCTGCCGGCAAGCACGAGCAAGGATCACACGGCAGATGCCACGTGATAACAACAATCTCTCATGCTGCCGGGAATCAAATCTTTTCCTTGAGATCAGTCTATACAATACTGCAAGCTGAATATATCGAAAAATAAAAAAAATGCCTTACTTTTCCGGGCGCTCTTCGATGTATATATAACAAAAGGATTGGGTAATCAGGAACCACAGTATCACTCTGCTGTGTGAGCTTAGTCACGTGCCAACCAGCTTAGACTCTGTCCGAAAAACAATTGGACGCTGTCCAAAAAGACTTTGGGATTGCGACGTGCAACAAAACTCTTATTATATTTCCTCATTCGGCCACATCTTAAAGTTCAAAATCAAGAAACAACTTCTGAACTTCAAATTTCTTCCGAGTCAGGCATGCAAAAGCTGACTTGCAGCTGTGAGCCTATAATGGTAGGTTGAAGTATCGATTTGTACATCTATTATTTGTTCGGTGGTTTTGACGGGCGTATTACTTTCCCTCTACCTCTTTCTTACACGTAGGCGGGAGAAGATCTACCCATTCCATTCTTTATTTCAGGGGACGGGCACAAGTGCAAGTTCACCGGTTTGCTCGCACAGAAACCTCCTCCATACCCCAATGCTGGGAGAACCAATTCCCTCTCCAGCGCGCCCCTACCTCTTTGCCCCAGGGGAATATTCACCGTGATAAGCGGTACGAGGCTGTATATACCTACACTCAGACGGCCGTATCGTCGTCGGCTTTAATAAATGTCCCACCCCACCTGCTGGGCACCATAAACATCGGCTAAAATGTCATATCACAGTATATGCCCATTTCGCCAGCGTCAATTTTCGTACCGGTGATAGTTCCGCAGTACTTCAAGTCTCATTCTCCGCTTCGGAGCTTTCCTCCCCGTCATGAGCTCGAACTGGGCAATTGCTTGCTCAGGCAGAACTTCCAAGCCATCGACGATTATCCAAGCTTGCTTTGCTTCTTCGCGGAAACGCCGGATTTGTTTCAGCAGCGGGGTGTCGAGGGGCATATATGCTAGCTACGGAATAGAATAGAATGATCAGCGGAGATGGACTTGGACAGGGTGTTAGGAGACTTGTTTGTTGGCTTACTTCTACAACAACACCACCGGTGGGACTACCAAGCCACTGCACCGGCATGACGAAGTTTGCAGCAGGCTCACCGGCTACGCTGTTCGCAGGCACACACGATACGATAATTGTCGGTTGCGTGAAACCGGCAGGCCATTCCTCCGACGTTGATTTCAGCACCTTGACGATCTCGCCGTCGCTGCTGAGGCCTGCGGCCCAGGAGTTGAAGTGCCGTGCGACTTCTTGAGCATGTTCTACGGTCCGGTTGTACATGAAGATCTTTCTGCAGCCCAGCTGTATCATGGCGTAGACTGCTGCTCGTGCCATTCCTCCTGCTCCGATGACCAGCCCGGTCGTCTTTGACGGCTGCACGACGTTTCGCGGGGAGATGTTTCGCCTCAGACAAGTCAAGATTCCCAAGAAATCCGTGTTGTCACCGTAGTATGCGATTATGGGACCGGACTTGCCTCGCTCGTTCGCTTGCCGCAGAAGTGACTGGAGGCTTCCATCTAGAGAATTGTTGTTTGAAAGCATACGCAAGGGTAGCAGAGTGTTTGCAGCTCCAGTGGCTTTAGCGTGGTAGCTCTTGGTTGCTATGCGGCTTAGGATCTGGACCTTGAATGGCTGTGTTATGGCTGCGCCTCCAAAGTTCGAATCTTGACAGAGCCGATGTATATCGTCGAGAGATGAGACTTTCAAGGATTGGAAATCATTACTCATTCCGCACACCTGGTACGCGGCAGTGTGCATAGCTGGTGATAGACTGTAGAAAACACTGGCTCCAAGATGGTAAAAGTGGAGAGGGGCGAGTATTCGAGTCTGGTAGAGACTTTGCATTGCCTCAGATGCTGTTGGGAGGAACCTTCGAATCTGGCTCACACTTACTGTAGCTTGCATAATCGGATGGGTGACTGGGGTGAAAATCCGATTGGAAACTAGTGAAGGCATACCGTAATCTCCAAGATTGTATGCAATGACAGGCAAGTGGTCCGGTATCGACTCGATCTTGGCTAAAAATCCTCGAACAGTGTCATTGTCACTTTGTTTGGAGGTTGCTCGAACGAAACGGACCATGTCACAACCCAGTGATTTCGCTCGCCGGTACTGGATCATAGGGGATTCGTCGTCCCAGCCGGAAGACTTCTCGTCTCGAAGCAAATGATGACCGATGACTTTTGTTCGCCCTGAGGATTTGACAAGTTGAGAGATATTATCGCGTGAATACCCAAGGTCAACAACGATGTACTCAACACCAAGGCGCATGCCGGTTTCGAGGAGTTGGAAGTAAGCATGCTCCTTCTCCGGCAACGATAATGGCGAATTACCAAAGACATACTCTTCCACTTGGAATATGATTGGAACACCAAGCTTCCTTCTGATTGTTGCAACTTGTTTTGCCAACATTTTCTTCAGGTCGGACGACCAGGTATCGACTTTCAATTGAACAGCATCGGCTCCAGCTTCCAGTTCCACTAGATCCAGATCAGGAATCGTCGATAATCGCAGTGACAACGCATAGGTGTAAGATCTTGCCTCTGGTGGAAGCGCCGCGATTGAAAATGGACTCTCGAGGCTATTTCGTGCTAGACCTTGACCAGTCAAGAAGTCAAGGAAGTTTGAGAAGTCTTCTTTGGCATACTTAAGCCTTGAGGATTGATTTCCAAGCCCAATTTCTGGTGGTGTATCAATTCCCTCACAGCTAGGATCATAGAGATTGTAATACTCTAAATTCGAACAGGTCCGATGAGAGAGGTCAACAGCCGCTAGACGGGCTGCTTCCTCATCCCCAAGTCTCAGTAGGGATCTAATCCTCTGGCTACCCCTGGTGACATAGATAACGGGGTTTGTTTTCGAATACTCTCGGAGTGCCTTTTGAGCTTGATGCGAGAGACTTCCCATGCCACATTCGATCATGCATCCTGATCGATGTTGATCAAGCATCCGCTTCAATACCTCCACATTTCGTTTATAAAACTCTCGATTTCCGTAAGTCCGGAGGAAATCACCTCTTGAAATACCAGTGATTTCTTGGAAATAGTGATCTTCTGTGATCAAACGACGGCCGAGGTGTGTCGCTCCAATGAAGCCGAGGGTTCGTTTCCCCACGCCCCGGGAGCCGATGAGCACAATGGAAGCATCCCGTGGAAACTGTCTTGAGATTGGGGTTTGCGGTGCTGAAACTAGCTTCAAATCTGTTTCTAGCGATAAAGGATCAAGCTGAGTTGCAACGGCCATTTCAACTCATTGCATTGCTCCAAAACGTGATATTACATCAATGGGCTTCGTTCCAGCGAATGATGATATTTTCCGATGGCCGCCACCTCACCATGAAGAAATGCCAAACTTTGAGATCATTTCCAGCCTTAAATCTTATTTTCGAGTTGTTGTCGAACGAGTCTGCACAGCAGACTTTCGCATGAGCTGATTAGTGCGGGTTGTAGTTTTGTCACGGTTAGGAGTCGCGGTAGATGGCCAGAGAACTCCAGTTTGCTTAGTAAGCCACTGGCTGGGGGATAAATTCATATCCGACATGCCGTGACCTCACAATGGGAAAAGCCTGGGGTAAGAGTACAACAGTCTAGAACTATTGACAATTCGAACGGTATTACTATATTCGCTAGAGTTGAATCCACCCGTCACCCTCGTTTCCATGATAGTTATAGAGGTTCAACGCAAAACTTAGAAGCACAATCCGTGCTCCTAGAGTTGACCTGCGCCGCTCTGCGACTCTACGCCGGCGTCTCTATTGAGCCTTCCACAGCTATGTGAGACGGTAAACTCGAGTATAAAGGCATTGTTGTCTGGAGCAGGCCAGACAAGCCAGGAATCACGTGTCTTTTGCACTGGTTCATTCACTCCTTTTTTGGACCAGCTATATTTCGCTCCACAACCTCGCGACCATTCGCGACCGTCAACCGGATTCATAGACCAGCGAGTGTTTACCATGGCGCAACAGGCAAACATACAAGCTCCCAATGGGCAGGACCCCCTGAGAGAAGATAACGTGACCCCACACGACGAAAAAGCCAACCGCAAGCGCGTAACGCAAGCTTGTGAGACCTGCCGGAAGAATAAGGTCAGGTGTGATCAAGAGACGCCCTCTTGCACTCCCTGCGTGTCAAAGGGGCGGAGTTGTCACTACGATCCAGTTCGAAAGAAGCGAGGTCTTCCGCCCAAACTTGTCGATCAGCTCAAAGCCGAAAACCGTGATCTTCAAGTGCAAGTAGAGGCGTACGAAAAGTTATTGGGTCTAGCAGTGCAGGATGGGGATTTTAAAACTAAGCTGCTCGGACTTCTGGAGGGAGTACAGGATGGTGGCGGTAATGGAACTTGTAAGCCTTTTTCATTTCAAGGATGTCTTCCAGATCTGAAACAATGTCAGATGTCTAGGTACCCAGCGGGACTTTTTGCATTGGAGCCTTGCTGACCAGTCAATAGGGAACGACGAAGTCACCACCAAGAACTTGGTCGCCACCTGGAAGAAGTCCAAAGTTTCAAAAGAACTTTACAGGCTACTCCCGTCTATAGAAGTAGCCCCGGCCTCTCCAGTCAAGGGAAAGCGCAAGCGCAAGCGCGGGGATGATATTGAGCCAGTAGCTGATTCGCCAGAAATAAGGGCGACTCAGCCGTCGGTGGATGTCTCTACCGGTGTGAGAAATAATCAATCTATGAATCGGACTGCCCCGTGGCCAGTCTTCGATTCAATTGAAAGGTCAGGTCTGATTGTTTTTCGCCAGCTGCCAGGTGTATTTAGCGCTAATTGGGCTCATGTTGACTTGAATACTTTATAGCTCGACATCGCAGCGTTCTCCTAGACATACACGTACGGCCAGTGATGTAGCATATGATATGATGGTGCACATAGTTGGGGGCGACCAATCACAAAACCCATCAGGCGTGGAACAATCAGACACCTATAATCAACAACCGCACACACTATTGGCCCAGAATAATAGGCAACATCAGACAAGCATGGGTTTGCTCCATGGAGACCACCAATTCCAGAACTCTACATGCGCCGACCTATCAAGCGACTATAGTCCACATCCGCATACTCACTTAGCTCAAAGCAGCAGGCGGCATCAGAGAAGCATAAGTTCCAACATAATGGCAATACCGCGAGCTCAAACACCGCCAATTCGCCGTTCATCAGACAATGTTCTGCCTTTATCACCTGCTTACCCGTCCCTGTACCCAACAAACCCTCTACTCGATCCGCAACTTCAGGGCCCGACCGTCTCAGGGGCAGATGCGGATCTAGCTAACGAGTTCGCGGTCATGGATGCTACCGAATGGTAAGAGAATCCACAACTCGCTTCGGAGATTGATCTGTATTATTAACCTTGTTCCAGGACCGGCAATGGTAACTGGGACCACGGACTAGCAAACTTGGGATTCGCACAGGATAACGGCAGCCAGGACTTCTATGACTTCTGTCAACAACCCGACCCATTGAGCTCAAACAATATCTTCCAACAGCTTGCGGCCAGCTCTGAAATCGAGGCTTCCGATTTCTTCGGCAGCTCTGCATTCAATGGTATGTTGGAAATCCGAGATACGTTCGGCTGGACTGGAGAAATGGAGGGGATGGCCGGATCTGGAGTTATAGCAGCGAGGGATGAGAACGAGGGTATTGAGGCAAGCCAGATTCTGCAGTCACTCAGCGCTCTAAAGGACTAGAATATGCTTGGTGGAGCAGATGATTGAGAGAGGACGTGTACGATGAAAATTAGGGGCTGGGAAGTTCCATTACGACTCAATGAGTAACGAGATCATGTTTGTATACCCATATGCTGTAGACGTACGATCACTCGGTTTATATTGGATACCCTCTAAGGCTACTACTGAATACAAAGATCAATTACCCAGAACCCGTGAGATACTACAGGCTTGTACCATTTGCCTAAATGTTTGGGCTCCAGAAAGCGCAACGGGGAGTCGGGCGCGGGGACGAGTTATGAGGGAGGTTTGGAAGAGGGTTTGGAGGTGTGAGTATTGCCTTCTGGTCCCGGATTGTATGGCATGTGTTTGTGCAGATCTGGGTTTCTTGCTTCACCAACCGTATTGTGCTTTCACGCTACATCGAGAATTACCATATAGTAAATAAGTATATTTTTTTGGTAAGAATGAATGCTTAAACGACGGTAAGTGCCGCCATCGCTCGTCGAATAAGTGAAATCGTAATTGCAAATACGGTAGATGTTCTTGGGAATCTCGTTAGAAGCTTCTCATTATAATCTCGCCGAGATCTCTCTCCTCACAAATAAACAACCTCTCATTCCTACTCCAACTCATCCTGGGCGGCTGTCCATCAACATGAAACGGATGCTGCTCATTCAACGGCTGCGAAAGCCTCTCCGCATCAACAATCTGCACATAGAACAATTTCTCCACATCAATCTCCCTCACCAACTCCCTCAAACTCTGCCCGAACACCCATTCGCATTCTCAATCTTCCCATCTTCCCTCGTCGGATCAGCCCACCCCCGTCCAGCAATATTGAACATATCTAAACAGAGTCCGAAATTCGGCCATCGACGTTCTTCACAACAGCCCAGGCATCCTCCCAGCTAGAGTTGAAGGTCCCCCAACAGAGATTCTCAAACGCAAATCGAAACGGTGGGGTTTGAGCTGCTCCTAGATCGGCATAATCTCTCAAATCGCCGACCACGACATCCAGGTCTCCTGTAAACCCCTCCGTTTTGAACGTACTCGGAATCTGGATCAGGTCTATGCCTAGTATCCTCGCGATTTGAACCAGAGCTTGAGTTCTTCTAACCTCTCTGCCTTTGCAACAGGTGAGAGCAGACCTTCGCAATTGCAAAAGGGGCCAATGCCCATGATCTCTAGGTTGAGGGAATTGGCGAGGGAGCGGATCTGGCGAGCGGCTAGCAGCTGGGTTGACGGTATTGGACCGCCGGGGAGGGATTTGGCGATGTGGAGGAGGTCTTCGAAGAATAACTCGATGGCGGGCATGCCGGCTTCGGCTGCTGCTGTGAGGTTTATAGTGAGGTTGTGGATCTAGGCTCGCTGGAGTGTGTTAGTGGGTGAGATGAGGTGAGAGGAGGGTATAATGGACTCCTAGGGACATGCTTGCTATTGCTGGCCGGCAAGACATCTTTTGATGCCAGGTGGAATATGAAGTGAGAAATAAGATGAGATGAGACTCCTAGATGGAACGTTCTTTGAACTAGTTCTTCTGGAAACTTTGATGTCCGAATGAGAACGTACATCGGTCTCCGAGTGTATCACTAACGCTGTATTCTCTATATGAGATCTACCTTGAGATGACATTGTACAGCCGGACAGACCAAGTAAAGCTAAGGGAATCGTTACAATTGACACCAATTCTCGCATCATTAGAGGTCCAATACCTACATGGACCTAGACATCAAAGCGAAATAGAAATGATAGGTACCGTAAACCTAAAAGAGAACTTGACGGCGTCTCATCTCCGTGCACATGCGCCTCTCCACCACTCGGTCGAGAAGGATACATAATAAACCAAGATGCCATCATCGGTTCCTCGAGCCAAGTAAGAGATCTCTCGGAGACCGGGGAACCATCCAATAAAATTTCTGCAACTTGCATCCTCACAATCTGATCTGGAGTGAGAATACTCGTAATATGACCAACTTACTAGCCCGACATTGACTAAAGTACCCTATTCCTATGCCACAGAATGCTATTGCCGCTATTAATTCTGGTTGATCTCCAAGAGTGCCTGTCGTGAAACCGCCGTCGATTACTTACTTGGGAAGAGAGATCTTCATCCTATGGGCGGCTGGCTGACGGGTGGCTTGCAAAATAACCTTCCGCGTAAACGACACTACCAGACGCCTCGTGAATCCTCCCTCGGCCTGCCGCCAAGGGATCCGTAATGAAGAGTTGGATCTAGCTCTGGTTTTGGAAAATGTGGCGTCTGGAGAGACTGGGGGGAGTTAGTTCACCCTAGCAATCGCAACTTATTCGAGCCTAGGTGAAAGAAATCTCGCGGGATTGCAAGTACTATTGCAATCGCTATTTGAGCGAGTATCTGTATCCGTATACTTAAATAGCACTTTACCGCCTGTACAGTTGTATATTTTTAAAAAGAGAAAATAAGAAAGCAAAGTAGAGTTGGGAAAATGAGTGCTTGAAATGTAAGCGTACTCAGTACTTTTAGCCGAAGGAGGCCCCCTGCTCTCCTCTTCATGCCTCGGACCAAAGAACCAGGCTCTACAACGCAGAATCCGATGAACTCTAAGTCTATTCTGGGACGCTAGACCTCCTCAATATGTGCCAGATTCTCTTTCGAGCCCTTCTCCAACCCTAGCCCACTCCCCTCAACATTTCGCCTGAAAGCCTCCTCGTCGTCGTGCAATTGTTTCATCACAATCTTGTGTGCGATTCTCGGTTGCAACTCTTTACTGAACAATATGTCCATGCTCTCAAGCGGGATTCCTTTTGTCTCGGGCAGTAGGAAGAAGGTGAATACGATGGAGCACATCATGAGACTAGCGAAGAAGAAGTAGACGCCGTAGCCCATGGCGGTGAACATTTGTGCGGTGAAGCGCGCGACGAGGAAGTTGAAAAGCCAGTTGGAGGCGGCAGCGAATGCTTGGCCTAGGGTTCGGACGTTCTGGGGGAATATTTCGGAGTTGTAGACCCAACTGTTTTTAAAAATTAGCTTCAGTTCAAGAATGATGAAGTGATATAGAGGGGAGTTCCAGGAGTGACACATACGGTGTCCCGTTCCACGACGGAGTGTAGAAGACTGCCCACAAATAGAAGAATGCCATAGCCGAGATTCCACCAGACGACAACGATCCATTCGTGGTGGGATGGTGGGTTGGGTCAGCAATCTTGATATAAGCTCCGATATAGTAGAGGCAAAGACCCCCTAAGAACGCGCCATATATAAGCAGGTTTCTGCGACCGAAATTATCAACGAGGAATAGAATCCATATTATAGTGACAGCTGCTTTCACAAGCCCGAACACACCAGTGGTAAGAAGACTGGCGTTGGTGCCGGTAACACCGATGCTCTCAAATACTGTTGGGGAGTAGTAGTTGATCGCATTGATGCCGGATGTATTTTGCCAGAAGAATAGGGAGCAGCCGAGGAAAAATCGGTAGCTGACTTTGCGGTCGTTCCAAAGGGCCACGAACGGTTGCCAGAATCCTAGTCCGACAGTTGCGTGCTGCTGCTCGAGAGCTGCATCGATGGCGGACACCTCTTCGAGCATGTAGAGGTCGTCTTCTGGAAGCATTCGGATCCAACAGAGGTTCTTGAGCGCTTTGCGACGTTGGTTTCTGGTCATCAACCAACGTGGAGACTCTTTGATGAAGAAAAGACCGATAAACATTAGTCCAGCCGGGATGAGTTGCACGGCAAACGGGATGATCCACTGCGAACGACTTGGTTTCATCGTGGTTGAGACGCCGTACTGAACTATGATTAGCTCTTTCGTTGCTAAAGACTCCTGGGAGTATTCAGCTCACGTTAATCCAATATCCCACGACCCCTCCAATCTGCCAGCCCATCTCATACAGACCAACAAGTCTGCCTCGAATCGCTGGCGGTGCCAATTCAGAGATGTAAATAGGGGTAAGATTGGAAGCACCACCAACTCCAAGTCCTGCCAAAACTCTGCCGGCGTAGAGCAAACCAAGTCCACGAGATCCATTGGCACCCAACATGAGACCAGCTCCTAGAATGAAGGTGGCAGAAAACACTTGAAGACCCTTTTTACGTCCAAGATAGTGACCGGCGGCATAGGCACCGAGCGCACCGAAAAACGCTCCCGCTTGGTAGAGGGAGACAATGTTTTCGGAGATAATTGCTGCTTGATGGGAGGAGTATTGTTTCCAGTTGAATTCGGTCTTGAAACTCGTCAGGGCGAGAGTTCCACCAATAAATGCGGAGTCATATCCGATCATGACAGCGCAAAAAGCCGCTCTGTTTACTGTCAGATTGATAGTTTGTTGTTGGATCGAGAAAAACTTACACTGTTGCACATGTATACACACGGACATTGTACACGGCCTTGGGCGTCGGTCGATCTGAAAATGGTTAAAAGACTTCGTTTGCCCTCAACACCACCTAGAGTCTTGGAATTTACCTTCTTGGAGAGAGAAAATTCCCATATTGGGCAAATATCAACGTTTTCGTGGAAGTTCAGCAGTGACTGACTGAAGAGGCATGGAGAAACCTTGAAAATTCTTCTCGTCTAAGTGGGGAAGCTTTGCGCATATGCAGATTTCGTTGAGGAGTGCTTCATGTATATAAGCACCCTCTAGAAGCTGGTTCACTTCTGTTAGATTTCATGATTGGTTCTTTGGCGATGGAAAACCCTCCGTTTACGGGACTGCGGGGACTCTGCGGGGACTTTGCAGGGACTGCACCTTGTCTGACCCACAGCCAAAACAAAATACTCAGCGGGTAAATAGACATAATACATAATGAGCGCTTTAGTATTGTGGGGCCCCGCTGCCCCAATAAGTCGGTATTTTGAAGCTTGATTCCTGCAGCAGAGCTCTATCTGCAGAGTTTTTCTCGCCCGAGGTTTTCAATTCCCAGGTGACCCAACAGCCCGGATTCATCTCAGCCCTGTACACCCCTTCAATTCCAAAGATTTCAAAAACCAAGATGTCTCGGGCACAAATCAAATCTCAAAGCACCTTTACACTCTCGCCTCCAGTCTCACCAGCCGCACCACCAGTCCCCTCAAACGATCACCTAGACCGTGTCTCCTACCTCTTCGGCCACCCCATCTCACACTCTCTATCCCCCCTACTCCACGACACCATCTACTCCGCTCTAGATCTGAACTACGCCCAACATCTCTACGAGACTCGTTCCCTTACAGCATGTCTTGCCCTCACCCACTCACCCAAGTTCTTTGGGGCGTCTGTCACCATGCCACACAAAGTAGCCATCATCCCTTTCTTAGACATGCTTACGCCGGAAGGTGAAGCCATTGGTGCCGTCAACACGATCTTTTGGCGCAACCATCCGGATGGGAGGAGACTGCTGTGTGGGACTAATACGGATTGTATTGGGATCCGGGAGGCGATTTTGCAGAACGTGAGCAAGGAGGCTGTGAGCGAGATGCGGGGGAGAGGAGGGATGGTTATTGGAGGGGGTGGAACGTGCAGGGCTGCTGTGTATACGCTGAAGACGTATATAGGGTGTGATGAGGTGTATTTGGTGAATAGGGATAGGAGTGAGGTGGAGCAGGTGGTTAAGGAATGTAAGACTAAGGGATTTGGGGATGGTTTGAGGTTTGTGGAGAGTGTAGAGGAAGCAGAGCGGTTGCTGGGCCCGAAAGTGGTTGTCAGTGCAATTCCAGACATTCCTCCTAAGAGTGAGGCGGAGATTCGAACGAGAAATATCGTTCAGACGTTGTTGGGGAAGAAGGAGAAGGGGGTTATCTTAGAGATGTGCTACCATCCGTCGCCAGATACTGCCATTGCCAGGATAGCGAGGACAAATGAGTGGCAAGTCATTGAGGGAACGGAGGCTATGATTTGGCAAGGACTAGAACAAGAGAAAGTGTGGTTAAGAAAGGTAAGTGCATTACCTGTCGATAAGGTGAAACAGGTCATTGCCGCGAAACTGTCAAAGCCAAGTTTATAGACTTACACGAGCATAATGAGAGCAAGCATAGCGAGGCGCGTCTAGTGCCGATTTCAATTATACAAACAAGCGTGAAGGTATGTTTGGGAATTTATATTGCCCCTTATCCATCAACCTAATACAAGGCTGTAGCATACGCATGAATAAGGCGCATTATGATCCCAACAAACCCCGAAGGGCTAACTCATATCTGCCAACGCTCCGTTAAGAACAAATTTCTAGATGAAATCTGCTCCTGCGACCTCTACAGGCCGCATCGCTGGGGTGCTCATAAGCACAATTGACACACGGAATTCTTTTCCCATGTGAGAAGAACACGGGAAGAGTTCTCATAATTCATTGTCTAGAAAAACGCCACCGATATTGATTTCCTCGAGCAAGACGGACCTGTCTTCTCTTCCCCAAACTCCACGCTGAAAAGCCATAGGGCAAAAGCAAACAAATCTTGAAAAGCTTACAACATTCTCCACCATTTCATAATCATCTCGTTCTAGTCATAACTATGGCTAAATAGTGGTGAGATAGACTCTCCGTAATGATTTCGGCGAATAGCCTCAGATAGCAGATTTGACAGATCTAATACGACCAACTTTTTCGCAGCACGTGCTTTGTCAGCCGCGATAGGGAATGAGTTAGTGACGAGAATAGTGTCGATGCAATCGCAATTTTGAAGCTCCTCAAGGGAATCGCCGCCAAAAAGACCATGAGTAGCAATGCAGTAAACTTTTTTTGCCCTACCGCGCTTTACAACGCATTCGGCAGCGGCAATCCAGCTACCAGCTTTATCGATCATGTCGTCGATAATGAAGATCGTTCTATTCTTCACGTCGCCCACAAGCGTGATCATCTGCTCTAGGCCTGGGTCATTCAATCCCCCATCTTCTTCGTCCGAGGAGGCCGCTGCATCTGCTGAGCCGCCTAGGACTTGTGGTTCGGGATGGAAGAATGAGGATGCTCTCGACATAGACATTGGATCATCGTCAGGGTTGTCTAATATAGTCGAAGTAGACATAGCGGATTGTGTAGGTGAAGGATAGTCGTCGGGCACAATATGGCCATGGACAAGTCTTCCCTGTGTGATATCTCGAGCTCGCTCATCTGTAAACTCCTGCTCTTCTTCAATGGAGGATGATATAGAGGGTACAGTCTGTGCGCGAGTGAGGGGAGATTTGGTTGTAGAGGCATTGCCATTTGACGATCTTAGAGGAGATGACATTGCTGGAGACTTTCGTGGAGATGATTGACTCTCCTGTCGACTGTGCCCTCCTCGCGGCGGAGTCTGCCCATTACGCGGTGCGAATTCTAGCTTCTGTTCTTTTGTCTGCAGTTGGCTGAGCACTGGCTTCTCGCCGCGATGAGCTACGTTATCATCAGGGCTGATTTGCAGCTTGCTGATATCAGAGTCCAAAACTAGTTCGGGCGCATTCCCATCAAGCTGATTCATAATCATACTCGCGCTCATGCCAGGTCCTCCTCGGCGTTTATCGGTTGTGACCATGCCGAAATTGAGTTTGAGTGCATCCGCTAAAGATGTTACACGCTTAGTACCGCCAGCGTTTTTCGATACACAGACAGCTTCCTGCCAATTTGCAACATTGCGTCTAATCCACCTCGCGATGATTGGCTCAGCATGTAGATTGTCGACTGGACACTTGAAGAAGCCCTGCATTTGGGAGGCATGCAAATCGATCGTAATGACATGGTTGATTCCGGCTACGTTGAGCAGATTGGCCAGCATACGCGCTGTTATTGCTCCTCGATGTGACTTCTTCTTCGATTGGCGACTGTATGGAAAATATGGTAGGACCGCTGTGCTTGTCAGTAGTGACCAGCGGAATCGTAGTGGGGTGGTTGACCTGTGATTTTGTTCGCGGAGCCTCCCTTGCAAGCAGAGATCAGAATAAGAAGCTCCATTATACTGTCGTTGATGTTGCTGCTCCCCGATTGAACCACAAAGACGTCCTTATCTCGAATGCTGGTAAGAATCTTGACACTGGTCTCGCCCTAAGAATCGTGTCAATCATTTTCAGCCTTGCGTTGTGGAAAAAACGGATTGTGTACATTTGCAAATTGAGAGAGCTCAACGCCTGCTGGATCCATGCCTAGATTGGAGCATATCTGCCCAGCAAGCGCAGGACAAGAGCTGCCGGCGAAGATCAGAGTGTTGCGCATCTTGGGGTGGAGTGGTATTTTGGTAAGGAACTTGGAAGAGGAGTCCGATAAATTTTGAAAATAGTCCTCAGAGGACCCACCAGGTTGGTTCAATGGTTGATCTTCGGTATTACGTAAGCAGGAGCAGAAAGTAATGTCCTTTACACACTTCACTCACTCTGTCACTCTATGAACATGTACGAGATGTTGAGTCTCTTTCACCCTAAAAGCTATGACCAAAGCAGAGCTCCCTCACCTTTAAAGACGTTCCCAGCAGTCACCGCTTTGTTATCCCACACAACTCGGCTTAGAAGGAAAGACCATTAATGACAGAAGAAAGAAGGACATGGTCTACGTAGCCTTTGTTGTTGTCAGATGGGGATCCCGCGTCTAACCCATTGCTTGAGGCCATATGCTGTCTCTAGGTCCCTTGCTGGTTCTATAGTAGTTATCGATGGACCGGGACTCGCATATCACGTCTGGCACATATGCCTTGGCGCAAGACGGAATGCAGGGAACGCCTTCGAGACTGCAATATCATATGCTGAGATTGGGACCGTCGTCCTTGCATGGTTGGATGCACTCCGGCGAAATCACGTATCCATGTGAGTTTCCACGGCATCTCAATGAGCTCTCAGCTAACACAGTAGTAGAAAAAGAATATATTTTGATGGATATTTGCCTCTCTCAAAACGAGATGTTAGAGAAGACCGAATCGTACGGCAAACTCAACAGCTATTTCAATTCCACAAATCCCACCCGTTTCCTTGTCGGATTTCCTCGGTCGCGAGCGAGAATGGCCTGCAGGCTCTCTTTTCTCGCGCCACTGTGCCTAGTAGACTGACGGAATTGCCTCCTCTGCCATTCTTGGTACCAGCTGTTCTTGAAGCACTTGGGACTTCTGATAATTATAGAAGTATCACTGAAGTTGTTCCTGCTGAAGCCGACGTGTACTGCGCTCAGTCTGTGAAGGATAGCGGTGGCGTCATTATCACTGGGGATTCTGACCTTTTGGTACACGACTTAGGCCAGGACGGAGCTGTCATATTCTTCGGAGATCTGGAATCCAATTTGTATGACCAGTCTGGTTCTTTGAGTGGCCTGGTATACCAGCCGGCAGCAATTGCAGACCGACTAGGTTTGCCAGAACCCTATGGGCTGCATGCCTTGGCATTTCAGATGAAGATATGCACTCCAGGCTCACTTGCAAACCATCTTGTGCGGGCGAAAGCCCTTGAGGCCATCGTTGCTTATCCCGATAAGTACCAAGATTTCAGGAAAGAATATGTCTCCTTACTGGTCGTACCAGACGAACGGGATGAGGAAATTGAAGCTCCAGCAATCCTTCGAACAATGGATCCACGAGTCTCCGAATATGTACTTCAGTATCCATGTATCGCCAACCTAGCAGGCCAGATCCCCGAGAAAATTCCTTCTGGCACTTCGCCCCACATCTTCATTCCGTTTTTACTCGACTGTCCAATTCGTACCAACGCGTGGGAAATGTCGATGGCCATTAGGCAGATAGCTTATGGTCTGATGAACCTAATCGTTCCAGAGGATCAGCGGCAGTCCACGGTCTTCGAACACAAAAGACAAGAGGGTAAATCGAGAGGTCGAGAGTTAACAATACCTGACACTTTTCAAATACTGGAAGCCTGCAGCGACCTCGTAGCTCTTCTTTCTTCTCAACTGCCTACAGAACTTGTAGGCATAGAAGCATCTCCCTCAACGATTTGGACTGCAGCAGCTGTATACCAAGATATCCAATGGGCACATTATAACTTTAAGCCCAGCCTTAGTCAGTTGGTAGGATCCCAAATCAACACCATGGATCATAAGTTCGATGTCAGCAAAGACCTCAGCTGGGATGTCTTCCATTTGTACGCCCAGATTCAAGGGTCTTATTACTCCTTCAGGATGCTCAAACAGATCCTAGCCCTTGTAATCTCACAGAAGCAAAGTAGTGCTCTGCCCAAGCCCCTGACAGAATTGAACGGCGTCCTTCAGAATCTACCTGCTTTATCGTGCATCCCAGATATTGCCCAGGCTACTCCTGTCTTCGAAGGCGTCGAGAAGAATGGTATGCTAGTTGCTGCCCAAAAGATTCTAGGGATATTCCTGCCAGTATTGCCATCGAGCGAGCCTCGCAAGGCGATAGAAACCAAGCGTAAGAGAGACCAAAGAACTGCCACTCTGCCAACGAAGCGCGAAAAGCCAAATAACCCCTTTGGTTTGTTGGACGTCGAATTATGACTTCTGTTGTAATAATTTCGAAGATCCGAAGTTCGAATGGTATGGTGAGCTATTCGATGAAGGTGTAGCCTTGCTCCTCTAATGTAGCAAGGTTCTGCGTAGGAAATTCGCACTTTTTGGGGTCGGTTTTGGGTTTGACAATGTCGAGTATTGTGGAAGGCAAGCTTGAGGTGCTGTTGTGCTTTTTGTGGTACACAAAGTCCCAGGTTCTCCTAAGAAAAATTGATGTTCGGCTACCGGTTGCTCAACACTCAACATCCCCAACTCCAGCTTGATATTTTTCCTCCGTCCTCCGCTTCATGCGCACCAAACCTTCAAAAAACAATGTTCTTTTCCACCGGTACAAACAACTACGGATGTACCCATGACAAAAATCCAAACATGCGATCAGCCCCCCAAACATTCCCAGGTTTTCCCCGCCTTCCCATTGAACTACGTTCTATGATATGGAGCTTTTCGATGCTAAACACACCCGGACGATACATCTCTCTGATTCAAGATTCTGAGACCGACGATGTCGTCTCAACTACGCCCCCTCCGACCCTCCTCTCCGTCTGCGCTCTGTCGCGACTCGAGGCTAAGAAACATTACCGCAAACTCCGGCTCACTTCCCAGAATATCTCACCGATTTGGGTTAACTTCACGCTTGATACCTTTCGGTTCGACTTCCAATTGATGGCAGACAGCAAGCTCGACCCCGCAGACCTCGCCAGCCTTGTCTCTCTTGAACTCGCGTTCTCTGACCTCTACAATTGGCTCCCAGAAGATGACATTCTACCGAAGCTAGTCGATTGCGAGAACCTGCGCTACTTGAAGGCTGTCTACCCAGCACATGGGCCCTGGAATCACGAAGGATTTTGCAACGATGCTCGTTTTACGTTTGAAGAGCTCGCGGATCTAATTGAGGCCTTGCAAGGCTCTGAGGACGATAACCTGACATCAAACAATGCCACTGGATGGGCTCTTCTAAAACTGGAGATTATGACTATGGTCTTATGATAGGCCTACGGGTTTCGCAGGGCATTGGGGGATGAAGACTGGTTTCGGGGCTGCTCGTAATCGACAAAGCAAGCACCTGTTCTTGGAACTCCAGTGGGTCGGGATGAGTGTAAGGAGGATATCTGATATTTTTGGTCTTCATTTTGGAACTGATGAATATCAAAATGTCTCACGAATAACGAGGTTCTTGGATTCAACGCGAAGGCTGGGCAGTGAGCATGTACTTGTACTTAAGACTACAACCCATAATGTTTTATACTTCATGAGATATTCTAGCTACCTTAGCTACTATCATTTGCGTATCGGTGCTACTGTGTCATGATTGCCTCGGAATTAGTTCCACATTCTAAGTTTCTTGTGACGCTCATGTTTGTTTGTCTATCTACGGCATGAGGACTTGAATAGAATTTTGCACACAATCACGCCAAGAACTAATGAATAGGGGGGCAATTGCTATGCTGACCGTCGCTTGGTGTTATTACGTAGTTGGGATGGTGGGTTTTCTAACGGGGCAATGAAATTCTTTCCAGGTTTGTCATTCCATTCATTGTCTTCACAACAATTCGACACCACCATCCCACAAACAGGATCCGGCCTTAACAACGTGCTTCGTTTGCCTTCTTTCTCAGTCTTATCCCATGCTACGTTACCTGCGAATAGAACTACCGCCTCTAGCAATGTCCGGTATGTATCCTTCATATATCTACATATCTAGCCCTTTCTAACTAGATCGGGATTTTCTAGCTCCTCGATGAAACCATAGCGATGGGACCAACTTGGATTCCCATTCAAACTTCGGACCTGTAGAGGTAAGTCTTTTCAATCTGTGGACCAAAGATCATTCATGATGCTATGCTTATCCGAAATCCTCAATCGGACAGCCCTTTCGAGTATTTCAGTCAGCAAGGATGCTATCAGATTTGTTCTGGACAGTCAATCAGTTCTCCTACCCATGTGCAATATGCCTCCCTATGAAATAAATCTACCAAACTGAGAACGATGCCCGCGCCAACTTCGGAGCCAAGTGAGCCCACAGAGCACGACTCGGAGAACAGAACGGCAAGTTCGAACATTTCACGAGATTCCCGACGCTCGCCGTGGAGATTCAATGCTTGATATGGTTGCTTGCACTTCCACCTCTCGTAAGTTGTGTCATTCTCAAAGACAACTTTCCTTCTCAAGTTGGAAGGGGGATATTTTACCTTCCTATCTTCGATAAGAAGCAATATGCTGACTTTGACCTCCCGATAATAGATCGGCCAAGAGATTATAATGACAGAAACTCCTAGAAGTTTGCAACTAGGCCAATACAGCCACGAGTTGTCCTTCCCAGCAGCGTCTCTTTTTATGCATTCCTTCTCAGGCTCTGTCGAATCGCAAGAGTCCGCGCTAGGGCACGATATAGCCTTCACCGGTCGCAACCCCGATTGCTTTCGATCTCCGCATCCCTTCAACTATCGTACGATATGAGCAGTACCCCCAAAGCACGACAGCCCTCTTGTATTTTCTTCTATTTGAGGCGAGGCCACACTCCACGACAAAGGAAACACGATTCGCTGCCCGGCAATCCATCCGGATTGAGTATCCTCGAGATAAAGGATATTGAGCTGGTCTACTCTAAGCCGACTAAGTCAAGTCTAAACTTCTACGCTTCAGAACATCGTTTAGCGATTCGCGAAACGTGATGGAGAAGTTTTCTGCCGGAGAAATGAGAGACACTCGCCATACTGTAGTCCACTCTCGACCTCTTTCAACCTAGCTACGCCCCACCAACCTTCTCTACCACCGTTGTTCATGACGATCTCCTGTCTTTGGACCTATATAGCTTTTTGACCCTCACTTTCATCATTCTTTGAGGCTTTAGCGTTTCCTATGCGCTGGACTTACACTTCCCCACCCCAGTAATCACCAAATTCCATCACACCATCCTACTCCACCGCGCTCTTTCATTATATGGTCTTGACATTAGGCTTATACAGCTTCTTGACCACCACGTCTCTTTCTGCGAGCTTGATCCTAATTACAATTTGCTGGTGCGTTTTGCTGCATTTGGCGTTTTCTGCGCGCTGAATTCTGGCCCCTGGCTGCTCTTCAAGAAAAAGACGATGCCAATCAGGAATGCGAACAATTATCTCTGGAGAGTAAGCGCGACGATAAAGAGCTCAAGATTCGAACAAGCCTTATGGCTCGGCACAAACCCTGATCCTAGTCCTCGTCGAAACCTCGTCGAGACTTCATGATCCACTTGAAACGGCTCTTCCTCAAATACTCTCATGGGGGTATTCTGGTCTTTGGACCTCTATACCTTCTTGACAACCACATATGCAGCCTTGTTTGAAGCGCTGATTACACCGGACCTGGATCGGGTCCAACCAATGCGGACCTGGTCATTTTGGAGGCCTTGCGACGGTGGGCCTGTACCAGACCTACAATACTTACCGCTGCCAATGCTATCAGCCATCGACCGCTCGAAATCTTCAAGAATCTTCTTTCAGGGGACTGGCTAAAGAGCTTCGAGATTCGATTATGAAGTTTGCTGATGCGCCACGACAACGGCTAAAACGGGTATGTAGAAAGATAGAGCCTATTCTCGTTCAATTCACGCCTTGCTAACTCACTTTGTAATAGTCGGGTTGGGAGGAGGAACCTTGGCATTGCTATTCGCGTCCAGCGCTCTTCTTTTTGTTGAATTGTCCAAGTGAGTGCGACCAGGTTTTACTAGCTACTGCGACTCACTCGGCAGGAAGGCAATCTTCCTCCTCTCAGCTGGGAGAGTTGCTCTCACTCGCTACATAAGAAGGCAATATCTCTCTTCTCAGCTGAGCTGGTTGGAGCAGCTGGTGACATGGAAAGGGCACTTCCAGAGCCGATGAAAAGACCGGCTCCAATAGCACCACCTAGGAGAAATTAGCTGTTGGCCTTGAAGACAGCTGAACCCGAAAATATTTACCTATAGCAATCATTTGCATGTGTCTGCCCTCCAGCTTGTGCGCCAGAGGAGCCAACTTGACGATGATTCCTTGATCAGCACTCTCTAAATCAGTGTGGCTTGGAACATAGGTTTGCTGCGTCTCCCGCTTCGTCTCAATATCGACGACAGCCTCTTTTGAGGGAGAAGAGTCAGCCATTGGAATGTTTTGTTGTTCGCGAGACAGTCAAAAGATTCGAAAATCAAGACGTAACCAGTAAACCTGACTATATTTGTGGCTAGAGAGCAAGGGCGGTTGGTGTGTATATAAGGGAGTCGCGACCAACACCCCCGTAAATAAAAGCTGCTAGTTCAACCGCTATACTGCCACTTTGCATGTGTGACCTTGTATTCAGTGAATCACACTAATCGCCTCATGCAAAATGGCGTAGTGTATCCCCAACCAAGCATCGAGGGTGGGTGCATTTAATTCGCGAGTGGCAGGTGCCACGGGGATCACCTACACAGTGTTCCACGTGCTTCATAGATAAATCGCAGGTAGCTAGGTAAAGCGATAAGACAGGAAAGATGAAGATGCATCTGCTCATGGGGTGACTTGATGGCACTATGGGTTGCCGCCTGATTGGCGGGAAGGTGCAAAGATAGGTGCAGGTTATTCTCCCAAAATCAAGTTCCTGTATACTGTAATGGCCACACCCCTAGCTTTTGTCACAGTATGGCAACGTCCATTGATATCTCTCCCCTCATGACTGCAGTCTTCGTGTAAAGTTTGTCCAAACAGTGTCCCGTTTATTTGGGACTAATTTTGCACGTTCCCCTTGAATACTTTCAAAGCGAAGAGCGAATAAACACAAATACTCTCTTCCACTCGGTAGTAAGAACAACACCGCCCGACGTGGTTTAGGGCTTCGAACGAAAGTCCACGACTTTCCATCAAGTTTTACCACGGAAGACAGTATCGGTCTCGTCTCGCAATAATTTGACCGGGGTTGCGTGCAAAGATCGATCAACTGCGTCTCGAGTAGCAATATCTGGGCGGTCATCCTCAAGCGCTGTTTAACCAAAAGAAAGTCATGTGCGTAGAACTACTCACAACATGTTGTATGTCGTACACTAGAGGAAACATAATGGCGGCAAGACTGAAAAGTCTTTTAGTGCCACCAAAATGACCGGGAGTACGAAATCGTGCTTCAATTATTGAGAGCCGACAACTTCAGCAAGACCTCTTAGCACGCCGTAGTGCGGCTTGTGAACAAACTCAACACAGAACAGAACAGAACGCGAGCTATTCAAAAATGGAAAATTCACTATGTTCCTTTAGACACCGTGCTTGATAGCAATGGGCCGACTGAGATCTGGAAAAGAAAAGGTAGGTTCACTAGCAGCACATTGACCTAGCTCCTGGATGCTAAGAAGTGGCAGATGAAGAGTTTTGAAATAAGGAAGGAGTCGCGGACTAGATATTCCAGCGGCACTTAAAGCCAAGGATACGCCCATTCCATTCCATACTGGATGGAACAAGCCACCTTCCGCCAAATACACCAGATAGGCACTGGTGATGTTCATGAGCAGATGGCAAAGAACAAAGTCCATAATACAGATCTATTCCGTAATGCCGAATCCATGGCCGAAGGCAACGCAGTGGTTCTCGACGCGTTGCGCATCAAGCTCTCAAAGGTGCTGTCCGTCCCTTTTGAAGACCTCGACCCAGATAAAGCTTTGTATCATGATGGCGTGGATTTTCTTTTGGCGGTGGAGCTCCGCAACTGGTTTGCGAAAGAGTGGAATGCTGATGTGGCTATTTTTGACATAGTAGGGGCACCAACCTTGACGGCTGTGGGTCTTACAGTTGCAAGTAAAAGTGCTTTCAAAATAAAGGGAAACTAGCCGCAAAGCTCGCAACCAAAGCTAGCACCTGTGAATAGTACACAGCTCTAATATACCTAAGATGGCCATAGATTTATAATATGTAGAAGTTTAAGATTTACCTAAATAGTTGGCTGAAAAATTGCGGGTAATCGGGGAATTACCTTATAATAGTAGCGCTACAATATTGAACCAATCAAACCTTAGGAAGCAAAATGCCAAGATTTCGAACCCAAGAAGGCGAGAGGCCGCAGCCAATGCGGCGCAACTTTTACGACATACATGGCGATTAAGGGCAGATTTCTGTCGCTTCGAGTCTCTGACATACATATTGTATGATTCTTCGAAAGCATCACAGATGCAAGCAGCAAAGACGTACACGGAGCTGTGGACTACAAATGGAAGCAGCGCTTGCGACGGTTAATATAACCAAATGGTGCTAGAACAGCCTGCCCCCCTGGTCGTGCTCTGGTACTGTTACCTTCCGAAGAACGCGAGATGGCTAGAGAGCTGATGTCAATTCTGAATATACAGCATCCTCATAGTGACCACCATCTATAGCAGATGGAACTTCGACAAAACGTCCGCCATTGGTGAGCGCAAACCCTTCCCCCCTTAAGATCTCGTGTTGGAATGTGCGACTGAAAGTATTGTCTAGAGCGACCATTCCACCTCTCGATTGGTATCCTGCTATTATCAGGAGTATTCTGGACGACATTTGGCTGGCTCTCGAAGGATAGGAAGCGGCGATATGCCCCAGCGGAATCCGTATTGCCGATACCTCGATTCGAAGGAAGCTTACTACACGAGCCAGCACCAACCAATATTCGGAGATTGATTAAGTACGTTACGCAGATTTGCGGTCAACATGTATTTTCTGCTCGTATAGTGGCGTGCGTTTTCTGCCGGGTGATTCTCTTGCGGCTTGTCATGCTCAATGTGGAATGCTCTTTAGCTGGAGTTGAGGTATTTATCACGACTGGGCCTTCTGTACAGATTAGGCCGCTAACATACACCAGATATTCCTTCCTTTCCTCCTCTCTCTCTATGAAGCCATCAGTGACAATGGGTCGTCGGGTCAGCAATCGAACACGGTGGTATCGAAGATCGCTAGATCAAACGCTATGCGATACGCCCTTTTAGTTGGGGTCTTCACTGTTTCAGCATTTGCTATTGTTTCCACATCAACACAACGCTCGACATACATCTGCCCCGTAACCGGATACGAGAGTAAATTCGTACCAGTTTCCCAGTTTCTAGGGGTGTTCTTAGATACTGGTATTATCATCAGTCTCTCGACAGTAGCTCAAGATGGGTTTGAATCTAGCAGACCTAAGCTACTGCTGGGTAGACTGGCGTTCATATCAGCCGGAGCTCTTTCTATGCTAGCAGGCCTCTTCATTTTGCAGAACCCAGAACATATGATCTGGTCGTTCCAATTGGATTCCAGAATCATATCTGACTTACTTTTTGCAACTGTCCTTGGTTCAAGTTTTCTTGCTTCTGTGGTTTATCTAATGAGCGAACTTCGCCCTTCAATACCAATCACCGTCGCGACATGTGCATCAATCTACACTTATCATTTCTCTGCACCTACTACCGAATTCTGGCCTAGTCCATCTCGGTCCACTGTAGTCTTGTCTTCGGTCGCCTATCTTTCCATTGCCGGCATTGTACGGTTCTGGAAAGAGGCTTCAAGGAGCCAACGATCCATGTCCCTTGGCGGAACATGCTCGAGATTCTTGATGATCCTCTTCGTTTTCATGTCGGTGCTGTTTCTCGCGAAAAACTCATGGCTCATCTTGCATCCAAGCAAATTGTCGCTGCATCCCATTGATTACCTTCTGTCGAATGCTCAACGTACATCCGATCAGTGGCGAAAACAAGCTGCAACAAGTCAGTCACTAGAAGAGGCTGTCTATGAGTACCAATCACGCTATCGAGTTCCCCCACCACCTAACTTCGACAAGTGGTACGAGTATGCGACCGCACGGGGTTCTCTCATAATCGACGACTTTGAGCAGATAAACAATGACCTGCTGCCTTTCTGGGCTATAGAACCTGCTAAGATCCGAGAAATGACAGCACATATGCTCGAAAGAACCTGGACGGATGCTGGAGGCCTGAGAATAGCCAACGGAACAAGCCAGCTTACACCACACGTAGTACCTACACATCGCTGGTCATTGGAAGGTACAAGCTCAATAATCAAAAAATTCGCCCAATGGTTACCAGACATGGACATAGCTATGAACATCAATGACGAGTGCCGCGTAGCGGTCCCATGGAGGGCAATGGAGGACTTGAAAAGTAGAGGGATAATGGCTAGACGACAGCTGAATGAGAGCAAGAATCTTCGGCCCTTCAGTACGAATGCTCATCAACTATGGCCAGATACTTACATGCAAGCCGAACCGCCTTATTCTCCTCAAACAATATCGGAATATTTTGCCGAGGCCTCCATAGCTTCGTCATTTACGAAGTATGGAATAATTGGGTGCCCTCCGAAGTCCCCCAGCCTAAGGACAACATGGTGGAACAAAGGTTTTTTCTGCGCAGACTGCACATCACCACACGCTCTTGGTCCTTTCTTGAGCAATTGGACCTTGTCTGGATCTTTATGCCACCAACCAGACCTCGAAAACCTGCACGGGTTCCATCTCTCCCCCTCATCATTCAAGCCGACCACATCCCTCTTCCCGATCTTCTCCCAATCTAAAATACCAGGATTCTCCGACATCGTCTTCCCCTCTCCCTGGAACTACGTGGATAAAGTCACCTTTGATTCTTCCAAAGGCATGGCCTTCTCCGAGAAAGAAAAAACCGTGTTCTGGCGTGGTGCCACCTCAGAAGGATATGCGGGTGCTAATAATTGGGAAGGCATGCAACGACAGCGGTTCGTTCACCTCGCAAATCACGCCCAGGGTTCGACCAAACTTGATCTTATCCTACCAAATAATGCCCAGGGAACCGATTATTCATATCGCAACATTCCTCTATCTAGCGTGCTTTCGGCAACGAATATTGACGTTTCCTTCGTTGGGGAGCCTGTGCGATGCTATAACAAAGAATGTGCTGCTCAAGCCCGCGAGTTCTACTTTAATACTTCCACCGTGGACTTCCAGGAGCACTGGAAATATAAATATCTGTTTGACTTCGATGGTGCTGGGTTTAGTGGACGTTTCCTGCCGTTTTTGGAGAGTCGCAGCCTAGTATTTCGCGCTGCATCCTTCCGGCAATGGTTTGAAGAGAGGTTGACGGCTTGGAAGGATTATGTTCCCGTAGATACGCGGCTGCATGATGTCTGGAGCTTACTCGCGTACTTCGGGGGTTTGGGAAAGGGTGGCGAGTATGCGCATGAGAAAGAAGCGGGGAAGATTGCCGACGAGGGGAAAGACTGGGCCTCAAAGGTGTTGAGGAAGGAGGATATGGAGATTTATATGTTTAGGTTATTATTAGAGTGGGGAAGGATAGTTGACGATAGAAGGAATGAGCTGGGGTTTGTCTTGCCCCCGAAGTAGGAAGGGGTGGGATCTCATGAAATTACGAGGCATGATTGTAAGTAAGTAAGTAAATAACATTTGGAATAAATCCTTTTAAACACCCGCCCGAATCTTCTTCTCTATATTAGTGTACACTTAATATACCTTGAGCCTGGATCAAAGAATCCGACTTAAGGTATATTCATTCAAACCAACTAGACTAAAATCTACTTTCAATTTAACTCAAGTAAGGCTGAGTTTCATTTCATAGACACGCTATAAATATGACATTGCTTACAGGTAATGACCACGCATTTCCGAATCAATAGCTGTGTACCTTAATTACCTAGTACAGTAAAAGCTCGTAAGAATGCTCGCTTAATTACTGCTCCCCCTTTCAGAGCCTTTCTCGTCAACAACAACACATAGGAATTTCCGCATCGGTTGAATCTTTCGCTATTCGGGACTCGGTCTAAAGTGCAGGTTCTCAATACTGCAGACTGTTCGCTAAGCCACTGGAGAAACTCTGGTTTGAGAGAGAGAGAAAGGAAAAAAGACTTGTTGATTATGGAAATATGTATTAGAAATGAATACTTTCGTACTTGCAAATTAAAGTCCCGGCCCGTCTATACCACCTTCTTTGCTCTATACACCTCGCCCGTCCTCGCGATTTCATCTTCTTGATTCTTGCCGCGTCCCTCCTTCTCCAACTGCCTCACAAGAGTCAAGACCTGCTCCCCAAAATACTCGATATCCTCCTCATAATGCAAGAACGCAAGCAGCACAATATCGATACCCAGACTTTTAAGCAACAAAATACGATCGGCGATCTGCTCCTTGGTCCCAATCAACTTGGTCTTGAATCCGTCATTATACTGCACCAAGTCCTCGAACGTGCTATCAGCCCACATGCCCTTCTTGTTCCCGGTACTAGAACCAGCCTGCTTGACGGCGTCGCCGAAAGCGGCTACGGCTTCCTTGTCGGCTTTGCCCTGGATTTCTTGCAGGAGCCTGATGGCTTCTGCTTCGGTTTCTTTGACGATGCAGAAGCCGTTGACGGCGAACTTAATCTCGTCTTCGCGGCCTAGTTTCTTGGCTCGGGCTTTGACGTCGGCGATCTGCTCTTGGAATCCTTCTAGGGTGTTGCCGTTCATGAAATAGTAATCTGAGACATGCGCGCCGTTGTCACGAGCGTCGATGGAGTTTCCGCCTTGGAAGATGAGGGGGTGAGGGCGTCCGGGGCTGGCGAGAGGCTTGGGGGAAAGAGGGTAGTCGTGGAATTGGTAGAAATCGCCTTTGAAGCTGAACTTGTCCGTGGTCCAGATTCCTTTTAGGCATTCGATGAATTCTCTACTGCGTCTATATGTATTATTAGCTTGCTTCAATATCGCGGGAGGTCCGGAACACGAACCTGTAACGCTCAGCATGTTCTAGCCACCATTGTCCGATACTTGTGAACTCGGCTTTGAACCACCCTGAGACGATATTGACAGAGATTCGGCCATTGGTGTAATGATCGATGCTGGCAATTTGTTTCGCAGCCACAGCTGGGTTCCATGGCCCTGGTAATAGAGCTGCAATGACGTTGAGCTTTTTCGTGTTATGGAGCAGGGCTTGCGAGAATGAAACAGATTCATGCTGGTTCTCCTAATCTCAAATTTTAGCAATGATACATATTATATGAAGGCTGTGCGACTTACGGCACCGTAACCCGACATAAATCGAATTTGTGTCAGGGCAAACTCGAAACCAACATTCTCGGCAGTCTGTGCATATCTCACATTGGATAGGTAGTCCCAGCTAGCAAAATATAAATAGCAACTCAATACACTGCACAAGGTGCACTCACTTCGTTCGCTGAGGGATCTTGCTGATGACGAGACCACCAGAGACATTGGGTACCCAATATGCAAACTTGACTCGGTCTTGAGCGCTGTTGATATCTTCTGGGGCAGTGTAGTGGTATCCATTGACCCCATTTGTTTGCGCTGGTTCAGGAAGGCCATTTGTCGCAGGCTGCTTTCTTGCAGAGGCTTCTCTGAGAGGAAGAACAGCCTGCTGAACAATGGCGGAGATAGCTTGAAGCTGGTCATCTGTGAAAGCACCGCTTGCCATTTTGAAGAAGATGCAGGAAATCGGGGAACTACGTTAGGTTGCAGAACGAATTGACAGTAGCACAATGGGGAGGCTAGAAAGAGTAGAGTGCTAGAAACAATGGAAGCACATGAAAGTTGAAGCAAAAGCTATCCTAGCTCACGGGGTTATCATTGCACCCCAACCTACTAGATCCGAGTATTCCAAATGGTGATTGTGATTGTGGCATATGGGAACAATGGCAAGGATGATGTGCTCCGGGGAAATCCCATACTCAGGAGCCATTATGGTGCAATACCATGCCACTATGAGCAATGAGCAGGTACATAGGTACAAGGACAAGGAACGAAAAGACAATCGCCCAAACATGTTAGGAGCAGATCACATGCAGGCGCATGTAAAAACCAGGATAGAGATACGGTAGCTACGGCTGTGGTGGGTGGTGTGGATACAGTGATCAAAGTCCGAGTGCCGGCTTGACGCCATTCCGCTTATGGAAAAGCGTCAACACAAAGTTTGGTGAAATACGGAGTAGGGTAGGTACATATGGGCACGACACTACAAGATCCATGTCACCATACAGTATGTGTCTGTCTTCTATCTACAGTACTTCTATACATGATGAACCCTCTGCGCACGATGATGCCCTCTAGGACCGCAGTGGCACCACGATCCTAGGGCCATTGACACTTCCGTCCCTCAATCTATCGAGTGCACCATTGATGCCCTCCAACCCGCCATCTGCAATCTCTATCTCGGGGGTCGAGATCAGGTTCTGCTCCAAGAGCTTTTCTAACCAGATCATCATTCCTTCTCCAACTTGTGGAGCTTCGTGGAACGACTTTATCGGGACTGAATGGTAAACGACCCCTTTCGTTGCGGTTTTTGGCACTCCAACTAGCCCTACAAGATGTGCCCTGCTATCCCCTCCTTCATTTTCAGCTCGCATGGCTTCAGCAAGTAGTGCAGCAGTGTCTTTCCCTCTTGTATCAAGCCCAAAGCGCAGTTTTCCCTTGGTGATCCCTTTCACGATAGAAATGGCGCGCTGCTCATCCAGTCGATCCACGAGCAGGTCAGCGCCGTGTGCGAGCATGCGCTCTCCGCTTCTTGCAACGTCTATCACAGCTATTACCTTCAGCCCTGCTAGTTTTGCGAGTTGAACGGCGCAGCAGCCCGTGGCAGAAGAGCCTATGGTGTACGTTAGTACGATTCGAACGGAAGTAGTTGTGCCTCTCACCTCCCCATATTGCAATCCAATCGCCTCTTTTTGCGCGTTCGTTCTCCCCGATACCGTCAAAGCACTCTTTATGGATATCTTGTGGCAATGCGTCCCGAGATAACGACCGTACGATTCGGAGGAGATCTGGCCCGCGTGGCCCATCATTTCTAACCACGAAATCCATCCCTATACATATTCCAAGTGCCAGCGCAGCTGCAACAAAGGCAACGCCAAGTGGTGCAGCTTCCTCCGCGGATATATTTTTGGGCAAACGACAAGCATTGAAGTCTGACACTGCCGCATACTGTTGATATGCTGATTTTCGCGAGTCTCGATAGTCGGTCGATATCGCCATCACCTACTTCACATTAGCCGTGAACAAGTGTTCTGAGACCCAGTACATACTTTGTCGCCGACATCAAAGCGGGATTTGGTCTTTGGGGCTTTTACTACCTTCCCGGCAAGATCGCGTCCGCTGATGCATGGCAGATCTGGTAAGCCGAATCCGAAATCGCTAGATACTTATTAGCAATGGCTCTGAGGCTTTTCGCTGCGACGACCTACGGGGCTTTCCAGTCGATAGGGTTCAAACCAATAACCTCAACTTCAACGAGCATCTCTCGGTCGTTTTCTAATCGTGGGACTGGGTGCTTTTCTGTATGTTGGTATTTCTGTTTCGGGCCATGCAGAAGAAGTACATTCTGATGTGGCACATGGAAAGCGTCGGCATCATCGGCACTGTCTACATAATTGCTCCAGGGGATCTCGAAATGGACTTCATCTGGTTCTGTTTCCGGTTCGGGCCAATTGTGAAAGAGTGTCGCTTGACTGTCTGCAGGTGGGGTTTTTGGAGGAGTTAACAGTTCTAGTAAGTGAGAAATATCCTTGGAAGTTGGGGCAGCCATATTGTAGGCACCCTTTGATGACGCCAAGTAGAAGGGGGTTTTGAGGTTACTTGGAGATAGATGACTGCGAAAACAGTAACGATGACGTTGCTCCTGGCGTCAATGCATGAAGAAGGTTGAACGAAACATGTCGTGGAAACCTACCTATAGGTTACAGTACATCTACATTTGCTGTGAAGAAGGTAGGATCCAATCAAGTGAATATATTGGAATGGTGGGGGTGGGGTGGGGTAGTTGCGAGTGAAACAATAAGGCGCTCATATGGCGTGCTTAGTACCCCGGCTGGCATCAACCGTCGCCCAGCTTAAGAAATCCACGTGACATTCACTTCTTACTGCACCTGATAATTAGCTGCATTCGTCCCGGCACTTGGGATCTGGAAAGCATGCTTGAAGCGATCTCTCATGGGTGCCATGTAAAGACCCTCAAAGATGGGGATGGCTTCCTCGAATGCTTGCCGAGCAAGAATAAAGGCCATGTTGATATGAACTACTCTCTATAGTATTAATCCTCGGATCTTCACTCCAGCATCTCCTACACCACCAAACCCCGACCTTTGCCTCCTATCTCACAAAGTGTCTACTACTGCATCACGCCATCCATAATTGACTCTTGGTACAGCTCAATCACGGCATCAAGTGAAATGCGACAGGGATGGCGGTATTAGCTGCATTATTCAGTAAAAAGTATATATCTCCGCGTAGATACTAGGTTATCTAGCTTTATCCTCAATTTGTCAATTTACCTTTCGTTATCTTATTCTGACCACGCTCTCAGCATCCCTTCAAACCAAGCAATTATGGCTTCTTCCCTCACTGGAGTAGTCACCAGTGTGTTCCACAAAGCATCCCCAAACCCATCCTCCGACCCTGCTATCTACGACATACACCACCAAAAGTTCACCAGTGACAAACTCCCAAGCACCACTGAAGGCTGGCTCGAGCGAGCTCGCCGTGTTTCTGAAATCCTTGCTGAGGATGCCCCAGTTAGAGATGACGAGAACAAGACTCCGCTTGCCGAGATTGCATTGCTGAAGAGTTCAGGACTTCTGAAGCTCCTCGGACCCAAGGCATTTGGAGGTGGTGGGCAGGGCTGGGATGTTGCCTACAAAGCCATCAGGGAAGTCGCAAAGGGTGACGGCAGCATTGGCATGCTATTGGGATACCACTTGCTGTGGTCTACCACGGCGAATCTCGTGGGCACTGATGAGCAGAAGGACAGATTCCAGAAGACGATTATTGAGAACAATTACTTCATCGGCGGTAAGTAAAGCAGGCACTTCTTCTAGATCAATTCTGATTAGGTGGCATCTAGGAGCTGTCAATCCTCGTGACAATGACCTCAAGATCACTGATCACGGAGACCACCTCATCTTCGACGGCCAGAAACACTTTAACACTGGTGGTGTAGTCTCAGATCTGACCGTCTTGGAAGGAGTTCTAGAAGGCACCCAAGACCACATCTTCGCCTTCGTGACCACCGTCCAAGATGGCATCACCTTTGCCGTAAGTCCATCCCCTCCCTTTAATACCATCACTACCAACCCACCCAAAAGCACAACTGGAACAACGTCGGCCTCCGCCTTACCGAATCCGGAAGTATCAAGATCTCCCAGGTAAAAGTCCCCTGGGTCAACGCTTTAGGCTGGGACATCGTAACCCGCAAGCCCAACCCCGCCGTCCTCTCCATCCCCTTCGCCACGCTCCTGCTCCCCACCATCCAGCTCGTCTTCTCCAACTTCTACCTGGGCATCGCGCTCGGCTCGTTGCAATTCGCCACAAGCTACACTAAGACGTCGACGCGTGCCTGGCCCTACGGCGGCGACAACAAAACGTCCGCCAGCGAGGAATTCTACATCCTCGAACGCTACGGGAACTTCTTCGCTCATCTCCAAGCTGCGGAAGCGCTGGTTGATCGTGCTGGTGAGGAGGCTGCGGGCATCTATGCCAAGTACGGCCGGGATCGCGGGGTGAGTGAGAGGGAGAGGGGGGAGCTGGCGGAGTGGGTTGCGAGTACCAAGATTGTGACTACGGAGGAGGGGCTGCGGGTTACGGCGGGGGTGTTTGAGGTTACGGGCAGTAGGGCGACGGGGAAGAAGGTAGGCTTGGATCGCTTCTGGAGGGATATCAGAACACATTCGTTGCATGATCCCGTGGCGTATAAGAATAGGGAGGTGGGCGAGTTTGCGTTGCTGGATAAGGTGAGTTTGAGCCTTTCTTGTCTGGGGAAATCGCGTGCGCTGGATGCTGATTTTGCCTACTTAGATCCCTGAGCCTACATGGTACACTTGAGACTGTGGTTCGAAGAAGAAGAAACTGCTATGCTATAGAATCCAATAAACCAAATGTGTTCCTTGATCCTCCCTCTCGAGCCCCTACTTATCTCCTCTGATGTCTTAGCATAGCTTACGTTAAGTCACATGCATATCATTTCAAACACCACCAGCTCTAACATACAGTATCTAAAACCAAACCCCCTTCCCCTGAATTCCCATCCCAAAAGTCAGATATCCACCAACCCTCCGCGCAACGTAATAATCCACTACGCTTAATTAATTTATCTCTCAAGTCTTCAGTCATACATACAGAAACCAATTAATTAATTAATCACACCTACTTACTCATCCCTCCGATCCAATTATTTCTTCCTCTTCCTTTTTGCTATCCTCCGCACCTAACTATATAGACGCGAAGGTTTTAGTTGAAAGTACAAGGAAAGATGCAGAGTAATGGGATAAAGAAGACGGATAATCTAGATCTACATAATCTAGAATATTTTACCTGTTCCCTTATAGAGTAAAATGTCAGAATAATTGCAATGTTCATAATGTTGCAGTACGTACGCGCATTAACATTAACGTCGGGACTACTATATCTAAGTTTCGTTGGCTTTCGTCTTCCTAATGTCATAAATGCATATACCCGCTTCTCCAACACTGGCCTCGTCTATCATCATTTCTTTCCAATATCGTTTCCAATATCGTCATCTGAATGCGTTTGTCCTAGCCCAACACCCATGCCCGCTGCCTCACCACTCACCACTCTTGCCGCTGCTGCATCACTCTCCGACTGGCTCTGCTCCTGGGCTTTCCCCTTGCCAAGGAAAGCATCAATCTCACTATTCTGCGTCCCTTTCGGGCTCGTCGCTCCCCGCCCAGCAATCGCCTCTGTCCAGTTCCACCTCCGTTCCCCCTCACCACTCTTTTTACTCTGGTCCTCTTCATCCTCACTATCTTCCCCGCTATCCGCCCAATCTCTCTCACTCCACGCTTCGCTATCAGTACCGGTACGTTCATAACTCGGTCGTTCTTTCTTGTTAGCCGAAAGCGCTTTCGCCATACTGTTGGGTTTAGCTTTCAGACTCAGGGCAGAGACTTCGTCTGACGCTTCGCGGGCTTCAGAGTCCGTGCGGTCTTCTGGACTCAGCCTACGATTCGACTCGTTCTTCTTGTTCGTCTCTCGACCGTCCTTATCCGGCGCTTCGTTTTCGTCTTTCGCGCGCTCTTCATTGGATTCATCCGAGTCAGGCGTATTAGCTTCTGCGGAGTCGGAGAAGTGCGTGTCGCATAGATGCTTAATGACGGGCCAGCCATAGGCATTGGCGAACATACGACGCACAATCATGTTGTTGTGAGCATCTGGTTCTAGACGCACGAGAACCTTCCGCCATGAGAGGTCGCGATGATAGGCACGAGCGATCTTTTCTTCCACTTTCATTGCACTACCGTCAACGACGTCAAGGGGGTCTTTGTCTGGATTTGTGTTCTTGGTATCATCGTAATCGCGGGTAGATAAGGTGCTTTCTGTATGAGGTACGCCTGGGTTGGGGATATCGGAGGAGCTGATTTGTGAAGTAGAGCGGCGACGCATCATAAGAGAGCCGCCACTTGGGCGTTTCTTAAGTGGTGGGGGAGGGATATCGGAGGGGTGATAGACACGATCGTGGAAAATGGTCCGAGAGCGCGACTCCGGATTTATAAGGAATTCTACTGTTGGCAAAGGAGGTTTCAGGAGATCGCCTGCAGATTCGAAGAAGGTAGTCTTTGGGGGAGCTGAGAGCGCTTCAGGGTCTTCTGGCCCTGAGTCGCCCGTAGTTGCTTTTCCACGGGCTTGCGGAGAAGAAGGCTGTTTCTGAATGGTCGGAACCGAGGAATCACTATCTATACGTAGTGTTTGACTGCGCTTGTAAATTTTTGTATGTTTTGGCGAATGGTTGTGTGACTTCGGCGATGGATGCGACGAACTAGGCTGGAAGAACTTGACAATACTTGCCAACGCACCACCATTACCGATTGTTTGGGAGTGAGAGGTAACATCTGGACCACCGGAATCACTACCATCGGTTGAGTTGGGAGGTTCATTGGTGTTCGTAAGACTACGCAGACTTCGATTATCATCATCAATGGCATCAAGACCAGGCTGGGGCACTTCGGCTCCATGGCCTTGTCTTGTAGGGGTATTGAGCCCTGGAGTCTCACTGTCGCTGGCATTTCCACTCCCTGAAAAAGCACGACCCATGGGCGAGACAGTGTTTTGGCCAGTGATCTCAGCCCATCCCCAATTAGCCATTGTTCCCACCAGTCCATTCTCTCTCACGGCCTTCTCAACACGGCCTAGACCCTGCCAGTCCAAGAAAAGTAAACAGCTTGTGCGCAAAGGCACAATACCATCATTTACCACATTTGAATAGACAGTCCTATTCCTGAACTTCTTCAGTACAGTATGCGCCGGCCCGGTAGGCAGAATCCTAAGAAGCGGCTTCGACTCAGGAGAAGTCTGGCCGTCAATCTTCTTCTGGGCGTTGTCTCCAATACCACCAACAATCGCACCCCATCCACTTCTCGCAATCGTGGGTGCTCTCCAAGTAAGTCCAAGATCTTGACCTGTACGTCCCACAAGCCCAAAGTCAAGTGCAAACTTGACATAAAGTGGATTCTCGTTGCTGAGTCCCAAAAAGGGGGATGCGAGACTTATGAAATTTATCGGCTTGATGATATCGAAGAATTGAGGAGAATGTTTTTGAATATATCCTACAGCATATGTCTGTGTCAATCCACCAAGAGAGTGTGCAATGAAACTGATACTGGTAATTTTGTACGCTCGGGTGTTGTCGTCGAGGGGTTCCTTGCGGATAGTGCTGTGCTTATGGGTTGAGGGACCCTCGTCATCCCCAGCAGATTGGTGACTTAGAGTCAAAGCACGCGAGAAGGATTTAGAAGATGCCTTCTTCGCGATACTCCGGTAAGGTTGATCGGGGTAAGTCATAGCCAAAACATATTTGGCAAGCCGTTTCCCAAGGTATTTGATCCCCCTTTCTGTCCGGGTGGCATTTCCCGAGAATCCCCTGACGATAATCTCCTCTTCATCTTCATCTTCATCCAACTTTTCTTCATGCTGGTCGGATGGGTGTTTCGTTTCTCCCTCGTCGTTCTTACGCTCGACATCATGATGCTCGTCAGCATTCTCGCCTGCTTTTGCCGCTTTTGCTTGCTCTTCTTTGCGCCTCTCCGCCCTTCTTTTCCTAGCATCTATCTTTGCCTGTTTAGCAGAAGCATCTATGCTCTCTTTCATATACAGCATATCTGACCCCAGATTACCATGCAACCCATGGGTCAAGATTACCAAATGAACTTTCTTCTGTCTCTTCGACCTATGTTCCTCTTTCTTATCAGTCTTATCGACCATGACACTCTCAACCGGCGCATCCTGAGTCTTCTTCTTGCCCCTCTCCTTCCCCGCATCATCCCACTGCGGCAAACGCGGCGTATTCCACAGACTGGCAGTATCATCCACCCTCACCGTAATAGCCTTCGAGAACACCCCCTTAGGCTGCGCGCTGTGATGCCCATCCTTGGCCCCCTGACTCTGCTGGTGATCACTAACTTGTCCCGGCGTGGGAATAACATTACTACCTCCAGTCAAACTACTAGCAAAGCCCAAGCCCAAACTCTTCTCATCCCTCGCCAACAGAATCTCATAATGCACCGCGGCAGAAGTCGAGAATATAACCTGACTCGACACCTCTATAATCCAACTGACACTGGCCCCATCTCTATCCGCATTACCCGCGCCCTCGCGCACACCCTCAGGAACGAGCAGCTGAGTAGTGAACGTTCCCCCTGCTTTTAGATTTGGTTCGAATTCTGGCACGCCGTGTGTGCGTGAGGTCTCGAACTTGGAGTCTGGGTGGAAGGAGGCGGGGTAAGCGGCTGCGTAGAGGGTGTAGGGGCCGTGGATGAAGGCTGCGCGTAGGGCGATGGCAGAGCTGTTCTTAATCTTGAGGTGCAGGCTTGCTGGGGAGGGAAGAATTCGATCGTGTGCCGGAGTGTAGGTGACTGTGTAGCGGACTACTTCGCCGATTTTGACGCTGCCTGTTTGGTAGAGAAGCAACATGTTGGGGGAGATTTGGATAGCGCGTTTGGCGAAGATGCCTCGACGTGGGGTAGGTATATGTTGAGTCGAGAGGCTTGGCAAATTATTGTCATAAGAGTAAGAGCATATTGAGTCGTGAGATCGTAGCAGAAGTTTGGATTGGACTGTTAAGTCTCTCTTCAAAAAGAAGAAGAAGCTTTGTTTTATGAAGCTTCACCGGTCTTTGAAGAATGGATCCACGCATTAATTTCTTATCGATAGTTCCCGATATCCGTACTATGACGATGGTGGCTATACTAACGCCCAAATAAGTTACTTTTACAATACTTTTAGTTCTTTTATAGGATTCAGGAGGCATCTATCATTCATTTGTACTGTCGATAATTAAATGGTATCTTATGTCCAGAAAATGGTCGTAATTACAAGTATCGCGTGATTAGCCTGCGTGGCTAATCCAAAGAGCCCCTCCTAAGTAGAGTATTCACAATATACACGTGATAAGTAATAAACCATCCCTTCGAACTTTTCATCATTGTTGTCCAGAAATTTGGCGAGGACTTGAGGTTATTTGTTCGTAGATCCTATTTCAGAGCTGTAGCCCATCAAATATGGTACCAAGGCATAGCAGGAGCGGTTTCATTTCAGGATGTCGCCTTGATGTTTTGGCCACGAACAATGCTATACTACTGATAGCATACCTTCCTCAGGTGTGACTCCAGGTTCAACATGTGACCTCCAAGCGTGGACTCTGTTGTTGCCCCTACCTCCAAGGCCAGCAAGCACAGACACTCGCGGGGTTCTGGCAGAAACGGACCTCTGGGGTATGTTTCCCACAGGTGCATGTACAGCAGCCTCACTCTCGTAATCAGTCCTGGTTCTCCGGGGTACAATCCGTTCAGAGGGCCTGGTAGTTGAAGCCGAGTTGTACGCTTCCTCTCGTGCTGAATTGGTCCTCAGTAGTGGCGGCGATGGGGCTCTGACAGGCACGGGATATCGACCTGACATTCTTCGAGGTCCTGGCTGCGGTGGTGGAGGCGCCCCTCTTGCCTGAGCTACTCCCATAACATAATTGGCGGCGGCTGTAGCTTGGTCGAATGTCCCGGTCAAGATGTTGTGTGCTGCTCTGATATAGTCCTGGTTCATGAAATGATCTGCACCATTGCCAATGCCATGGATATCACCTATCCCTCCTTGGTAATCATCGTCACCACCGATAGAAACTGTTTGAAGACGACGAGCCATTTCCTCATCCAGTCGTTCTTGCCGACGACGATCATTTATTTCTTCAAGATAAGTATTTGGCCTCGGCCTGCGAGGACGCTGCGGTCGATGAGGGGGCGGTGGCGCCTCTTCGTTCCGTACAGGTTCTGGAACCCGCATGTGCTCGAGTCGATCCGCTTCTACGGCATCGTAATTGAACCATGGACAGTTACAAGATTTCCACTTGAGGCCACAAATCATACAGAATTCAGCGGTACAGTGACTGGAAGGCATTAGCTTAGCTTCGGAGTCATGAAAAATATAAGACTTACCAAGTCATATGGTTGCAGCCTTCCTTCAGTTCGACCATCGTCCTGCAGTTATAACATCGCTGCCACCCAGCTTGTTTCGCTGTTTCAAGAAGCCTGTTGGTCTCCTCATCGTTGGGACAATCTCTTGACCCATGCCATTTGCCGTTACACGAACAGCAGACTTTGGTCTTACATCGACTACACTTGCCATATTTTTTCCCGTCCTCCCTATGCATGCTTCCAGGTTTGATCCACTCCCCACATCTTCGGGCGGGACAGTATATACGATTCTTTGTAGAGTATTCCTGGAACTTATGGTTCCAAGTTTTCTTGAAATTGATATCGAATAGCTTTTCAACATGCTTAAGGGGTATGTGGTCTGCAGTGCAACATTTAGGTGGCATGTGTTGCGGGTCAGTAACTGAAAGTTTAAAGATACGCCTTAGACATGAGTGGCACATGCGATGACCACACTTTAACTTTGCGGATTTCGATCTTGGTATATCATCCGACAGACATGTCAAGCATTCAACTCTACACAAAATCAGTAAGAAGCGTAGGAATTGTGCTAAAGTGTGCCTACAGTCTCTCAGGCTCCCTGTGGGGTTGAGGTGCAGGTGTAAAGAACCCCCCCAAAAAGCTCGACCGCTTGTTGGCCGTATTTGTAGTGGTAAGGGACGGCGCATGTTGCTTGACAGATGGAATATGTGAACTCGTAGTATGGCTTCTCCGTATACTGTGCGGGGATGTAGAGGTGGGTTCTCTTGTAGAAGTACTTCTGTGATATCTCTGTTAGTTGAGGTACTATAAGAAAGCTCGAGTGACATACCTTTTTGGTGGCGAAGCAGGTAACGCTTCAGCAGAGACCTTCTGATGAGAGCGATGCGTCTTGCTTCTGCGAATAGAACCCTCTCTTTCTTGGTGGTCATCATCTCGTGGTTTCTTCTCCCTCACTTTTCGCTCCTTGGGTTTCGTGGACTGATAGTCCTCTTCGGTGATATATACGATCTTGATCTTTCGCTTCCTAGGACGCTCCTTCACGGATTCGGCCTGCGTTTGTCGCTCCTCCCGTTCAGACTCACCAAAGTCCTCATCGCTGTGTACCTGCTTCTCTGCAACCTGAATACGAGACTGTTTCGACTTGGATTCGGGGTTTCTGTAGACATGTGTCGAGTCGTCTTCCGAAGTGGAATTTCTTCGCATACGATGAGAAGGTTCTTCCTCACTTCGATGATGTACCCTTCTCCTTCTATGACTCGTAGAAATCTTTTGGCTTGGTAGTGTTGCATACGATTCGGAGGTCATCTTTGAAGTCGCTGCGGTTCTGTCGGTTGACTTTTGGGTCTCCAGCCTTTCTATCTCAATCCTCCCCACTTCAGACTCGTAAGGTTCGAGTGTAACATTTCTCTTGCCACGAGACCTGTGCTTTTTCTCATCTTTTAATTCGCTGTGTGACCTGCGGTGCCTCACCCTCCTCTTCCCGTCGGCTTGTGAACTTGCCATCCCAGCGTTTCGCACCTAACCTCAGTCGTTGGGCATGGGTTCCCACCAAACTTGCCAGTGAAGGGTGGTGGTATTGGGAGAAATGGAAGGGGTTAGTCGGGCTACGAACATCTGTCCTCGTGGGATAGGGTGTATCTTTCTGTGACTCTTGGTGATTGGCAACTCTTCACCGACACTGCATTATGCAGCTATAATATCATGCATACAGGGCGAACGAACTTGACAAACTGTGCGAATAAAAAAGAGGCAAGGGTATTACCTGAAGCTGATATCAGATGGCTGGGTTTGGGCAAATTTGACAAAAAAATTTGGGCCCCAGAGATCTGGGGAAGAGGAACCGCTGAGAGAATGATCTCTCTCGAGCCTGGTGCCCCTGTCTTGGGGGCTGGTCTCAATAGCTGAAAGTGGTAAGATAAGCCAAACATGACATGGACGCATGGTAGGGCACGGTCCCTGACGGAATAACAATTTACCTAGCGCTACCTCTCTTCTACTGGTAGCCTCACTTCAAGCAAAATAATCTTCTCTTCCACTTAGCTGGAATATTATAACAAAGAAGATACTACCCTTAAAGCATTAAAAAGGAATATTAAAGATCTCTGATGAGACAAGGCATTGAGTTTATACCCAGCGATCAGATAAAGTCAGAAAAGTATTATCCGAAGTTCCATTTCTAATTCATCGCCATAGCCATCCACTAGGAACATTTATAGGAACTCTTCTCTCACCTACGGAGTAACTCGATAGTTGAAGTCTCGTATAGAGAAGTCATGTCCTGCTTGAAACCCCGGACTTTAGATCTAATTTCGAATTTCTCCTACTTTCCTATGAAGAAGCAAATAAGGCTAGAGTATAACTTTCATTGAGGTATGTGGCGCGCAAGTAAGTGTCATCATGCGAGCTTGAGCACTCGCTGGCGGTGCTGTGTTGAAGAGGAAGTTGCTCACCTGTAATGCAGCGCATGGAACAGTTTGTGAGATCCATAGGTGCTACTCGCAAGGCGAGTGATGAGTGTCCATCCGAAGAAGAGTGTCGGCACTAAATCCGGACTAGCATCGACTATAACCCCCCCTCAGATTCCTAATTTCGCCAGTCTTCTGATTTCTTAACCTTTTCATGCCTGATAGGACATTGCTGCACTACCGGGTTTTGCAAGCTCACTTTGGGCTTTGGGTTTATATTTGGCTGCGTCTAGATATGTTCTCCGCCAGGCTATAGCATATGGACATGGCCCTCGAATGCCTGTCAATTGCTTCCAGAATTGTTAGTCTCCTGCTAGTCTCCTGGGTGTTCCATTTCCTTTTACCTCTTGAATGACGGGCATCACGCCCTAAGAAGTGGTATCAAGGCAACACTAGATAATGACAGAGTTTAGCCCTGCATTGGCGTCCATCTTCATGCTATTACACCCTCGCAACCCATCTTGAATCAGCCCAGTTGCCAGTCCTAACAGTAGCCCATCCCAGTCTCAGCTCTGTCAACCATTAATAGCAAATCTCGCCCAAGATTCACAAGCTGTTCGAGAAGTACTATTGCCTCTAATCGAAAACCAAGGAAAGAACGTCGTACTGCTCGCCCACTCCTACGGTGGGTTCTCTAGAAGCGCTGCTGTGTATGGCTCAGTACCGCGTCCAGAGCCAAAGCAGGCAAGAAGGGTGTCATCATTGGCATTGCGTGTAAATCCGCCTGGCTCTGACCTGGAGGTGAACGTTTGATGAATATGCTGGGTGGCAGTAATCCACCATGGGCTGCTGCAAGACCAGGTAAAAGCTCACTCACTTAGGGTCCGGCCAAGCAAACAAAGCAGAGCATCGCAGCGCATCTCAGACTAACCAATAAAATTTTGGTTATGTCTATCGCGACCTCGAGCAAATCGTATCTCCTATTAACGTCTTCCACTCCGATCTGGATACCTCCACAGCGCTTGAAATAGAAGGAACAATGTTCCCACATGCGATGAATATGTTCGAGACACCCTCACCACCAGCCTGGCAAGAGCCGGGGTTTGAGGGGAGGATGGCATATTTGAGATGTATGCAAAATATGATGATGGAGAAGACGGGGGTCAAATGAGTAGTAGATGATATTGATACTTCTCATTTTCCATTCCTGTCTCGTTCGAATGAAGAAGATTTAACGAAATGGGCCGAGATCTCCTCGAAGATCAAATCGAATGATTGATTTTGAAATCTTTAGGGAAAGCCCTGGTTATTAGAGTTTGTGCTACGCTACGTAGCCTTGTGTATAGTGGGAAAGAGAACATAAATCTTGGTGAACAATTTGGTTTTTCCTATGAATTTAGTATAGCGTGGCCTAGCCCTTGCACCCCCGCAAACAGAAAGAGAAGGTACGGAGTACTCCGTACGAAAGAATAGTCTCTAATTCTTGAAACACTAGCTTCATGCGAGGAATAGAACTTTGAATTGCGGACAGACTTGATCCAAGAAGCAATAGCGTGCCTCCTTTGAACTACCAAAGCTTGCAAGCTGTTTGTCACACTTAAATAAAAACAACGTAGCATTAAATTCCAACAATTCATGCATCCCCAACCTTCTCATCTAACAATCTCGCCATCTGCGCCTCCTCATCCTCAACCTGCCCCCCATTCCCAATATTGACCCCCAGCTTCACCAGTTCTCCGTTAATATCCTCCCTACTAATCCACCCTTTCTCCCCCCACACCTCTCTCCCCCTCCTAGCCACCCCCTCCAAACTGCCCATCCCCACAACCAAAAACCCAAGCTCCTCCCTCTCACAATCAAACACTTCCCACCATTCTACCTCCGGCATCTTCACCCTTATCTCCCTAGCCGCAAGGTAAATAGCTGCCGTAGCCAAACTAGCCGGTTGATGCGTCAGGTACAGCATCTGCGGACTCAGTAACGCGGAGTTCAGATACGCAATCGTACGCTTAGCTACATCTTTGCCCTTATTTCCCGGTAGACTAAACACGTCTAGCGTTTGCAGATACGTAACAGCTAGCGGATGAGGTAGCGCGACGTGCGTGTTAAAGCCCAGCGCATTTATGACATGGCCTTCTATATCCAGCAAGCGGTTGCGGAAACTGATGTAAGAGGATTCGGAGAGGTAGTAGGATTCTGGGTCGCTAGGTGTGGGGGATAGCAGGTACGCGTAGACATTTGTGATGCTGCGCAGGGATCGCGGGGAGGCGGAGATTTTGGCGGTTAGGTAGAGTGTTGCTGCTGAGATGTCCTAGGTTTCGTTAGCCTTTGATTCTTGGGGAAGAAAGAGGAGACGGTACGCTGAATTCATGTTCCAGAAGGCCGTCTACGAGCCAGTACCGGAAGAGCAGGACGTTGGCTTGGGCTGTTATATCTTGCGGGAGACGCAGGAGGATGCCGGCTGCTTGGGTTAGGCGGGCAGTGTAAAAGCGGATGCTATCTTGGAGCTCGATTGGAAGGGCATTTGTGGAGGTCTTCTGGTACAGCTGTTCCGCTGTTGCTAGGGGATTGGAAAGATGTGACATGTTTAGCAAGTGGAACTGTTGTTGTTATGGACTATGAGGTCGATTTTTGATTTGTTGCGTCCGTGCACAGACAAGGCTAAACTATAGCCTTGTAATGAGTATATTTAGCACATTTCCATATTCAGAGCATTGACTTTTATTTTCCGTAATAGAGAACTACCGTCCCAAGGGTATCATCACCATATCATTCCCTTGGATAAATTCCTATTATATCAAAGAATCTAGTTCGCCTCCTATGCTATGCAATGCAGTAGTTCCTTGATATCCATTCAAAACTCCCTTGAAATCAGCAGAAAATCCAGCCTCTCACTAACGCCTATCATCTCTCGAATTTCTTCTACCTCCCCTGTAGCTATCATAACGTCCTCTATCTGATCCACCCCCACCCCGACCTCCACCATACGCACTTCTGCCGTAGGATCCACCTCCCCGCGAACCTCGAGACGCAGGACCAGCCCCGCGATAACCCCGTGGCGGTCTGATTCCAGTGAAGATTTCAGGACCACGATCAACCAGAACATCGTTATCTTCAAAGGTGTATCGATTGATCTCACCATCAATTGGCCGGCCAGCAGTCTTCTTGGAAGTGACGAAGTCGATTTTGTCGAGACGTCTGTTAGCTAACTCCTTGGAGACTGGCTTGTAATACAAAGCAGGCTTGGCCGTCGTGACCTCAAACAGCCGATCCAAAGTTGAGAAGCTATTAGCAGCTCGAACTTGTGTTGCTGCACGCGGTCCCAAAGGTGCACCTTCGACGCCGCGAGGCTTCGTGGGTACTTGTGGTGAGGGTAAAGAATCTGAAGGCCGTGGTGCTGGATGTGCTTGCGGGAAGGGATTGACTTCTTGGAGAGTGGCTGTGACATTGTTGTCTTCGTTTGTATCATAGTACACCTCCCATTTCTTTCCTGCGGCACGGCCTCCGGATATGGTAGATTGCTCTTCGCGAATCCAATCTTCAACTTTCTCAGCAGGGACAAAGTCGGCCCAGAGTGGTTTCCGCGTTCGTTCATCGGGCCAGATAAGATCATGAATAGAAGACCGAATACGGACAGCTGCGGAAACACTAGTGAGTAAGATAAACGCGTGCGTACGAATTGGATCCAGGTAGAAGTTTACAATTACATCTGGATCTGGATTATGGCCTGGGGGGTTGCGAGATTTATAAGATGGCTTTTGAGTTGACCCGGGTTCAAAGGTCGCATGAAATCGCGGATATAGAGAGCTGAGGTTGCTGGATGGACGGCTGGAGATACAACGCGGTCAATATCCATAGCGTCAATTGCAGAGTCGCGTGACAGCGATTTCTCAAGAGACGGTGCTTTCGGTTGAGTAGGAAAGAGATCCTTGAATCGCGAGTCGCGCACTCGAGGAGACTGTTCATCCAAACTGCTCACTTCTTTGGTCTTATTTTCCTCATCAAAGTCCATATTTTGGGGCCGAGATATCTTTTCGTCCAAGTTTGCTCCAGGCACACCATGTATTTGAACTTCCTCCTTTGCAACATCAACAATTGTAGGGCCTGGCTCTATGGCTTCACCAGATGACGCCACTTCCATCGCTTCGGCTTTGACGTCTGCATAATCCACCGCATTGTGCTTCTCAACCCATGTAGCATCATCCTTTGAAGTGACAATCTCAGTATTGACTTCTGAAGTCTCATCCTGACGGGCTCTCTTTCTTGCTGAATCGGAAATTGATGGGGCAGGGCTTTGCGATCTTCGTTTCCGCTTTAATCTATCATCCATTATCTCTTGTGGGTCTGCGGATGGCAAGGCGGACTGGTGGCTGTCTTGCGATTGTGGGGGAGGCTGAGAGAGTTCGATGATCGTTGTAGCTTGAGCAAGCAACGGACCAGCTTGTTTTTCGACATTTGAAGGTTCTTTGGGAGAATCTGTTGATGCCGTATTCTGGGCTGGAGACTTGAGCTTTGGTTCGGTTGTAGTCTGAAGGGGCGCATCTGGAAAGACTTCTGTGTTCGGGTCGGAAGTTTGTTGGATAGGGGAGACGGTGTCAGAAGAGGTAGCAACATCATGCCTTCCTGGGTCGCCTTGGACAGTCGCCTCACTTTCAGAGCCATCCTCATTCTCTGCGGCAGTCAGTCGAGCGACAAGGACTGGCTTGAGTCCAGTTTGCGCAAGGCCGAGCTTCTTGAGCTCAGCTTTCAGGTCAACGACCTTCAATTTGTTCCAGTCAGTCATCGCAAATAGTTTGGCCGCAAAGAGGGCATTTGCACATGATGTGTTGTAAGGAATGTAGGATCTGGTAAAGTTATCAAGATATTGATATTTGCTGAAGTGCATCAAACCTTTCGGAGCACGGGCACGGCACGCGCACGCGTCAAGCGAGTCACCTGACTAGATTTGACTCTTTGGCTTAGTCATTATTGATATCTGCATTCCACCCCCTCTGGTGTCCTGGTGATCCAAGTAGGTAATTTTGCCATTCGCTGAGAACTCTACTCTCCTCCACGTCCACCTCCCTCAAATCGGGTGGGTACCTAAGTATCACCAAGAGGAAAATATCTATAATATTAGTTAAGGCAAATAGGCAACTCTAGAATGGATAAAGGATATTATAAAAGACTTCTATAAGTGTTGCGATACTAGAACCGCATCGCGAACCACATCACGACCTTTCTAGTCATGTGAGTCTAGCGTAGCTTAGTCAGCAAGGAGGCATAACCTCTTTGCGTCTACACCACCATGAATGCTAAGCAACATCAACCAGTATCAAGTCTACTACGTAGTATAGAGAAATGATCACGGATATCAAACCTGTGATACCAACAATAAGATATAGTCTTATCCTCTAAAGCTAGCAAGCTCTCGTATTCAGTGTAACTATTAGGATTGTACGAGTCTATCTTTTACGTGTCACGAAAGCATATTTCAGCTTACAAGGGGGAAGAGAAGGCGGTGTGTATGGTCAGGAATGAAAGATAACCGGATGATGTTATACTTAGAAGCGCTTTCGTCTGATGTTGTGCCAGGCTGATATTATTCAACTGGCCGTTTGATAGACAGCGCATATGCGTCACGCAGTTCAGATCTCGAAGTACAGCATACAGTATGTGATGGATATAAGATAAGAATTCCTAGGGTGAGACTTGAACGGGATGGACAAAAGAAATAATGAGAATATGAGGCAGCTGGTAAGGGAGGGGAGTGTGAAAACTACGAAGTATAAGGAGGAGTACATATACGTCATGTGATGGGCCGCCTTGTAACATACTCACGCGAGAGGACTAGAATACAACTGGGATTCAAATATACTTCACTTTTTCTATGTTTCACGATATTATTACCCATACGAAGTATCACGGAGTAAGGCTGTTTTGGGAGGGGGGCCGCCGCGGGTCTAGCTTTTACAGATTGGCTTTTCTTGCGAAATGATTGCCACTGTGCGAGTATTAGTACGAAGTACTCCGTACGGAGTACACCCCTACCCCCCCCCCCCCCCAGGCCACGTGGGGCTTCTACGCTACTGTACTGTACGATCGACGATCGAATAGATCAATACTCCGTACGGATAGATCAGGTACGAGTCAGGCTCAGTCAGCGCTACCCTATCTCTTACCAACGTATTCGTACCGTCTTACGTGCAGAATACCGTCAAAGGGCCAAGGACCCAAGGACGGTACAGTAGTATTTTAGTCTTTTCAGAGAGCGTTTGCAACCTGTTTAGGACTTGTTTTATTATACATCTACCGAGTAAGTACTCTCTCTTTACAAGCCCAGGTTTGAGAAGGGAGATTCTAGTGTCTAGAGTGCGAGTATACATTACCGTACTACCGGGTCTTATGCTTGTATTTTGTCAGGGAAGGTTTTCAAGTTGGAACGTACCTGAGACTTCAGCCTTCACATCGCATCATTCTTATCTTAATTAATAGCCGTCTCCTCCTTAGCGAGCCGACTTAGCGAGCTAAGGAGGAGACCGGCTATTACTTCCAAGCCCAAGTCGAATAAATACATCGACTACCAACAAATTCAGGGGTATCTTCAGTTCAATAAGGTTAGGTTAGTGACTAGCCCTGCCTCTCCCAAAGCCCCCCATATTGCAGGGTAACAGAACGCCTCCAAATCTCAAGATACTCGGTACGGCGTTGATAATTTCCGTCCGATAGAGCAAAAGGGTTTGGGATAATGGATTAGTTCTATCGGACAATCCGCCTTAGTGAACCAAATTCAACCAATGTTCCTCAAAACTTCTAGAGCCAGATCATGCACGTGAAGAAGAAGCTAAAGATGCCGATCAGCCGCATCTCATACGCCCGACAATGAACGAACCATTTAAGGGTAAACACTCTTCAAGTTAGGAAGGTCATATTTCGCCCACCCGTGTCAACGCCATTGAATGATTGAAACCGAAGCAAGGCACGGTCAAGTTCAAGATAGGGGCTTAGGGCTCCCGTGTTTGTGACACTGTGTGCCTGGGCCTTTTTAGGTCCCTATGTGCCCACAGACCCGAACCGCAGAACATACGTCGAAATAAGGGGGCTTTTTCGCCTGTATGCTTTTACACTATTTGTTGATTTCAGCCACCAGTTTAGCACAGATCCTTGCCTGACGACTACACTTCCCCGCAGATAAAGCCTCATCGAATGAGCTTGATCACCACTGCATCGCATGAAAATAGTGGCATGTGTGGTCGACGGGCTGCTACTAGGGTCTAGGTAGGTATTATTCTCCATTTCGGGATGATTTCTCCATATTTCTACCCGTCTTCGTTCTTCTTACGTTTGCATATCAAAGGTGCATTGCCCTACTCCAGGATATTATGTTTTGTTTTCCGCTATTCCATGATTCCCATTTTTTTAAGGCTATTAGTCTGATTCTGCGATGTTGTCTCTACTGGCGGAGTCGTGGACTTGGTATGCCGTTGCGGTATTGATTGTGATAGCCAGATAGTAAGCTTCACAATACTCTCAACTGATCATAACACTCGGAGTACTGATTATTATGACAGTGTTTCGAGATGGCTTCACCTGGGGTCTTTCAAGAGGTTCCAAACGGAGGACTACGTGATGATGGTTGTGTTTGTATGTGTAATTCTTTCCGCGTCTTACTGCTGTGTCTAATGAACTCGCAGGGCTTCTACACCTGTCTCATAATTTGTATGAACATCGTTGCGCATTTGGACACCAACTTAATTCTGCCGTCCGACTCGGATAGTTTGACTCCAGAGTCGATCACATTGAGGATTCGCGGGTCCAAATACGTCCTGATCGTGGAGCAATCGATGATTATGACTATATGGGGCTGCAAGATTTGTCTGCTGCTGATGTACAGAAATCTCACATTTGGGTTAAAACAACGATGGGCTGTGAAAGTCGTTGGTATTTATGTGGTTGTAAACTGGGTCATTATGGAGATTCTATATTTTGGCGTGGTAAGGATATCTATTCCCCACTTACCCCACAAGACTTTTTCGGTTGCTCTTGTTCACCTGCATACAACCAAAGATTTCGTCCCTCTCCCAACTTATAGAATGAATAGTTCTGATTTTCGTGCTATGTAGTGGTGTCGTCCGTTCCCTCAATATTGGGCCGTACCCGTTGCCAACACGCAATGCTCAGCCGCCACGCACCATCTAATAGTCAATGCCGTGTTTAACATCTCATCTGACGTTATGATGCTCTGTATTCCCCTCCCGCTCCTCATAAACTCCAAGCTGCCTCGCACCAAGTACGTGTTCCCCCATCTCCCGCTCTCATTGCACCTCAAAGCTAACCAGCTCCTAGAAAACTCATCCTATGCGCCCTCTTCAGCCTCGGAATCTTTGTTGTAAGTACCCCTCCTTTCTGCAACGCGCCTAAAACTACCTGTTCTAACCATCCAACTCTAGATCCTCTGCGCTGTCCTAAACAAATACTACTCCTTCGCCCACCCCTTCTCCCCGCTGTGGACATTCTGGTACATCCGCGAAGCATCCACTGCCATTTACGTAGCCAACATGCCTATGTGCTGGGCCCTCATACGCCGGCTCTTCAACCTCCGCTCATTTATGCTCTCTTCCAACAATTCGCGCTCGCGCTCGAAGTCCTTCCCTCTGACTTCCCACCGAGGAGGTACTATGCTTACAAAGGATGTGCAAACAGTCGACGAAACAGTGAAAAATGCAGATGGGAAGAAAGATAAGAGCTGGTGGGATAGGGAAGGGTATGTGAGGAGTGAAAGCGAGGAGTATATTGTCAGGACGACGGCAGAGGCTATGAAAGTGCCAAAGCTGGAGGTGTGGGAGACGAAGGAATTTGAGATTGATAGGGAGGAGAGTATCCAGTTTGCTACGGATGGGCAGGATCCTAATGCGAAGAGAATGTATGATGGTGGGGATAAGAATACAACTACGGTTACGGTGACGAAGCCGAAGCCGATAGCTAATGGTATGGGGAGTTGATCGAGGATTGTATGAATATACTAGATGTTTGATGACTATATTAATATTGTGATTGGATTTTGGAATGCAAATGATTACGGTAGAAAATAAACAATAAGACTACTCCGTAAAGTATCTACCAAGTAATAGGGAAATATCGGAAAAGTGTACGGAGTATTGTTTGCCCCCACTCCTGAAAGAGTGGGGGAAGTCGGCTAAGCTCGGCCTCGGCCCAAGTAGAACGCATGGGAGCTGATGCTCGACTTTCAAGCTTCTTGAGCCTTCACAGGACAGTGTTCTCACGACGTTCTCCCTCTCATCCCACAACCATGTCCGCCCTTCGGATCCTCGTCCCCGTGAAGCGGGTAATTGACTATGCGGCAAGCTTCTCATCAATGCCCCAATTTCTCCCAATAATCTAACACGGCATGATTTATAGGTCAAACCCCGCGTCAACAAAGCCCAAACGGCCGTCGAAACGGCGGCGTAAAGCACAGCATGAACCCCTTTGACGAACTCTCAATCGAAGAATCTGTGCGCATCCGCGAGAAGAAATCTTACCCGCACGGCGTCTCCGACATCATCGCCTTCACATGCGGCCCTCCCAAGTCGGCAGATATCCTGCGCACGGCTATGGCCATGGGCGCCGACCGCAGCATCCACGTCGAGACGAAAGACGGCGATGAGATTGAACCTCTGAGCATCGCGAAACTGCTGAGGGCAGTGGTGGAGAAGGAGAAGGTTGACCTGGTGGTGCTGGGCAAGCAGAGTATCGATGATGATGCGGGGCAGACGGGGCAGATGCTGGCGGGGTTGCTGGGGTGGGCGCAGGCTACGCAGGCGAGTAAAGTTAGTTTTGACGGGGATGGGAAGGGGGTTGTTGTTGAGAAGGAGGTGGATGGGGGTTCGGAGACGACGAGGAGTAATTTGCCAATGGTGGTTACGGCTGATTTGAGGTTGAATGAGCCGAGATATGCTAGTTTGCCGAATATTATGAAGGCGAAGAAGAAGAAGATTGAGAAGATTACGGCGGAGGAGTTGGGAGTGGATTTAGGGAAGAGGTTGAAGACGCTGAAGGTTATCGGTAAGTAGAGTTGGAAGGTGGGTTCACATGGGACAAGTGCTAATATGATTTTGTAGAACCACCGCCAAGACAGGGAGGTGGAAAGGTTGAGGATGTTGATGGGATGGTTGCCAAGTTGAAGGAATTGGGTGCGATATAGATGGCTTCCAATCATACTTATAAGCCTAGCGAATAGGACAGCAATAGGGTCGGCGATAAGAACGTGTGTATATAGACCTATCAAAAGAAAAACTATAAGTGAAATAATATCTGAACTCGCCTAGGACTTTCAGAAGCTTTTTATGCGTTCCAGTTGTTTTCTTCCCAATTAAAGCTTATATATAAGCCATATATAACACCCTTAACTTAACTAGCAAACTTTCAAAGAGCTTCATAACTTTAGAACCTCGAGTCCCAATCCCATGACCAGCTGTTATATATGAATGAAGGATTTGGCCTCAATATTAATACACCGAGCTTAGAAACTCTTCCTCATTTTACCCCACTATGATGCAGTGGAGTACCTTTCGCCTCGTACGGAGCATGCAAAAGCTGATTGTCACCAGCATGAAAATTTGCTGCAGAACAGTCTTTGCACATTAGACTGGTGTTACTGGTAACAGTTATTCTCTGTGCTAACTACATTTGCTCTAATGCGCAATCGGACTCCTGTCATTTGGCCATTCTACGCAGATTCCCTCCATACTCTACGTCGGCTTGTGAGGATGTAAGGATGTAAGGATAGTAACAATTAGAGCACGTCTTATTGTAATTCTGGTACCCTTTGAGTCTCGGGACTAATATTTTTTCTTTCACAAAGTTTCCACCCCGCCACTCCCTTTCAGCCAATCAGCAGCCGCAGCAGGATAATATCACACCTCTGATTCGCTCGAGCCTGCACCGCTTTCAACAACGGAGACTCAGCAAGAAAACTCCACCCACTCTGCTCACTTATTACATCGCTCACAAAACTAAACCACCCCAACGCAACCCGCCTTTCCACCCAACCCATACCATTTCAACAGCTTCACCCTCCTACAATAAAATTCAGAAGAAACAGTCGCGCGTATGAGTGGGCGCCTTCAGTCTTCACGTCCCAGGTACGTTATGATGTGTTTTGTTGTTTGCCATTGCTTGACTCATGGGATTCCTTATCTGTGGTGGTGATCTCCCAACGTCACAACTAGGGCACATCCTTCAAGCTCCCGACGTCCCAATTGCCTTTCCTCTCTCCTTCTCTCCTTCAAGATACTTGGCTCTTCAAAGTCACAATGGAAATCATCTGCTAACACCCAATAGGATTATATCTCAGGTCAGAACCCTCCATCCTAGCTCATCCGAATCCCACACCGCCAGGAACAATGGACTAACCACAAAACCCTACAGATCACATCTGGAAAGCTTCAGTGAACTGAAAATAGCTATCCAATAACCATACCACCTCCTACAATTACTACATCGTAATACTACACAATATGTTTGCTCGATTCGCAAAGCCTGGGGCTTTTAAAGCCGTAGGTAGCATCCACTCCCGGATTGCCCAGCAGCACCGATTCCTAGCCACCGTCGAGGGCAGCACTGGCCGTGCTATGCCAGCTACCCGTCCCAGGGCTACTCCTATCTCCCACGACCGAGCTACGTTCACGATTAGGGTATGACACACTGCAGTGGGGTAGTAATAATTTTGGCTGATATTTTACGTCTAGGATGGACCAGTCTTTCACGGAAAGTCTTTTGGCGCCAAGTCCAACATCTCTGGCGAGGCTGTCTTCACGACTTCCCTCGTTGGATATCCCGAATCTATGACCGATCCTTCATATCGTGGACAAATCCTCGTTTTCACCCAACCGCTCATCGGCAACTATGGCGTCCCTTCCTCTGCCCGAGACGACGCTGGTCTTTTGAAATACTTCGAGTCCCCCAACATCCAGTGCGTGGGTGTTGTCGTTGCCGACTATGCAGAGAAATACAGTCATTGGACCGCCGTTGAGAGTTTGGCATCTTGGTGTGCACGAGAGGGCGTCCCTGCTATCTCTGGTGTAGATACCCGTGCTATTGTCACGTACTTGCGAGAGGAGGGTTCTTCATTGGCCCGAATCACCATTGGAGAGGAATACGATGCCGATCAGGATGAAGCTTTCGTCGATCCCGAGCAAATCAACTTGGTGAAGAAAGTCAGCACCAAGGCTCCGTTTCACGTTAGCTCCGCGCATGGAGATATGCACGTTGCGGTCATCGATTGTGGTGTGAAAGAGAACATCTTGAGGAGCTTGGTCAGCCGTGGTGCAAGTGCCACTGTCTTCCCATACGATTACCCAATCCACAAGGTCGCACATCACTTCGACGGTGTTTTCATTTCCAATGGACCAGGTGACCCAACTCATTGCCAAGAGACCGTCTACCACTTGACCCGATTGATGGAGTCTTCCCAAGTCCCAGTTTTCGGTATCTGTCTTGGTCACCAATTGCTCGCTCTCGCAGCCGGTGCCCGAACCATCAAGCTCAAGTACGGAAACCGTGCCCACAACATTCCAGCTCTAGACTTGACAACCGGCCAATGCCACATCACTAGTCAGAACCACGGTTATGCCGTTGACACCTCAACTCTGCCTTCAGAGTTCAAGGAGTACTTCGTCAACCTGAACGATGGCTCTAACGAGGGTATGTCCCCCTTCCATCTGTAAATGCATATTCTAACATTTACAGGCATGATCCACAAGACCCGCCCAATCTTTTCCACGCAATTCCACCCTGAAGCCAAGGGCGGCCCAATGGACTCCTCCTATCTCTTCGACATGTACATCGAGAACGTCCAGCGCTACAAGGCGAACCAGGCCGTCTACCCTGCTGGTGCCGGCAAAGACAACCGCCCATCTCCTCTTCTTGTTGATATCCTCTCCAAGGAGCGAGTGGGTGTTCAGCCTGCTCAGCCAGCTGAGAACTTGACTCAGGCTCAATCTGCTATTGCCGCCGCTGCTTAATTTGGTCTTGATTTCAGTTGGGGCGTTTCGTGGGGTTTCTTCAACATTGGAGGGAAATTTGATTTTCAACGTGGGAGCTAGTTCGAGCAGTCAGTCACAAACAAGCAAGCAAAATGTTAAATAGTGATTTTCAGCATCAGTTTCTGAATACAAGTTTATATCAAATCTCTTTTACGATATATGTGAAGTCCCTTGCATACATTCTCTTTCGAATTCCAATATTATATCTCATCCACAAGTTCAAAGTGTGTGATTGTCTCTTTCCTGGAAGCTCATCCACAAGTTCAAAGCGTGTGATTGCCTCTTCCCTGGAATCTCATTCACAAGTTTGTGTGATTGTATTGTTCTTCCTGGAACATTCACGCTTTCATATATCTGGGAGAGTATAAATTCTCAGCCGTGTCCAGTCTCTTCCTACGTCTTTTCCAACTACATATTACCCTGCAAATCTACAATCAGCTATTCAATACCCCCTACTTGTCAAGCGTACTTCATTCAGCATTGCCTAACAAGCAATACGCCGACTGATCCAGAAACAAACACGGACGGACGGACGAATAACATCCACGATGGCACAGCCCACTCCTACCTCTCCTCTCAACTCCAACTCCAACTCCAAATTCAACTTCAAGGAAAAGGAAGAAGAAAAAGTAATCACAATAGGAATTTCCGGCCCCTCATCCGCAGGAAAAAGCACACTCGCTTTCCTACTCTCCGTTATCTTTGCAAGCAACTCCAACTCCAGTAGTGCTAGCGCATCGAGTATCATTAACCAGGATGATTATTTCCGGCCTCTTACCTCTTTACCTTTATCCAACGATGGCGACGGCGGTGGTGATGGCGAATCCCCGATAATTACCCAGGACGATTATTTCCTCCCTAAACCCACCGTCCCGCACTCATCCTACATCTCCTCGGAGCCCTTTGTGCAGCGTAGTGCGAGGAAGGGGGAGGATAGGTTGGGGTTGTATAGCTATAGCGAACTCGATGATAATAGTGGGGTATTGGGAGAAGGAGAGGGAGAGGGAGAGGGAGGAGGGAGGTGGAGGGTAAGTGGCCCGGATACAGATTGTGCGGCTGCGATTGACTTCGCGGGGTTGGTGGGGGACGTTGAGGCTACCAAGATGGACGGGGAGGGGAGTTTGCAGGGAAAGGGGAAGGGGAAGGGAAGAGGTGCGAAGATCAAGGGGAACGAAGACGAGCCGCAGCAGTTGAGAACGCGGCACGCGGTGCTGATTAACGAGTTGCGCGCGTTGGTCGAGCAGCATGCGGGGGAAGGGATAAGGAAAAGGAAATTCTGCTTTGTGGAGGGCTTTTTGCTGTTTGTACCGGCCCTTCAACATACACAACCTGGCACCAGTCCCGATAGCAAGATGCAGATCAGTAGCAGTACTAGCTCACTTGAGCCTGGTCTTGAGCTTGCGGCGCAGAGGCAGAGGTTAATGCAGCTGCTAGATATCAAGCTCTTCCTTCCGACGTCCAAGGAAAAGGTTATGCGGAGAAGATTTGCCAGGTTGCCGTATGTTGATGCTGATGCTGAGGGAGGGGGTGGGGGGTTGAGGGTTCCGGGGCAGATGTGGAAGGCCAGGGGGTATTTTGAGGAAGTGGCGTGGGGGAATTATGAGAGGGAGGCTGGGTGGTTGATAGGTGGGGATGGGATTGGGGAGGGGGATTTGGAGGGGAAGAGGGAGGGGGTAAGAGTTAGGGGGATGGAGGTGCAGGGCGTGAAGGACACGCTTAGGTGGGCGGTTGATGTGCTGTTGGGGGTGATTGGGGGGTTGTGATTGGGAGGAAGGAAGGAGGGGAGTATAGGGATGTCATGCTGAGGATGACTGACTGCTTGGATAGGAGAAAGGTGTTAGGTTTCAACAGGTGGCTTTCTTCCTACCCTACCTAGGTAGACTTAATAATAATAATAATAAGAAAAATAAATCCTTGGGCGGTGCGCGCGAAACTTCACTTTACTTAACTTTTAGATTCAAATATTTCATCTGCTGTAAATTATCACATGCGAGAGAGAGAGCTGTTGATATCATCTCTCTACGCCAAAAGTCAAGTTCGTATCTGATACACAGAAAAAATTCCAAATTTCCCCTTGGCCCCTATACGCTTCAAAACTTCACAGTATCCTCCTAACTCCTCATACTCCTATTTCCATCATATTTTAATCGCTAGCCCGAAACACCTGTCTTTGTACTATATCTTCTGAAGTCGTATACCTCCTGAAGTATAGGACTACCCTATCTATCTACACTGAAATGATGCTCGCACAGTAGCATGCAACCTATCTGGTAGCATGAGATACGTGATCTAGTGCGTGGGCTTCGGAATCGGCTTTCTGACTCCGCATCATCCAGGAGTAGATTATCCAGCGACGAATCTTGGGTTTTGTTAGTATGATATAATGCAAATTGATGTTTTATTGTGGTGGAAGGAAGAGGGAGGGGAAAGATAAGATGGGAATGTACTTTTAGCTCGGAATATACTTGCTGTGGCATGCAGGATACGCAGATACAGTTGTCTGGGGCGTGACATTCGAGCCAGGGAGTTGTTGTGTGGATGGTGGGACTGCAGTAGCATACTCTTGATCGTGGTGGGTGGTGTTAGTGTTGGTTTTGAGAAATCGTATATATAAGAAGGGGAAAAGGGAGGGGGAACATACCTCCATTGTAGGTTTTTGATCAGGGCCATCCGTTCAGGGAGTAATGTCATGGAAAGTCTCAATACTTCTCCGAGTTTAGGAAAGGTGAAGGTGTTTTCTTGGTATAGAATGTCGATCGCCTCGGTATATCTTCTGAGTGTTAGCATACATAGTATAGCAGAAACAGATACGGAGGAAAGAAAAGGATGCAACATAACATACACCATACGGCAACTCTTCAACAGCGCCAGTAAATCAACCTGTCCAAATATATCCTTCGCCCCTTTCTGCTTATGATACATCGTGCAATGTTTATCGAAGCAATTGACACTACCGAGGTGTCTGCATCGCTTGTGATCCATCTTCCGGTACGTCTGGTTGAAGCTGATATGTATCTTGTACTGCCCAATAACCTGTTTGTAAATCTGCCTCCGGATCTCCAATGGTAACTTGAACAAGACACTTTGTTCCTGTCTATTCGTCGCCTTTTCTTCTACCGGCATAGCCAACTCCTTCACACACAAATCATCTCCCTCCATAAACCCACCCACCTTCTCTAGATCTGGCTGTACATCATCAAGCGGCCTCCCAATCGTCAGGTGACTCTGCATCTTCGGACCCATTACTTCAGCATCAACACCCCTTCCACCACGCGTCATCATCTTCCTAGGCGCTACATTCTTCGGCACAGCTCGCTTCACCGTGTTCCGCTCAACTCGTTTTTCCTCCGCGGCTCGCTCACGCGCCATACGGCGTAACGTGCTAGGCCGGTGGTAGTGTGCTGTTTTTCTGACAGCATTGCGCAGGACGACGATGGAGCCGGCTGCGCAGAGGCACGGGATACAGCAGAGGGTGAGGCTGATTATGGCGAGGGAGGCTAGGATGGAGGGCTCGTCAGGATTGGGGAGCGCTGCTCCGTTTGCCGGGTGGTGGTTATTTGACATTGCAGACAGGTGCGTGGGTATTGATATTCAAGAAAGGTAAGGTATTGAGGGATATGTATGGGACGTGGGATGAGAGAAACTATGTTTGTTTAAGTGGTTTGCGAGGTTTGTAATATTGCTGATGTCTGTCTGTCGAGGATTCAGCCCGAGGAGATTGAGGACGGCCTTGGTATCTCTTATGGGGGATTTCCTGTCCAGACACTATAGCGAGAGTCCTGCAGTGTAACCTGAATACCTACCTACATTGGTCTCGGCTGTGTTCCTAATCAGTTGGCAGATTTCGAGTTGATGGCCAGGTTCTTAGGTGTGAATGAGAATAGCCTTGTGACTACATAAGAACTGTGAGGAAGTTCAGATGAGATAGTTTTGTATTTTAAGGTATGCATAGTTACCGTAAAACCAAGATACCGTAAGAACAAGATTTATAAATCGAAATATGACTTTGAATAGGGTGTTCGTCATGCCACTCCACTGGCGACTGCGGGGTGGCCTGCATTAGTGGCGACAGGGGTAGCACAGTAAGGTAAGGCTGATGATAGTAAGGCTGAGAACCGATGTACTCCGTACCAAGTACAAGTATTCTGAATATAAGAATAATAAAGCATAATATTTTAACATATTATTCTGTTCTCTGGATAGGTAGATTGATCCTCCATACCGAATTGGCTTTAGATCTGGGGAAAAGGAGCAAAAGTCACGTGCATGACTTATAATTGTAATTCCTATAGTTCTTTGCAGCCGCTCTATAATTGGCACATGTCTCTCGCAATTCCAGAATTTTTATGGTGATTCAGGAGTGATAATTTAAGTTGCAGAGTAAAAGCCAAGCGATGTTGAAAGAGCCAATTGGCCCGAGTCAGCTTCTCTTCGACTCACTCACTCACCCACCGCGCTTACATACCATTTTGTTCTTTCTCTCATTCATGATCCTACGAACTTCCACCAACAGCTTTCAGGCCTACGATATTTGAGATTCACGGCCACGACCACGACGCTGAAGTTAAGAGCCAGTTGCTAGAGCCAAGAGGAAGTGGGAGAGGGAGGAGCTTCATCTCATGACGACGAGCTTGCTCCAGCTCCCGAATCACAAGTCCAGCAACCAATCGAGATCCCATCTTCCTCCAACTCCTCCTCATCTGACGATGACGATGACGATGATGCTGACCTTCCCAACCTCTTGAATCTCTCACATCCTGCTGCCTTACTGGAAGCCATAGAAAGCTCAGGTTGTCGACGTGATTCGGGAGCTGGAAGGTCGTCGTCGCTGAAGTCAATCTTTGCTTACACGATACTTCAAGTCCAATACAAAGTGGGTAGCGGGCCGAGTACCCCGGTAAACCGTGCGAGATAAGGATTTATTCTGTCTGTAGGATCTGTCTACCCCGAAAGACGGGGGAAGGGGATTCAGAAAGACAAGTTGGGCAAATTCAATATCCACGCCATACTATTCACGCCTTCTAAGCGCTTAGCGCGAGGATTTACACGTGTGCCACAGTACTCAGAAAGCCAGGACCTCAGGAGTGAAAGACAAGCATCTTGCGAAAAGGGTAATGCTTAGAGCTGCTCCTATGTTAGGAAACTAAAGAGAGAGAGAGAGAGAGAGAGAGCAAAGTCTCTAGTGAAATGCTAACAATAGAAGTGTGAAGGGAGGGAATTCAAAAGATATCGGGCGGTCAGCCCGTCAGTTTTTGGGGTACCGTGACGTACACGACCACTGCTTAATCAGACTTTGTCCAAGTATCTGGAATATATTCCCTGGAATGTAAACATGGGATTCAGACGTGATTCGTGTATGTTCAATCTCAATCTTCATCGTCTATTTCAGAAGACCTCCCTTGGCACCTCAAGAATGTTTTCCTTTCGGCAATCTTGGAGTTCCTTGCGGTCGATGAACTAGAAAGAGCCTTCATGAAGTGGCATGGCTGAAATCGGGAAAGAGATGATGAGCTTATGTGTCGGCTTCGGCAACGGCGTTGAGGCATACGCTTTTTATATCCGGGCTTTGAAGAGGGAGCGATAGCCGCACTTTTAACTCGGGGCGTGGTTGCACAGACTCTTTCATCTATCCAAGAATTCATTCACAACAAGTCGCTTAGTTCACGCTTTGGGATAATCTTCTCGTGGGCGCTGCCAGTTTGCTCTCTATCCCATGCCCAGCGCTTTTCAGTGCCTTCGTCAAGCTCGCCATTCAACATTTGAACCACGTACTTGCCAATGATAGGCAAGAACTTCCAACCGTGAAAAGAGCCTCCGGTAGCAATGTAAAGGTTCTGACATCGCGGGTGACTTGAGATGATGAAGTCCTGGTTAGGTGTGATCCCATCCCTGTGTTTAAGTTAATAAAATGAGAGTCGGTTGAAAACACAATAACTTACCAGCAGATTCTGAACGAGCTAAATTCGTAGTTTGAGAACACTTGACCAAAGATCCCTTTCACCACTCGGTGGCATTCATCCTTTAGGCTGTCTGGAATTGTATGCTGGCCTTGATCTGGTGAATTAGGAGGAGCAGAAATCATTTGACCAGATGCCTCGTCCCAAGACGTGTTTTTGAAACTAGCGTCAACGCAGAATTTCAAGAGACCTTCTGGAGTTGGAGGAAGAATTTGTCCTGTCAAAACTCTTAGCGATAGTTGAATACGAACACAGCTAATACACACCGCAAACACCAGCAATGTCGTGGATGAATACTGGACACTGCACGAATTTCTCCATTTGCTCTTCGGGAAGTTTGATAATAGCCGTGACGACTGCGGCTGCAGTGATTCGGTCGCCTGATTGAAGTTCTTGACGCCGAGGGGCACTTTTAGCAAGCAGCTTCGCGGTTCCAGCACCTGTGGATAAGATGACTTTGTCTGCTAGCAGCACTCTCCCATCTTGGGTTCTTGCACCAGTACAATCACCACTTTTGTTGAAAGTGAGACCCTCAATGTCTCCTTGAACGTACTTGACTCCATTTTCAACGCTCGCGCTAATAACTGCCTGGAGAGCTGGAGTGGCTTCTGCCCAACCACTGTTATGGTTTATGAAAACGTCTCCGACGCCCTGATAATCCGTGTCCTCAAATAAGCCAGAATACAAAGTCTTCAATTCATTGGGTTGAATCATGCTAATGTTGGATTTGACTTTCAGATCCTCATAGTTCTTGATAATTCTTCGGCCGAGCCCAGTGTCTTCAAGTACAACCATGCCGCTTTCGTAGTAGAATGGCTTGAATAACGAATCTGATTTCCATGCCTCTCTCGCCTCGACCGCTAGTTGGCAATAGAACGGATTTCCATAATCAGCTCGAATAATCTTGTTGAAGTCATGAGATGCAGCTAGCGAACAAGGAAACGATGGTGATCTATCAACCAGAACAATCGAAGCATCTGGCTGGGACTTGGAAAGATAGTATGCAGTACTGGCACCAAATACACCTCCTCCGACGATAAGATAGGAAGAACTCTTCGCAGGGGTCATGATGGTGAATTCCACGGTTGTAAATTGTCACTTGGAATCTTAGGAATCTAAGTGGGTGAAATATATTGATATAGGACGCGTGTATTGTATACAGAAGACGGAACGCAATTATATATTAAGGGATTGTCCCTGACACGGAAAATAGCTTTTCACACGAATGGGATTTGAGAGAAGGATGAAGGAAAAGCAACCTGGTTGATATCCAGTGCTGACCTGACCTGACTCAACAAGTGGGGTCAATCTCTTGGCAGCCCTATCTTATCTTAGCGCCTCCACACCAAAGGACTTTTTTTCTAGAGTTCAAAATATCCGCGCAAGCAATCTCACAGTACGACAAATCACACCCAAAAACAATGCCGAAAGCTACGACTCAAGCATCTGCCTCGCGGCGGCATAATCCTCTCGAGGAAGACCTCACAGCAAGCGGGGGAATCTTAAAAAACAAACCTGGAAAGCGGAAGTCGAGGCATCAAGAGGAGGGGGATCAATTTGTCGATTCAAAAGCCTCTAGGAAAATCTTGCGACTAGGACAGGAATTGGCGGACGAAGAGGAAGCGACTGATCGAGCAAAGAATCCGAAGCCAATCTTCAACTTCGAACCGAGGAGTGACGGTGAGGAGGAAGAGACATATGAGGATGATGAGGCGTGGGGTGGAATTGACGAGGAAGTCGAGGAGGTAGATATCGATGAACTTGCGCCAGCGGACTTGGCGACTTTCAATAAATTTTTCCCGACGCAGGAAGATCCTTTGTTGAGGCAAGGTTGGGGCGGAGAAGACGATGGAGGGGCAGAAGATGGAGAAGAGGGGCCCGGGACGAATTTGGCGGATTTGATATTGGAGAAAATTGCTGCACATGAAGCAGCGCAAGGAGGAGCAAGAGAAGTACCTGGGCCGATAGATGAAGAATTTGAGATTCCTCCAAAGGTTGTAGAAGTTTATACTAAGTATGCCCTGCCACCACTTCCCATTTTACGCTGTTGCTAATTGACTTGCAGAGTGGGACTCTTTCTTTCGAGATATAAGTCAGGGAAGCTGCCGAAACCATTTAAAATCCTCCCTACAGTTCCTCGTTGGGAAGATATTCTCGAAATTACCAGACCAGATCAGTGGACCGCAAATGCCTGCTATGAAGCCACAAAAATATTCGTATCGAGCACGCCAACTACTGCTAGACGGTTTATGGAGATGGTGCTCTTGGAGAAAGTGCGAGAAGATATCCACGAGACCAAGAAGCTCAACGTCCATCTTTTCAACGCGCTGAAGAAGGGTTTATACAAGCCTGCAGCCTGGTTTAAGGGAGTCTTGTTCCCATTGGTAGCAAGCGGTACTTGTACATTGAGAGAGGCAACCATCATCTCAGCAGTCCTCGTTAGGGTCTCGGTACCAGTACTTCACTCTGCAGCAGCCATAAAAGGACTTTGCGATATTGCAGCACAGGAAGCATCGGCGGGTACCGAGGGAGGCGGAGCTACGAATATCTTCATCAAAGCTTTACTGGAAAAGAAGTACGCTCTGCCATTCCAAGTCATCGATGCACTGGTATTTCACTTTCTTCGATTTAGAAGTACGGATCCAGCAAGCGTTAGACCGGGCGACACAGAAATGGAGGGGGTTACTGGGGCTGGAGCGAAGAGCATCAAATTGCCCGTTATTTGGCATCAATGTTTATTGGCTTTTGCACAGAGGTACCGAAATGATATCACAGAGGACCAGAGAGAGGCTCTTCTGGATCTTCTACAAACAAAGGGACATTCTTCAATCGGGCCAGAGGTCAGGAGAGAGCTGTTAGAAGGGCGAGGACGGGGTGTTGCTATTGAGCCCGCTGGTCCTGCATTTGGAGATGATACCATGTTGGTGGATTAGCTGTCACAATCAAGAGCAAAGGCCACAAATGCATGAATTGTTCGAGTCAACTATTCCAGTGTTCGAAAACGCACGTGATTGGTTTCATCGGTCGCTTGAGATCTATAACTTTTCCAAATCGTACCACAACCTTTATATCTTCTTCAATTACTCCATATGATATACAATATACAGTCTACTTGGCATAACACTACTCAGTGCCTCGTACAAGATGGGTAGCTAACACCAAGTGGTACGCAACACCTCAAGGCACCGAGCGAATGCTGCGCCACAACGCCTGTACAAAAGGATTCAGCCTTACTGACTGCCCGTCTCTCAGAGGCTGAATCAATTCTCACTTAGCTGCGTCTTTTGGACAAACATCTCAAAGGTTTGTCTGAAATCTCAAAACTGCAGAAATAAAGTCGGTTGAGCCACTAAAAGCCATTTCGAGGCCAATATCAACCCCACTAGGTAAAACCGTTACCCCGCCATGGCCGAGCAGAACATCCCGCGAAAGGGCATCTCCGAACCCAGCTACACAGTCCATCGATCCTCAAACTCAGACGCGGGCCCATCAACCTCAATCCCCAATCAAGAACCTCACGATGATCATGACCGTTCAAACACTCCTCCGCCATATTCAGGGCCCACGACCCCTTCAATGTCCGCACCCCGGGCACCTCCACCTCAAAACATAACCCACCCGGGTCTCCCCCATCTTGACTACCGCCTCTACGCCCCATCAACATTCCTCCTCTCCGCGGACAAATCAGAAATAAAATCCTATGAGACACGCCTTTCCACCTACCCAAACGCCCTCGTCTCCCTCATCCAATCCGTTGCTACCGTCCCGCCAAAACCGCATGTCAGGATCGTTGGCAAGAGTTCAGACGGCACTGTAGACTTCGATGTCACAATGAATGCCATGAACTTGATTGTTCCGGATGCGGATCGTAAGGGGAAGATGAATTATGTGCGGATTATTGGACCTGGGGAGACAGGGTTCAGAGGGGATACTAAGGAAACTTTGGCTCCTGATCTGGGGAATTTGGATAATTGGGCGAGGAGTTATTGCGCGGATACTAGTGCTATAAAACAGTCTGTTTCCTCTCATTAAATTCAGAGTTCTTAACTAATAACAAGGCAGATTCGTACTAGAAAGAACAGTAATAAACTGGGACACATCATACCTAGAAGGTCGCCTTCTTTCTCTTATAAACAGCACAGCCTACCGAGGCCACTGCACAGTCTCTTTCCCCCTCACGCATTCCCGAGTTGTCATCCACTCGCCCGATAAAGTGAACCGTTTCTTCAGTAGTGTGACGAAGGTGTTTACGGGCACAAAGAAATACGAGGTCATCAAAAGTATCTGGCCTTATGCAGATGTACCAAGAGGCGAGACGGGAAGGAGGTGTGCGGTGCAGGAAGAGGAGGTGTGGTTTAATGATTGGAAGGATGCTATTAGACACGCGGTCTTGGGCAGACGGAGAGGCTGGGTCACGGGAGAGGACCGGTTGGAGTTCTTGATGGAACCGAGGCCTGCTGAACAGGGTAATCCTTCGGGGTGGGGAGGTACTCATCGTGTTTGAGTACTGGACATATATTGGGAGTATCGGAGTTTTTGGAGAGTGGTTCAGGGCTTCGGTAATACTCCTGGATGGGAAGAGCTCACGCATTGATAATATACAACAACAACGCTCGAATTTTAATTAGATCTTGGCTGTTCCGCCTATTGCTATTTCGACGTTTGGTCGGCAGCTTCATTTCTCTCTCGATGTGACTGCCTTGCGTAGAAGTTCTTGACCTTCCATTTTCTAAGGAGTAGTGCTCCCTTAAATTTTTGATACCCTGGCTTACATTTTGACGAGACGAACTCGATTTTAAATTGGTTATGCTTCGGGTTGAGGTGACTCAGGATGAATGCAATGTTTCGTTGGCCAATAATTGTCGCCCTTTGATTTCATTTTCTCGCCTTGGTTGTGGCTTAGAGAGTTGAGATGATGAACATCAAATAAAGTAACGAGTTCCTTTATGTTCTAAGTTATCCTTGCGTCCTATTTATTGGTACGACCACGTTCCTGGCAGCCAGGAAACCCGAAACATGGATATTCTAGGTTTAGCCAGCGCTACGAAAGCCTCCGAGAAAGTCGTTTCGGGTACAGCCAGCCCTACTCCTTTTATGCTCAAATGCCCCTCGGAGAATATATCCCGCGAATAAAAATACTCTCCTCGTAATCACCTTTTCAGAGCTAAATTTGATGTACCTTTCCCTTTATTTGAACTAATATGTGGCCAGGTCGGCAAAATACAAGTAAGTATAGTACAAAAAGGTTTACACCAAAAAACGCGTCTATCCCTCAACATCCAATACGGCTTGAGCTAACGACAATGTCATCATACCAGAAGGTATTGACGTCCCCACCGTACGACTCCCATCCAAAGTAGACGGCGGTAATATTAGGAATAATGGTACTACTTGTCCATCCTGCGTCGTTGGCGTTGGTGATACCCGGCCCGCTATCCAGACCAGCAATAGTGCTGTTGTTCAACCAAGTCTCAATGGTGCCATCGGTCCCTAGGTAGTACTCGAAGCATTCAAAGACGCTGGTGGGTAGCGCGGTGGAGGTGGCAATGCCGTCTGGCGAGAGGTCTGGAAGAGTGGCATCGTCGCTCTCGCGGTTGTACATCAAGATCTCGCTCTGGCCACCAATGCGGAGGTGCTTGTTGGTGCCTTGGGCTGAGTCAGGCATAGTGATGAAGGATACGTGGGAGGCGGTGAGAGCCGTGGTGGCCTTGCTGGAAGGGGATGTCAGCATTTCAGGTAAATAATGAGTTTGGTTCTGCCTCTCCTAGTGTGACTTACACATAGGCCCGTACGTAAACGTCACCGCTAGGGATACTCGTCGTGCCAAAGAAAATGTGTCCACAGTAACCACCAGCACCAGCAACCTTCATAGAGTTTGTGCCGCTGTGGGCGGTGGTATTGTCAAGGGTAACAACGCCGCCCGAGTTACAGTCGGGTGCGTAGATAGGCCATGCGGTTTGGTCCCATCCGTTTTCGAAGTCTTCAGAGACTTGGGCGAGAGAGAAGGGAAGGAGAGCAAGGGCGAGAAGAGCGGTTTGGCGGAACATTGTTGCGAATGAGTTTCTTTAAGTAACAAGTAAGGAGGGATAGCTAGGATGGACAAGAAAGCAGACTTCATGAAAAGAGCGATGGCAAGGTCAGGGTATTTATGTGCCCAAATTCGTACCATAGGTTTCCTTTCTCCATCGCCACTGCCAGAATGGAGATATTATCAACAAATTGTCATTTTCTTGCTTCATTTATATTAACTTCTTATTAGATCATTAGCCTTGATACTTCTTTACCCCTGTCAGGTTTCGCCTAATTATGCGGAACTAGTTTGTCGGTGGCAGACCATCCAATCCAATCCATACCATAAACTTGGCACATTGGTATTTTGTCCGTTACAAAACTTGCCAACGAAACAAAATCTCTGGATTCTAGATTATACCTTTAGGTCTAAGTTCTGTAAGAAAACCCCCAGGTTTGAACAACGTACTGCCATGCCGGTAGTGATCGCACCAAAGTTCAGCCGCGAGCCCAAAATGCGGGGTAGCGGGGAGGGGGATCAGCGCAGGCCAGGGGAGCAGGACTTTATTCTGCCTAGAAGTGCATAATATATATTCGGGCCTTGGAGCCGAGTGATTTAAAAAACAATATAACTAAATATCCAGAGTACATAGAGCATATTCACGGCATATTTAGCGTCCTAACATTTTTCTTCAATTCTAGAACAGCCTCACCGAGTGCTTATTAGCAGGAAAGAAGTGCAAATTTGCCGACTGATATTTAAACCGCCTGGCTATCAGGTTGAGAACAGGGTAAACAGAAATGACGGTTGGAATGAAGAATGATTTGAAGAATGATTTGGTATTTGTGAAGCTGCCGCTTATGATACGACTTGAATCGAGTTACGGGTAGTAGCTCCTTATAGTATAATATTCTCTTTTTAGTAATCGGTGTCATTTACACATCGAGTCCGTGTAATTTCATATTTCTTTAGCCACCTCAAAGAGACTAAAATGATGAACAAAACAGAATAAGCCATTGTCTTCTGATAATGAAGCGACGATGGAACACTCAAAACAGAACTTAACAGAACAATAATAACGAGTAGCATTCTGCTTTTGTCTTAAGGCCGGAAATCAATGGCAACTATAAAGAAATATTCCAAGGCATTCATGAACCGAGCTTAGTCTATATATCTCCTAGTTTGTGACTTAGTACCCATTCATGTACGCCATTGTTCATGCGTCAATTTTGGCCAAATGTATGATTTTCCTAGGGTGGTAGTAAACTTGATTTAATTATCAAGTGAGATTAGCGTAGTAGAAACACTACCAAGAAAGAGAAAGGTCAAGGGGGTTAGGACTATGATAGCTGGCGACTATATGCTAATGAACTACAGAAAATCCAGGCCTCAAGTGCAGGATTAATAGGTAACCTAGGTGAATCATAATTATTAGGGCGGAAAAGGGAGTGATTCGAAGTCGTGTCTGCAGGCCTGGAATGCAGGAACCTCCCACAGAGCCAAGCGACACGACGCGTGACAGCAAAAGATCCACGATTCGTGAATCACGAATGGCACGGAACAGATAAAACAGGGTCTCTACACATTGGCTACCGAACAGGGACTGTACAGTGATTCAAGACCTTAGTGAAAGAGCGACTTGTTCAACGCAGAACTTTTAAATTCAACATTTTTCCAAGAAATAAACACTCCCAAATATCCGCTAATGTCTCGCCATCAAAACTCTCGCGATTATCACAAACTCACTGACAGCGATGAAGACATCATCCCCGTCAACAAGCCAGCACAAGACACGCATCTCTTGCTCAATACAACGAACTACAGAATGCCAAACCCACATGAAGATATAGATGGAGATCGACACTTTGACTTGAAAATCCCCGAGAGGGAATTTCGAAACGAGGCTAAGGGCGCGGTCCCCTCAAAAGACTACTCAATTTACCTGTGGATAGAGCTTCCTAGTCGTACATGGCCAGGGATAACCTTCGTGTCACTGGACCTAGACCAGTTCTACGCTCACGATAAGTCGAAGGATATCAAGGCGAGAGTAGTGCTGAAACTAGAAAGTTACAGAGAAATTCCGCCAGTGTTCTTCATCGAACTCACGATCCAGAAAGCGCGCAGGTTGCCCCTGCTACCAGGTAATTCATGGCGTTTCATTGAACAGAATGATAGAGTCCAGGTGCAACCGCTGAAACCCGTGGAAGGACAGGTACTTGAAGACGAAGTGTTAAAGCTGGAGCCGCTTGGCGTAGTCGAGAACCCTGAACCGGAGCCGGAGCCTGAACCCATTGGACGCCGAAGCACGCTCAAGAAAGCCCTTGGTGGATTGGCTGGGCTTGGTCGGGCAATTGTTGGGCTCGAGCCGGTAAAACTAGACCCTCCTCAAATCGGCCGCCGACGTACGACCAGGATACTGATGGGGGTTAAAAGGAGCAAGTACCGACAGAGACGGCGATAAGTAAGTGTTTCTCATTCTTTTGTTTTTGTTTTCAGGGTTTGAGAGGCATACGGAACGCAGTCGGAATATCCGCGCCAGAATGAAAGCTCAAGAAACGCAGAATCAAAGTTGATAGCTCATAATACAAATAATAACAAATTAAAACAATTAAAACAGAGACAAGTGACGCATGAAGTGATTCCTTGTGTGAACAAATCCTTTCTACTTTGTTTGAAGTCTTCAAAGTACGGACTTATAGAAATGAGCACTGGATATGACGCTGGATGAAATAGACTATCAAAAGAGACCGGGGGCAACCCCCTTCACTTCTATGGATCATCGCTAACGAAGTTGCCAGACACATTTTAAATAGGTATTTTGAAAGCCCTGTCTCTGCTTTTGAATAGGAAAATTAGGATGTAAACTACATGCCGCATATTGCAGGGAGAATTGAGAGGGCTGGCAACAATGCAATTGATGAAATATAAAAGGTAATCCCGTTCTGAGACAAAAGGATATCCGAAAACAGGGGCTTTCAAACTGGGTTGTGAACCAACTTGGGGCTCTCTCACAGTCCTCAGGCTGGTTGGTACCACTACAATCTTCACTCTGAATGCCCCAACATTGCCTTGGACTGCCTCAACAGTCTCGTGATCATATACCTTTTCGTGATTAAATAAAAATTTATCCAACAGGGTAAATATCTCCACATGGGGTGGTAAAGAGAGGATTACTTAACAGAGGATCCTTTCACTGTTGGTGGGAATTTCTTTGTTAGTAGTAATTGACAAATGATGTACTCTCATGCCGGCGATGAAAGTGCGAACTCTGACGCCTCAAGTAGGCTACTACGCTTTAGGACGCCCTCGTGCGCCGAATAAAAGGGCTAAATCGATCTACGGCAACCTTTCAACTCAAACGCGCTTATCCATAGCCTCGCTATCTACTTTCAAGCCTCGCGATTTTTGTCTCTTTTCCTCCCTTCCTCTCTCTTCGTTTCCACCCAGCCAACACCAATGACCACTCCACCAAATATCCTCCGGCATCTCCACCTCCCCGGCACAACCCCCTTTAAATCCGCTCAAGCCCTACAAACCCACCTAACATCCAGCCTCCTTGCCGCCAAAGCCACATCTACATCCACCTCGACCTCGCCCTCCATCACCGCGCCCCCACCAACCCTCCTTACCTTCACCCCAACCCCCGTCTATACCTTCGGCCGCCGCTCCCCCCAAGCAGACCTCCAGCCCCGCGACCTTGCCCACCTGAGCTCCCCGCTCTTCCCCGACCCAGCGGACCCCCGTGTCCCCCGTCAATACGCCCAGCTAATCGACACCTCGCGCGGCGGGCTCACAACATTCCACGGGCCAGGCCAACTAGTGATATACCCCGTGCTGGACCTGAAGTCAATCCGCTCACCCAAGTACCCCAAGGGTCTAGGAGTACGGGAATATGTATGCCTGCTCGAGCACAGCACCATCGCGGTGCTTGCAAAATGGGACATCCAAGCAAAACGCACCGCAAATCCAGGGGTCTGGGTCGAGTCGTCCTCGTGGGAGGATAAGAAGATTGCGGCGCTGGGCGTGCACTTACGGAGGAATGTTAGTAGTTATGGGGTGGGGCTGAATGTGTATACGGATCTCAGGTGGTTTGAACGGATTACGGCGTGTGGGCTGGAGGGGTTAGGGGTGACGAGTATGAAGGAGGTGGGGTGGGACTGGTTTCGGTTGGGGATTAGGAAGGGGAAGGGGAGGAAGGAACAGTATTTGAGGATGTTAAGTAGGCAGTGGGCGGCGGAGTTTGCGAAGGGGTTGTGGGGAGAAGGAGGGGAGAATGGGGTGCAGAAGATTAAGTTGTTGGATTTGGGGATTGATGAGAGTGTATTGGAAAGGGAGGAAGAAGAAGAGGCGGTTGATGAATGTGATATGTTCAAGTGAATAGTTGGGAGTTTGCGGAGGAATCTCCGTGTAGTTTGGGGAAATGGATGATAGAATGCCATCCAGAGATGCGAATTTGTAAAAGGGTAATCTTCACACTGGCATACCCCGCTAATCAAGTGCTACATATAATAACGAAGCACGTAAGGTACTGACTGGCTTTACGCCCTCTAGGTCAAACCTACAATCTGAACCTCACTCTCAACTATTCATCACGCCATCTCACTAAAATGCATCACGCCTCACATATAGCAACAAAACCTCGTCATAAGTAAGCGAGACTGGTTCTATTCTCCCCAGCCCACATGTTTATTCATTCATTCATTCAACCACCATAAACTCAGCCCCTCACTCAAATCCACATCGAACCCTCCTTACTCTCCCTCCCCAGCGATCAAAAATCAAGACTTAAGACATTACATCACAATCTTTTACTGTCTACCCTGAAATGAGCAAGATGGAAGTTCAGACAGCCACAACATGCAATGCGCAAGCAGCCAACAAAGAATGCATATCGATATTTTGCATTCGGCACAATATTAAATCAATCAAAACGCCAGGTAAAAACAAAAGGAAGAAGAGGGAAATGCATGCACACGCACGAAGTTAACATAAAGGTATGTAAAAGTGGAAGTTCAGGTTTAACGCCTTTTTCGTTCTGCCAGAATGAACAAGAAAAAAAGTAAGGGCTCGCTCGCTATGTATCGTAAGGTCGTGTCGCGTTTCTGTTTTGAAATGGTATGGTGTGGTGTTGCCCCTTCTGTATATCTCGAAGCAGCAAGGCTCGTTGTCGTGTCTTCATTGCCGTGTACCGCAGTCATATGCTAGCGCATCATATTGACGTCTCTTCTTCCCATTATCCATGCGTATAAGTTCTTGGTGTCGTATCGTGATGCAGCCTCTCCGGTACCTTTTGTCAGCCCATTTTTGTTGAATAAAGTAGGCATGTATCATCAGGTCGACCTCTTCCTCGTTGACATCTGCTGCTCTTCAGCCTCTGGACTCCATTCTTCCGGTTGAAAATTTGGGTTATTGTAATGCGCTGTATTGTAGTGTGAATTCTTGAATGTGCTTGTCTGGAACTGTACAGGCCCTTCTTGTGCCCAATCAGCAGCAGCTTCCCACTCATACTTGCTTGGTCGGAATGAACTACCTGCTGAGCTGGGTGATGAGAGATCAGAAGAGATGGATGGATGCGTGTTGAGTGTTGGTCGGCGCGGCGGGGGTGGCGGCGGCAGATGAGAGTGTATGGGCAATGCAGTATTCGCAGGGAATGACTGATTTGGACCTGTGAGGGTGGGCGATGTTAGAGTCAAAACTGCAGGTGCTTGTGTTGGGAAGGATGCTGGTAGAACAGCACTCGTTGGAGTCGTAACTGTGGAGGCACCAGGAGAGATTGGTGACATTGAGGAGATAGGAGACGGAGCATATGTCTGTTCAATTGGCGGTTGATATTGTGAGTGAAAACCGTGATGGGATGATGCTGGCATGCTCATGCCGGGTATACTAAGAAAAGTATCCATATCAAAATGAGAGAATTGGCCCATTGGGGTGCTCTGGATGGAATGTTGATGCGTGAAGTTCGCTGCTCGATTGACAGTTGGATTTCGTACAACCTCGTTTACTGCTTGTAGTTGCATTGGGGCAGCATCTTTGTAGAGAATATCGTAATGAGAAGGTCTGTAGAGCAGATGGATCATTGGGCCTCCGGGAATTGTTGGTAAACCGTTGGAATCTTCTTGCATAATGTGACTGTTCACTTGCGACCCTTCGCTCCTGTCCAGATATACGATCTCAACAGCAAAACCTATAGGCTTCAGTAAGACATCGATGAGAAGCGACATGCCGAGATGGTCAATCTCCTGATCCACTGGCTCCAACCAATTCTTTCTGTACCCATCAACTCCGAGATTATCTGGTATGAAGCCTTGATATTGATCAGCAGGACTGCCTTTCAACCATGAACTCGCGAGCAATCGGAAATGGTACACAATAGCATTTGATATTTCGGGATTGTTGAACCGTTGAAACAGCAAGTCGGCCGCGCCCTGAGGAGATGTTTGTATCAGATTTGCCATATCTTTCAACAGATTGGTTGTCTCCTCCACCATGTCCTCAAACAGCCATGCCTCGAATCCTCCAACTGTGCTGAGGTAGTTGTTCAGCGATGTCATACGAGCCACCTCGCTTTCCAATTGCGTCTTGTTTTGTAACCGCAGTAGAGTCTCGAAGTAGGAAAAGCCAACAGCTACAGAGAGTCAGCAATATATTATCAAGGCAGCATCTGCAGGCCCAGCATGTTGTGCAAGGGCCCATCGACGATGCCGTGGGGTAAGACCTACCCCGCCATCCGCAATTGCCATCCCCAAGTATAGGTCGATAATGGGAGTAATTCTGCGGCAATGCCTGAGGAAAGGAACCGTTAGTAGAAGCTCAATTGAAATGCGAAGATATACTTGCAGCTGTTTTCGCAACGTAGACAGGGTCTGCCTTGGCATACTCTTCTGTTATGGCGTGGCTGCTCTTCTTTTCTCCCACTAACGGACCCTGCAACACGTCAGTTCAGTCGCGATACACACCAAATACTTGGTTGTATAAGGTAATGTATAGATCTAGAGACGTGGCCTACCTCCAAAGCCGGTTGAAAATCCCTAGCCATTGCCTCCTGGGCCTCCAGGTCGTGCAACCCCGCTCCCTCCATCTTGTAGGATCGCGACAGAGTATTGTTGTTGGCGAAGGTTAGCCCGCGGGAGTTGGGTGCGGCGGGACTGAAGATAGGATTGCGGAACACGGTTGGGCCTCCACTATCAGCGCCAGTGCAAGTGCCAGTACCAGTACCAGTAAGTCGCAAGTCGGAAGGCTGGAACCGTGGGAAAGCGGAAGCGGGCGAGGCTGCTCCAACACCAACTCCCATGCCAATTCCATAGGGAGTGGTTGAGAAGGGTGAATATGGAGTTGGCTGTGGCTGGAACATGCCTTTCTCTTTTATCGCTGCTCTGCGATGGACGCAGAAGCTGCTGTTCAGTGGATTTGTATGTATAGAGAAAAGTCCGTCAGGTAAGTTTGGTGTTCCTGTTCCTTCCCTGAACTTTTTTCGCTTGGCTTCGGTACTGTACAGTGTGTGGTAGCAGTCCAGTACGCCGTCTATTCCTGTTCCTGCTCCTGTGCAACGCCAGAAAAAGCAAAAAAGCCGGCCGGCGAACAGGATTCCAGGATTCAAAGACAGGATAACACTATTGCCTCCAGGTCGTCACTTTCATAGGCTGGTCCTGTCCTGCCTGGATTCAGTGTTGTGTCCGTTTGTCCTAGGTTAGGTGTACGGTACGAGTAGCCTTCTTTCTTACAAGTACCTCAATCCCTCCTGGGCCTACTGTACTGGTACAAGCTCTCTACCCACTGGACTTGGTTATTGGTGCTTTGGCTTCTGGTACTGGGGCTCCGTGGATGATTGCTATACGCCCCCTTGGTGCGCCGGCAATATTCAGCCAGAAAGGCAAAGGAGCTGTACGGTATATTAGCAATGCAAGGACCAGTACCAGCGGCAATAGCAGCAATAGCAGCAGAAGCAGAAGCAGCAGAGACTCCGGAATATGGCCTGTCTTCCGCCTTTGTCTGTGCTCCTCGTCTCCCTGCTTTAGCCGTTTAGCTCCCGTTGTCGCCGTCACTGCGAATGTTGTTGTATGGTTAAGCTTATGGCTAAGGCGATGAGGCCCCACCCCGCTGCTGCGTCCTCCCGTATACTATACTGTACAAGAAGCAACTCTACTCGAGCCTTCCGCTTTCTTCCTGGCTGGCCGTGGGCTGGCTTTTGAGAAGACTTTTCGACTTTTGACTTCACTAGCTATATCATGGTGTTTGAGCGGCTTAGCTGGCTGTAGTGACCCGTGCCCGTGGAGAGTGAGGGAAAGGATGTGAAAGGCTGGCAAAATAGTGATGATGTAGGAGAAGTACGAATCTCAATTTCAATATCAAGAAACGGAAGGTAAGTAGATCTCGAGAGGTACAGCCGTCGGTACTTGGAGAAAAGCAAATATTGCAAATAGATCGTCCGAGGGGGGTTGAGGGGAAAGTAGCTAGGGAGTTCTAGATCCGGTGTCTCCCCGCTGCATAGAAATGTAGGGGGTAGCGAAGCACAGGATCGGACGACTCTAACCTTGCTTCTGAATGCGAACTCGAACTCGAACTTGAGGGCGAGATGAGGTTGATCGTCACAGGCAAACTTGAAGAGGATCTAAAGAGACCCGGAGGAGACCGCGATCGAGACTTCGCAAATATACCTAGGTACGAATTACGAGTACTTGTACAGCTCACGCAGTTCACAAAGACTCTTCTCCCACCAGATGCCAAGCTATCAAATCAAATGTAACTATGTGTTATGCCATGCCAGGACAGTAAGGTAGTCTAGAGTCTGTCTCTGCTCCAAGCTCCTACCTCACTCAAATTTTCGGGCATATACAACCGCAGTAGGAGTGAGTATAGACACACCAGACCAAAACCAACCCACTCAGAATTCCAAGCTACAGTATCTGGCCTATCCTGCCCCATTCTGTCTTATCCTATGCCGCCGCACCGTTCATCACCCTCAGCCCAGCCAAACTTCACCAATAAGAGTCCTCGGGGGCTGACGCGCGCGCTTCTGGCGTTTGTTTCCCCAAGATTTCTTCGACGATATTCCCAATGGCTGCATGGCGTCGTGATGTATCACACCGGCAACCATCTCCACCATCTCTAGCCCCTAAACCGGGCACTTTGGCTCCAGACTGCATGGATATGGAGCACGTTTTGGGCCCATGCGTTCCCAGAAGGATTGCTTCATGCTGGAGCAAGATGCTGTGTTGGCCCCCTTCAAACCCCCAGACTTCAAGATCTATCATCTCTACCACGCCAGATGGCGATCGATGGACAGCTCCATGCTTCTGATTACGTACCCAAGTTCCTCTCTTCCTCTCTGTGTTAAAGCAACGGATGGCTGCAGCCTGTGCTGGGAAGTTCCCCTCATTACTGCCGTGGTCGGGGTTGTGTGCTGCACTGTGTAATTCGGTGGCCCACAGGCAGCTCGATATGCTCATCCCATAATTTCATAATGCGTGATTTATCTCAGATGTCATAAAAAAACAGTTCATCAAAGACCATGAGAACGGTCGTCTCTATGGCCCCAATAACCCCTCCCACCGCACCCCTCCTACCCCCTGTCCCCATTCCCCAGATTACTGGCCGAGACATGTTACACCCCGAACCCTCCCTTCCGGCCCGGGAAGCCTGGCTACGTGCTGGCAGTCCTACGCCAAATCAAAGCCCGTGAAAAGAGCTGCGCTTGCAAGGGCTAGCTGTGCATGCGAGGGCTGTGGCCGGGGCCGGGGGAGAGCTTGGTGTTGTGGGGCTTGCAGTGTTGGTTCCCGTTTGTACTATAGGTAGGGAGGTACGTACCGCGGTCTGGGGGGAGGGGCCCTTCGCCGACATTTTGCACGACCCCATCGCGCTGCCTCTAGGTCTTTGGGTAACCTGCCAAAAGGGGGTGATGATTTTGTAACCGTTCAATGTACTTCGTACTAACCTCCAGATGCCTTGGGCCGTGGGCATCTAGGTAATCTTACTTTACGCGAGACGGGATGTTGCTCTACCGAACAGCACATATTTTCTTTCACTCTGCAGGCTTCCTTGCAGCCAGTGGCCCTGGCGAGTCTACTGTACCGTCCTCTCATCCATCAAGCACATTGGATGTAGTACATCACGGCCAACGAACGTGATGCTATGTCAACCACTGTACGAAGTACTCACTCACACCTGACACTTAGCCCCTTGTTGTACACGAATCAGGCTTGTTCATTCTCAAATTCTTTCATTCCACTTAACGCCATGCTAATGCCCAAACCGCTCGCGATCCGTTCTGTTCTGCTCGAGCGCTCATTTACAGGCTGCAGCAATACTGCCAGCTCCAATGGTAATTATCTCCTTCGCCGATGCATTATCATGCACCTATGCGATATCCGCATCAGTAATGTCCGCCCTCATCAATCAATCAATCATTCATCATATATTCGCTGCGTGTGACCATCTGAATCCTCATTGTACTGTACGGTAGTCGCCTAAAAGAACGATGAACCTTTCTTGCCCTTGGACTTGTTGTTTTTGTGCCCGCCCCACGATCTACTGTCGCCCCTACTACCGCCGCCATGGGGCATGGCTCCTAAGTTCATCATCATGTTGTTGCCGGTGCTATCGTCGCCTGCTCCCGACAAGTTATCGGTCGTCTTAAATCCTTCGCCGTCGGCGAATACGGTCTGGTACAGAGATCCAATTGCTGAGGTCCATTGCTGCATAGCTCGGAGGCGATCCGCATCGCTATTATCCTCGATCTCGACGGTCCCGTCTTGCTGATTGATCTTGCCCTTGACTTTCTTGTCCACGATCAAGAAGCCTAGGATATCTTGGACCTCTGAGACTGGGATTTTTAGGGCTTTTCCGATGAATGCAAGGTTGAATCTTGTGTACGGTGCGATTAACTTTAGCACTGCCTTAGTCCGCATGTTTCGAGTGACCTCGTCGATGTTCTCGGCGATGAAGGGATCCGACATCAAGTCCCTGTTGTTCTTCAATACTGACTCGTACTGATGGATATCATCTCGTTGGTAAGCATCGACAAGTTCAGTCATTGCCGCAATTCGCGAGTCATTTTTGTACGGCTTCGTCTCCTGAGACTCGAAGGGATTTATGTCAGACTTCATCAACATGGTAGTCAGAACAAGATACTTGAGAACTTGAATACGTTGCAGTGAACCAGCTTCGTCGTAGTTGCGGAAAGATTCGAAGAAATCGCTCTGCGCGTCCTTCCAGTTCTCCTCGCTCATGTGCATCTTGCCACCGCATTCGCGAATGATGCCCATAATCTTTGGATGTGGTACAGCTGACCGGACCTTGAGAGCACGCTCATACAGTCGCTTAAGCTGCTTATTATTCTTCGTCTCGGCGTACATTTGGATCTCCAGAGCATAGATCTCTAACGAGTAGGTACCTTTGCTCGGGTCATCTGTACCATCTTCCCTTTCACATGCCTTGTGTAATTCTCGGATCTTCTTCGTAACCGGTCCATACTCTTTCCGGTCAAGAAACAGCTTAGCAAGCTTAATGTTAGTCTTCAGCCACAAGCGCTCGTTGTTGGTACTTTGGAAAGACTGCAGGGTTTGTGAATAGAACTCTTCCATGCAATGGCCAGCTTTCTCATCCTCAGAGCCCTTCTCTATGAAATCCAGGATATTATTGATAGACTTTTCGGAATAGTTCCGCGTGACAGCACTCTTGACATAGGTAAGGAGTTCGCTATAATGTTCAACGGCCTGATGATCAGCGTGAGTTCGGCGGTAATGGCGATATCAACTTACCTTGTCGTATTTTCCAAGCTTGAACTCCAGCTTGATCGCCTGCTTCAGGCCTTTAAATCCCCAGTCACCTTTTTCTGATTCCAGAGTTGGGACTCCAAGAAACTCTTCGATGGCGGCGTCCGGGTCTGATGCCTTCATCTGCTTGGCATTGTAATATTTGTTCTCAATGTCGACATCTCCGGTTTCCTCGTCATCGTCTTCCTCGTACTCGAAGTCATATCTGGCCAGTCAGTCAGCTCTGTCTCAAAATTGAAAGTTCGTTGCAGCTCAACGTACCCATCCTGATCCGAATCCTGCATAAAATCCTCGTCGTCAGACATGCTGGCGGCAGGTTTTGTGAATTTGTCTCGATGTGTGGAAGATATACCAGCTTGCCCTTCGTAGCAGAGTTTCCTGGCTCAAAAGCAGAAAATGGGGGATGATATTTTGCAATTGAGGTTGAAGTTGTGGAGAGCTCTAGGCAAACACAGCCTTGGACATTCTAATCTATGGAGCTAATCTATTGGTGGAATTCTTCCGCTTGATCTTAGCGTCATGGTAATCCCGCCCCGCCCCGCCCCCGACTTTCTGCTGTTGTAAGAAATTATAGCAGGCTCGTCGTCACATTCAACAAAACTCCTTGTACACATCGTCAGCGCCAGAACTTGATAGTCTCCCTTGAGACTCGCAACGTAGAAATATACCCCTCCACGCTCCACCGAACTAAACATCTTCAAAATGGGTGGCGACCTCAACTTGAAGAAGTCATGGCATCCCGTACTCATGAGCAATCAGAGGAGGGTATGGGAGGAAGAGAAGAAGGCACTCGACGAACGAAAACGAACCGAACAGCGTATCAAAGAGCTCAAGGAGGAGCGCGCGAAGGAAGAGATTCAGAACAAGCTCGAGGCTGCGGGGAGTCGCAAGCGTGTTGATCGCGTGGATTGGATGTATCAAGGACCCTCGAGTGGCCAAACTGGAACGACGGAGGAGATGGAGGGTTATCTTCTGGGAAAGCGACGGATTGATGGCTTGATCAAGGGTACAGAGCACAAAAAGTTGGAGAAGCAAGCTTCCGAGGACAGCTTTATGGCTTTGCAGAATGCCAATACTGTCAGGGACACTGCGTCAAAGGTCCGGGAAGACCCGATGTTGGCTATTAAGAGACAAGAGCAAGCGGCATACGAGGCTATGATGAATGATCCGATCAAGAGGAAACAACTCCTCGCCCTTGCAGGGGGGGTGGGCGCTACAGAAGAGAGCAAGCCGAAGAGGGAAAAGAAACATCGAAGACATCACCACAGACATCGCGACGATTCAGATGACGAGAGAAGGCACAAGCGGAGACGGCGAGATGATGATGATAGGAGCCACAGGAGCAGCAGATCAGAACATCGACGACGGAGATCACCTTCGTATTCTAGGTCTCCCTCCCCTATTGGAAGAAAGGACGGCTACGATAAGAGTCGACGACCAAGATCGGCATCACCTGAGGATCGTAGACGAGGCAGGTCAGATAGAGACCGTGATTATGATCGAAGGAGGCGCAGAAATACATCTTCGGGCGATTCTAGATCTCCCTCACCAGACCGACGACGATTATCGCCTGATCGACGAAAGTCTTACCCTACGAGTCGAGATGATCGAGACTACAAAGGTGCTGACAGACGGAATGGGGCAAACAGGTTCAATGGACAACGAAACGGCGGCTATGAAAAACGAGACGATCGAAGGAACCAGGAAGGCGTACAGACCGAAGCTTCAGAAGATAAAGAGGCGGAACGTCAGAAGAAGTTAGCAGCCATGCAGCAAGATGCTTCGAAACTAGATGTGGATCGCGAGAAGCGCCTTGCAGCCTTAGCAGAGCAAGAGAGGGCTGATCGTGAGGCAGAAGATAAAGCTCGAGCAAAGTCATCAAAGTACGGTGACAAGGGAGATTTCATCAATGGTCTCAACCGGAAGGCTGGAGATGTTTCATTGGCAGACCGAATTGGTCGTGGAAGGCAGGGTTTTCAAAAGGACGAAGATTGAACATAGTTGAATTGCTTTAAACCCAAAGACATATAAATTAGGAAATCAGCTACAAGTATATCTCCTTTAAAAAGTCCATCCATCGAATAACTCGACTTCCCTACATGTGTAGGTCTAATAAATACCTATATATTGCCAAATCTAGTATATTATTCCCCACGTTCCCAACCTGGCCTAAAACGCATTAGCCACACGTACCTGCCTAATCTTCAGCCACAACAACCCCACTTCAAGATTTCTCCCTCTTCAGCAGTTGCGCATCACATCAGCATCGACTCATCGGCATCGTGGTGAAATGGACAATGTAGGCAATGGTTCCATGGCCAGATCCACACGGCCTCTCTTTGATTCTTTGTTGTCTGCTTGTTTGGCGCTCCAAATCACAGACTCGAACCTTTGTTTCGGGCAACAACTCCTCCAATTCATCGTCATTACTACTGTTCTACTGTGAATAACTCAACACTCAACCCAAGTCAGAACAATGAGTCGCCTTGTAATTGACTTCCTGTATTTTATATCTCTATATTTCTCCGGGGATACCACGGAGGAAACTTCCATCCAACATCCAACACCACAAGACATCCACCCAAACATTCTCAGTCGCGCAAACAGCCTTGCAGCAAGCCTATTTTGCACAGCCCCCTCAAGATAACCATATATCTATTATTATGGCCGGCCCCAGTATGAAAGGGTCATCCACGATGCAAGGCGGTGAAGAAGAAAGTCAATCCAAATCAAACGACCCTCGAATTCCCAAAGGTCTTCGAAATGTGGAGGATTTGGTCTACCAGAATTTACTCGAAGTGGGTAACCAGAGGAAGGCTTCTGGTGTACGCCCTCCTCAAGTTGTCGTTGTTACGGATATGAATAAGGATGTCGATGACCTAGTCGCACTGGTCCTGTTGAAAGACCTTCATCGTCTCGGTTTGATCGTACTAAAAGGAGTTGTGGCAAATCTGAAGCCGGCAAGAACTCGGGCTCTTGCTACAAAGGGGGCACTCAATGCCATGGGGCTTTCAAATATCCCGGTAGGCGTCGGTACCGATGCTGAAGTTATTGCTGCTGGAAAGGGGCCTCGTGTGATTTCCGACTACGAATTCAACTTGTGTCCATTCATGGCACCAGAGAAAACCCACCTAGAAGATGGATTCAGCCTCCTCGCGAAGTTATGTCAGGACGCGAACAGAACCGGGAAGAAACTCACCTTCCTATTGATCTCAGGCCTAAGAGACATTAACAACTTCTCAAAATCACACCCAGATCTCTTCGCGGCGACTACCGAAAAGATCATATTACAGGGAGGATATCACGTCGAAACAAACGGAGTTGGCGAGGACCTAGTTGCCGCCGAGAATGCCGCCAACAACAATTTCGACATGGTCGCAGCGCGGGAGTTCCATCATTACATGGCTAAGCGCGCCATACCTTCAGTATCATTCACAAAGGTCGCAGCGTTCGCCACGGATATCTCAGAGCAACTTCTGATAGATCTGGAAAATACTGGACACCCAATTGGCAAATATCTCCACAAAGCTCAAGTCCTCATGGATGTTGCCTTCTACAAATCTTCATGTTCACCAGATCCGAGAAAGCGCTTCAGACCATTCATGGACCAGCAGTGGTACTTGAAGTACAAGAGCAGCTACTACGAGACGCCGCATCCAGCAGGCGAGCGCCTTCCTGTTGGCGACGAAGTCATCAAGTATTTCAACAAGCTCGTGGCTTACGATGCTCTCGCCGCTTTGGCAGTTGGAGGGGACGATATCTTAAACAAACTTTCCATCTCCCGACCGACGCAGGGCAAGAAGCCTCTTCACCAGGTCATGGGAGTTGCAGAGTCTCAAGACACAGGTATCAATGGGAAGCCCATGGCACAAGCTATCCGAGCTCTCGTCAGAGGGTCCCTGTTGGCTTGTCAACAACATATTACTTAGGGGTTGGGTGTTTACAGTACTTGCGGCCGTAGATGTTGGGGGTCTCACGGCCTCGAACTCTCAAGGCGAGGTTTCGGGATGGGGGTTATACCAGAGGTCTCGTTAATAGATTCGTAGCTTTATGGTGGCGTTATTCGGGTATGCATATAACAAAGACCCGTATGCGTACGCGTGTCCATACAATATAATATGAAGAGGCACACGCCTGATTATTCTTAATTGCCGTTCGCTTGCCTGTGACCTCGTCTGTCCCTTCCTTAACCGCTCGCTCATCGCCGAACCAAGCAAATCCGAAAACATCCTGCTTAACACCACTATTTCGTTTCGCTGAATAGCTAAATCCCACCTTAACTGGTCTAGCAAGCACATAGCTTGTTCTACATTATCCAGGACATCCCGCACTAGAGAGTCGACCGTATTAGCGGGCAAGTTGCACGGTAGCGCTACTTGCTTTTAAGAAAACGGTAGGTAGAGGAGGTAGAGCTTGTGGAGGTATAGATATAACACGGACTTCTATCTACCTATCCTATCCCATCCTATCTATGTATAAGGTTAATGCCCTCGGAGGAGTGTGCTAGAGGTAGTAGGTCCTAACTCCAAGTAAAATATATATAGCATCCATACATACTAATGGGGTCCCCGCACTACCCCGCGAAAATCATGGCCCGTATGACGGAGTGGTTGTCTCGGAAGCTTGGACTACGGCTGGGATGCTTGTTCTAGAGGTTATGGCTTGCAACTACCCCCTGCTGCTCTGCTGTTGGAAAGGAACCAAAGAAAAGAGCATGCTCGCTGGCACTTGTCAAAAGCCCCAACCTCCGCCCTTCGGCAGTCTTCCAAGTATAAGCAAGCCTACTCCCCAAATCAGGATTTCACATGGAAGGTGTGAGGCTGGCCTCGGATCAGGGGATTTTGAACATCTTATTTTCCCTTATTATGAATAAACCTGTTCCGTCAAAGCAAGCAACTATCCGTAGATATCCAAAACTCCTCGACTCACATCGTGTGATCCCTAGCGGAAACTATGTGCACAGATGAACCGTGGAAAGGTCGTAAAGATAAAATGGTAAACACCCGTATTGAGAATATATTCCTCTCGTGTAGAACGCCGGGACCATCGAGGGAGGGTATGATCCGAAAAGTCCTGTCTTGAAGATATCGTGGCGAAGATTGCGGAATAGGGTCGTAGGGACAGGTAGAAAACTCGCTCGGTCGAAGACAACTAGTATCAAGCCTCACTTGCTGTTAATTCCCACGGCCGCTCCTTGTATCATCACCACGCCAAAAGTATGTATGTACTTGTGCAATTGCACACCCAGCAAAATGATCGCTCATTCAACCACCAACGCCAAATTCGAATATATCACACCATCTTACACGCTGTCTAGAGCTTCACATAACGGAGCACTTGGAATTGCCCTTTTCCCCAGCCAGCTTCACACTGAGTGCAACCCTCGCAGCTTCCGTAAACGCCTCATTGACACCCCGATTTCGCATCGCCGAGCATTCCAGATACCTCAAGGCACCAATTCTCCGCGCAACCTCCAATCCCTGGTTGTAACTGATCGTCGGTTTCTTCTCCTGCTGCGCGCCGTTCGTGGTTTCGGCACTGTCTTCGTCTTCGTTATCTTGTTCGCGCAGATCGCATTTTAGTGCTACAAGTACGATTTTGACACCCTGGCAGTTATCCGCTATCTCGGCGGTCCATTTCGATTCGACGTTTTCGAGCGAGTCTTTTGAGTCGACGGAAAAGCAAAGCATGATGGCGTGAGTGTCGTCGTAGGAGAGGGAGCGTAATCGATCGAATTCTTCTTGTCCGGCTGTGTCCCAGAGTGAGAGCTCGATGTGAACGCTATCGACAAAGATGTCTGGTACCGGACTTGTTAGCAGTTGAACTTCCTCTTCCGCCATTCGCAGTACTCGGGGAAAAGACACTACCCAGGCGCAATTGATGACTTGCCGTGAACATAATTTTCGAAGACGGTTGGTTCATAGACTGTAGGGAAGTACCTGTATGCACCACTGATTAGCTACAATGCCCCGGGATGATGTATTTCAGAGGGAACTATACCCTCTTGTAAACACGTTCAATAAACTCGTCTTCCCGCAAGCACCATCTCCTCTATCATATTTCGTCAGCCATCTATCCGCCCCATTCCTTCTGACACTTTCCGATAGCTCATGCCGCTCATGCCATACGGCGCCTGTGTGTGTTTCCAGACAAGTGCAGGAGGTGCTGTACATACAATAGCACCAGTTTCCGCTTGGTGGTCTTGTTTCCTCCGAGTCCACACGGCATAATGTCGACGATTTTATTATCTCCTCTCGGTGGTGATGTGTAAAGTGTACGGGGGCGATGTTGGACGACTGAGGTGGGTGCGTTCAGTCAGGGGCTCTCGTGTAGTAATTAAGATAATGAAATGATTGCGAAGGAGTGTCGAGTTTGTATGCGGCGCAACGGATGCGTCCTGTAGTGTATTGCAATGAAGGAAAGACTTGGGGAAGGCTAACAAAGAGGGATGACGAGCACCCGCGCGAAGTAGAAATAGTCTAAGTGTACGAGTAGGATCTTGGTTCGGGATGGAGAGGCGAGTTACCTCCGTACTAATTATCCGGAAGTAGAAAGGTGCGAGGCACAGCAGCGCCAGATCAGGTTCAATGTATACATTACACTACCTTATCTACGGTAATTAATCATTAACCATATAAATGTTGATGTTAATGTAACTGTTGATGTTGATGGTTATTTATATATATATATATATGTTTGTATTTATATTTTTTATATTTATATTCCCTCCTTGCTACAAGTCGAATGTCTGAAGGTACCAAGAGAGCCACTATGCGCTGTTCTTTTTGCCTCAGTCAGAAGAGGCATGCAATTCATTCAGCCTCTCCGGCGTCGGTCATACAACAACACATTTCTTGTGATATGAGTGGTTGTGGGAGATGATCGTCACATGGAAGTTGAGTTCGTTGGTGAGCATCTCACACCTCAGAACAGTTACTGCAAAGTACCGCGCGTCTGACAACATACGGAGTACACTATTCAAAGCCTATAGCTAGGTGGACGAATGCGAAGGGCCGCCTAGAGCAAAGCCCCAAGCATGCAGCTCAAATCCTATAGTCCAGCTGTCAGTTCGTGAGCAAGAGTCAGCTGAGTTGGCATGTTCCAGTACAGTATGATATGCTATTATTATCGCATGCAAAGCTTTTGAAGGGAGAGCGACAAGTGTAATAATGACACGAGCCCACCTTCTTTACTAGGCCTTTGGCTAGTCCTAGTATCCCATCCCATCCCATCCCCTTTCTGCCAAGTTTTGGATCGGAAGTTCAGAACATGCCATGCCTTCGGAAATCATACCGGAAGCCGAAGGAAAGCATCGGCTTGGCGGATCGTGGGGACTTTCTCTAGATATCTTTTTTATATCCATACGCTATAAGTTAGATAAGCAAACTTTGGCCAACAAACAGCAAACAACAAACAGCTTCTGTGGTCGTAAGTAATCACCTTCAAATGAATTCAATCATCATCCAACTAACAGCCATCCAGCAATGGTTAGGATTCCACCCTTCCAAGGTGGAGGTTCGTGTTCGATTCACGGCAGTTGCAATTTATTCTTTTTTATTTATTTTTATTTTTCTCGCTTTGTCCCAGCACAGCTCTGTGAAGAATCTGATCCGGAAATATTACAAAGGAGAACCTGACTAACCTGACTTGTCTTTTCCTTCGTCTGCACTACTGAACATCAGCCCTTTTGCTGTTTTACGAAACCATTTTCACGGCCAGTGCAGACCTGTCACCCCACTCTGGCATTGCTATGTACTTTTGATTTGAATACATGTGACTGCATTATCCCGTGTCATTTCTGAAGCCAAGATATCTTTCCTTATTTCATCTATATTAATTGTTCTAGCACGGATCTAGTTGACCAATCACCTACACAGTTTCCCTACACAGTTCTATGTACATTTCAAATCTTAGTCGAATTCGACTTCTCTGAAGCTCATCCCGAGCAGCTGGAAGCGTGCTCCCCTCGCTTGCTCCATTCCTTATAACCCTTTCATAATATTCCATTCCCCCCCCGCCTTGCCATCGCTCCCTCTTTTTTACAGAGTTCCCCGGGGTATCTAGTCGCGATCGTTTCATCTCCCTCATGAACTTTCTATTGTTTGCTCCAACACTCTTCTCCACACTTTCAAGGCCTCCGTGGCTCCGCAGGAAGCTCAACAGGCGCAATACTACTCCTCTCCTCTGCACCCAACTCTCCATAATGACGCCCAGCATCCGTTGCTGGTAATTCCATCCTTGGATCTTGCGGCGTGGTCCCGAGTTCTGACCTGATGATTGATGGGCTCTTCGATACCGATGGGTCTTGACCTGCTAGCTCCGCTTTGTAGTAACCCTGGCTCTCCCCTCCATCCGCTTGCATCTTCGCTACTTCTTCCTGATGGATGTCTTTGGGACTCCTTAACATGGCTGCATATTCAGGCGAGCGTCTCTTCATCCTCCGGATCAATGCAGCTAATAGGAGTAGGAGCACGACTCCTCCAATCGAAGCGCCGATTGCAACCTTTGCACCGGTCGAAAGACCGCTGTGGGTGTCTGAAGCGACTGCTGAGGGTGTAGCAGAAGCGGACGAAGAGGATGTTACCGAAGCCGTCGCTGAAGCTGTGGTAGCTGAAGCCGTCGCAGTGCTGGTTGGGGTCTGTTCAGAACAACGTCAGCACGATATTCTGGCACGAAGGCAAGGGTCACCCACATCAATTGTTGAGAAATTCTGGTCGTTGATGGCACTAATTTGCTTCCACTCAAAGCTCTGCGAAGCTCGGCTTTCCGTTGTGATATTCGAACTTATCGCCAACAAATTGCCCGTTTCTCGAACCTGCATTCGCCATCCCGTCTTATTGGCCGAATTCGTGAAATAATACGAATTGTCATTCCACGGCGTAATCTGCCAGAACATGCCCTGATCCGTAACGTTCGTGTTGCCCAGGGCGGGTACAGTATTCCCAGTAATCTCACTTGGTGAGGGGTTATCAGGTTTCTCTGAGATCATATAACTGCTCGCTCCAGATCCTTTGCATCGGATCACGTATGAGTCGTTCTGTTGGTAGAATTGCCACAGTTGAGCATCGCCAATGGTTTTCCCTATCGAAGTCAAGTAAACAGCGCCTGTACCCGTTGTAGCATTGACATTGCCGCCATGCATGGCCATACTATTGTTCGTTTTGGTATAAAGCGTATACCAATAGTTGGTATCGAATAACGACATGACTGCAGAAGTTACTTCTAAAAGCTCTAAACAACGCAATCAGACGGTGAAGAAGTTAAAGTGACGATATTTTACTGTACAAAAGGGAAAATAGGAGACATCCATCCACGGTTCCCAAGAAATGGGGACATGGCTGAGTTAAATTCGAAACCCAGGGCCACGAGGTGATTGGGGAGAAAAGTACGTACGAGGGCGCGGGTCAGCATCAAGCAAAGGAAGAAGCGAGGGGGCTGAGATTGTGAGCACCGCCCCTGGCGCTCATGATTGGCTGCTTACAAGGTCGCGAAGCATGCTCTATTCGGACGTTCCAAGTTTCATTCGTCGATTTTTACGAAATCGTACCTGGGAATGGACTAAAGCGGGTATCTTACACTTGCAAGGATGCGCTTGGAGTTTATTTTTATTTTTATACAGGCGATCTGCCCTACGAGACAGACGGAATACCCAACCAACGCTTCTCTTGCGCTTCGTCAGCAGGGTTGAAACTGGTATTTCGTCTCGTGCGGTGACCAGCAACGTTTTAGCGTTCTGAGTTAGTTCTGCGCGAGAAGGGCTACAGTGGAGATGATGGTAGAGTTAACGGCATGAGCCTTCTTTGTGGGGGGGGGGGGAAGAGGGGCAAGGGATCTTCAACTATCAATATCCCCCGGCCTCTTTTCCAGTGAAGGCCAATGCATATCCTTTTACTTGCACGTTCTGCGAGAAGTTATTGCTAGATAGTGAGTTCTGGAGAAGTTATTTCATATGCAAGTGCGAGTTTGGCGTTCTGTTGTTTGTTTCCATTAATTAAAAGTTTACGTCTCCTAGTGGGACGATGATATTGAAATTCAAAATTGGTTATTGATAGTAATCATATTTCTAAAAGCGAGAATAGCCCAAGGTGGGAATTCCCGGGTAAGAAGAAGAAGAAAAAGGCAACTTTTCGAAGCCGATATATTGGTTGAAGGAGTAGCGCTTCTTCCTAATCCTTTCTAACCAGCACTTCTACAGTATCGCGGGCTCAAACATGCCAGAACTCTCAGTCCTAAGACTCCCCGCAACCAAATTCGCTCAACGTTGCCAGCATCCTTCAAGCATTACAGACGACTGCGACCAATCTCATTCTCAGGAACAAACCCCAAATATCAAAGGCCTATCCTCGCTTAGCATATGTTTCAGTGCTGGTGGCGCTATGAACCATGCCTTCACTTTTAGCAACTCTTGAAGGTACTAAAAAAAAGCAATTTGGAGGCAGTTATTGACAAGAGATTGATAACATTTTGTGTAAAACTGGTTACCTAGGTAGGTAAATTGTGTTACTAATTATGTTCCGACAGACACTTTCCAATTATTTTCAAATATCTCCCTGCTTCCAAAAAGCGAAATCACTCAATTATCATTCTCGCCGTTCCCCTCCCCTTCTCGGGTTGTGGTATCCCCAGCTCACGTTTCAAATCCGTATCCCTTCTATCAGTATCATACAACCTCATACCTTTCACGGCAGTGACTTCCCCGTTTCCATCCTTTTCCACTCGCACAAAGGTCCTTAGAATGTAGGCTATAGTCATGTGGACTTCCGCGTAAGCAAGTGGCTGCCCGAGGCATTGTCGAGTCCCTTTAGAGAGCGGGACAAGGTACTTGTGGTTTCCTGCCGGGATGTGCGCAGGTCGTTCTGGGAGACCGGCTGGTGTGGGAGTGGGGAGCCAGCGCTCGGGGATGAAGGACCAAGGCTCCGGGTAGACATCTGGCGAGTGGTGGATTAGGGGGGCGTGCATGCTGACTGCTGTCTGTCAAATCGTTAGGAGTATTCAAAGTATGATGTAAAGTATGGAACGGGGGACGAACGTTAGGTGGGATGGTCCATTCTCCCAGCTGCAGTGACTCGTGTGGCGCTGATCGAGCAAGACGGTATGAGACGCCAGTCACCAGCCGGAGAACCTCGTGAACTACCGCGCTCTGCAAGTTGTCAGTGCTCGAGTTACGATTACCGAATGTATGAGGAACTTTTGTTCTTACCAGATACGGCAATTGTGCTAGTTCAGTGCCACTTTTTGGCTTGGTTATATCTGGCATTGCAGTTTCTAGCTCATCCAACAGCACCCCCATCCTCTTGGGATCGAGCAACAGGTAAACAAGAGCAGATGAGATTGATGTCGCGGTGGTAACAGTTCCCGCTCCCAGTAGCAATTGAGCCTCCTGCCACAACCTGCTCACGCTTTTGTCTGATTCAGGTAGGATAGGACTATCAAGCAGATCATGAAATATTGTTCGATATTTAACGTCTTTGAAATCACCTCGAGAAATGATCGTCTCTTGAATCTTCTTGACGCAATGCTACATTCGTCAACGTGGAGGCCACATGAACTTGTATCGTTCTAGACTTACATGCTTCATTTCACTCAGTTTCGTCATCCCGGATCCAAGAACACTTGCCACCAGTCTATCTGGTAAGCGATCGAGCAGATGGGGAAGCCATTGGGCTTGGACGGTGATATGTATCTTATCCGTCATTGCCTCAGTACTCTCTACAACGGCAGCATTAAACCCAGGGGCCTCGATGTAGTTTTCAGTGGTACCAAAACAATACTCTGTGATAATATCGCTTGTCATTGCGCCGAAGGCTGGTTTCATCTCGATCACCTCGCCAGTTTTCTGGTACTGACGGAAGACTGCAATTAGACGAGAGATGCAATCTTGAACTAAAGGTTCGAGTCGGCGAAGAGAGCCTGGGGAGAAGAAGGCGCTGACAGCATTACGGCGAACACGGTGTTGCTCATGTGAGATTGTGCCAAACATAGACTCGGGGTGGGACAATGCTTGTGACCAAGTTGGTGGTTTGTCTCGTTTGGTGTGAGTTCCTGCGAAAAGAACCTCGTAGAAGTCTGGATCAATGACGTGGAGTTCATGAGGAGAAATCCGGATAATTGGACTATCTGAATCCACACTGTAAATATTCGATCTCGCACTTAGAGCACCTGTAAAAGGAGAATGGTTTCGCTTACTATATTCCTCATGCAAGTCCTTAATCTTATACATATACTGCCCATCTCCTGCAAAAACATCATAGTAAAGCATGTAACCATACGTCAACGCAGCAAGTTTTGGACCTGGAAACTTTGCATATCGACTGAAATAAAGACGATGGATTGCAACTCCAATGGGGTATAAGATGCACAAAGCAAATAGTGCACTCGCAAGGACGTATTTGGACGATAAGTCCACGCTTAAGTTTTTGAAGATGGCCATCGTTGGATATACACAGAAATCAACACGGGGCAAAAAGAAGCTTTTATATTAGATGTGTATAATGCGGGACTTTGACTAAAAGATGACAATCCAAACCACTTATTGCTTACTTCGGCAGTCATATAAAAGGTGTCTCGTGGCGTTGCATTTCCCCGGATAAAGTCGAGGAAGAGTTGCAGAACAATAACATACCGTTACACAAATGGGGATCGTTACTTGATATGACCAAACATCTCGATCTTCAGTCATCTCGATCTTCAGTCATCTCGATCTTCAGTGGGTACGGTAATTCTGCACGGAAGTAGCTATCCTTTACTCTAAATGCCAAGAGTATAGAACCCCTAATATGTTGTTGAAATTCTGGGTGGTGTTGGAAGATTGAGGAGATTGGCATGTGCTGCTGATGCTGCCATGGAGAAACCCCATGTGCATAGCCAGCACATACACGAGCTCATTACAACCATCCAATAGTGTTTCAAGTTATATATTGTTGGGTTACAGCTGTGAGATGGAATGGCACTCAGTCTCTTCAACTTTGCAAGGGAGTGTGCGGGGCAACTTGCTTATATCAAATATGACCGAATTTAATGGTGGTGAGCAATCTAATTGCTGCTGGTTAGAGTCGAGATAAATGATCAAACGTCTTCAAGTAGGATAATCACGTACTCAATAACTCGCGTGAAGTGGGTTGGAAAGGGACTTACAGAACTTGCTCCCTTTCTTCTGGCAGCTAGCAGCACTTAGATCGAATAAAAGTCTCCTCTTTCTTACTAGTAATAAGACAACCTGGATTAAATTCCAAAGACAACTTGTACCCTGATGTTCTCGCTGATTCCTTAATGAAGATAAATCATTAAGTGAAAACACCGCTATGCCGCGCAGCAGGACTATCGCCTATCAGAAGCTTAAGAGCCTCTTTACTACCTACCCCGCCCTGCTACCCCTACCTAAAAATGCCCAACTATGGTCGTGCTGCCACACTGTGAAAAATGCTTCCAGTAGAAACCAATTGGACGTTGCTGAGTTATCGCAGAGCATCAGATCTATGCTTCTCTTGGGTGATTGGGTTGTCTGCCAAGTATTGGTCCTCAAGCTGTATGATCTCTGCTCCCACACACTCTTTTGCGGCCCGCTGAGCGGCAAAAATCAATTTGAAATGCACCGTACAATTATAGATTTCGACTTCTGGGAAAGTCGTTACAGTGGCTTAGGCTGGTCCTAGACAGAGAAAGTGGCAGTCATACTGGAGGAACTTTTGGTATGCCACTGAGCATGGAACACTTAGATCTGGTGCCTCTTTTCGTGTACAACACGAGACGGGATTCAGTGAAGTCTTTTTATAAAGTTGTTAAATCGACCATTCCATGGAGCGCGTAAACCACCTATATTGACCACAAGCTTTTACTGAGAAGTTTTTACAAAACAATAAAGGAATACAGATTATATAGCAATCACTATATGTACACATTTCGTAACCTTGACTTGAGGCATACCGGACTTCTCTTCAAGTGATGCATGTGAGGTACCTAGCACGTGATATTTATTGTGACAACCTACTTAGGCGGTCGATGTGAATAGCAATCCGTTTGTCTATTTATCGTCCTTTATCTAATGCAGTCTATAATTATAGTACAATATGTACAATTGTGCCAGAAGTTAATCGGAAGGCATCTCAAATATTTACACTTGAATCCTGAAGTTCATCTAGCACTGCAACTAGAAATATGTCAGCACGAGCTCTTTTTCTTTTCCATACATGTCGTTCGCCAGTCCGAGTAGGGTTTGCTTACAGCTTATAAAGTGTGATTGCCAAAGAATTCCATGATAATAGGCGTAGCATCATAACTTGTCGAGTTCGTGCTTGGCCAGATATGGCCCAACCCAGCCGTCTTGTAATGCTGCACCAACCCAAAGTTCGGGTCACTAGAATTGTTAGGAAACTTCGATCTCGTCACCTTGCCACTATACAAATCATAAGTAGTTATATTCTTCAACCCAAGACCGTCGCGGTAGCTCCACGATCGCACCCAATGCGACACCTCAGGCAAACAATCTCCATTTTTTGATTCTCCACCGTAAGGGATTGTTGTGTCAGCGTCGCCATGAAACTCGATGACTGGAACAATACGATCGCCTTTGTCGCAGGGGATTTCGACGGCCGTAGGTGCGCAGGTGGTTGTATTGATGTAATATGCGCCGGAGACAGGCGCGAAGGCGGCGATTTGGGTGTTGACTGATGAGTCGCAGGCGAGGGTTGCGGTGAAGCCGCCTCCGATGGACATTCCGGATGCATAGATCTTGGAGGTATCGATGCAGTAGGTTTCCGTGAAGTTGCTGATCATGTCTTTCACGAATTCGATGTCATTGATACCTGTTACTGCATAGGGTGCGCCTTGCCATGCATCCTATTTTCGTAGTCAGAGTTCCGTAGGTTGTGAGTCGGAGGGGAAAGCTTACACTTTTTCCTTGTGGATATACTGCAATACCGCTGGGGTTGAAGGCTTCATTTGAAAGCTGGCTGATAGTCTCCTGACCTGATGCACCAGTCCCATGGCCATGGAACGAAAAGATCAGCTCGGCAGGAGTGGTCGAGACGTATGTGGAGGGAATGTGGATGCGGTAGTCTCGAGCGGTCCCATCGCTTTGCGTGAATGCCACTGTCACACTGTCTCCTCCTGGAGTTTGACCCTTAGGGAGAGTATTGTTGGCTGCGCAACCTGGACTGGGTGCTGCAATGGCCGTACCGAGGAGGGCATTAGTGAGAACAAAGAGCGTGGTGAGTCTTGAAGCTGACATTTTGATTATTGTGCGAATAATGCGAGACTTCAAGAGCACTGGGAGATGCAAATATGTTATATATAGAGAACTAAGGAATAGCCACTAATGAGTGGATCTTCGAAGACATCCTGAAATAACGTTTGGAAATTCTGAGGATCCTTTTACGGGTACTTGTACCGTCTGTCGTACGCCTGTGTGAACCCTAGCTAGGTGCTTCGTGGGGCTCACCTAAGCGAGTGAGTCTCTGCTCCCCAGATCTTTCCCGCATTTGGCCTTTTATTAAGGATCGTCATTTTGTCAGCCCGATGATCTACACAACGTACGGAGTACGGAGTACCGTACAGTATATCAGACCTTTACGGAGGTATTCCAAGACGGACCGATTTAGGCACAACTTGAGGATAAGTTCCTGTACTCCGTAGATCTGAGTGGGGAATTTATGCATCTAAGATCTAGATGGAAAAGCATCTTCAACGTGTTGTAAAAGTATCATGTCGGGTTTATGGATGGACCTTGTCATTCAAAGGATTCAAAGAAGAAAGACTTAAAACACGTCCTATGGTTTGAATTAACGTGTTGGGCAAAGAAGCTAACGTATTGGGGTAGGAAGACACGGACTTTGCCCGCTTTACCTAACCGAGGGTGCAGGAACACATGGCCCATATTCGTGCTGCCAAAAATAGCCTGTAGGGGGTATTACCTTGTCAATCTTTACGTCAAATCCCAGGGATATAAGATTCCTTCCAGTTGCCTGGGTTCAGCCGAAAAGCTTGTATTTACGGTGCTAGGGGTTTGTAATAATATGGCTCAATCTTATTGGCCGCAAGAACGACGACCTACTAAACCAACCATGTTTGAATTATCTCCAGCGAATCAGCGACAAATCTTCGAAGTCTTTTTGTGCATTTTGAGCCTCAAGTGAAGCTGCTAAGCTTTATCTGACTGTACTAGTCTGTACTGTAATGTAATGTAATGCATTACGGCTTTCTCTATAAAAACACGTTACGCGAAACGTTATCCCTATGAGTTTAAAGGGTCCTATCTATAATTAAATCTGGATCCTAGAAATTAAAATACTTATGGTTAACTGAGCGACCATCCCACTTTACCTCACGTTAGACACCAAGGACAACTGCAACTACAACTATAGTCTAAACCCCTCTTAATAACAGCCTGCGCTTGCAAACCTACAACGAGCAGCCCAAGAGGCAAATCAGATGTATCAATACCTCACAATCATCAAACACAAACCCATTACCTAGGCAACTTTCTTTTACATTTCAACCAAACTTGCAATCTTTCGAAATTCGCAAGAAGAAACAACGCTAGTAACATAGACAACGCAACACCACCGGCAATGGCGCACCCAACATCACATCACCCCAGCATCACAACACAACAAAACAAAACCATCCCACAAAATCCACAAACCTTTACATCCAAACCCCCCAGAAATCAAACCACGCACTCACTAACTAATAATTCTCACTCTACTTCCACTTTCACATACGACGCTTTTGTACATACGAGCTGAAAACAACGTCGTGGTGCATACCTACATACGGACACGCAGCCCGCATACAGTAAGCTCAGCTCAGCACCATCAGCGACAACTCGAGATGATAATCACTAGAAAGGTATGTATCTAGGTACAGAAGAGACTTCAAGCACGTAGCTGACTCTTTCCCCGTACGGGCGGACACATATATCCGTCTATGAAATATTTGCAAAAAGGGCACGTGTGCGAATTCTTTCTTGCCTTGAAACCGTACGGGAGAAAACATGTACGTATGAAGTAAGCCGGTCTACTTAGTAGTTAGGGTTCGGGGCAACCAATGGGAGAAAAAGACAAGGCCAGGGAAGAAAACTATAAAGCAATACTGGCACTCGAGAAAGGAATAACAAGTGGTATTCTGCACGAGCGCTAAGGGAAGAACTGCCTACGGTCCTGTGATGGCCGCCTACCAGACGCCTAGTAAACATACTCGCTGACCCTGAACTAAAGCATCATGAATCCATCAATCAAACTTCGTCTTTCCGACCCTCATCAGCAGGCGCCTTTGTGCCCTCACCTAAAACCGCTCCTCTCTTCTTCTCGACAGTATTCTTCAATACCCTTAACCTGTCCTCCGTAATCCTTATGGCAGCCTCCATCTCCCTCTCCTCCATCTTCTCATCCTTCAACCTATCCTCCATCGTCTTGGCTTCAACAGTCATCTTCCCCACTTCCCTGACCTTCTCCATACCCACTCTATCTTCAAGCCAAGTCCACAACTCACTCTCTTCCCTTCGCCACATCTCCTCGTACGCAGCGACACGTTGAGGAGTGCCGATGAAGCTCATGTTAGTGTCTCCACTCCCACCCAAGCCGAAGCGGAACCAAGAAGCCACGAGCAAGCCGACGAAAATGCCGTATAGAATGTTGCCGGTTAGCAGTGGGCCTATGATGTCAAGAATGGGGCCGAAGATGCCATGGAGAGGTTCGAAGAGTCCCCAGCCATCTTGGACAGGCTTCTTATCGCTAACACCATCCAAGGTCTTCGCGAGGCTCCTGGACTCGCGGCCCTTGCGGCCTTTCTTCTTGCCTTTGCTTGTTGGTGCAACGGTGCCGCGGCGCGATGATACGGCTGTTTTCAGAGCGATGATGATGTCTTTAGTATACTGTACCTGTCCATCATTGGCACCCTTTTCAATCGGACCTGTGGGAGATTAAGTAGTGAAATTTTCAGAGAGAGGGTTAACGAACCTTTCAGCCAACTCTTGCCAGTCCACTCGATGGCGTTGTTCACCTGTAGCCTCGTGCTGTTCCCTTCGCCCCAAGAAAGACAATACTTGGTCTTGACGCTGAAAACATTACCACTGGGCACATCAGGTGTTTGAGTCGAGATAGTGACTGAAACTGCCTTCTCGAGATCCAAAGAGTCAAGAGTCTCCGTGCATATACATTTGGTTTGCCTTGGGCCAATCGCGCCACTAAGAGGCTTGATGTATGAGTAATTTCGCACTTTGTTCTCCGAGGTCAAAGGCGCTGCTGAAGTGCCCTCCATGGTCAAGTCCAGGCACTTTTGTTCAACGGTGAGGTAATGCCTCATCCATATTACCGATGCAGGGCCAAACATGAGACTATATATCTTGCCAAGTGGAGCAGGAATGATTTCGTCCGCAAGTATTTTAGAATAATGGGTTTCTCCATCCGAGCAAGTGGTAGGAGAATGCGCAGCTGGACCAGGAAAGTCAACAGACGCCGCGAGAGTTGGTTTATCTTCTTTGCTCTCAGTCGGAACACCATTCGTCACGACTGCTGCTGAGGCTTTTCGGCTGACAATTTTTTCGACCATGTCGCTACCCGCCACACTTCCCTCAGCTTGAGTAAAACTCATTCCATCTTCCTCCTCGTCATCTTCATCGTACATCTCATCGCCTTCCTCAGCATCACTGTCGGATTCCGAACCGCTCTGGCTGTCGGGAGGAGCAACACTACCATCGGCTTTCTCAGTCTTATCTCCACCTCCTGTCTCGTCGATTGTTACGCCGTTCAAGGAACTCCGCAAACTCGGGTGTCCAAGCTTCCATATCCCAACAATCAGATCATAAGTCGAGTCCCGACTGGTAAAACTCGCAAAAATGTTCTTTGCATGTAGAGTAGAAATCATAAGCCCATTCTTGAACAGCAATGCCGTGCTTCGTTTTTCAACAGAAACAATCTCGTCAAAGCTCATAACCAAAGTAGTGACCCAACCAAAAATGTTGCTACTAAAACATAAATGGCCTTCAGAAACGTACAATCGCCCGTGGGCAAGGATTTCTCGTTGCAAGGCACAGCTGTAGTCTTCAATCAAGTAGTCATCATCCGGTACACTCCTGAAAAGTTGATGAAAGTCGCGATTTCGCTTCTTGCTTGCAACAGCAAACCCAGTAATCTTTGGGTTTCCAGCTTTTGGGTCAGCCATAGAACCATGAGCCGCCGCAATAGCGGCACCAATAGCCCCACCAGATGTCGCGGTGCTTCCCCTCTTCCTACGATGGCCTATCGCGCTTCGAATACTGCCACTACGCTTGATGCCAGCGTTGCCTTCAAAAACACTACCATTCGGCGGCGTTTGTTCTCCAGGCAGAGATGGCTCATATAATGATCGAGGTCCAACAAAGGGTTGGATGTCTTCCACGACAGTTGTATATGGCGTGGTTTCATACCCTTCCCTGGAAGCTGGAGCGGTGGCATATGATCTGTTTGTGAAGGAATCTTCATTTGGTAGGTCAGAGCGACCCCTCTGCTCCTCGGGAAACTTCGAAGAAACTGGCGTGTTCGTTCCACTGGTGGTCTCGGAAATTCCCAAGTGGCTTAGGCTGAGGTCCCCCATCCCTAATGTCTTTACCGCTAATTCCTTCTCCTCTACCTCACTATTGGAATCCGTCTTGTCCGCTAACGTTTCGACTTCCGGACTTTCTGCTATGTCCTTCAATTCCTGTGTGCCACTTCTGGATCTGTTCCCGGGAGGAGCCACGTTTGTATTTCCTATACTGTTACTTAATTGATTTGCGGCGTTCTGAGCAGCGGAAAATACGCTGGAGAAGAAGCCTCCTTGTCCTGAGGGAGTTGTGGAACCGTTTTCGGGGGTAGGTGTTAGTGGTGCAGATGTGATATTTGATAATTTGCTAGGTCCGAGAGTAGCTGATCCTGATCTCACCCGTCGGTGCGATATCATGTTCCCCGAGGGAGACGTCACCACATTGGGATTCACAGGGCTAGAATCAGATTGAGAGTGAGTATGCCCTCGTTCGTGAGGAGTCGTAAAACGGGGCGAACTCGAGTCTGTAGGTGTTGGAGGAGTATTTACGATTACAGGAGCGACGGTGTCGCCTTGTGGAGGTGTTAAGGGGACTGCATTCGTATCTATTGGGCGTATTTGTGCAGTCTTGGGTCGTTCTGGGGAGGAGTTGTCTAAACTGGTTTGTGAGGTCTGTTTTTCAAAGATTCTCGAAACAACACTTCCACGCCTACTGTTCCCCGCCGAATCGTTGTCTTGTGGTAGTGTCCCAGCCCGGCCTCCAGCCTTGCGCTCCGGGCTTATGCCAGGGCTCGCCCCACGCCTCGGTTTGAAGGCCTCTTTTAATCTGCCAACAGGAGAGGGAGAGCGCTTGTGTGATCCGTCTGTGGGGGCTTGGAGGCTGTTTGTCGCGAGAGATTCGGTTGAGGTTGAGGCAGCCAGGGCGTCGGTTTGGGGAGAAAAGGTCGAGGATCGGGGTCGAGTAGCACCGTCCAATTGATCGTCTTCGGGTTTGGGCTGAACGATTGTGGGTACTATCGACGCCTGCACGAGCGGGGACGAGGTAGTAAGGTACCCGATGTGGGAGGGATGTGTTGACAATGGAGGTGATGTTTCGTAGGGTCTGAGAGAGTCAGATACACGATCGGATTAGAAACGAGCGGCAAAGCAAGGGATGATCCAAGTCAGTAGCAATGTACAATGTTTAAAGCAGCTGAGCTGACTAGGTGGTTGCAAGAATAGACAAATGAGAAGTGTTGAATGAATGGCAGCATAAACCTTGATAGATTGATTGGTGCGAGTTATGAGTCGCTGGGGATGTTTGATTATGTTTGATTTTGTCGGAGGAAATGGCTGGGGTCGATCGAGCAGATCTTCGCTTCTGCATGCGGCTCTGATTTCGATGCAGCGCTGCCTTGAACAAAAGAACAAGAACACGAACAAACATGAGAACTAGAAGACTCACGATACAGTATCCGAATCATTTGTGAGCAAGCTGCTGCCATCGCCTGAGCGGGTTGCTACACTACCATTGCGGCGCTCGACCTCGTTCGCCAAGGTCCCTCGTTCAGCAACACTCCTTCCTCTCTCTGCCTCCTCGCTCGCCCTCAGCTCGTCTTCTCTCTCCTGCTTCCTGCGCCGTCGTTTGGATCCAATTGTTGGCACGAGTTTCTTGATGCCCGTGGATTCTTGCTCGTCGTCGGATCCATTGAGCGTCTTCAACCTCTCAACAACGCTGTCCAACGATTCTCGAAATCCCCTTTTGCCGTCGCTCTCTGCGCTTTTCATGGAACTCGAAGCCGAATCGCCATTCTTCTGGTGCCGCTGACGGGTCTTGGAGAGGACGTTCGTCAGGCCCTTCGATCGCGATCTTGAAGGCGATTCGGACATGGCGGCGATTGCCGGAGTAGCAGGTGGGCTGGTTATCGCAGAAGGGACAAATTCGATTGAGACGGTGCGTAGAGATTGCAATCCATGGAGTAGAATAAAAAGGGAGGCAAGTAACCAAATAAAAGCTACGTGAAGTGAATGGAAGACAACGTCGTAGAGACAGACCTTGATCCCACCCTGGTTCCGCGATCGTGCCGCGGGCGTTAGCACAGTAAAGCGCCGATGACGAGGTAGTCTGTCAAAGAAAAGCCAAAGGAATGGAAGGTTTCAATGTTTCAAAGCAGGCGGCGTGTGTTGAAGAGACCAAACGGATAGGAGGATTGCAATGGTATATACAAGAGATAGCATGTAGTATTTCATCGGTTTTGCTGTCCCCTACCTGAGTAGGTATGTACACCTAGGTGCTTCTTACATGCTCTTGCCTGATTTGGCTTATTACTACCAACACCCAACGCCATAATCAGCGGCCGCCACTACCCCAGATTCTAGATGTGTTGATCCTGCCATCAACTACCTGCCTATGTAGGTACTCAACAATCTATTATTAAAAGGCGCCTGTCTAATTCCCTCTTGTTCTTCACTCGAAATGGTTCTGTTCCTTGCACACGTGGGAAACACGTTTTCCCCGGATTGCAATCCTACATCTTGCCCCACTGCATTGCATGCATGCATAGTTCTTTCCAACAGCCAACCACTGCGTGCTTTTTAAATATAATACCGTATTGTGCACATGAATCTTTTGACATTTTGTTAACTTCCCAAGAATATATCTCCCTTATTTGGAAGCCATAAATCCATGCCGCGGCGAAATTGAAGTGCGGTTGTTATCGAGATCAAGGTTACTTTCTTGTTTTTACGGATTTTTTAAGCAGCTTCCATTCACGACTTGCCACTACAAGCTTGCTGATATGGATATGCATTCGAGTTGGGTTTTTTTACTATGTTCTTTTATTAGACTAGCCCATTGACAACAAATAAAAAGGTCGATGTCTTGAAGACCACAGAAAACCGAGGAGCCACATCTGGTTTCTAAACTCTGGGAGTGATCTCATTCTTTTGTCTTGCTATAATTTTCTCTCAACTAAAGAGTACCATCATGCTTTTCTATCTTCTCAAAATAAATTCGGATGTGGTCTGCTTCCTTTGTCTACTTGTAAATCTTGTGCTTGGGTGGAGGTCTGGCTCAAGGTGTGTAGAACGGAATTCAGCTCAAGGAAAACCGTACACAAGATTAGAGATAGTACGAAACAATGTAGAGTTTCAATAGAATGTTTGATACTAATAAAAACATTCCATGGAGTAGCATTGGAACCTTTGGACAAGAGAAAGAGAGAAGTTAGGGGCCAAGAATTTAGCGCCGACCCCTAACCAGCCCCTTTTATATATTTATAACCACTCGAATTCATAATGTCCTTGAATTATTGTTAGGTTATCTTTCTCTATCTAGGCGCAGACCTCCTCGCCGAGATCTACCGGAGCAGGTGCTTTTTAGGAACCACATCTATGTTAGCATCACCGATTCGTTATCTGAATATCTACATTGTCGTCCCCTATCTGGTGTCTTAACCGCGCGTTCTTCTAAGTTATACCCCTCCATAACCGTACATTGATAATGCCTCGGTTCATCAACCCACCTAGCAGTTCAAAAGTCTAGATATCCCACTGTAAATATCGGTATGTTTTACGGGAAACTAGCTGATTTTGTTAATCTAAAGTCATCCCGTATCGCGATAAAGGCAGGTGCCTCTACAGGTACTTCGTACGAAATAACCGGCCCTTTCTGTGCAGACTAGAACCACCAACTTATAACAAATCCTATGTCTATAGTAATTATTCTTTCTAATATAAAAAGAGCACATACAATAAGTACTACTATAAGATATTCCCTATAAAGTTTTAAAAAGGTTTTATTTATTTATTATGTCCTAAGAATAGCCTATTTCTATGCGATTTTGGGTGTTATAGCCCGTGCACAAAATGGGCTTTTTTATCGTATTCGTAGAGGTGTGGTGCTCATAGTCGTTACTCTCACTGTTTGCCAATTATTGACTTTCTTACTTCGTACCACAGAGCATATGGTTTTGCCTAGGCGGGATGTGCGGGGGGTGCACGTGCAGTAGATAAGGTATGATTCGGCGCGGCGCTATACTACTTTCTAGTAAACCTCATGCACTAAGAGATCGAAAGCAGAGGTGGAGTATGGTTTGTATATTAAAATCGAACACAGGTTGGAACCGTTGGATAGGATTACTTCTTAGAGACCCCTTGTTACGGGAAGAGTTTGTCTGATTAGGCTCACTGCCGGCGCTACCACAGCCCCCCACCTCATCTAATTTGCTTAGCCTTGGCCTACCGGTTGTACCGGTATATCTACTCCTTGAGGCCTTCCAGATGTTCTTGGGATTTATGTAGGTACTCCAAATATTCTTTGCGGCCATTCTTGCCGTCTGGGCAATTGACTTCAACCATTTGCTCTTTCCTCGCTCATATTCGTATTCGTCTACCTTTTCTCACTTGTGACGTTCTTATTCCTCAACATATTCACACGCAATCAAGATGTTCGCCGCTACAGGTATCCTCTCTCTGTTGCTGTCTACAGTTTTAGTACCGGCGGCGCTGGCCGACAGTTCATCTTACGTCCCAATTTCCGCAACATGCCCATCGGAGTCACTCGTAAGAGCTGCCAGTGGTCTCTCAACCAATGAAGAGGCATATCGAGTATCTAGGAAAGCAGTGGCTGACGAAGCACTCAAATCATGGTTGGCCGAAACCAATTCTGAATTTAATACCGATGAGCTTCCGACGGTATGTAAATTGCATTCAAGTGATCTCGGGACGGAACGCTGACTGAAGTTAGATTGCATTGTCGAGCAGTGGCGGCGGGGACAGGGCCCTGCTGTCAGGTGCGGGAGTAATCCAAGGGCTTGATGCACGAGATAGCAATGTCAGCACCAGCGGGCTCTTCCAAGCTCTAACCTATCATAGTGGTCTCTCCGGAGGTGCTTGGTTGTTGACATCGTTTGCTGGAAACAATTATCCTACCATTAGCTCTCTAGAGTCCAACCTCTGGGGACTGGCTATACAGGATAGTCTGCTAGATCCGGAACTTTTGGGAGCCTTGATCGACTACCTTACAATCGCCGACGAGGTAGAGGCAAAGGAAAGCGCAGGATTTGAAACCACACTAATTGACGTGTATGGCCGTCTCTTAGGTTATCAACTCTACGGCGAACCGGATGGCGGCGCAGGACTCACTTTATCTTCAATCACCGGGTTCTCCAATTTCACTTCCCATGCAGTTCCTTACCCAATCATTACAGCTCTTGGAGCTAAAGTCTGGCTTGGAGAATGTACTCCAGGTCCAAACGGGACGACGTATGAGTTCACTCCTTTCGAGTTTGGTAGCTGGGACAGCGATGTCAGCGCGTTTACTCAGACAAAATACCTCGGTACATCTATGAAAGGAGGGAGCCCAGTTTCATCATGTACGATCAACTATGACAATATTGGCTACATTGCCGGAACCTCCAGCGATGTTTTCGCCTCCGAACTCTGCACCGAGATTTCAGATAGTTCCGAACTTGTCACGGAGTTGGAGAAGATTCTTGTCGATGTTCACGAAATCGCAACATCTGACCAGTACGCGACCTACAGGAATCCGTTCTACGAATATCAATCTTCAACTCAGGTTCCAAATTCCGCAAACAATATCAGTGCTCAACAGAGCCTCAGCTTAGTTGATGGTGGTGTTGCCTTGCAAAACAACCCCATCTTTCCCCTTCTCCAGCCCGCCCGTCAGATCGATGTTATCATCGTCAATGACAACTCAGCGGACACAAGCAACAATTGGCCAAACGGGTCCGAGATTTTGACTACCTACGTACAGTCTTTCAATCACAACCTGACACGCATGCCGTACATCCCACCTGTCGCTACGTTCATCGCTGAAGGCTTGAACACAAGAGCTACTTTCTTCGGCTGTAACGATTCCAGCAAAGTTACCATTGTCTACCTTCCTAACGCCGATTTTACCTTCTCGAGCAACGTACCAACTGCACAACTCGCATACTCCAAGGCTGAGCAGGCTGATATGATTGCTAATGGGGTTCAGATTGTGAGCCAAGGAGAGAAAGCGGGCTGGGGGACTTGTCTTGGATGTGCGTTGATGATGAAGACAAACCAGACTTTACCGGATGACTGCACTGCTTGTTTTGCAGATTATTGTTATTATGAATAACGTGTACCAAGTTAGCGTTTTATTCGGACCTTTATACATGTTTATGTTTATAGCTACCTGCTTTCTTGCATGCCCTTGGTCCGTGAAAAGTAGATATCACGTGACAGGCCATTCAGGGATAGTACTTCTGATTTCGAACATACATCGGGCTCACAAAGCCGAGAGTCTTGGCATGCGTCTGATTGAATATATATTAGTGAATGAATCAACTGCCATACCACTAAATCAGGTTTGATATAGGCTGGTGCATCCGGAGGACGGTATCTTTAATCAAAGTTCGCAATGAAGTCATAATAAGCAATCGCTATCAACCAATTTGATCAAGGAGAGTGGATATGAAGTTTCAATGCAGTATCTTCGGAGTCAAAGCCAGCACTCATCGGGTGCCTCTGTCTCTGTGTATATACCGGAAGCATTTCATTGTGTTGTCCCAAACCCCCTCACTTAGCATTCGTGTCGGCCAGTTCCATCCTTTTCTTCACAGCTTCTTCATTTGCCAATACAGAAACGAGCTTCTCTTCATCTGTGCCGTTGATCATCGCTGCATACTATGTATAATGTCAATGAAGTTCCTAAAGCATCAAGAGGGGATTGTCGTCTTACAGTCGCTCTAGCCTCGACAATTACATCCATTGGGGTGTGAACGCCGTCGATGAAAGTGTTTTCTGTGCATACTTTCTCGATTGCTTCCATTTCACCCTTGAGCAACTGTCCCTGTGTGATAATGTTCGAGGCCCTTTTTTCGTATAGCTCAATGACATTCTTCATATACACTAGTTTTGCAAGCTGTATGTATAATGTCAGTTTAAAAAGCAATGATAAAAGTTAGCGGGAAATAATGTGTGTACTTACATGTTGGGTGGCCATGGAAACCTCATCTGGAGGATCAAAACTTTTTCCTGGGAGCTGCATTGCCCAAAGACTCAATATGCTTCTTTCTTTATCGGCATCCTCAGACTGATTGAATGTCTCCAACTCCTTAGACCCTGCCGTTGTCTATTTTTCAAGAGTCCTTGTTTTGTCTTCAATAATGGTCATGAACTGGCTGTGTCTGGTTTCTTCACGAGCGAGCTCTGCCTGCACTTCGGCGACTGTAGCACAATTAGTACTCGGAATCGTGTCTGAAACGTCTGAAATGGTGCTTACGGGATATGTCACCGACCTGGGCCATCCTGGGAACTTGCGGATTGTGGTTTTGCTCAAGTGTTTCAAATTTTGTTGTTGTTGAATTGAATAAAGGGAGGAGGAAGTCCTTCTAATAGGCGCATCACGAAATTCACTTACAGCTATGAGATCGCTTGGCAGTGATCGACGGCACCTTCGACTAGCTTAGTCATGCTTGAGGTTATCTCATTGCAACACTCGTAGACCTTAATAGAATAGGATAATAGACCTTCGGCCTATACATTGCTATCAATATTAAATACGACCTTTAATCACGGATTATATTATAGGTCTAGATTATAGATTTTAAAAACAATTATATTTTATAAACCTAACCCTATGCCCAAAATATATATCTTAGCTATTTTACTAACTGTCCTTCAACCTCCCAAACATCGGCTCAATACTAACTCCACCCGTCTCATCATCAACAATCTTCCCCCTATCCCACTCCCGCCCCTCCCCCTTCTTTGCCCACCTAACATCCTCCTCCCTCTTCTCTCCCCCCTTCTCCCACTTCCCAATCTCGTCTTCCGTGAAGCCCGCCGCCCGTAACCGATCAGCGCCTTGCTGCTTCCACTTCTGGCGATCGCGTAATGCTTCTAGGGCTTGGTCCCAGTCGTTCTCTTCATCGACGTCGAGGTGGACGTCGGCCGTCGGGTCGTAGTCCGCTGAGAAGCGCGAGTCGATTCCGCCGGACAGGTGCGAGAAGGTGCCACGCCCGCGCGAGCGGACTGGTGGGGGTGGTGCTGGGCCAATGATTGATTCGAGGGGGTCAGAGTCGTAGTCTGTTTGTTCTTTTCTCTTGGTAGGTAAGGGTGACTCTTTTTGGGGGCGCCGAGGTGATCGTGAGCGTTTTCGAGATGATCGGTTCCCGTGTCGGGATTCCTTGTCTCGGTGCTCTCTTGGTGAGCGTGAACGTGATCTGTGTCGCCTTCTTTGCTCTCTGTCCTTGGAAGTACTCCGGCTTCTATGTCTTCTATGACGGTGTCGGTGACTTCGAGATTCCTCCTCTTCTTCGCTATCAGTGTCTCGACTACGGTGCTTTCTCTTCGATGCCCCCTCGGCGCTGATCTTTGGTTCTTCGTCCTCTTCTAGACTCTTATGCCGTCCCCTTCTCTCGCTCTTTGAACGTCTCTTGGAATCTTCTTCGTCACTTCTATCTTCCTGACTCGGATGCCTTCGTTTCCAATATTCCTTTGAATGACGCTTCTCTACCGCGTCCTTCTCACTTTCGTCCCCTATGCTCTGGGCTTGAAGCCTGCAGTCATCTCTGCGATTCCTCTTCGGCGCTATATCTTCTTCTCGGCCCTCATCTCGAAACCGTCTGCTTCCTTGGCGACTCTTCTTGGGACTCGGCTCTTCATCCCCACCAGCACCATCGCTCCTACCCGTCCCTTCCTTCTCCCCACCCCTTGATCTCGGACGCTTAGCCCTCCTTCCCCCGTTTCCAAGAATAGCTGCTATATCCCCCAACTGCCTCTTCCTAATATCACCTCCCCCAACCACTCTCGACTTCTCTCCACGGCGTTCAGCAGTCGCAAGACTCTGGAGGCGAGCGCGGGACTCGGCGGCTTCTTTGGCTAGGAGAGCTTGGTTGTGATTCGTGGTGTCCTTGATGATGTTGGTGAGGAAACGGGTATTTGGTTTCGGTTTATTTGACGGAGGTCTGAAGATGTTAGTTTGTACATAACCAAGGCTCAACTATAGGAAGGGAGACGTACTTGGAGGTAGTAAGATCGCCCTCGAATCCCATCCCTGAATACTTTAGGCTCCGCTTTGCCTCTTTATCCATAAGCTCAGCGAGGTACTCGTCCGTCAAAGCCTCCGAGTTAGACATGGCTGTCCTGAATTCCTAAGTTGTAGACAGTCCCAACTCATCGAAAGAGCCTTTATGGGGGGGGGGGGGTGTGCACTTGTGAATAATACAGCAAGAAGGATTTATTTGACATCCCCGCCGCATTTGTTCCTGATTAGGCAGCGCCAAGGCGGTGAGGTGGCAAAATCTCGAAGTAAACAAACCGCAAGGGCTCGCATTCTTGAATTCAACATGACTTCATAAATCGCATGGTGCTTTAATTCAAACCTCACACATAGACGAGATTTCGTAGCCTAATCTATGAGTACACCTCCTGTCCACCTCCCTCTACTCCCGCGGGCCAAATATCGCGTGTAAAGCACCTTTCTACCCGACGCGATAACAGAACCCCTCGCGATCAAACATATTCCCAAGTCACAATGGGCCAATCATCAGAAGAAATCCTCGACTCAGTCCTCGAAGTCCAAAACGGCCATGAGCTATCAATTATCAAACTAAGTGAGCCAGTCGCCGGTCCACTCAAGAAAAGTTCCGGCGAACGAACTTCAGATGTATCTGCGGATGTTTTCGAGAACCCGACACCAGCGAGTCTCGAGGCAGATTTGGCGCATTACAAGGTATGTTTATCTTCTATTACCATTTGCCGTAGCCAAAAACTAAGCTATGGGCCAAGGAACTCTTTTCGAAACTCCGCTTCTCTTACCTTGAACAAGTCACAAAAGAGAAATTCATACGCGCCATTGTCGGGGACCCTCCTCTCGTTGTCGAACACCAGGAAAATGTCGAGTTAGAGTCATCACTTGCTGTCTCGAAAACATCCCTCAAGGCCCAGAAGACTGAGGTCGCAGAGCTGGTTGCGGAATTGGAAAAGAGGGGTAGAGAGCTGTGTCGGAAGTACGAGAATGTTCAACTGCAGACGACGCAACTACAGCAGTTACCTGAAAATATAGAGGGGCTGCAGGCTAGTATTGAGGAGCTGAAGGCAACACAGCAGCCAGGATCGAATCCGATCCTGAGTATGCCGCTGGAGAAGACGTTGGCGTTGGTAGAGGAGAGACAGAGGGAGAGGGCGGAGCTGGATAGACAGTTGGAGCAACTTCAGCTTCTAGTACCGAGAAAGACGCGGGAATTGGAGAGGTTGAACGCGGAGTTGCAGCCGTTGGAGGTAAAGAGACTTGGGAGTACGGCTTCAGCAAGAGAGGCTAAGAGGAGGAAGGAGGAGGCTTTGGGTGGTTTTGGGGATGATTTGGAGGAGCGTGGAAGATGGTGGAGAGGTGTAGAAGGGGGATTGAAGGGCATGTTGGGTGTTGAGGGTTAATCTTTGTGGAGTAATTGGAGGGTATACCAGGGGGATTGGGCAGGCGTTCCGGTGATGCTATGATGAGTATAGTATGATGTTGTCTGACGTATGTGGAATTCTGAAAAACAGAGATCTTTACAGCATTTTTCGATAGACCGTAAGCTACCCATGCTTCCGTGTAGTTGAAGGACAGAGTGTAGTTGAGGGACAGAAAAGCGACATGATCTTATAATCTTCCAGGCGGATTGGGACATTAACAAGCGTCAGGAGAAACCTCATCCTCAACTTGGTTATTACTATTCTCAACGTCCTGGGTCCCCGATGACTCACCATCCTTCACAGTGTACAACAGGAATCTCGAAGTTGGAAGCAGGTTCATTCTGACCCCATCCACCGGTCCCACTCCGATCCCAGTCAACAGTATCGTTTTGTCCCCAGTTGCCAGAGTCTCGCTTACCGCTATGAGATCCCTTGACACTAAAATACGACGGCGACAACGAGCCCCCTCGCCCCCATCCACGAATATGAATGCCTCGTCCCCTGGTTGCTCGATCCCTCAATCCCCTGATATCATCACCATACCTAGGCACTAGTTGGTCACCGTGACCTACGCAGGGATAAGGCGCGCAAAACTCACTCCTCTTTGCTCTATCTTGTCTGCCTCTTCCTTATAATTGTCCGAGGCTGTGTGCATGGCGTCTTGCAGTCCTCTTGTCTGAGTCTACCTGTGGGAAATCCCAGGCATTTCCACTTCCGGTTCACTAGAGTATCCACGCGGTGGTATTATACGAAGAAAACTTTCTAGCTACTTCTTTACGACTGCTTATAGCTAGATCCGACAGTTATCGACATCCGTTGTTGTCCCAGCTGTTTGACAGGCGTCACAGTATCATTTTCAGTATATCAAGCTTTTTACTCATATCAACCATCACCATTGCTTTCAGCTGTCAAATCTTCTCAAATTAGTATAGATTAGTATATGTTGCAGAGTATACTTGCACAGCTAGCCCTATTAGGAGTCATGACTTTTCAGAAGCACCTTTTGGGCGTGACTGTATACAACTACTATACTCTGAAATCATTTCTAGGATGATAGGATGACAGTACCTATCTTTGTGTTCACGAGGAAATATGTCGCTATTCCAATATGTTCTCCTCCTTCCCTCTATGCAGGTATCCTTCTCGGTGGTCACGTCAGGGTCGTGCCTGCCGTTCTGGTATGCCACTCCTATATTACAACTTCGTCCCGCACTTCTCTCCCTACCACGTTCACATCCAACCTCCACATCCAAGCTACCTTCGACGGCTCCATACTCTTCTCGACGGACAGCTTGGGCGAGTAGGTGTTAGCCATGGTCGACAAGGTATGTCTCTGTCACCTGAAAAGTACTTTCCATGTTCTGTTGGCTGATGTGCACTCCTTCCACAGAAGAACCCCATCGAGCTTCTCGACGAGGTCCCCAACGCTTCCACAAAGCGACAAAACAAGGTATGTCTCTATCACCTGAAAAGTACTTTCCATGTTCTGTTGGCTGACGTGTATTCCTTCCACAGGAGAACCCTATCGAGCTTCTTGACGAGGGCTCCAACTCTCTAAGGGCCGCTATCGGTCAGAGAAGATACAAGAGCGATGATACCATCGACAACTCCGAGGCAGAGTCTGACAACGAAACGACCGATGATAACATCAACGACTCCGAGGCAGAGTCTGACAACGAAACGATCGATGAGAATTGGAACGCTATAGGTCCATTGCATATCATCGTGTGTGCGCGAAAGACTGAGACAGGAACATATGAGGAAGTACTCGAGTTAGAGCAAGGAAATCAGTTGATACTAAGAAAGTTTACCGAAGACTTTCTAAGCGACGTTCCCTATTCTTACAACAGAGGCGGTTGTTTGGCATAATAGGGGTGCTGATGAGGGGCTTCCCTGCTTTCTCACAGGACCGGTCTTTGATGACTTGCTTCTGCTTGATCTCGACGAAGACCTCTACAATGAAAACTCCGATCGACGATTTATCACCATGCTTACTGGTAAGCCAGAGAACTCGACCATCATAATTCTAGTGCGTGGCATTAATGGTGCCTCCGCCAACATCTTGAGCTGGCTTGGCCTTCAGAGCATGTGTCGAAAGCTAATGATTGTATTGGCTTTTACTTGTGCGGAGGTTTGTGTGCGATTCCGCGCCCCCGAAGATCACGACTTCTTTTACCGCACCGAACCATACGACGAGAGGTTGTACTGTTTTTTTCCACTGGTCGGTCTCATCAATCATGTCAATGGCACAGTTCCCTCTGGCAAATACGCCTGGTTTATAAAAAAGTGGGAAGAGGCCACCCATTGGCGTCAACTCTTCTCTGTGGCATATCAATCTGGAGTACAAGCACAGGTCAACGATGTAATGGCAGATTATGTCAAGCAGCACTTTCGGCCCCGAAATGGCCTTCCATTGATGCGAGGTGTTTGAGGATATCTCACCTTTACTCGGTGGGAAGATAGAGTTATGGGCAATTGTAATCAAATCCGTGGCTGTTGAATTTTGGACTGAGATCCGGGTTATACTTACAGTGGATGGATCTGGTATTATACACACCTTGCTTGTATGCTTTTCGAGCTTATTTTGATCAAATTCTGGACTCTCTTCAGAGATTGTACCGGGGTGGAGTCGTAAAGGACGGATAATGTAATGAGCAGTTGAGTTCCAGCGAGTTTTAGCATCCATGATCATTTGCAGCGGACGTTTAGATAAGTTAGTATCTGTAAATACATCAGATTTGAACCTTCAACATTTTACCTATCTTTATCTGCTAGAGATCCTTCAAGCGCTGGGGACCTCAACGGCGCCAAAAGAGGGTGATTATCCACACAGACAACGTGACAACACAGATCGGACTTGCAAAGCAGTCCTTTTAATCACCATTACAAATGCTCCCCTACAACAGATCCTGCTTCCAGGTGCCCAATTCAATATCCTCACCAATGCAACTCATCTTCCAGGAGCCGAAAACGGCCTCGCAGATGCCCTATCTCGCAACCTTACGGAGAAGATAGCTAACTACCTTTTTACCTAGATGCTGCGACAACCCTATACCCTAAGCATCCCCCTGAGTTCTTTGTCTCCATCACATCCATGCCTCAAATTCCTCTACTACAGCCTCTCTCTAGGCACTCGATCGATATACAAATCGTATTAAACCTCCTACGAGAACTTCTGCTTTAGCAGAGCGATAAATCTATATCCAGCGACAATATACATGCTAGCAGAATGGATATCACTTCGCGCATTTGAAGCCCCCAGCTAGGGACCCCTGAAAACAGATACAATGCTTCAGGCCCTCTCGGTAGTCCGCTTAGTCCACATCGATCGCAACCTCTCTATCACTGCATTTAAATCACCTTCACTAGCCAGAATTCGATCTGGAATCAGCAGGATGCAGAGAAAGGAAGCTGTATCCAAAGCGCTTATCCATAGATCGATGGCCTCAAGTGAATTGACCAATTTCGGAAATTTTCGATTTATGTGGTCTAAAAGAGGTTCGAAAGACGTGTGTTAGGGGGTGAATGTTATGCAGAGCGCCCTCTGCGCCCAAAATGAGTGAATAGGAAAGTATGTTGAAAAAGCCGATAGAATGTAAGTTCCTGATCGCAAGAGATATAGGTAACGTCCCAGAAACGATTTCGTAGTATACCAGTCACGCTCCAAAAGATGCTAGATCACCGCTTCGATTGATGCTTGTTGTGCGGATATACCGAGGTAACAAATGCTATAACAAGGAGCAATATGTTGAGGACAATGTGGTGATAACATCGAAGCAGTTTTAGGCCTTACCCAGGGCCCGTGATAAGTGATAAGTGAAAAGGCGACAATGTGGCCTGTGTCGAAGCAGTTCTAAGCCTTACCCAGGGCTATAATAACCTCTTCCCACCCCTATTTGAAAACAAGACAACCGTCTTAAAACACGAGAGGAGTGGTGAGATCTAGAAAACGATTCCCTGGTCTTCCTGCGTATTTCATCGCTGATTGGTCCATGTCTAGTGCCACCAAATCTGTTTCGTAGGACGTGATCTCAGAGTTCAACGGAGATTCATTTCTAGGAGATTAGCGGAGGAGTCAATCAAAATAATTCAATCTATGGCAGGACTAGCGTAAGCGAAAGGGTACTTTACTTTCCACACTCAATTATTTTCAGGCGTAATAGACATCTAAGAAGTAAGATCGACGCATAGACATTCCAGCCTGTCTACACACTTGCCACACATCGCATTAAATTCAGAAATTCGCCAGGTTCGTGAACACTATTACCTGTCTTATATCACAGAGTTTAACAGTATTACTACAGTATGTCGGACTATGACATGAATGGCAATCTTGAATCCAACTCTTCTTCGTTCCTCGAAATGGATAAAGTCAATGAGCTGGAGCCCCCTGCCAAGACAAAACAGGAAACCTCGCATAACGAACCACAGTCAGACACTACCGCTACAACTATATGTCTCGATTGCTTCCTTGCTATTTAGCTTACCATAACGCTAATTACCATTCCAGGCTGCCGAGAAGAAGGCTATCGAGGACCTGAAGAAGAAGCTTGTCGAAACACGCGCTCGGAATGCGGAGGAAGAGAAGCTCGCGACGGACAAAGTCAGAGAGCTAGAAACGAATCTCGCCAAAATCAAGACAACGATCAGAGTGTTCGAGACGTTACGCAGAACAGTCCTAGAGGTCAACGAGACAATTTCAGCAACCGAAGCTAGCAAAGAGATTTTAGTTGTGAACGAACTATTCGACGAATTTTACAAGCGATCCGGATGAATCTTGGCTTGCGTTGTCTCCGAGACTTTACACGGGGTGGACATGGTCGAAATGGTTGTAGTTGAGGCGAGGCGTCTTTTGCAGAAGATAATCCTCAGAATCTTTGGAATGTCAATGGCTTTGCACCATCGGGACCGTGGCCTTCTAGTGATAGAATAGTAGGCTTGTGGCCATCAATATAACCACCTAGCTTGCATGTCCATTAACAAATCCCAATCCCTTGTGAGATGCCCTACCTCTAGCAGCTTATGATAGTGTTGGTATCACAGGTATCGAATCGTGATCACTTCATTACTGCGTCGTAGACTTGATACTGGGTTCTGGTTGATGTTGCTCAGCATTCATGGTGGTGTAGACGCGAAAAGACGTTATGCCTCTTTGCTGACTAAGATACTCTAAGTCACATGACTATAAGGATCGGGATACCGTCGCATTATCCCAACAGAGAGAGAGATTATTAAAAAGAAGAAGATATCTAAGAATTATAAAAATAGAAGCTGGTGTTCAATAGTAGTAATAACAGCTATAGTCACCAGGCGGGTGCCAGAATGGTGTTAGAATGGTACCTGCAAGATCACAATAATAGCCTTCCTTGCCGGCATCACACACGCCTTCTCCCCCACTAGCGCCGCGGTCTCTCTCGGTCTCCCAAACTCCTGCATCCCGCTACAAATGGTATTGTCCTCCCTCTCTCCCTTCTATTACCTCAACTTTCACTTCCACTTCCGCTTCCAAACCCGAAGCCGAACTCGAACTCCTTCCCGTCCGCACCTTTTCTTCCAGCACTGACTTCCACGCGCCGAAGTAAGAATGGAGAAGTTATGTTCAAAATCCAAATATTGTCGTCAGGTATACAGATCCGTACCCCCAACATTTGCAACAAACAACAAACATTACAATTCGAAGGTGACCAACCTGTATTGGTATATATTCAAGTGTTAAACTGCAACTACCAGATATTCGCAGAATCTCAACTAATAGTGTCCTCCTGTCCTATGTGAGTGGTGGTCCGAGTATTCCCCATAAACCCTCTAAGAATGTCACCGTTCAAAATGCAACACATAGCAAAACGCAACAGATGACTGAGCGTATGAAAGCAAAACACAACAGCCCGCGCAACTTAGAGAATAGCAGGCGTGATATAAGTCCTCAAGTGCTCCACTTTCCACTTCAGTTCGGGGCAAGATCCAGCCACTTAGAGATTAGAGTCTAGCTTAGTCATCTGTTGCGTTTTGCTCTGTGTTGCATTTTGAACGGCGACAATCCCGGAGGGATTATGGGGAATACTTGGACCACCACTTACATAGGGCAGGGGGACACGATTGACCATATAAGCTTCACAATTACTCCAGTGTTTTAGTCTCAACAAAAAGAAGCCCCCCCCTTCCTGGTGGACAGAAAAACAAGCGGCACACAATTTATAATGTATCAGGTAGTGTGGGACATTAAAAGTCGATGAGAGGACAGTAAATGCCGCTCTTTGATTCCAGAATAGAGAAGCATAATAAAGAGCCTTAAAGTTCGTAAATGACAGTCCTTTTGTAGGGGCCGTAAGACACTGTAGGAGATGAAGTCAAGCATACAGTTGTTGTGCACTAGTGAGTGCTGCGGTCACGTGAAAATGGGTCTCAAATCGCTTAACACTAGTGGCGCCGCACGCAAATCGTACTTTCCTTTCCAGAAAATTGAAGCCTTCGCGAGAAGACATAACGACAAATTCGACAACCCCGCCAAACACAAGGTACGATTCCCCGATTCCCCAATTCCTAGGTCTTTGGATCTGTTGATCTCCCTGTCTTCTGCTGGCAGCACGAAGCACAGCCTTGTAACTTGACTTGAGTACTGACAATCAACTTCGCAGTTCCTAGCCCAAGATGAGTACGATCTTCGACCTTCGACCCAGGATTGATCATAACTTGAGACTGACACCTTCACAGCGAAAGGCACTTCGAGTTTCGGGAAACGTCATAGTTTGTTTTTTCCCTGGCCTGATTTGAAGATATATCTGTTGACAAGAGACTAGACAAGACGCACACTCTGTGCCGTCGATGCGGTCAGTATAATCGATTCCGCGGAGCGTCTCGGGCGAGATTAATGGGGGAATTTGAGAATGAAAACGGGTGGAAAGCTGACATGGGAATTATCAGGTCGACGATCCCTCCACATCCAAAAGCATACCTGCTCCTCCTGCGGATACCCGGCTGCTAAGATTCGGCAATGTACGTTGTACCTAATTCAATCCACTGGAAACCATTCGAGATAGCAAGGCGCGCGATAGGAGGGACAATTTGGCTAACATCATATTCAGACAACTGGGGCGAGAAGGCAAAGCGTAGGAAGACAACTGGTACCGGTCGCATGCGTCACATGAAGGGTGTTCCTCGCAGATTCAAGAACGGCTTCCAGACTGGTGCACCAAAGGATTCGAGGGGACCAGCCACCAAGGCCGAGTAAAGGAATGCATTTGGGGAGTTGGTTGATGAATTGGGAAATGGCTACGGATTGCTCTTGATGTCTTGAGGGCTACGGTCGCGATAGCAAATACCATCAGTTTGCGCCATGAGATGTACAATTGCAGTGTGATATTTCGAGGCTCGGGCTCATGTGGTATCTGGCTAGTAATCTAGCAATACAGCTGGCCATCTCTCAAGTTTGCGCTCATGATACTGGGTCAATTTCCACTACCAAGGGCGTCTGTTTTCTATGGTTTTCCACATATTTTTCATCATTTCATTGGCCTCTTTCGAATACCCTAACACCTCCATCACCGCCCACGAAATATAGCAGTTCCCTTTCCTCAATCCTCCGCTGTATGTCTCGATTATCCTCTATAAATTGGTCTCCAACAGTGATCCTAACAACCCCACTAACATCTCTTGCCGTGCCAGTATCTAGCAGCCTCAATCCCATAGTGAAATCCGCTTGATGTGCCACACTCAATAAGAATGCAGCGTGATCTTTTTCCAAAGGTGTCTGCTGAGCTGACACTAGAGGAAAATCCGCAGAGAGCGTAGTAACAGTTGAATAAACCTCCTAGTCCCAATATCAGTGAACATGCAAAGCATCTTGAGTACTGCAACCATACCTCTCGGAAACCCATCAACATATCCCCCAAGCCCACAGCACCAATATTCTCACCTCCTGCTGCTAGCAGAAGATCCAATTGGTCAACAACCAGCAGAATCCTCCCCCCATCTCCTTTCAGGTTTCGGACAGCCTCCAATATCTCTCCCGAAAGATGTTCCAGAGCCGGGATGCTCAAAACCTTCTCCCCAGCCTTTCCCACAACCGCTTTCTGCATCTCAGGAACGAAAAGCCCGCTCAAGCCATCCATAAACTTGAACCTCTTCTTCGCAGCCAGCTTCTCCAGATCAAGACCCTAGTGAATATCAGCTACATATTCCTCGCAAACCAAATTTGAAGCCTCCAGGGTAAAAGTAGAACAAAATGCTTACCAAACGCTTAGCCCCCTCTTTCCAGAAGGCTAAGTCTCTCATAAAGCTCACGAAGACCACTTTCGTATCCTCATCTCCGGGACTGGCCAAGGCGCTGTGCAAGAATCGCAGGACAAGCCAGTTTGTGCTAGCGCCTAGGACGCTGGTTAGGAGGATGAGGGACGCTTCTGGGGGGAGGGCAAGGTAGGGCTCTAAGAGAGGAGGGACTTTGGATGCCATTTTCTGGTGATTTACATGGGAGAGGTAGAGAAGACGGCGAGCAGTTTTGTAAGATGGGTTTGATGTCACGTGAGCATGTTTCGACCTCACCTGACTAAGTTTTCAGTCGCTCTTGCGCTCTTAGTCTCTCTCGTGAATTGAACTTCCCTAGTGGTAAGTATTTGCTGATCCTGTTTGTCCCTTCGTCCTGACTTTGGTGTCTCGAGAAATCAAATGCCCTCTTCCTTTTCTCTTGTAATACACATTTTTCGGAACGCTCGGAACCCAGCTTATCGTTATTATGAGTCTATGAGCTTGTTCCATAGCCTCTCTGAGGTTTCCTTCATGAATCGCCAGTTTTTGTGTTTCATCCCTGCGAGTAGCCCTGTATTTCTATATCCCAATCAGTATGGATTCTCACGACAGAGCGGTAGCACATATCGCCTCCAGCGTGAAGAACTTTTCTGCTCGGAAGGAGCCATTTCGAAGTAAGATGATCGAATCCCCGGACATTTTCTCCAAAGTACTGGAAGAGACTCAAACAGGCCTTGACAAGAAATTCCCGCATTTGCTAGATTCATAAGGCAAAACCTGAGCTAATTTCCTGGCAGTCTATCATGGTTCAACGAACAGTACTCGCAAGTCCCAATATGAGCGGGAGCGAATGGTCGATACGTCAGGACTAAACCACATCCTGCGTGTCGACACCGAAAAAAAAACAGTGATAGCCGAGCCGAATGTCCCAATGGACGCCTTGGTCAAAGCAACCTTGCAGCACGGTCTCCTTCCTCCCGTTGTAATGGAATTTCCCGGCATAACTGTTGGAGGGGGGTTTTCTGGGACTGCGGGAGAGAGCAGCTCGTTCCGGTACGGGTTTTTCGACCGGATTGTCAACTGGATCGAGATGGTTCTCGGCGACGGCCAAGTTATCAGGGCTTCAAAGACCGAAAATTCCGATTTGTTCTTCGGTGCTGCTTCCGCTTTCGGAACTTTGGGAATCACCACTCTTCTGGAACTCCAGTTGATTGAGGCAAAGTCATATGTCCATTTGACCTATTTTCCGGTTTCCGGCATCTCCGAAGCTCAAAAAGTGATACAAGAGGCTGCAAAAGATCATTCAAATGATTATCTTGACGGTATCATGTTTGCTGAGGATCGCGGCGTGATCTGCGTAGGTTGTTTGACGAACAATGTTTCTGGTGGTAAAGTACAAGGCTTCACACGAAGATCTGACCCTTGGTTTTACCTCCACGTCGGACGAATGATGAAAAATCGAGGTCTCCCGATTGTAGAAATAGTTCCAATCGTTGACTACCTTTTTCGCTACGATCGTGGAGGGTTTTGGGTCGCAGCATACGCATACACGTATTTCATCACACCTTTCAACCGGATCACACGCTGGATCCTAGACTATTTCATGCACACGCGCGTAATGTATCTTGCACTGCACAAAAGCGGTCTCGCCTCTCAATACATCGTTCAAGACGTCGCCATTCCTTACTCAAAAGCAGAAGAATTCATGCAGTACCTCGAGACAGAGTTCAAACACTACCCAATCTGGCTATGTCCATTGAAACAAAGTGGGAAAGAGATCGCCTCAACCCATAGCTTACAAGTCGAAAAAACCAACCGCAAGATGCCAAAAATGATGCTCAACTTTGGCGTCTGGGGACCAGGACCTAAACGCCGCGACGAATTCGTATGGTGGAATCGCGCCTTTGAGCGGAAAGTCCACGAGCTTGGAGGTCAGAAGTGGTTATATGCTCAAGCATATTATACGGAGGAGGAATTTAATGATATATATAATCGAAAGGAATATGATGCTTTGAGGGAGAAATATCATGCTAGCTACCTTCCTACGGTGTATGATAAAGTCAAAGTTGACATCGCAAAGGAAGAACAAGCTTCTAGGGAATCTTGGGTGGCGTGGCTGGCTATGCTGTTCTGGAGTATTTGGCCGCTGGCGGGTTTGTATGGTGTGTATAAGGCTGTTAGGGGCGGTGATTATCTTTTACCAAAGGCGTCGAAGAGAACGAGGTGATTAGTAGATTTTGGCATGTTTCTAGACAGATTTAGCATATTGTCTCATGGGGAAGGATATATCCACTGAGATTGTAAATCTAACAGATCTTTGCTTCCTTTTTGGAGGTCAATAGTTTGGATTGGCATACTATTACGTCCGTGGCCTGTCCCCTGATTTCTATAAAGTCTCAGTTATTTTGCCCCTTTTCGGGCTTGCTCTCTCCACTCTATTATCCAACTTGGAAGGATAGAAGCGTCCTTTCGCTGGTTCAAGGATGGAGCGACCAAAAAAGACTGAAAACGATAACGCGTGGGGTACCTCTCAGGCTGGGCAAAAGGGACAATTTTTAATTGGGGTTTGAGCCTCCATATCCACCGGAAGGAAGTGATTATCAAAGCAGATGGTAAGGACTTCACTCCGACTTCTCACGGTATCACAGGCTAATCAATTATGAACAGACGGCCACCCACTGGGGCAGGTTATGAAGTTTTGCGGGCACAGAAACCCGAAGAACATATCCGGCTACTACTTGGATGACACGAGTAATGTCAATGGTGCATCAACGAAACGGCCTCGGTTCCAAAGAAAATTAGAAAATTGGGATTCCCAAGGGTAAGTACCATCTCCCCAAAGATGGTTCCAAAAACTCATTCGAGCAAGTTTGTGAATATGTCCATGACAGACTTCGATACAAGCTTAACGGACGTTACCAAGAGTGAAGAAGTGGCTAGTGGTTCCTCACTGTCCAGGACTACCTTAGATGATAGTATCTGAGATAAGCACGACGTCGTGCCGACCTCCACAACAGTAACCAATCGTTCTTATCCCTATCAGATAACATCCCCGAAACATTTCCTCAGACTAGAGAGGGTTGCGACTTTCCCTGGGTAACTCCATCGGCAATGACCCAACTAGCTCTTTGGTGATGCTAAATCTTGGAACTTCAATACGAACCCTGATTCTGTCTCTTATTGAGCCCGTTCAGGGAGACTGGATTCTGTGCAACCCTAGCAATCCCATATCATATATTTCTAATGTTCCAACAGATAAGTTAGTTGATCTGATGCTCTTCCCTTTTCTGCACCGGGTCTACCAGTTCTACGGTCACTAGTTTGAGGCCTGGAAAATGGCATGCTTCCTCGAATCTAAGATGTGAATGAATGACGCTAATTAAGCTAGACTAGAATAATTTCCTCTTCAACTACCTCGCTGAATATAGAGCTGTTACTATCCGTCGAGAAAAGCTTTTCGCTGAATTCTTTTCCCGCTAGAAACCCCATCCCTAAAGGCAGCTGGGTCGCCACGGAAAGTGACATAGCAACCCGCTCGAAAGAGGCAATTTCTCCTTCCACCTTTGCCACGCTTCTTAGGACAAGAAACACGTCTTCGCGTGATGCAAGACGTCCACTAATTGTGCCCACGAGAAGGGCGGAGAATATCTCCCCAGCGGAGCTCAATTTCTTCCCGCTCTCGTCACAGATGATATGTTTCACTTTGTCCCCATGGTGAATTGCATACCTTTCTCCATGAACGTATGCATGATCTTGGTCACCCTTGGTTGTTTCTTCGAGAGTGATGCTAAGTCCATGTACCACTCGGCCTCTCGCAATGATCTTCCCAGACGCCACTTGCCCGTAAGGATCCAAGGTACTAGGCTCGGTAGAAGCTTCCAAAACCTCAATAGCACTGCGGAAACCGGAAACCTGGGGGATTCTTATTGGGCCTTCGACCGAGACCCAACTCCAGCTGGGAGCCCTCCAAGCCTTAGGCCTTCGAACCTCGATCACGTCGTAGCGACCAACACGGTTCTCGTCATCTTCAATGCTCCAGAGCAAGGATTTCGCTAGGTTAGAACGCCACAATCCTGCCAGGTACTGTTCGTTTGGATTTCCCACTTGTTCGAACGCTGCTACAAATTGTTTTGCAAGCCCAGACAGAGAAGGCAGCCTGTCCTCGTCATATCCTAGCTGACGCTCCGAGGCGAAGGAGATGACATCTACCCATTTTTGATAGATGTCATCTAGTGACAGTTTCTCAACTATATCTGGCTTCCTGATAGAGCGACTGCTGGCCTCGTCGTCTGGCCCGATTGGTGCAGAGCTGACACCACACTCGCACTGTCGCCATTCGTTACATTCCCAGACGAGTTCGTTTGACGTGTAACGGAGGACTCTGTTGGACAAAAACCCTTCTTGTAGTGTCCATGCTCGGCAGTTGATAGGTTCGGGTTTAGCTGCCCCTCGTGACATCTCCGCGTAATTGTCGTGCATGCGGGCAAGATGCTTTCGGACATATATCGTCATGCCATCTTTGTAAGATATTTCCTTTGGGGGAGTGCCGTATGCTTGCTTGTTGAGAATACCTTCCGCGTTGCCTGCGGCGTTGCTGCCTGCAATTGTCAAGTAGGCATTGGAGTATACCTCACACATTCTACTCGACTCTCTCGCCCAATCATCCGCGTCTCCTTGAATTATACAGAGCGCGTCAATCCATAGGTACTGTAGTCCCAGCCGTCGGGTTATCGTTATAGAATCCTGTAGTGTCTTAGGCAAATATGCAAATTCAATGCATTGCTTGTGTTTCTGATAGGTTTCAGGCGTCGTCTTCAGCACAGGATGAACTTTTGGATCTCCCCAGCAGTAGCTCAAAGCGACATATTGACCCCGCAAAGCCTGAGATTCAACTAGGAAAGGGTCTTGTTTGCCTTCAATCCCAACGTCGATTACTCGAGTAGGTAACGGTGGCTCAGCTCCTAGCCGACATGCTGGGTGAGATTTGGTGCAAGTATTCAACCAGGAAGAGGCAAGGCGGAAGCAGGAGTCCGAAAAGGAGGACTCTGCAACTTCGAGGGCCGGTCCAATGGAAGTTGAGACCTCGGTATTCTCTTTGCTGAGATCTAGAAATGGTTTAATAAGGGACAACGACTCGATCTCAGACACTCATATGAAATAGGCACGCACTGCTTTCCCTCGAAAACAACTCCACGTATATTGACTCTCTCCTCCAGAATAACCGCAACGGCTTTCCAAGTGCAATCTGCATTTCTACCGACTGGCCATCATCCTTGTCATCCCACTCGGTCTTATAGCAGGACAAAGCGTCCAATATCAAAGTACACTCCGCGCATGACGAGGTTGCAATGGACGCCTTGAGATCGCCGACGGTCACGAAGCAGACAGCACGTTGACCAGGAGGGAGAAGCGAGAGGGTTTCTGGCCGTAGGTTGGAACAAACATCGCATCTCGTCATTGTAAATATAGACTTGTGTGATTTCAAAGCTTGTGTTGAAGTCGTCTGAGAGGAGGATCTTCCCAATGTCGCTTGATCATGAAACCTCCGCTTACAGCTGCGGTGCGGGGGCCCACATTCGCGTAAGCTCCTGTATTTTTAGCGACCGTTTGCTGTAAGGAGCGATGGGCAGCTGCTGCGTGGTGGAACACATAACCGGCTTGGAAAGAGTGAATTGCTTCTCCTCTTATTCAAGCTCAGACCTAAGTTCTTAACCAAAAGCAAAGAATGAAAACATTGCAAAGCAGACACTCGTAACCTCGAAAATATGTCTACAACTACAACTGCAGCAGCGACAGACCCCTCCGAGTTCGCACCCCTCACTGTTGACTCCCTTCCCAAAGTTCAATCCTTCCCAGTCGATGCCGATATCCAAGAGATCATCAAAGCGCTGAAAATCACAGGAGGATGTGTAATCAAGAACGCAGTAGCAAAACCCATACTCGCCCAGATCGAAAAGGACATACGGCCTCACCTCAACTCAGAGATAACCTGGGACGAAGATTTCTTCCCTAAAGAGACCAAGCGTATTGAGGGAATGATAGCAAAGAGCCCGCTAGCTGCCGAAGAAATCGTCAACCACTCCGTCTACCAAGCCGTGTGCAACGAGTTCTTGACATCCAGAAACTGGTACTGGAGCGGCAGTAAGAAAGTCGATACAGTGTCCGAGCCTCAGCTCAACAACTCGATCTGTTTCTCCATCGCGCCGGGTGCCTGGGCACAGCCGCTCCACCGCGATAGCTGGTGCCATCATACATACGAGACCGAGGTCACAGAGTATCCCGATCATTACAACCGCGATGTGGGCATTGGATGGTTCGTGGCTGCCAAACCGGCGACGAGATTGAATGGCGCAACGAGATTCATTCCCGGAAGCCATTTATGGTCAAAGGATAGACCACCACAAGAAGAACTCACGGTGCAAGCTGAGTTACAACCCGGTGTAAGCATACTACCCCGAAGATGAAGTGAAGTGTCGCTGCTAACCACAAGTAGGACGCATTCATGATGCTAAGCTCCTGCTACCACGCTGGCTCGGCGAACAAGACGACTGATGAAGAGAGGCTTCTTTTCAGGTATATCGCTCCTAGTCGATCTGTGTTTTCTCTACTAACGATTATAAAGCTGCTTCATGACAAAAGGTTTTCTTCGTCAAGAGGAAAACCAATATCTTGCTCTTCCTCATGATATTGTGAGAAAAATGCCAGTCCATATTCAGCAACTGATTGGGTACAAATTGAGCCAGCCTTATTGTGGATGGGTGGATAGTGATGACCCTCGTGTGGTTCTGGATCCTTCTTTGAAGAACGCTACGATCCACTACCAGGACAAGAATGATAAATAAAACACCACCGTTTATCGTTTGCGCCTTCTAGTTCTCTCCGGTGCATAATCTGGATTCAGAGGCTCCTACCATTTTATCTGGATGCGGGGCTGGGCCTAGGATTTATTCACCTTATAGGCAGTATTTTTTTAGTGCCCATGAGTATAAGAGCACCCCTGTTCTAGACCATGCCTTGGGAACTATGCTGGTTTTTCTTTTTCATGTAATTCTTTGCAAGTCAATGAGACTCTCACCTCAATCAATATCCTAACGGGAAATATTTCATCATTACCGTTCTGACGATGAAAGCCACGTTGATAACAGTGCCAACTGCATCCCAATCGCCTATTCTTGGATACTCTACACGCAAGCTCACTTCACAATGGTCAACATGACACCTCTTTCAGGCTGCAAGCCAGGTGTATGGCAAGTGTCTGGTTACCATTCGCAGTGGTGCTAACTATAGATTGTAGCCAAGAAGCATGATATTAGTAATGCCATTCCTTCCGCGACATCTTTATACACATATTTCTTGCTCAATAACACTAGAGCGATATAGATGCAAGCCTGCTTACGACTAAATGTATAATACTCACAAGTTTGAGTCTACTCCTGAATCCCTGAAGCCAATGATAGCCTGATACGGGTCGATTTAGTTGTTTGGCTAACTACCGTTGCATCTTGAAGCCCGGGGCCAAGACGAAATTTAGGAGTCTTCACGTAAGCGCCCCCCTGGCGAAACTAACCGAACACTGCGGAGTAGATCAAGAAGCACAGATGGTTGCCGTTGCCACTAGCAAATAAGCTATTCAGCTTGCGGAACAATATATTTAACCTTAAAATGGCTACTTTTCCAGGGACTTTCCACGAAGCATAAGATCGGACGGCTAGATCCGGATTACTGTACGACATTGATCTGTCCGGGACCTAGGCCGAATTCATCACCCAACGCCTCGTAACAATGTTAGCGAATTGGCTCGCTGCACTCGTACAGGAATGATTACTGACGGAATGCAGCAAGAAGCTCGACGAGATGGGGGGATACCCGGATAGGGGCCGCGCCGCACACCCTTGTTGAAAGCGAACACATCTGTGGAGAGCTCTGAAAGCTTCCGCAATTGTTCGTAGATGCGTAGATCCAAGACAAGGTTATCTTTCTCAGTCTTGCTTCGGGGCAATGCTAGATATTCTGCTTTTGGTCCCTTGCCTTAGTGGGCACCATCATCGTATTTCTAAGTAGGACAGACTCTTACTCATGTTGGAGTTTCTTGGTAGCAGAAAAGTTTGGTGGTCCTGGTGGTCTGATTTCATAGAAGGTGCGAATAAGCTGCATTTATTTGTCTTGATATTTTTCCAATTTTAGAATGCAGATTCGTCGAATTATGTGCCAATTCAATCCTTCTGCTAGAACGAACGAGGGAGTTGATTTTTGATACTCTTTGGGCTAGTCGCCGTTAGAATGAAGCTGTATGTCTAGCATACGGAGTAAACAGGATGGATCCGATCTCTGGCAGGCTTCTCCGCAGAGAAGTTTTCGGCGAGACATATGGCCGATAGGAGTGCAGGCCTAAATGGTGTGAGTGGTATACATGCTGCAGCTCAATATCTACCGTGCATCAACCCTGCTGGCGCGTGTAAAATTCTCACTGCACCGAGCCTGTTCGCCTATTCATCTTCTTCCGACAAGTACGCAGAAATCTGGTTCTCCAAGTCCTACTGTGCCATATATATACGTCCAAATGATATTGGATAAGTTGCCTTGTATTTATCAGTCCCTTCCGAGATTGCGCACCCGAATAAACTAAATATGGTAGCTAGATATAGGCTACAGTATCTACCATTTGCTCGTGCACAGATCCAAATACCAGGGCCACGCACTCAAAATCAGTCTCGCAGGGCCTGGTGGGCCATGGTATATATTTTGGCCAATGAATCCGGGGGGGCTGGGGCGGGGTTTTGACTTCACGTAGAAGTTATTACCACACCCTCAACGTTGCCGTGATACATCAAACAAGGCTTGTGTTACCTGCACAATGCTTGTATCCTTTATCACCTCCGACTCTATATTAATTTTGCCGGGCCCCATAGTTCTTGGGAAAAAATTCTCACAACTATTGACGTTTATTGATTCTTAGCAAGTATGCAATTGCCACCGGCTGTTCTCGCAGCTATTTTGGACGGCCCTGCACTAGAACCCCCAAAAGGAGTGAAGCCAAATTTCAATAGCCACGATACGCTCGCGATATACATCTGGCCTACGGTGCTCTTAGGCCTGTCGCTTTCGACGGTATTTCTCATCTTGCGGATCTATACCAAACACTTTATAACGCGTTCTATGTCATGGGAGGACTGTAAGTTCACAAATTATCCACCTCTGCGTCTACTGACGATGATAAGACGTTGCTATATTAGCTTGGGTAAGGCGACCTTCGTAACACGAGAGTCAACAAGTTACTTACGCTCTCAGGTAATGCTAGTGGGGTTTGGCATCCCATGTTGCTATTGCATCCGTGTAGGCGGACGACATCAATGGGATACTTCGGTGAGAGACTTGATTGACTTGCTTTATGTAAGTCCTTACCAGTACGCCAGGTCCGCCAATATCATTAATGACTCCAATAGTACGCGAATATTGTTCAAATACTCTACGGCCCCACCATGTTCACAGTCAAACTTTCAATCCTCTTACAATACATGCGGATCTTCGTACCCAGAAGAGAAGGAAACATGGCGATGTTTATCTTGATTCATATCGTCTTATGGGCTGATCTCGCATTCTACACGGCGGACACACTTTTCGAAATATTCTCCTGCAATCCCCGAGAACTGAATTGGAACAAGTTAATCGATCATGGAAGCTGCTTCAATATCGAAGCCTTGATTATATCAGCCGGAGCTATAAACGTGGTTTCAGATTGTGTGATCCTCTTCTTACCAGTGTTCTCAATCTGGAGACTGCAACTATCGACCAAGAAAAAGGTGCAGATAAGTGCTGTATTTGCTTTTGGCTTACTGTATGAATCCCTTGACTCTAAGTTAGGACAGTACTGGACAAAACTGATCATTACTCCTTTTTAGAGCCTGCATCTCCTCAATCATACGCCTGGTCTACAGTATCCTACTATTCAAGACGGAAGACCGAACCCGCGCATTTATACCCACAGGTCTATGGTCTGTCGCCGAAGTCTCAATTGGCTTTATCTGTTCCTGCCTTCCTGTCGTGCCGAAGTTCTTTCAGGTCGTGAGTGAGAGACTTACAACCAACAAGTCGAACACCACTCCTTCGCGTTCCTACTACAGATCCTTCGATGCCCAGAAGAGTAGCGCCAGTAACAATCCTGGAAATCCGTATGATTCGAGAAGAGATTTGGCTCGTAGTGATGAGCCCTTTGAAGGTTTAGAGCTGACCCCGGGGGTTGGGAATCGCCACATCGACATTAGAGCGGGGAGCAGGAGGCCTAGCGGTGCGGACGAGGAAGGACAGATCTTGAAAACTGTTAGGGTTGAAGTCAATTAGCTACGGAGGAAATAGTAATGTAGAAAAAGTACGAGACACATGCTTGTTTTCACGTTGTTCTGTGCTGTATGAGGTACGGGGATTGGTTGTTTCTTTAAAATGACCTATCCAACTTGGTCTCCTACGGTACTCAATAGTAAGCCCCACAATCAAGACTTACATCTATTACATACAGCAGTATTTCTCGAAATGAGGAGTCACGAGTGGATATCATTGCGAGTAGAGCGCCACACGGGTTAGCTAGATCAAGATTTTCCTTGGCATGGGCTGCAAAGCTCTTGCTACAGGATATTAGAGGATGGAATTTTACCCTTTGCCTGTACAAGGTACAGACTTGATGGTTTTACTCGCCATTCGAAGGTGATTCCGACACAGTGAATCCTTCCTGGGTAAGTGATCGCCAGCTACGAAGCCTTTGATATGGAGGTACTGATGTCTATAATCTGATAGGATAGATCGGGGAGATGGGGCGCATCGAGAAAGCCGCACGAAGAAGTCATACCCCCCTGTTGATAAATCCTTTAGGTAGGATACGTACGGGATACAAGTTGTGTTACGTCGTACACACTTTATATTCGAGATTGTCGGGAAATTCCCACCGTCACTGTGATTAATATCGGCGTACATTTCCTACTTTCTGACCGATGAGGCCCCATACTATACTCGCGGCTATGAGCCAAAAATACTGTCACTTTTGATATGCAAATGCAAGCCTTAATCATCCATCAGCCGTCCCGTTTCTACACATGCGTGCAATGTAACAGTGCTATCTCTGCATCCAAAGCCAATCGAAGCCTTACGTTACACAGCATGGCACGGCAGGTTCCCGTACGTGCCCTAAACGTGCGTCTAAGGCACCGTGAGTAAATGTGACTGTAATTTAGCCTAAACAGTGAAAACGCCTAGCTAATTCGTAAAGCGGTGAAGGTGTCATCTTAAATAGGCTAGTAAACAGGAGTACTTTCCTAGCAAGGTGGATTGCTTGGCTTGAACATCCATATCCTTTTAGGCCATTCTGTCTTGATTTGGAAGCCAAATGCCCTGGGAGTATATTGAGGTTGTGCTGACATATGTGAGGCAGGTGTATATTTACTGTAATATGGGTCTGGTGGGTGTAGCTAGTAGCACTAACAATCGAATCTACTAGTGTTTTATTTCATTTCAATATAAGCTTACATCTTACTAGAATTATGGGATTACCTACTCCTCCTTATCAATCTCACGGGATGAAAGTGCCTCTTTAGTTGTTTTCGCTTGGGGCTCAAGAAGAAGAAGAAGCGGCGAATATAACATTCGCGCCTGCCCCCCTATTTAACCGAGCCGCTTTCAACCGTGCACTAAGCGGCAACGCCACGGAGTGTACGAATTGAAGTAGAGCAATGCGCCTAAATGACTTGCTGGAATAGAAATGCCCCTAGCTTATGAGATTGGGTACTATCTTTCGCAGAGTGAAATAGCTGCTTTGTTCCAAGTTCATCAAAATTTATCTTTAAATTCCAGATTCAAAGGTCTGACTGATGCATCTGGGGAACTGCGGATAGCCACTGTTCAAAGATAATCGAATGAGGGGAGGCGACGCGACGCTTCAAATCGAGGTGGCAGAAGAGGAGATTCTGTCTAGAGTCTAAAAGTTGAAATCCATATTTTTCCATGTCTCTGTGTATCTGTTTATACAAATAAAGGCAACAAAATTGATGAGAGGGATTTTTATTTGCTACCGCCTCCCGAGAGAAGAGGTGGGATTGCGAGGACCCAAGATGAAATTCGATTAAGAGAATTTGTGGACGTTAGAGGTTGGGTATTTAGAACAAGTGAAAAGGTGGTATAGCTTGGATTGAGAGAGGACAAACAGTTGCATTGGGAAACATTTATTGAGAGATCTCACTCTTCACCCGTTCTTAAAGAGTTCTGACGATTAAATACAATATTCCGAGGAAGAAAACTCCCATTCGCTTAAGCTTAGCAGAAAGGAGACCGAGAAGACTTCGTGTCTAAAAGTTTCGACCGCAAGGTATCTTGTTCCTGCGTAACCTCTCGATACAGTATCTCCTGCTTTGCTCGTGAAAGCCGGGGGTGTTGCCTATCCGACACGTTCAAAACACTCACTCGCTGCGAATCGCTCTCTATATTCCTTAGAACGGGAATATGGCCATCACAGTTGACCCAGTTATCGTGTCCAGCAGACTCTTGCGCCATTCTCTGCAACTGCAAATATCCATCCGACTCCCAAGCTAAGCGGCCATAACTGGTGTAGCGCTTCTTTAAGACGTGCGTTTGTATCAAGGCCCAGATACTGTCAATGCTGGCTCCCACGATGACTAGAAGGGACCCCAGGCCTATGATGAGAGACACGCCCAGAGTGCTGAAGTTCTGGTACCCGCCTACGTTGCGCACCATCTGGCGCGTGCATATTTCCCGATCGTATTTGTCGCTGGGTGCATCGATAACGGAATAGTTGTTAAAATTAGTTGGTCCTGTAGCGATCTCTACGACCTGCTGTTGCAACACTGCGAGAGATGTTGCGAACCAGCCGTCGAGCTCTATCTGCCATTGGTTTGGAGGGAGTGCCGCTACCTGGGTGAGACTTAGCACTGTGCTTTGTGCTTTCAGGGAGCTTCCGCCTCGTCCATTGACTGCCGCCCAGAGTTTTGATTGGAAGCTCGCGACAAACATCGTCGTGGCAGTGGAATACTGCAAGTCGTTCAGGTCGATTTTCTCTACGTAATCGCCTAGGTCATCCCATTTAACGAGTGGGGTACAGAGCGGGGGTGACTTGGAAGGGTTACATATTTGGAACTGTTCGATACAACCCTAGTGAACAATTACATGAATCAGCAAAGGACTTATCCTGGACATGGGAGCACAAGCGTCTCAAGACCGTGAGAGTACCACTCGAAAGGAAACAAGAAAGAAGTGACGAACCATTGCACTCGTATAGGCAGTGCTGATATATCTAGTCGCGACAGCGCCATTATTGAGTGTCTTGTTCACAGCACGTGTTGCTGTGAACAGGGGATCGGTGACTGGATTTATGTTATCTATACCATTGGTAGAAAGAAAAAACATGGTCGAATCGGCATCGGTCCGGTTGAAATCTGATATAGGGGTCCAATTATCATAACCAGTACTCACGGCTCTGTGCAAGTCAGTAATGCTACCCAATGCGTGGATGAGTTCTACTTACTGGAGGCCGTATCCGACCCCAACAGAAGCCGTATGTTCATTGTACTCATAAGTATAATTGTGAATAATATCTCCAATAGACGTTCGGGTTGGACCCATCAAAATCTGTACAAAATTATCCGTTCCAGTCTGAGTTGTCTCGTTTTTGTTGGTAGCGTACGTGGTGCCGTTTATTTTTGCGCATGTAGCCACTTTGCGGAATGTCACACGTTCCGACGGCTTTGCATTTATTCCGAGAGTGCTATGAGAATCCATTGGCCCCGTATCTAGCTCATAGGGTCTTGCAGTCCCACTGCAAGCCTTTGCTGCAAATGGACAGGGTGCATCATTGTTCGCAGTCCACGAAATGCGCGGCTTAACAAAAGTACCACACGAGGCACTGGAGCTGTCATCGTCGTAGCAATTCTTTGCGTAGGCTGAGGCAGCGTATGTGACATTCAATATCCTAACAGCTTCGAGCGTTGGGCCAGCAAGAGTGCTATTCCAATACCCGCAGTTGGGACTATGAAGAAGGAATGTGATACCTTTAGCAGCTGTCACCCGCGTGGAAAAAATACTTGCTACAGCGAAAGCAGTAAAAATGACGATGGAAACAGCCAGGAAGAGAAACGTATGAGAGCTCCTGCTCGTCTTTTGATGCTTGCGCCAGCTGTGAGATAACCGAGTAAAGGCCCAAGCTGCAGAAAGAGCAGATGTGGCATTCCTTAGGATAGCTTGCTGCTGGATAAAGATGGCGTCGTGCTGAACATTGGGATTGGAGCGTGCCTGATGACAAAAATAGCGAATAATTCTCCAGACAGAACTACCAGCAACGGTGACGATGATGGCCAGCAAGGCCAAGAGGACAGCAGCATCGCGGGTTTTTAGAGTGATAGTAGCACCAATACTCTCATTGTCTGAATAGTTTTGCCATGAACCTGTGTGGATATAAGAACGATCTATCGGCGAAGACATTATTCTATATCGTTGGAAAAGATACAAACAACAGGGAGGGCAAGTGGATAATAGCTGCCACTGTGAAACAAGCACGAAAAGCAAAGGCAAGATATAATGGGGGACGAGCTGCAGATACTCTACAAAAGTGCTGTCTTGAGAGTTGATTACCTGGGGTTAACAGTACTAGGAAGGCCCCATCTATTGACCGAATCAACGACAGACTTGATAATAACAGCACCAACATACGCCGTACTTCGTACTGCTACGTAAAATGCGTGAAGTCTAACCTCCCTCAATCCTTCCTTTTTACGAGTTGAGGTCAATCACTGGTTCATTGCGCTTTTTGTGAAGGCGGAATTTGAGGCACAGCTGTGACCTTAAATTGGGTTCCTTCGCAGACTCGAATTTAAGTGGTTGATGCACCGTGATGCGTTCTTGGCAAAGGCCACCCTCGCACCCAGCCACACAGGATTTGGGAAAGCAAGAGATCCTCGCCCGGGTATCATGCAGGGTTCAGCGCCGACACCGTAGACATGTTTTATTAGTTCTCTTTCAGCCGCAAGTGCGTTTCTGCTCAAAGTGTTTGGTTTTCGGTTGATTGAAAAGTAAAATATGTCGATTGTTGCGCGAGTTGTGTGTTTTTTTTTCTTTTTCTTTTGGCTCAGTACCCAGCTCTCGTGGCTCATGTTTCCTCAAGTCTATGATGCCTATGCGTAAGACTCTTCTTCACTTCTTGGGCCCCTTTTTTCATTAGGAAGCCCGGTAGGTGACGACTGTCTGCCTTTTAGCGAAGATGTCAGCCCTATTGGGCAATTCTACAGGATGATTTCAGTAAAAGAGTACTGGTAGGCGGACCGAACCTGCCTGATGCGACGTGTATCAAAAGGAGCGCACTCTAGAGAGGGCTAACTGTGAAAGATCGAAACTTTAGAACCTGATGATCAGATAACAGCCTTTCATCTTTTCAAACAATCTAATCAGTATCACCGCGCGCTCCTCGTGCCCATTTTTCGTACCCTTGGACCATTTCGAGAGTGATTTGCTTCTTCACGGTCTTGACGGCGTCCTTAAAATCGTCCATTTGTAGCTGCAATTCCAACCCGGTTTGATCACACTTCTTCAGGACTCTGTCGATCGCAGTCTGGCAGATTGATACCACTTCTGCTCCAGAGTACCCTGTCGAAGTTAGCTATCACAATCTCTTAACGTTCCTGGGAAATTCACATACCTTCAGTTAAGTGGGCTAACAGTGGGATATCGACATCGTCGGCCATGTCCATCTTTCGCTGTTTGACACGCAAGATTGCCTCCCGGCCAGCAAGGTCTGGAGGTGCCACATATATCAACTGATCAAATCGTCCCGGCCGAAGGAGAGCGGCATCTAGAGCTTGAGGTTGATTCGTGGCCGCCAAAACCATCACGCCTTTCAGAGTCTCAATACCATCCATTTCGTTGAGCAGTGTTGTCAGAACGTTTACGCCGTTAGTACGACCTCCAGATGCCCGCTTTCCGCCGATGGCATCGACCTCGTCGAAGAAAATGATACTCGGACTTGCTGCTCGGGCACGTGCGAAGATCTCCCGTACTGACCTTTCGGACTCTCCGACATACATATTAAGGAGTTCGGCGCCTTTGACAGCGAAGAAGTTAAAGCCGACTTCAGTGGCCATAGCCTGGGCGCTGAGGGTCTTTGAACAACCGGGCGGGCCATATAGGAGGATGCCCTTCTTGGCAGCTCCTCCAAGTCGAGCCATGCGTTCCGGGTGCTGGAGGACTCATTAGTATGCTTATTGCAAGCCGACATGAGAATGACTCGGAAGTGTTAGAAAAATAAAATCACTTACAAGAAGAGGGGTTTCGACGGCCTGGCGAAGAGCCTCCTTGACATTCTCCTGGCCCCCGATTTCATCCCATTTAACGCTTGGTGGTTGTAGTGTAATATCGTGCATTGCTGTCGGCCGAACGAGGAGCAATGCTTGTTCAATATGGTCTTGCTCTAGATAGAAACTCTCTGGAGCTTCTGTATCGCTCTTACCACGACGTGCTCTCCTCGCAAGCTGGTAGGCTTTGTTTAGCAACTTACGCAGATCCTTTGCAGTATAGGCATGGGTCCGCTCTCCTAGCTTTTCCAGCGTATCAATGGGGACATCTGGGTTGAGTGGTGGCGAGAGAGACTTTAGAATTGCTTTTCGAGCAGCAGAATCGGGTATAGGCAACAAGATGTCTTCGTCAAACCGGCCAAGGTCCCTTAAAGACATCGGGATTCTGTTGGCATTCAGGGTAGCTCCGACAACCAGAACTTTAGACAATGTGTCTGAAAGTCCTCGAACGAGACCATCCAATTCTTCTTCAAGAACTTCTGTGATGCTTTCTGAGATTGAGTCCTCTTTTGAGACAAGGTTCTCAAGGTTATCAATGACGATGATAGAGGGTTGGCTCAGTTTCGCGTCTCTGAAAAGGGTTCGGATGGCAGGAGGTTTCATATCTCTCTTCACCCTATGTACCTTACCCCAACCAGTGCCGATAATTTGGTCGATGAGAAACGTCTTTCCGGAGCCATGGCCACCATGTAAAAGCACCGCGCAGGACTTTTGTTCCTGAAGGGAGGGGAAGTCATCCTGAAAGTCGCCGAGGAAATCGTTCAGCTTCTTCAACGCTTGATCGATTCCTGCAATATTGACAAGCTGGAGTTCAGGAAGGACTGCGTTGATCTGAGGCTGGTCTATTTGGCTGGATATCTTGACAGACGAAGCTTTCTTATCGAACGTACCGTGGCCAGTCGGTGTGTTATTGACGAAATCTACGACGAATGCTCGCTTTTGGCCGGTGAGAGTGACATTCTTGAACGTCATACCAGCAAATATAACTTCTGCACGGCCTATAGGTTGTTAATGTGCTAGCTCAATAGAATGTTCCATCCGGCATGGTAGACGGAACTGAGAATAACCACTTACTCAAACTCTCCTTCCGAAGGTACCATTCCCAGCCAACCAGATCATCGTCTTCAAGCTCAGGAACGTCACTCGTACCAAGCTTCGGGGTGATATCCCTTAGAATGACAGACTCCACCGTAGGCACCTCCGCCCCTGCAGCACAGATATTCACATCGTCTCCCAACTTGAAGCCATACGCTTCCTGGAAAGCCTTTGAGGTCTGCACCACGGCCTTGTTCAAGTTCTTTTCCGTCGTAGCCCATGCAATAGCCTCTCTTCTCTTCTCGGGATCGTCCTTCCATAGATAGCATGGAAGCCCTGATCTCAAATTCAACTCCCGAAGAGCCTCTGCGCTCAAATGAACACGTGATGCTAGAGGCTATCAGCAAAAACTTCTTGGATGGAGGGGAAATAAATGTGTCTGGATTTGTATACGAGATAAATGTTCCATTTCAAATAGGTGGTCATTGGGCTTCAAGATGACTATGGATCTAAAATCCAGTATAGCCTGGATAGCTTATAACATCGAGGAATACAGAAAATATGGCAGTTTTCAAATGTATTCAGTGCCTAATAATGCCCCATTTGATGTGGAACATTGTAAAATCCCTCTATGCAACTCGTAGGTTCATCCATGTCAAGAAGTTTGCATACCTCCTTTCAAATCCGGCCGCTCCGAATTTGGTACTGAATAAGGTCTTATCTTGACCTCCAAGGTCTTCGGTGTAGTGGACATAGTTGCGGATCGTCGATATAACTTGGCATTATTGTTGGAGTTGAATATTAAAAAAAATCTTAAAGCGAGTGAAGGGAAGATTTAACAAGCCAACGCGCTCCGCTTTGCTTCGGCTCCAAAAAACCCGGCCCGCGAACGCGAAACCAAGAGTTTTTGGAGAACCGTTGACCTCTGTCAACATACTTATAGACGTTGGATTCAGTCCATTACCACAACATTGATGCTGCTGGCGCGGCCTCTGCCTCCGCAGTTCTTGTTACCAGCATGGAACGCGCGACAACTAGCTGGTGCGCATGCTGTATTGCACCAGCACCAGCAGCAGCGGGCCTGCAAATCCGATGACACGAGCTCTCAGAACAAAGAAGACACCCGCTTCAATTGGAACAGCAACAAGGACACGAACACAAGCTCGACTACCGATACCAAGAATCCGAATCCAAGCTCGCTTTCGAGGTCAACTTCAGATACAGAAACGAGGCCGAGTTCGACAGGGGATAGCAAGGGCAGCACGCATTCCTTACGCCGTACTGTATGGTCTATAAGACGAGATAGTCGCGATCTTCAGCCTGCGAAAACCACAGCTGCTCTTTCTCTATTCGAGGAACTGTTCCCGGAAGAAGGCGAAGCTAAGAAGAAAGCGGAGGAGAGGAAGGAGAAGCCAGGACGCTTACCGGCTTTTGATTGGAATAAGACGATTTCTGGGGATGGGAATGAAAATAATGTGAAGCTGGAGAGGGAGAGACTGCAGAAGGAGTTTAGAAATCTGCCGAGCCAGACGCCTGTGGCTCTCAGTGGCAATAGTCTGCGAGCGGAGGACCCACAGCCGGGGTATTTGAGTGAGAAGGAAGCGGAGGATGGGGAGCGGGGGAGGAGGAGGGAGGCAAGCGTGTTGGTGTTGAATTCTGCGACGAAGACGTTGGAAGAGAGCGATTTCTTTAGGGTGGGGCCGAGGGGAGAGCATATTGAGGGGTGGACGAGTGGGATTATGAAAGGCATGTTTGTTCTAGCTGTTTCCCTTCTCACTCTACATATCCATCTCAAAGCAGGACTTGCAGCTAATGAAAAACAGTAATTCCCGGCCGAGACAACAACACCCTCCGCCCCCTTGGTCACTACTTCATCCTCTTCTACAACGACGTAGCCGCCAAGGCCTACCTAGACAGCATTCTACGTATCTGGAGAATAGCCAAACAGCGCAGTGCCTGGGCAAGCTCGAACATACCAGGCGTGCGGCTTCCGCCTGGAATGTTGAAAGATGGAGAGGATATCCAGAAGTTAGTCAAGAGCTTCACGCTCGTGCCGCCGTACAGCCGGCTCTTCCTGCGCATGTTATCGAAGCCCTACAAGCCAGCAATGCTGCGATTACTCGATGAAGGTGGACCGGGAGCTATAGCTGCTAGGGAGACCAAAACGGAGAATATGGTGCTGATCACCTCTGATATCGGGGTGTTTGATCCTCAGCAGCTGTTGAAAGCTATCAGGGACGATGGGACACGGCGCAATTTGCATTGGAAGCTGGTTCTGTCGAAGGATCGACTGATTCAGCTGAAAGACGATCCGGTTGTTAATGGGATGGAAGAGGAGATGGGTGGAAGTCCCAAGTTGAAACAGAGAACCCTACGGCCTCCAGCTAGATATGTTCTGTCCTTCAAAGACCGGCATGAGGCTCGCCGATTCGTTAGGGAATGGCACAAGCGGTCTATGCCCGAAAAGAAAAACCCTAGGCCAGGCGAAGAGTTGCCTCCAGTAATTAATGCAGAGATTTTGTGGTGATCTGAAACTAGGTTACTTGAACTCCTCACGTATGCCATATCCATGTGAAGTCACTACACTCGTTGTTTCCCACTTCAAAGGCAAAGTGACCGGCAAGAATTGCCTTTAATTTGTGGTACCGTATAATGACCAAACTCCGCCCATAAGCTGCTCTTAAACAAACACACAACAAAAAACACATGCAGCATCAGGAAAAACCTCCCATTATCATCTAGCAGCACTTGGACCCCATTCCACTTCCGCTTCCTTGCCCGCCAACATCTACTCCCTGGGAAGCTGCCTGATCCGTTTTCGCCGTATCAATGATTCGCTTCTTGATATCTGCCGCAAGACTATAGAAGGCCTTCTCCACGTTGATGTTGCTCTTCGCCGAGACCTCAAGGAAAGGAATACCGAGCTCGTCTGCCAACTGTTGTCCTCTCTCTGTAGAAACCACTCGCTTATCTTCCCAGTCGCACTTGTTGCCGATGAGGATCTTATTCACGCCTTCTGTGGCATGTTGCTCGACGTTCGAAAACCAGGTTCGGATGTCTAGATAACACATGTCAGCTATATTTTGATAATAAGTGGCAGTCAGGGATCGAGGCCATACTGTTGAAGGAGCGCTCATCAGTGACATCGTAGACTAGTAAGATTCCCATGGCACCTCTGTAATAAGCAGTTGTGATAGTCCTGAACCTTTCCTGTCCGGCCGTGTCCCATATCTGGAGCTTCACTCTCTTCCCGTCCAGCTCGATGGTCCGGATCTTGAAGTCGATACCGATGGTGGTGATGAAGGACGGCGTGAACGAGTCTTCACTGAACCGTAGGAGACAGCAGGATTTGCCTACACCCGAGTCGCCGATCAGCAGCAGCTTAATCTGTGGTTGTGTTAGCATTGCTATGCGCTCCGATATCGACTGCAGATGCCTTACCAGGAAGTCATAATTGCGCGTCCCGGCCATCTTGAAGGTGATCGCGTATGTTGACAGAAGAACAGGCTCGATGTGATGTCTCTTAGGCTGTGCGACACTGCGACGTAGCGGTAGATGCTGTGGGGTACAGGAGGTGGGTGGGTCAGGGTTCTCTGAGGGGAGAAGGTTGATGGGATTGATGCGTGGATGATGACACTGATTGTAGAGGGATCTTTGAGGTTGCGTTCGTGGTTCTCGTGGTCGTGCAATTAAAGGGGCTACAATCAAAAGTCCGCGGTCGTGTGTCGAGAATGGAACAGCAGGCTGCGTTATTCGTAGAGCTTTAAGTCAATATCAGCAGGAAGGATTGACTTGAGGTTGCCTTTGATTATTAGCGGCTGTTTGTCAATCAATTGCGCCGCGCTCACTCGCCAAATCAAGTAGGCGCGTCTATTAAGGTACGGGCAGTATTTAACTGGTGAATTGTAAGAGGGATAATCTTTTACAATATATCCATCTAATAATCAGATTCAAGCCCCTTGAAGCTCTGAAAAGAGTACAATAATAAACTAACTCTTTCGCGATATTGACACGTTAGACTCACTCGCAAAGTCCAAGATAATGTAATGCTTAACTCCGAAAGTCACAAAAACTTCTATACCAAATCAACGCAGTAGTTAGGCAATGCAGAGCTTCATCATGTATGTTCCCTTATAATTTGTTTACTGTATATTTTATTCATCTCAGCCATTTGGCATAACCCCATCTAATGCGCTCAAGAACCTTGAGCTGCTGGTGGATGCCACTGTTGATATTACACAAGTCACCAACGTCCTCGAGGAATTCCCGCTGGATCTCTCCTGGGAAGAGTCTATGGGCGCGCTTCCGGAGGATATGAACTTCGCAAAGTAGTAGACCATGGTCTTTGTATGATAGCAAGTTGTTTTGCGTTGGGGTAGCTAGAGTGAGGATTCGGTCGATATTTCGAAGGACTCGCACTGTCTGGCCAGCCTTTCGACCTTGCTTCATCCCCCTCCTGTTCCCAAATACCCCACCAAGATAACGGAATGCTGCAAAGCAGACCAAGACGCCGGGTGTTAAGCCGACGAAACCAAAGACTAACTCTTGACTCTTGAGCAAGGCATCGATGCCGCTGAGGGCAACTTCGACGTCGACCTTTGTCTTCTGGACTTGAATTAACAGTGTCCGTATGAGATCCCCTCGAACAGTTCCCATGAATGGCTTCCGCAGGTCCTTTTCATAAGCCTTCAAGATAGGAGTGAGATCCCCTTCCTTTACCTTGGCTCTGACCTCCGCAATCTGAGCTTCGTCTAGAGCACCAGTTCCCACACCCGAGTTCTTGGGATTGTCGATCGCAAACTCAACGACCATCCTCTCGAGACTGTCTCTGTCGCCTTTCAAACTTTCCTTGCTCATGATAGCAACCTCGCTCTCTTTGTCATGGCGAATAGTGCCGATAACCTTCTTCATTGGCTCAATAACCCAGTTAAACCAGAAATCTCGTACTGTAGCACCGAGGTCTCTGATCCAGGAGATAATCTCTGCCTTTCGATTCACAACTATCCGTAGTAATGTCGTCGAAGATAAGAGTAAAATGCTGGCAGGGAGCCAATAGCGCACAATTCTCGATGGTCTGCCATATTCAGCTACCAGCTTTTGAGAGCTAGCCATATGATTCGGCACATGAACCTCCAGAATATGCTGAAGTCTCATCGAAAGCTTCGCCGGTCTACCAACTTGATCCTCATCTGCTCCCATGGCCGAGACATCCGGATCATCTTCCACACTCGCAAATACTGCATCCTCGAAGTCCGAGACGCCCGTTTCTAGCGTAGTGACGTTCTGTAGAACAACGTCCATAAGCGCAATACTCTTCTCCACCACAACTTTCCACTCTCGACTATCACCCTCCTCTGTTTTGGAGATAACTGTACTTTCATCACCAAAATTAAAGCTCAACCCCTCATCCATCAACACGCCCAGCCCACTAGCGCCCATCTCCCTCAGCCTCCTCAATTTCGCCTGCTTCACCCTTGCTTCCTCCCTACAAAGCGCAATAGGACTGAGAACTCGTCTCTGGATATCGGCCACGCTGCGCTCCCTCACACTCTCCTTCACAAGTCCGTAAAATCTCCTCCAACTATCCCCCACTCCTTCCCCTGCCTTTCTAATACCCGCATCTTCACCATTCGACTCCCGTAAATTTGCCACGCGTGTTTTAGTGTCTTCAAAAACATCCCATCCCCATCCCCACCAACGTCCCGGACTGGTCTGGATCGCATAAACCCCACTCCAACCATAACTCCCAAGAACCTCATCCCAATACCACAACTCCTCATTTAGCGGGATTGTCTGCTCAAGAAGTGTTCCTAGCAAGAGGCCGTAGATCTGGACGGTGGCTTTACTGACGAGTAGCCATTCGAGTTCAGTTTCGTACCTTGATGTGGTGGTGGTGGAGGGGTGGGTTGAAAGTGAGGTGGAGGACAGGAGGGAGAGAATGTGGTACGGCGTGAGAAGCGGGGAAGAAGAGGTAGTTGTGGAGAGCGATTGGATTGTTGATTGGAGGGAGATGATGCGGGGGATTGTGGAGGTGTTTGTTGTGGTGGTGGTGGTGAGGCTGGGGATGAGATGCACGCGGTCGAGTTGGCTGTCGACGCGCCGGACTTGGCTGTTTTGTTGTTGTCAGCGGAGTTTATTTTGGGAAGGAGGAATTGCATATACTCTGCTACTATCGACATTACGGTTCAGAGAACATGGAGCTTCGTGTAGAAGATGTGTTCTGGTGAAGCGTCTGCAAGTGAAAAGGTGGAAGGAAGCTGTGCCCCGAACAAGGATATCCAAAATATTTATTGACTTTGCCGTTGCATATGACGTGTGGGGTCATCATGTCTTGGCGTAGAATGGGTGTGGGATGAAAGCGACCAAATTTCAACGCTATTAGAGCCACATCTTTCTCGATTTTTATGCTTTTCACTTGATTAGAATGTTTCCCAATTTTACTTCCGCTCTCGTAAGCCGATGAATTCTCTAGAAACAGACAGGTAAGCCTCTTGCGTTGTTAGTATAAGACTATATGAGCTTGTATGTTACATCTATATTGATATTACTTGTATGTACAGTCTATGAAGTAAGTACTTCACACATATCAAGAGGTGATTTCCTCGGAGCCGCGATTGACTCTTCATTGTCCTCCATCCGTGGTTCGTTGCGTGGACGCTTTGCTTGTCGTTCCAAAACAATGGCACCACCTCGTTCTTGACTTCCGATCGCCCTTTCGATGATATCTACAGTTAATTGCTTCACGCGTTCCTTCTCTTTTGTCTCCTGCTTTCGCAAGACTGCCACTCGTGTTGTAGCATACATAAGAGAGCTCATGAAGCCACTGCTAATACGGTAACCTCTCGGCGACTCTGAATCTCTCTGTACTTCTTTGCGGGCCATCTTCACGTACAGGTAGAACCGTTTGTCGGGTGCGATGCCGTTTGCTTCAAGCATATGCACCGCCCACCGAATTCCCACACCATCTTCAAGCTGAATGTACGTCTTGAGTAGGGTGGTAAGCGTTTCGAGCTCGATTGCCGAATTTGAGATCTTCAAGCGGCGGCACATGGATTTCCAGAACTCTATTGCCATGCTATATTCGCCACTTCTTTCTAGTTGACTCATTGTGTGATTCAAAATTGCCTGCGAAATCTTGATCCCGTTCTCCTCTAGAGTAGAAATAGCTGTTTCGCCAAAATGTAAAATCTCGTCAGCCAGGGAATTGGACTGGTGATCTATTTGGTCCAGTTGGTGAATAAGTAGCGCTGCAACTGACAGGGAGACATCTTTTCCGAATTGCTGCGCATCTTTGATCAAGCGAACTGCCTCGCTGACATCGCTCTCGTGAAGTTGCAATGACGCTCGTATAGCCAGAAGAATATGCCTCGAACTAAGCAAGACACGCTTTTCGATGGCAAGCCCATAGATCTTGAGTGTCGCAGCGGGCTCTCCTCTTGCAAATGAGGAAGCCATAGCTCGGATGACCCCTGGCCCGTCCCACAACTGCTTAGATCTGCCAAATTCCTTCAGCAACTTCAATCTTCTCCCAGCTTCAATCTCATTAGGACAATTTGACAATGCAATACGGGCAAGTAGTTCCAGGGTGTCCTTGTCTGAAGTGTTTCGAGAATTGGCCACCTTGCGAATCTTGCAATAGAGCACGTGAACTTCCTGGAACGAAAAGTTCCACGATTGATGGCAGTTGTGAAGGATTGTATTGACAGAAACTGCATCAATTGGGCAGCCGACTGAGTTCGCATACTCTACCCAACCAACCAAAGCATCAACCTCTTTTGCCTTCGCATAAACCTTGATCATAAAGTTCAAAATGTAGTCTGTCAAATGCAATTGATGATTGTCAATAAAGTCTTGAACAAAGTCTTCAACCTCATTGACGGGATGAGATTTCGCGAAGAGCTTCAAAACAGGAACGAAGGAGCTTTCATATTCACCCTGATTCTGAGGGGTGACGAGAACAGCCATGTTTTGTAGATCTTCAATAGCGCCTGCCCAATCATTTCGCATAGCCTTAGCAAGTGTGAAATGCCCGTAGATACGGATATCAGCTTGGGCAGGTGTATATCTCTGTCGGTAATCGGCATAATATGATTGAGCCTCGTTTTCTTTGCTCGCCTCGACGCAGTACTGGATAATAGCACCGTAAGCGGCTTGGGGATGGTTTGCAGAATGAACAAGTGGCTCCAGTCTTTTAAACAACTCTTCGATCTTGGAAAAATCTCGAGTAGATCTCCATTGATGTCCTAGGACCTTGAGTATAGGGGTAGTCGAGCTTGCGAATCCACCTTCATTCGCCATTCGATTGACAATAAAGAGAACCTCTTCGGCCTGTTCCATTTTGCCAGTTTTGAGGACAGAATTGATAACCTGATCGCTAATATTGTAGAGCTGCACTTGATCTGGAGATGTTTGACTATAGAAAGCCTTAAAGTAGCGAAACATCCTCTTGTGACGCCCCATAGCGCTGGTTGCTGTTATGAGCGAATCGACACCAATCGGCCGAAGACCTTGACGTCCGAGTTGGGCACGAAAATACACCTTGTGTGTGAGATCATGCAAGCCGGCTAGACATGTCTCACGACAAAGTCTCTCGCCAATTGAGTAATATAGTTTGGGATTTGCTGGAATACCGGGCTTCTCCTTGAATTCCATGAGATATATTGACGTAGCTTTTCTGAGTCTGGACTCAGGAAGGAGATACAAGGATGAGGCCTTTCTGAGCTTGTATTTTGGGAGAGGTAAAGTATTGGCCACGTCCGTTCTTGATATCAAATTCGAAATGACTTTAAGAGGCTGAAATCGTTGAAATGTTGCCTCGTCTATAGGGGGACGCGTAAGAACAATATCGAGGACTCTCTCAGCGTGAGAAAACTTTGAATGCTTCCTACAGAGCTCCGAGAGATTGGCGGCAGAATCAATTAAAAATGGTATGATTCCTTCATCACCAATAGGCACCCCTTGCTCAAAAGCATCGAAGAATCGTAAGGCTGCAGCCTCAACATTATCTGGGTCTTCGGGATCTTGCAAAAGTCTAGAGATATCACTGGCAAGCCTGTGTTGGCGATTGTGGACCAGCTTTTGTGGCACATGTGCCTGTGGAGAGGCTACTGCCAGATCGAGGCTTTCGGATGAATTTGGGGATAGGTCCTCTCCCTTTGACTTTGGGACCCCCTTCCATTCATTGTACAGCCAGAGTTGAGAGGGGCGGCCAATAGTTGACGCGGAAGGAAAAGGTTTCGATTCGGACTTCAGATCTTGGGGTTGTGGTAGTTCAGAAGCAGGCAGGGTTACAGTCGTGCGTAGTTTCTCTTCCTCCTCTTGCAAAGCCAAATTCGTCTCTTTGATCAACTTCTTCAACTTCGGATCCCCAGCAAGCCATATAGCATCATCTATAATACGATCATCCAACGTATCAATCAGTGCTCTCCCATCACTATAATAATTCCTCGATTCTTTGATCTTCTGGGCATTGTCGTGTATTTCTCGAGCAGAACGAATTCGACGTCGTCGGTCTTCAGTTATCATGCCAGCACCGAAGGCAACGGTGCAGGATGTTCCCAGGGCGAGGCTGCGGAGGGCTCGTAGGGCGCCTTTGGAGGGCACGGGCAGAGCTGATCGCATGCTGAGGGAGCTTTAGCCATTTCAACAATGTTGGGGCATTGAAAGGATATGATGTTGCCCTCGTGGCAGGGCCAATTGGCGGAGGTGTGGTGTGGATGTTCTGAATTGAAGTGTAAATGAATTCTTGTTCTCGAAATGGAACCACTATCACTGCAGTTGTGGCAGGTATCGGTCACCCGAAGTGGAGTGATCCAAGCCTCATTTTACAGCTCCGCTCTTTTGTCTGCTGGTATTGTATTTTGTGACACATGAAGCCTCTTCAATATGGTTTCCATCATACAGTCTGATGATGCAAGCTACTTCCGAATCAAATCCATAATAAGCTGATAAAACTGTTTTACAAAGTGAAGATCTATTGTCTATCCCGACATGCTGTGCATGGTGTTCAAACGCCCATGAAAATGCCCCCAATATACATACATTTACATTGCAGTCCCTATTACGCATGCTCACCGATTTGAAGAATCATAAAGCAGACTCCTGATTCTCAGAAGCTGTATAAACATCCAATTTCTTCAAAATCGTTTGGTACAAGAACAGCATACATCCACTCTGAACGCTCGTCCACACGAATCTTGGTCCTACGCCTCTGAAACCTCCAGCTATACCCTCAGTCTTGTAGATAAGTTTTAATCCGGTGAATACTGAGGATGTATCAAGATTAATGCACCCAGGGCGCGGAGTATGCGTTGAGGGGGACGAAGTAGAGATCGACCGAATCTGTTGTCTCAGTGAAGAATTTGCTCCCGGCTTCCCCTCGGCCAATGCAGGAGGTTGAGCAGGCGTCTGCTTAACAGATGGCTCCGTAGACGGATTAACCTGAGTCTGAATCCTCGTCTTCACCACATCAAGCGGGCAGGTGATAACTCCAGCAAGTCCCCCTGCCGCAGCCCCCGTGAAAAGTTCCAGCGGTAGTCCAATATCCCTGCTCTGTTTCCATTTCCTGGCCCAAGTTTGTGCTTGCTCGTAGAATGTGAACTGCAATGCGGAGAAGGGGAGGTCACGGAAGATTGTCGCTTTGTAACCATAGAAGAGAGCGGAGAAGCCTTCTTGGCGGACTATGGTTCGGGCAGCGTGGGCTGTGCCCTTGTAGTTATATCCGGATTTGAAGTATGGGTTTTTGTACCGGCCTTGGAGTTGGAGACGGGTTTTTAGGACTTCGGATGGGACGTATACGAAAGAAGCTGCAAAGTCTGCAACGAATCCTGATTCTAAGTTAGAAATGTTTGGCTACTTTTCCTTATGTGACATACCACTTGTAAGATAGGCAATCTGCGGGGTGATGCCGTAATCTATCATGTGTCTTTTGCTGTACTCGTATGTGCCAAAGAAAATGATGGTCCCAGGGAATGATCCAAGTAAAGCTGGAAGCCATCCACCATACAGCCCTCTCCGTAAGCCTTCTTGCCGGAAGATTGTAGAGTACGAAGATGCCATGGTTGTATACTTCGGGGGAAAACTCGGATCGGCCTGTTGACGAGTCTTGACCGTATCTAGAGAGTGCATCAAGAGGTCCCCAGTAGTCCCACCGATCCCTCCAGCAATCATAGACTATAGGAGTCAGTATCAGACCTTCAACTCTAAGGTGTTTATCTCACATGAAGGTAAGGCGGTCGTGCCTCCTCCTCGACCGCTTTCTGTGCATTTGTTTCCGACATGACGCTGTCTGCTCCCATTCTAATATCCGCGAGACCTTGTTTCCCCGCCGGGCCTCCATCATCAACCAAGTCGAACTCGTTGGTGCTCTGTTGAAGACTTGTTGATGAAGAGAACAAATTGGCAACGCGAGAGGCCAGGGACATGGCCCTACCTCAATTCCCGGATGAGTCGCCTTTGGGGCTTCCCCACAGGAGCTTTTGGGGGTATTAAAGGGCTCGGTGGTGATAAATGTGCCGATTGTTGAATGTGTAGGAAGGGCTAAAGGTCCGACTGATAATATTTCTAGCCCGAGCTCGGTTATGTAAGGCACAAGGCTGAAGTATTTCAAAGAAAACTAACATGAGTTGAAGAAATGTCATGATTTGCAGTAAAAGAGAATTAGTATAGTCAAAGGCCTACTAGTCGTCTATTGATTTCCATTTTCTTCGGATTCTCTTTGTAGGGGGGTCCGTGGAGGGGAAGTTTAACTTCTCCATGCTGTACTATGTATGTATGTACAAACAGTGTTTCTCACCCCACCCCCATCATCTGTATAGGATTTTTCGAAACCCTTGACGTAGACCTGCTATTAGAATCCTCATCAGATTTAGAGTGACGGGTTTTCTTCACCATAAAACTCGTTATCGAAGTGTTTCTCAGTCATATTATTCCCTGCCTCGCTCAATCCTCCCCCTTTCCCTTCACAACCTTTGTCCTCCCCTTAAACTCCCACCACCGTATCCTTCCAGCACTGTTCCAAGGCCATAAAACATGAGTAATCTTCCCCTGCACCAAACTCGTCGAAATCGGCCCATAATAATTACTATCCAACGTCTTCGTTCCATCTTTATTGTCCCCCTCGACCCAGATATGATTGCGCGGGATATCAACAGTAGGCATAGGGTACGGAGCTCTTGTTACGACTTTATCTCCAGGTAAAGCTATGACGCGTTTTACGGCGAGGACTTCGGGATGTGCTGGACTCCTATGGTTCGTTAGTATACAGAATTGAAAGGATTGGGGTCTAGGTGATGTACCAGAAGGAGACGAGCATTCCCCTCTTGAGATTTTCTGTGGGTTTCCATTTGTTGACCCAACATGCATCTTTAGATTGGCTTTCATTGTAATTGGTATTGAGGTACGGGTACATGGAAGGCCCAGTGACGAAGGTCACCATGCCGACATTTTCATTGAAGAAGACTACTGCTGGAATCCAGGTTGCGATGATGAGAAGCTTGCGACTGGTGTCCCAGAAGAATCGGCCTGATGGCGTATTTCGTAATGCATTTACATTTCTAGATACAGTTGTGTTTCGTAATGCAGAGAATATCCGATTGCTGAACATGGTAGCCAGAGGCTTATCGGTTTGAAGGAGTAAAGGTTGAAAGTCGCCTAGATTTCTTACAGTACTTGGCAGCGAGGCAGCCTTGTCAGACCAAACTGCTAGCCTCGCCGCATTGAGGGGCTTAATATCACTTCAGATCTTGTCATTCTTAAAGCATCATTGACAAGTCCATTAGATAGCATTCATTTTATCCGTCTATGGACAGCTTATATGAGCTCTAAAGCCCTGTGCGCCCGTAATGCAAATCTTCCAGAATGCTTTTTAATTATCCCCAAAATGCTTTTACATCGTCTCTACAGCATTCTCATCAGATGCAGACTCGCTCTCATCACCGCTCACTTCCGCGTTCTCCCTCTCGCGCTTCTCCATCAATGCTTGCAACTCAGCATCGTCGTTCTCGGTGACAGCCTTTGGCTCCATCTTCACAATGCAAGAACCTCCTGCCGCCTCGATGTTTTTCCGAATGTCAATAATGGATGCTTCTAATGTCGCAATTCCAACCGCCTTCTCCAGACATGTGCTAGTAAGGACGTATAATGGAGGTGAGACGAGCTTGACTTTGACCTGGTTGTCTGGGGTATTTCTAGATTCAGCTGTTCGAAGTGCAGTCTTGACGGCATCGATTCCTTCGTAACCAAAGCAGGTAACTTCGACGTCTGCGCGAACCTTTGTAGGTTGAGGTGTGAGACGCTTTCCGATATAGGACTTGAGTTCTTCGGCGACTACATCGTTTGGAAATGAGACCTCTAGCCAGACATCGGGATTGCTATCCCAATTAGCAAATGCATATGAAACCTAAACATTCCATTCTTACGTTATTGAGAGCTTGAAAGCATCTACAGCATGTCCGTATTTCTTGTTCAGAGGCCAGCCGATCGTCTCGTAGAGGTCCTCGATAGGATGCTTGGTCTTTTCGGAAACATGTCGCATGATCGAATGTACCATCTTGCCCTTGTTGTAACGTTCCTCGCACTTGACAATATCTTCTGGTGACACTCTACGCTTCGAAAGATCAATATAACCTGAATGCCCATCCTGTCAGCGTCCAATACCCCGCAGCAATTCGTAGGCCAGCCTTACCCTTCTCCTTGTCAACCCTCAGAACCACCACAACTTCATTTCGCCCAACTCGAATGAGCTTTTGGATACTACGAATACGACGTCTCGACAGTTCGGAGAGTAGAATCATGCCATCGATGTTATCGTATTCGAGCAATTTGACGTACGCTCCCATTTCGGCAATCTTCAATATTGGTCAGTTTATGTCGCCTTCCTCTAATAGCCCACACATCCATACCTGCTTGACATTCACCATCACGAAGCTATCAATTTCAGGAAACTTCTCCTCGTAGAAGCGGCAGTTCGTCAAAGACATATTTGGGGTTGATGCGCTGCGGGGCGCGTGTTGGCTTTGGTGACGATTTACTTGCGCTTCGTCGCTGGTTTTTGTATTATCGACTGCGAAGTGTGCAGGGTCGATTTCATGCGTAAATTCGAGGGAGTTCTTGTGCAGGAGATCGTGTATGGTCGTTGTGTGTTGCCTCACGTTTAAAAGAGTCAGAACAGAATTTTGGAGGGCTGTGGTGGGATGCTTAGCGTGAATTTAGATCCCTGTCATTCAATGTGGCCCGAGCTTCGAGGTTTTGTAGGTGAGATCAATTCCAAGTCAGTGTTAGTTCCGTCCGTCTTCTGACCGTCAACTGCAAAAGAAACATATGACTTTCGAGTAACGAAAACCCCGGGTACATTTTTGACAAATGATATCAACATCTAGTAAGAGCTGAACTGCCTATAGGCAGTCAGTTCTACTGTTCCTCAACTATGTCTATCTCCAGTCCGGTTTCCTCCGCCCTTGAGAGCTTCACAAGCTTGGCCAGCAACATGAGCTCTGCTTCAACCGCACCATTGGCTTCTACCACAGCAGTGTTCGCAGAGCAAGCGAATCCCGACAGAAGTTGGCTCGTGTCATTGGGCAGAATGGTTTTCTACCTGATCACCATCATTCCAGGAATTCTGTATTGGGTGATTACTTTTACTACTATCACCATTCCTACGTTGCTGTTTACTCTCTTCTCAACGAGTTTAACGGTTACAATGAATGCAACTACTCTGTACGTTTGTATCATGTGTTATGTTCCACAAATAACTGCTAATAGGCACCCACAGAATGCTCATCATGATCGCCTTCGTTTCGACAGCCAGTTGGTTCGTACGGTACAGATTCCTCAATATGTACGCTCGACTGCCGCCAGAGCCGCAGAGAAAGGAACCTCAAATAGACCTATATCCGGATACTCAGGAGGATGGCTCAAAGTCTGGATTTTCAAACTACCTGGACGAGTTCCTTAGCGCAATAAAGGTGTTTGGGTATTTAGAGAGGCCTGTATTCCACGAGCTTACTCGGAGCATGCAAACCAGGAAGCTCATAGCCGGTGAGACTTTGAATCTGGAAGAAGAAAAAGGATTCTGCTTGGTTGTGGATGGATTGGTGGAGATCTTTGTGAAGTCTGCTCGAGAAAGTCGCGACACTGATTCCGAGCCCTCTGGATTTAATGAAGACGACTCGTCGGACAGCGATGATGACCAAGGAACGGGGAATGCGCACCAACGATATCAATTACTGACTGAAGTGAGAAATGGGGCCCCGATGTCATCTTTATTCTCCATCTTGTCTTTATTTACAGAGGACGTGAAATTGAGACATACCGAAGACGATGAATTGGACTCGAGCGTCTCAAGTAGTGGGTACGGGAATACACGCTTTCCTTCCAGTGCTGGCTTCGATCAGAGTCATCATGATACCCCTCCATCTCTTCCAACAAGCCCCATATATGGGGCCCCATGTCAAAATGGCGATGCGAAAATACGGGGACGACGTTCTTCGACTATGGCAAGCTCTACAGCTGGTGGTACACTACCCACTATACCCCCACTATCTCTTGATCCCAACGTGGGCTCGCACAAGCAACGACCAAAAACCAGAAGAACACAGACGTCTGCTCATCCTGATGTGGTTGCAAGAGCAACAGTTGACACTACTATTGCCATTATACCCGCCAGTGCTTTCCGCCGCCTTACTAGGGTATATCCAAAAGCTACAGCGCATATAGTTCAAGTCATCTTAACCAGGCTACAGAGAGTGACGCTTGCAACTGGACACTCATATCTTGGATTGACAAGTGAAGTTTTACGAACCGAAAAACATATGAATAAGTATACCACCTACGAGTTGCCAAATTTTCTACGAGGAGATGCTCTGAAGCGATTGAAGGAGAAGTTCACACGCGAGAGAGAAAGAATTGGACCGGAGGAAGGTAGTAAAGGAATAGCGTTACACAATCCGGGTGCAGGTCGAAGACGACGGTCTCATAACAACCTTCGAAAAGAAGCAACTGTGCAAGCTCACTCTTCCAAGGGGGCTTATTCTGTTTCCGGCACTAGATTTGAGCCATCGAGCTCCCGAGATATTGGAGTGAGCCCAAGTCCCGGGGATCTGCTTACCAATATACAAATGTCCCGGTCTGGTGGTCGGAGGAGCAATTCAGGTCTTGGTAAAGGAGCATTGGGTAATGGTAGAACTCCTGAAGTGTGGCAACACGATGTTCACAGCCCCCTTGCACAGAAAACGTTTAATCCATTTACCAATACCCTGAATCCTCGAGTGACTTTACACCGGCAAGAGTCGGTCGACGAGGATAGCATGTTTCGTGGGTCTATTCTTGAATGCATCTTCAAGGCAATTGGTCTTACCAACACCAAAAATGCTTCAAGGATGTCGGATTCTGTTGAAGCTTCCCCTAGGCTCGTTTCTTACGATCAGAGAAGGCAGAAGGCGGTTTTTAGCAACAACGCTTTTGGTATCATCGACCCTTACGAAGCCTCCGCAGACGGTGATGCGGAATCCATAACATCCGGCGGGATCAGTGCGGGCGGCTTTCCCAGTACCCGAGGCTTAGCACAAGAGTTGCAAGAGGAAGTTGAGATTGTATTCTTCCCTCAAGGATCCGTTCTCGTTGAACAAGGCGAGCGCAATCCGGGGCTGTACTACGTGATTGACGGCTTTCTGGATGTCAGTGTTCCTGTCGACGACAAATCAGATGCAACGGTTCTTGGCCAATCCCATCGTCAAAGCCTCGCCAAATTTGGGGGAGAAGAGACATTGGCCCCTTTGTCCCGTACAAAGACCGGATCATCTCAAGCCTCTGCCTCAGTTTCTGGAGTTGGTACTGATGGGAAGAAACGCAAGTTGGCCGGGCGAAAGTCATTGGCTTTGATCAAGCCCGGTGGTATTGCTGGCTACATTGGCACGATATCGGCTTACCGGTCATTCATTGATGTCATCGCAAAGACGGATGTCTACGTGGGATTCCTACCACGACAAGCGCTAGAGAGAGTTGTAGAAAAGTACCCAGTTGTGCTACTCACGATGGCAAAGCGCTTAACTAGTCTTTTGCCGCGACTCATTCTTCACATCGACTTCGCACTAGAATGGGTTCAGGTCAGTGCTGGCCAAGTCATATATCATCAGGGAGATGATAGTGATGCTATCTACATTGTCCTGAACGGTCGCTTGCGCCTAGTGCTCAACAATGACAAGGCTGAAATGAAGGTCGTGGGTGAGTATGGGCAAGGTGAAAGTGTGGGTGAGCTTGAAGTCATGACGGAGTCTACCCGACCAGCTACACTTCACGCAATCCGTGACACCGAGCTTGCCAAGTTCCCGAAGACTCTGTTTAACAGTCTTGCCCAGGAACATCCTGGAATTACGATCAAGATCTCAAAAATCATTGCGTCTCGCATGAGGGCTTTGATCGAGGATCCGGTTTTCGACCAAGGAAAGGACAAAGCCACTGGCGCTACAAATAATAAAGTTTCCTCAACAGTTAACCTTCGAACCGTAGCTATTCTGCCTGTTACAGCTGGCGTACCTGTGGTTGAGTTCGGAACCCGGCTGATGAATGCTTTAACCCAAATTGGGGCTGCCAACGGGGTCACCTCGCTCAATCAAGCAGCTATTTTGAATCACCTTGGACGACATGCATTCAGCCGCATGGGCAAGCTCAAGCTAGCTCAGTATCTTGCAGACCTCGAGGAGAAATATGGTCTAGTGCTCTACGTTGCTGGTAAGTCTTGAAATTTTCTTTTGATGTTCTGGCAAATGATGATTTTCTTTTTAACCCCGAGTTCTTTCAATGAAGACCAAAAATTCAACAACTCTAATTTTTTCCTGATTGCCACTTTTTGTACAATACTTGTATGATACGCTTGGTTGGATCTATACTAACACGGGTCATATTAGACACTAACGTCAATTCTCCTTGGACTCAGACTTGCATTAGCCAGGCTGACTGCATTCTACTAGTCGGATTGGCCGAAGGTTCTCCTGCGATTGGAGAATATGAGCGTTTCTTACTCGGCATGAAAACGACCGCGAGGAAGGAGCTGGTCCTCTTACATGCCGACCGATTCTCTGTGCCCGGCACAACACGTGCATGGTTACGGAATCGAGTTTGGATCAATGGAGGACATCACCACGTACAGATGGAATTCAGTTCAAGCTCTGTACCTACTCATCCTCAAACCTGGAAATTTGGTTCTACATTGAAGCAACGCGTTCAAGTCCTACAGGCGGAGATCCAAAAGTACACATCTCGCAGGGTTAGACAAACCCCATTGTATTCCGCAGATACGCCTTTCAAAGGCGACTTCCATAGGATCGCGAGACGACTTTGTGGAAAGTCAATTGGACTAGTACTCGGTGGTGGTGGCGCTCGAGGCATAGCACAGGTTGGCATCATCAGAGCTTTGGAGGAGGCCGGCATCCCCATCGACATTATCGGTGGTACATCTATAGGCTCCTTCATCGGTGCACTATATGCCCGCGATGCAGATGTTGTGCCCATGTACGGTCGAGCAAAGAAGTTTGCGGGACGAATGGCAAGTATGTGGCGTTTCGCCCTCGATTTGACTTACCCGTCTGCATCATACACCACCGGTCATGAGTTTAATCGTGGTATCTTCAAGACGTTTGGTAAGAGTCAAATTGAAGATTTCTGGCTCGAGTTTTATTGTAACACCACGAACATCAGCAAGAGTCGATCGGAGATTCATACAAGTGGATATGCGTGGCGATATGTGAGAGCATCAATGTCCTTGGCGGGGTTGATTCCACCTCTTTGCGATGAGGGAAGTATGCTTCTCGATGGAGGCTATGTTGATAATTTGACAGTATCGCATATGAAGTCTCTCGGGGCAGATGTGATATTTGCAGTTGATGTAGGAAGTCTTGACGACGATACACCTCAAACATTCGGAGACTCATTATCAGGATTCTGGGCATTCACAAACCGCTGGAACCCATTCTCTTCATACCCAAACCCGCCCACTCTAGCCGAGATCCAAGCACGACTGGCTTATGTCTCTAGTGTGGATGCATTGGAAAGAGCGAAAAATACACCAGGCTGCCTCTACATGAGACCGCCTGTTGATAAGTATGGAACGCTTGATTTCGGCAAGTTTGATGAGATTTATCAGGTTGGGTATAAATATGGCCAGGAGTTCCTTGCGGAAACCAGGGAAAAGGGTGTTCTCCCGTTGGTGGATGAGACGGAGGAAAAGAAAGCTTTGCGCAGAACCATGGCTCCAAGGAGAGCAAGTATATAGAATTGGTGTATGGGTTTTGGAGTTTATGAGGCAGGTAGAAAGGCATGAAACGGCGCTCGGCTCAGATACCCAGTAGATTTGGAAACACGAGAATAAGACTCCAAGATTATACATCGCATATTCACAATGAGCAGCTCTGTCCAATATATATAACAAATAAAGATAGAAAATGGGATTCGAAAACCCAAAAACCATTGACAACGTCCAAACACCTCCCTGTTCCTGTCCTCAGGCCCCTTGAAATCCCTGTCACGTCAGCCGAAGGCCCGACCCGCGCGCTCCACACCAGAGCTTCCCCAAGAAACCTACCTAGGTACCTTACTTTAGCACTGAACTTACCCACCCATCCTTAATTCGTATCATCCTCATACACAACTAGCAACAGGTAATGGCAACCCTCCTCGCACTCCCCCGCGAACTCCGCGACCAAATATACGCATATATCCTCATCTCGCCCTCTCCCGCGCCGTTAATCGAAGCCCTCCCATACCGCTCTACCTCGACCTCAAGTTCAAGCTCAAGCTCGCGATATAAAATATGCCTTAATCCACACTCTCCTTGCACGAACAGCCGTACCAATCCAAATACAAATGATAACCTAAACCCAATCCCAAAAACAAAGACCAAAAGAAAAGGAAACAAAGCTGCCAACCCGAAACTAATACTCACCTCCCTCTCCCTCCGCCGCACATGCCGTCAAGTCCACCACGAAACCCACGGCATCCTGTGGATGCACAACACGCTGCTGTTCTCGCGCATCGACGCTCCGGATACAGGCGTGGTCCGGATCCTGAAATCCATGGGCCAGGCGACCTCGCGGCAGATCAGGTGTATACGCCTGCTCATGCCGGCGCCGCAGCACCAGGGGGCGTGCTATGCGGCGCTGCCGCGGATCATGACTATGCTGGCATCGCGCGCACGGCATGGGGCGTTCCAGAGGCTGGAGGTTGTGTGGGGGC